TTCTAATACATGCCCTTCCACCGTGCTGACATTTCTCAGGACAAACGCCGCCGGGTTCCAGCGCTGGTCTGCGTACCAAGCCGACCGGTCTGGCTCTCCTATTGCCGCAGACCTCCGCGCCCCGGTTTACCGCGCCGCCATCCGCAAGGACCCCAACGCCGCTGTCCTCCTGCTTAAGGACGAATGGTACAACACCTCCGCCATCGACGGCAAGGAAATCTGCCTCCAAGCCCTCGGCCACGCCGACGACGAGACGCTCATTAAGAACGTCCTGCTCCCCTTCATCTTCAACATTTCCCCGCCTGCCTCTGCTGCGGACTCCATTAACCCCGGCGATATGCACATCCTGTCGAACGTGCTCGCGGCCAACCGCACCGGCCGCCCGCTCCTATGGGCATTCCTGCGGGACAACTGGGACCAGTTCAACGCCAAGCTGGGCGGGAACCCGATCCTGGTGGATCGCATGGTCAAGGTCAGCTTGCCCATGTTTACGGATACGCAGAGCCTGGAGGAGATTGAGAAGTTCTTTGCCGGGGTAAGTACTAAGGGCTTTGATCGCACGCTGGAACAAGTCAAGGACAAGATTCGGGGACGGGCGGCGTACAAGGTTCGTGACCAGGAGGGGCTGAAGCAGTGGTTGGTGCAGAGTGGGTATGCGTGAGGGTTTGGATAGGCCCAAGAAGGCAGATTTGTGAGATATGGGATTTACCTATAAATTAGGGGCTCGTAAAACAGGATAATGGACACCGAGAAATTCCCCATGGTACTTATTAATGAGACGACCACTGTACCTAGGTCTATCAATCAGTTGTGCCGCTACATTTGACACAGGCCACCTCAACCTTACGTGAACGTACCTAGGCAGGTGCCTCGTTTCCCAGCCTTGGAATTACCAAACAAACACAACCCTACAGCAACCTCACGCCTAGTTACAGTAAAAGGATCATCACACGGATACTACTTCTTCTCCCATTCATGAGGTGCCTCACGGTAACACCACAACCGGATGCTCATGGGCCTTTGGCATCTCGAGGATGTTGACAGCATGACTACAAAATTCAATATCTCTATGAGAGACATGGGAGATCACTTCCTCGTCTTGACTTATTCTCAACTTGGCCAACATTTCTCCCTTAATTATCTCTCTCAACTTTGTTTCTTTTTCCTCTAATTACTTTTCTCCGTTTCGTTTTCTGCCCTTCTTTTCCCCCTTTTCTTCGGCGATAACTTTGTTTTTCGATTTCTGAGGCTTTCTCGAGTTGCAAGCTCCTGACATTGGCAATGAATTCGAGATTTCGAGAAGGTCTCGCAAAAATAAGGTAATTACATGCTATAAAAGGCTGAACCTCGTATGAGACAGCGTTATGTTTCGAATCTAAGTAAATTCTGAGCACTCGTTCAGTTTCATAACTAACCTCTCTCGACATTGACCACAAGCATGCTTGAGTCTGTGATCTTCGTGGAAGGCCGGAATTACATCTGCTCGTGCTTACTTTCTACTTGTGCTGCTCATCATATTGCCCTTGGGGGCCGCCATGCCAAAGTCTCTTCACACTCTTCATATGTGGGCATTTTCTTTCCAGGATTGTTCTCGTACTATCACTTGATGATGATTCTCTTGAGATCTTACTCCTCAGCTCATCCCCCTAGCGCTAGTCCCTCCGTTCTGGTCGTCCCGAATCTTCCTTCACATGCTCTGCCGAAGCCGGCTGAGCCCCTTAACTGCGCACATCGGTTCATATAATTATGCACCTCCTCGGCCGCGCTATCTACCGCCTGCAACCACTTTTGATCAATGATTTGGCTCGTCCCTTGAGCAAGTCCGATACCGCATGCCCTTTTTACGGGGTACTCGCCAACTGTCAAGTGGCCACCATACAACTCTCATAGTTCCCCCATAATGTCCGCCCAGACCCTGCTCGATCCGCTTAACCGCTTAACCGCTTACCACTTCCCGACTTATCCCACTTGCCATGTCACGGTTCCAGACAGACCCTGCATAACTAAGGTGCAAAAAGGGTCCGTGAGTGGTTCCAGATCGAGGGGGCACGCGAGGGACTGACTCTTCCGGTAACTCGTCGTCTATTTCGGTCCACAACCCCCAGCTATAAGTCTGCACAACTTAAGTAGCACACCGACATCCGACTGGAACCTGCAGGTGCAGGACCCTTAACGGCAGACAGACTCGGCAAAAGTTAACACCCAGATAAGCATTGGAGAAAAAGAAAAAAAGGAAAAATGTTTCAACAGCAGAAAAAGCTTTAACCCTCCGCATTAGTGAGCAGAGAGAATGGAACGTGCGAGGTTACAGACGCAATATCGGCCACGAGTGACAGGCCAGAACCAGGCCGCATGAGCGTGGTATGGTCATGTAAGTAATCTCGAGCGAGCCAGTGGTCTGTCGTCTTTTCGAGTTCCCAGTCGGCCAGCCACGCAGGGTTGCTTCGGACGACCCCATGACCCGGTTATGATGGGGGAACCGGACGGACATACAGACAGATTGACGGATAGACGGACAGCGCGGGGAGATGGTCTACGCTAGGGCGATGCCCGCCTAAGAAGGATCCGGTACACGATAAGCGAGTTGGGGTTGGAGTTGAGTTGGGTTGACTAAATCCCCGGCGCACCGGCGTTCTCGGGCTTTTGCAACAGGGGTTGTCCTCTTGGTTTGAGGGGAAAGCTGCGGAAGACACTAGTGTACACAACCCGACGGACATGATACCGGTATGGCTGGTTGGCTGGCTCACTAGTGGATAGGCGGGCCAGCCCATCGTGCTATTTTTGGGGGCATGGCATGAGACGGACCAAATCCTGTGCTTGGTGTATGAGGCCAGGGGTGGTTGAAATGTGGTTAGGACACCAGCGAGCAAGTGACGAGATCAGGGCGAGCATCTATTCGACAGCTTGCGAAGAAGAAAACAAAGGAAGAATGCGAGAGAGAGATCACGCCAGGCGCGGGGAGCGCAATCGAAATCAACGAATCACCGTGTAATGCGCCTCGAAGATGAGAGGCCACACGATATCGGTACACGACACACACCGATCCCACGAACCGGGACATGGCGGAGGGAAACGCCCGCAAGAGCAAAACCGGGTAACTTGACTCTCAGCGTAGGACCCGGGTTAAAACTATTCCACATCTGTCCGCTTTGATGGGGAGAACTTATGGCTGACTCCTTCCGTGGGGGTGCCACGATGGTTTGCTGCCGAGACAGTGCTTGAGTTAAGAAAGGGCTAGAACTGTGATTTGTAAAGAGAGTTGGCTCTCCTCGCGCGTCCGGTGAGTGAGTTGTCGACCTGCAAGGGCACATGATCGCGGCATGGTTTTGGGAAGCGGGACAGCGGGTTTTAACGACCGTTGTGCCTCGGCGCCGAGATGGTATTTCTCCGCACGAGGAAGGCCAAGCCTCTTCAAACCTTTTGGGGTTGGGGTCCGGATTTCCCAAGCAGCGGGTATGTGTGAAATGTGTATTCGTATATGACCCCATTCCCAGACCCGGGGGCTGTAGCGAAGGTTCCAGGCGTGCGTCTCATCAACAACAAAGTGTCAAGCCTTGAGCACTGACGGCGCGGGTGTCGCCATCGTGATGAAAAGACCTGATTCAGCCGCGTCCCGAGAGAGGACGCGTGGACAGGTGACGTGAAAGCCACTTCCGCCGGGGTTTGCGGAAGCATCTCCATCTGGCAGTGAACCTGGACGGTGGAATGATGCGATTGGGACGGTTCAAGCGTTGCCGCCGAATGCGTGATGGGTTTCTACGGTTGTTTGCTCCGAGATATTGCTGGCGGTTTTGGGAATAGCTTGTCTCTCCGGCTAGAACAGCATTGAATGTCCGGGATGCGCATGGAGCTGTCTCGCGGATCGCAGTTTCAACGGCAGCCTTGAGCCGCATCGGGGCAAGGGGAAATAAACTTTCGGTTGGGTATCTTGCGGGCCGAAAGAGAAGCCGGGAAATTTGGCGAGTTTGAGAAGAATGTTAACCGGGAAGAAAAATTGGGAGTGGCAACAGGAAAACTCATTTCAGTCTCATCTTGGCTCCCGGGAAGACCGCATCGCCGGAAGCAATATCGACGTGTTCCTTTCCGCCGAGAGTTACTTTAATTTGTGAGGGCGTTTTTTTTTCTGTCATTTTCTATTTTATTTTTTATTTCTCAGGCCCAGACCAGCATGACGTCCATAAGCCCCAGTCAGCTTGGAACGTTTCATCGGAATCGTGGGGCCTGATCCCGGGACTGAGCGTGGACTCCAGATCTTGGGCTTCTCCAAGCCTGGGAGGCTCTTTCCGAATCCGGTAGGCGAGCGGGGGTCCGGCACCTTTTGAAAGGACGACGGATAAACCTCGGAGATGTGCTCTGAACGTTGAAGGGCCGTGGGGCGGCCAACATGGCTGTCGCTGACCGAGGCGGTCGTGGAAGGAGCCATCCGGGGGTTTGTGCCAAGGCCGGGGTCGATGCAGGACCCTGGGAAGGACCTGCCAGTGATTGTGTGCTGATCCCGTTGAGAGGACGGAGAAATTGTGAGCTGGGAAGGAAGTCACAGCTTGGGGGTCAAAGAGCAATGAGCTGTTTTCTTCTTGAGAGAGAGAAGAGGGAAGGGAATTAACTATGTTGCTGTTCTGTTCGAGTCGTGAGGGTTTGCAATAGAAGGATAGCCAAGCTTTGTGAGAGCATAACTCTTTGGTATCTACACGTGGAATTATTGTCCGATTCGGCGTTTGCACTCCCATTGAGGCTGACCGCCTGCTGCTTGGCCCAAGCTTCCTGCTGTGCTCCGCCAAACCAGGCGAACCTCCTGCCGGGGAATTTGACGATCGTGTTTTGGGTGGTGCGGGTCAGTGGGATGACACCCTTGGGACGTGCCCGCGCCTTGGAATCGCGGGCCGTAACGCGGCTGGCGGGTGCCACTTCTTGCAGGAGTTGCGGAGTGGCGGTTCCGACAAGCGCCCCACCATCGACCACGAGGGCCAATTGCGCCTGCCCAAAGTTTTTCGCCTGGCCCAGATTCCCAAATTGCACCGGACGGCCGTCCCTTGACAGGGCAGCCCTGCGCCAGCGCGTTTGGATCAGAGGCTAGCCACATTCTCTGCCGAAACTTGCAGCGCTGGTCAACGCCAACAACCCACTGGCCTCCCGGGCCCCATGGAAACCGCAAACCCCCCCTTCCCTTTTGGGCAACAACTGCCTGGACGACGAGCAATTCGGCGCCCGGAGAGACCCGGCATAACATTGTTGAAGCATTGGTCCACTCGTACACGAGGTCAGTTTTTTTTCCCTCAGCAGTCGTGTCACCTCGATGGGCTTTGGCCCTCCCGGAATCTGATGGATGGCCGCCGGTCAGAGACATGCGGTTCGGGTTCGGGTCTAGTTAGTGGAAGTTGAGGTTAGGGGATGCCCTTCCCGCCGCGCCGTCCTCCCACGTTCCCCCGCTTCATCAGGACGGCGCGGCAGACGGCAGACGGCAGACGGCCACTGAGGATGTCGAAAAACACGGCCCAAGGAGTGTCGGCCCTTGCGGGTGCCGCAAGCACGCACTGCATTACCTGGACAAGACTCGTCGTTATCCAGCCAGACTGCAAGACAGCGGCCCACAGCCGAGGATCTCACCTGTTTCCGGGATCCCCGCTCCCACGCGCTGTGCAGCCCGTTGCCCACCTGGACGCGTGTTGAATGTTCATTCCAAGTGGAGGGAGGTGACTTCCAAGGTTCGGGTGGGCAGTGGGTGGAACACCTTCTCCAGGTCCCGCTGACAGGTGCTGCTGCTGTTGCTGAGGTGCTTGCCGCTTGCCGCTTCGGTGCTGTTGGAGCATGAAGCGCGAGACCCACTCCGCGTCCCGGCTTGCCAACCGTTGGGGCCCGTCCACTGCTGCGCGGAGACCGATGCGCCGTGCCTGACCCCCAGTTCGTGGGGAAACTGACCCCCTTTTTGGCTTCGCTTCTGGCTTCCAAGGCTGTCTTGTCCGATGAAGCCGCTGCTTGAAGGCTCAAGGCTTGCGCTAGTTTTTGCTCATCGACCCCCACGGAGAAACCCCGGATAATGTTGGCGAGCAGGCGTTGCGGTTCCGGCGCAAACGCGGGCAGCTGGCTGGGCATTTTGCCTAAAGGAGCCGAAAAGCGAGGGACACCGTTTATATTGATGCCCTTCGCCGTTCCGACGCTTTGGCTGGGCCGATTTCCCAGAGGCCTGGAACTACTAGTATAAGCAATGACCATGATGTGGGCGGCTCGGCTCTCCTGATACTTGGAGCCATCGGGTTGCACCTGCCAGCTGGTTTATCAAGGGCGCGTGCCCATCATTCGGTTGCTTGATCGACCCGGGCCAAAGTCACTTCCTTGCTTAACTTGACTTACAAGTGCGCAGCCAAGACAGGCAGGAGGTGTTTTATTTTTTCTTCTGCGGAAAAGAGGAGGACCAAGCCGACAACCTGAACCCAGCACTCTGCACACACACACCCACACACACCCATCATACACCACCGAAAGAGGGCCAGACCTCCCCACCGAAGGACCCAGCCGTGCCGTAAAACATTGCGCCGAAGTTTTACCCCGGGATCTCCGAGCTGAGAAGCTGTATGTAAAAGGAGTTGCGCTCTCATCGCCATCGGTACCGCGCCCCTTTTTTTCCTTTTATTGACGAGACAGCGGCCACGTTTCGATGCACGACGACGACGACACCGAGAGAGCACAATCTTCGGAACCTTGATGGTGAGCCTGGGATAGGAGGATGGCAGGTTCTAAAAACGGTGTGCCCGTGGGGATATCAACACGAGCTGCTTTGGCCAAAGCAGCAGCAGCATCGGCATCGGTATCGGCATCCGCGACAGCAGCAGCGACAGCAACGGCGACGGCAGCGGCAGCGGCAGCGGCAGCTGCAGCAGCGATAGACGTTGTGATGGGGGGTACTTCGGCGGCGACGGCGACGAGCTCGACCCAGACGGCCACGGCCGCAGTGACGACAATCGTTAGCGCAAGTCTCCTGGCCACAGTGGGCTCGAAGCATGGCGCGGGGAACGGGTTTAATAACGACAAGGGTCTGGGTCTGGGTCTGGGTCTCGAGCCGCGTGCGAGGTGCAGCCAATGCGGGCGCCGGCGCACAGCGTGTCACCACCTACCGCAGCACCAGGGCCTCCAGCAACCCACTAACGCCAACGCTACGGGTGGCCCTTCCTCCGCAAATGCAAATCTTAACCTTGGGCCCAACGGAGCTCTCAGCGCCGCGGCTTCGGCGGCCTTGCACCCGAAACCCCGCAGGATCTCCAAGCTCAGGCACCGCGCGGGTTTAAGTGGCTCTTCCGCCCAGCAGCAGCAGGAGCAGCAAGAAGCAGGTGGTCCAGTGCTCGGCGTGACTTTTTCGCAACACCTAGCCACTTCCGCAGCAGCACCAGCAACAACAGACTCCAGCAGCGCCGCGATGGAGCCTCCCGTGCTCTCGTTTTATGGCAAAGAGCCGGTGCCGCTACCATCGCGTTTTGGACAAATTAAGCGCAATTTGGTGGCGGGCCACGAGGCCGAGCTCGAAGCGTCGTGGGCACGCCTGATTACAGCGCTGCGGGAACATGTCGACGACATTTCGTCGCGCGGAACTTCGCTGACGCCCAGCATCGATTTTGGCGACATTAACCAGCCCGATGCTCGCGCGGCCTTTGCCCGCGACCTCAAGCGCTACGGCCTCGGCGTTGTCCGCGGGGTCGTGCCCAAGGCCGATGCACAGGTAGCCATCGACGAGACGGTTAGCTACCTGGAGCGACAGACCGAATACAAGGCGCCACCACCACAGGACCCGACCTGTTTCGACTTTTTCTGGACCCCGGCACAGGTGCGCACGCGGGCGCACCCCCGCGTGCTCGAGGCCCAACGGTTCGCCATGTCCTTGTGGGACAACAACGCCGACGACCGCATGGCCATCCGCTTCCCCATTGCGTACGGCGATCGTCTGCGTATCCACGGCGCCAACATCGGCAATGTCGGCCCGGACGCCTCGACGAGCAAGGTGAAGGAGGAGCTGTCCTCCGACGCCGACCTCGAGGCGCAAAAGGCCGCGGCCGAGTTGCTAGGTGACTTCACGTCGTCGACGCTCATCGCGCAGGTTGACAACGGCAGCCTAGAGCGCTGGGAGCCCGACGGCTACGGCCGTGACGGCACGTACGACGCCGTGTTCCGCGGCGAATGGGAAAAGTATGACCCGTGGGACCCCACGCACCGCGTGCCGGCTACGTCGGATCTGTACAACGGCTACGGCGCCTGCAGCATCTTCCGCATGTACCAGGGCGTCGTGGCGCTCAGCACAATCGAGCCGGGCCTCATCCGGCTGTTGCCCAGCCCCAAACTAGCGACGGCCTACTTCCTTCTCCGGCCGTTCTTCTCCCCCAAGACAAAACCGCCTGAGCGCCGTGACGGCCCAGAGTGGGATGCCTTCCTCGATCCGTCCAACTGGGCCCTCGACAAGGAACAGTCCACCATCATCCACGGCGCCGTCCCCGGCCACGCCCAGCGTTTGACCGAGCTCTGGCACCCACACCTGCACCTCCGCCGCACCCTCCAAACCATCCCCACTCTCCAAACCGGCGACTACATCGTCTGGCACCCCGACTTAGCCTACCACATGACCTCCAACCCCAACGTCATGGCTAGCCGCGCACCAACCCCGCCACCACTAGCCGAAGGCGAGCAAGACGAGCCCGCCAGCGGCCCACCAGTCTCCGTCCTCGTTTACGTCCCCGCGGCCCCGCTCACGCAGACCAACGCACTGTACCTCGCCCGACAGCGGAAGACCTTCCAGCGCGGGCACCCGGGTCCTGACTTTGACTCGACGGGTAGCGGTCTGGGCAGCGAGGCGACACATATCGGGCGGCCGACAGAGACGGATATCGGCGAGGTCGGTGGACCTGCGGGGCTGCAGGCTATGGGGCTGGCGCCGTTTGATGTTGCGCCTACGCCGCCGGCGAGTTCTGGGTCGGGATCGGGAGATGGGAGTGCGGGTGGGATTACTAAGGACGGTGATGTGGATATGGGTAATAGCAGCAGCAGTGGTGGTAGTGCGGGTAGCAGCAATACCATGACGCGTGCGGAGGCCGAGGTTGCCCGGCTAGCGAACATCATTCTGTTCCCGGACCGGTACGACTTTTACATGGCGAAGCGGAATGAGAATGGGAGTAAGCGGAGTAAGGTGCGATTGGAGGGGTTGTTGAATCCGGTTATTGAGCCGGAGCCGGCAAAGGATGCCGGGAGTAGCAGTAAGGGGAAGGGGAAGGCTTTGGGTGATCGGAGGAGAAGTTGATAACAGAGCGAAATGGATTCTTTGTGATTTTACTATTACAGGGTGTCATAGAGGAGAGGTTAGGAGACGAGACATACCCCCTGCGATATTGGTTTAGTTTGGGAGCGAGTTGGGTGGCTTTTTCCATGGGTGGTCGTTTTGGAGTGGACTGTATTTGGAAAGACAGAGGATGGACAGCATCTTTGAGGCCGTCATGGTTTGATGGGATACCAACTAACTAGTAAAGTAGTGCGAGAGTATTTGAACATGAGCTTGTTGATATCGCAAATCATGAATCGTCGCCCATATTAGCAGCAAGTGGCCCTAACATTCAATGTGACCGTTGAGCATGGAACACACAGCTTGTTCATACTGTACGATGAGATGACAGTTAGCACAACGTTGTTTGTTGCACGTGAGTCACAGCGAGCACACCGACCTCGTCGCCCCTTCCTTCCCCCAACACCAACCCTTTATAACCCACTCCCGCGTAGCTCCTTCCAACCGCCCCCCCAATAAGCAGACCACGGTCAAAATGGCGTATTTGGGGGAGCCGTGGGCGTCCAAATGGTACACCACGAAAGCAAAGTCTAGGGTTCAAATCCTGCGTGCTGCGCCGGCCGAAGAAAAACCACTGGGTTTTTCGTAACCGCCCCCCATTCCTTGACCCCTATGGGGGATTGAGATGATGGGACGGTGAGCTTTTTGAGCTTTTTGAGCTTTTTTTTGTCCAGACTAATATTTTCTTTTTTTTTTGTCAAGACTATAAATTTCCATGGTCGGTTCTTTGTATCGTTCAATATTTTTCATATGATTGATGGACCAGCGCGTTAACCAGAACGGCCGAAAGGGCTCACGCAATAATCACGAGCCTTGCCCATTCCTCCTCGTCTTCTACCTGCTGTGCCCGAGCCTTCCCTCACTCCCACCCACTCCCTTGGCTCATTGAGATGTTCATTCGCAACCTCATCTAATGCAACCTGATCCCTTACCTTTCTCCCTCGTGACCCGCCGATCATAGCTGGTCGGGCACTCAGGCTGAATTAAAGAGTGGAGGGGACGAAGGGACTTCATAATGGCAGCGCGTATCCTAGATTTGTTTATCCGTCTAGGACCGCGTCTTGGTTTGGGCTGTTGTCGGTTGTGGAGAGTCGAGTCGTATCATGAAAAGTGAAAAACGATCGATCGATGGTTGTAGCCGGGCCAGGTTCGCGATATGGACGGTCGTTAAGCGACTGCAACTTGAATCTGTCAAAAGTCTGACAGGTCCTTCAGATCGACCCTCATCACCGATGTGTTGTCATCATGATACGGTAGGCAAATTTAAATCCAACCCTCACCGTTCTCTTGATCCCGGACCGACAGGTGGATTAAGAAGAGAAAAAGAGAACTGCTAGGGTGGCAAGATTGTCGAGAAGCACAGACAAACTCCCTTCAATGTTCCCCTCAACGGCCGGCTGATTACCGGATTACAGAGATTTTCAAGGCGTCACTGGAACGTTGGGCCCAAAGCTCAGACCCGGTTTGGGTTCTCGCCAAGAGCATCGCTTGCGGCTGGTCGATCTTAACGCCAGAACCGGTCGGCGGTCGCATGCGTGTTTTGTCACGCGCGGCTATGGGTCGGAACACGGGAGCCGAGGAACACACAGGAGGATAGGCTCAGGCAGCCAACTGAGGGCTGAATGATCGTTCCACTTTGGCGCGGGCTCCGTGGGATCGGAAGCTTGCGTTTGACAGGGGCACATTCCGAGACGACTCTGATTGTAGTATCAAGATGGATGACTGGACCGGGCAGAGAGAGAAAGAGGGTATGTACAAGTGAGAAAGGAACGGGAGAAAACGGAGCCTCGTCTCAGGATATGCGAGGGAAGGCTGCGAGTCTAGTCCACATCATCAACCCCCTTTACCCTGGGAAATGAAAGGCGCCCGCAGCCAACAACAACAACAGCGACACCAACAACAACGACCGAAATCGCTCTATCAACGCCACTCCATTGTCTCACCACACTATTGCGGCATGTTTTTGTTAGTTGTGCGGTGAGGTTGGGATGGGCTCAGTCATGATGATAAAAACAAATGCAGAAAGGGGCCGGTAGGTGTACAATATATTGCCATCTAAAATAATACATTCAAATCTATTCAAACCTGCTCCTCAGCAGACATATACCCCAGATCATCCGAGTTTCCACCCCCCTCCTCCCCATCGACCACGACCTTCTTCTTCGGCGCCCGTATAAACACCAACGCGACCCAGGCCAACAACACAATCCCTGCGACATAAAACCACGGCAACCCAACCCACACCCCCTTATGCACCAAGCCAACATTAAAACAAAACGCTAGCACCGGCCCACCCAGCAAGATCCCGCCTGTCTCCAGCATGCTGATCAGCGCGTATAATCGAGACGTCTGCTGCGGCTCGACATAGCTTGTGACAATAGCGCGTGCCATGGGGCCGTGTGACGCACCGAGGGTACCGACGACCAGACCGATGATGAAGAGTACTGTTTCACGGCTGAAGCCTTCGATGACGGCTCCGGCAATCAACAACAGTAGCGAGAGACGAGCGAGGAGGACGTCCTTAGAAAAAGCGGATAACTGGAAGCGGCCGTCCGGGTTGGTCAGGAAACGGGAGAGGATGGGGACCAGCACGATGATGATAAGTTGGAGGATGCTGAGGGGCGAGAGGAGGTAGCTGGTCTGAGCGAGGGTCCAGCCGAAGTAGGTGCTGATGTGCTGGGCGAGGGTGGAGGAGTAGGCGGCGAAGAGGGCGGGTTGGATGAGGAAGGCCGGGAGGATTAGGGCGATGTTGCGGTTTTTGAGGAGGCGGAAGGAGACGGCCAGTTCGTTGGCTTCGTCGCGGATTTTTTGGGCGAGGGAGGGTTGTTGTGACTGGGGGGCGGATGTTGTGGAGTTGTCCTCGAGTTTGAGCGGGAGGGTTTCTGGGAGGAAGAGGACGAGGGTGAAGATGATGGGGCTGACGTAGAAGACGAGGCGGACGGGGAACCATGGGCCGAGGTGTTCCATCATGAGGCCGGCTGCGATGGGGCCGATTAGGCCACCGGAAACGGCGCCAAAGGAGATGTAGAGGAAGTGTGTAGACCTGGAAATAGTCAGAAGGTTATCGGGCCTGGAACTGGGTGAATGCCCGTAACATACCGGTTACTCTCGGAGCTGATGTCCGATGCAATGGCATGCAGAGTGTTCAACGCCACAGGAACACCACCTCCAAACAGAAAGAACAGTGACCCAAAGACACACAGCCTGACGAGTGACGGGTCCCCGAAAGCCAGAATCAGCGGTGTCCACGCAAAGGCCATCATCATGCCCAAATACGCAATCACAAAACTCGGTTTCCTCCCAATGCTGCACACCCGTTAGTACCCCATAACCCTAACACTGACGACAGCAAACCAAGACCAAAAACAACATACCGATCCGCCAAAACACCATACGGCACCGCGGCAACAAGCCCAACAAACGAGTTCACCATAGCCGCCACGCCTCCCAAAAACGCCAGCTCCTGCTGCACATCATCCCCCTTACACCGGCGCTCATCAATCGGCTCACCCCGCGGCACACCATAGTGCACATGACACACGGCATCCTCCAGCAGCCGAAACAGGGGAATCAAAATCAGCATGCCGCTCGTCGCGACGCAGAACATGAGCACGGCGAGGAGTATGACAATGGTGCGGGGCTGGGTGGCTTGGAAGCGTGCGAGGAAGCGCCGGAAGCCATATTTGGGTGGGCTCTGTGGTTGGGGCGAGTTGCCGTTGCTGTCGTGGTTGCCGAAAGGGGTGTGCGGGAGGCTGTATTCATCGCCTTCGTCGGCTAGTTCGAGCGAGCCATTGCGCTCATCGTTGGTTAGTAGGCCTTCGCCTTCGACAGGGTCGACGACGTCGCGGTATCGTGGGTGGGTGCTCATGATGGGGGTGGTAAAGGAGTGGCTTTCATCGCGAGGATGAAGAGAGTTGGGAAAGGGTGAAGGAGTGTGGGTGTTAAGGCTGGTTAAGTTGAAGGTGAGAAGTGAAGCTGAGCGCGATGACGACGCATTGGGGCTGCAATGATTCTGGCCCAATTAGCAGCGGTTGCGATCAATACGATGGACGGGCCGGGTCAGCGGTACTAACAGGACAACTGCGGAATATGTGTGAGATGTGTTAGTGCAGACCACCCCCTGTCAGCTCGGTATTTAAAGCTGTCTTGGCGGTTCTCCTGCCAAGACTTCAACTCATCAGACACGCGCGTCTATGGAATCTGAGATTCTGAGATAACGAGCCAGATTAGGATCATGCTAAGAGTGACCTCGCCTGCGGTCATCTCACTACGATATGGACACCCAGCGGGAGTTGAGTGTCACGCGACACACCGTTTCCGCCCAACTCTCAGCAGTGAGTGACTGAGTGAGTGAGTGTGTGGGATGATCCCGATGATTCAGGAAAGGGGTCTCATGACTGCCTCATGTGTGCCTCGCAACGCCACTATGTACCTACTGCTTTTCAACAAACCAACAACATTTGCCAGTAAGTTCTTTATTTCTCACTTTGCCTGTTTTTACTTCGGTTTTTCTCCTTCGGATTTCCCATTTCGCAATAACTACGGAACATCCACCCTTCATCCACCCTTCATCCACCATGCCTCGACCCTCTCGACAGCCTCGCCAACCCCGACTGCCCAACATCCAAATGCAAATGCCCCCCATCGAAATCCACCTCACAGCCCCAACACCCCCCAACGAACAAACCAACCCCAAATATCCGCCTAAATCTCACCAAGACACCCCAAACCCAACCACAACCCTCATCTCCCAACCATCCAGCTCAGCAATATCAAGACCCGACACCGGCTTCCTCACCTGGAAAACCTTCACCGAAACCCTCCTCCCCCCACGCAAAACCGCCCGCAAATCCCGTCTCGACAAGATCCTCGCTCCCCTCCGACCTGTCAGCGCCGGTTTCCCGGGCTTTTTAAGTGTCGACGGTCTCGGCGGGGTGATTGAATCGGCGCATGGGGTTTTTCATTCTGCGAGACGGTTGGATGTTATTGAGGCTGAGAGGACGTTGTATTTGTATCTCCCTGGGGCTGGAGAGATGGTAACGGGAAATGCGAGGGATCTGGAACGGTATGAGAATGAACTGTTCGATTTGAGCAAGTATAACGGCGCGTGTGGATTCTTTACAGTCCTAGCATGGACTGAGGAAGCCCGCGCTGGGTCGGTGACGCTCTATCGCGTGCTGTTAGACAATCCCGGAGATGATGGTGACGGGGAGGGTGTGGTTCTGGGCGTGCGACCTGTGGCGGCTATGAGGGAGGTGCCGAGCCCGGTGCTAGTAAAGATGCGGACGGATGGGAGGTTGCAAAGGAAAGTGGTGTTGACGCTGGTGGATGAGGATGATCGAACTTTTGACTGGCGGGCGGATTTTTGTCGGCGTGGGCCGAGATATGTCCGTCTAGGAGGGAGTGGGGGTAATGATGAACTTGATGATGAGGACGAGAGAGAGAGACATCGGTATGGTGGTTTGGCAGACGGTGACGCGGTTCGCGCGACGCTTCCCCAGTTCTTTGCGCTGCTTCATGCGCGGCGGTCGATCCTGGAGGATGTCGATTCGGGGCCTGTTTTCATGGCACCAGTACAAACACGGCCCGGGAAGGGATATCAGGAGAAACCCACTGTCGTGCTGGGGCAGACGCCGCGGTCAAGTCCGCATGATGGTGATCGCGTGCATGTGGCGGTGCTGGTGCCGAACGATGCGCTGTGGGCGGAGGACGAGATGGTGTGGACGGATGGGACGGGGCTGGCTGAGTTTCGGCAGCGGCAATATTGGGATGTTATTGGGAGGATGAGACGTTAGTTGTGTTTTTTAGGGTGTCAGAAGTACACTTGGGACGAACGGCTGTTATAGATTTTCAATGAGCGCGTTTCTTCGGATGTAGCCTCGGCATGTGATCCAAGAGCGCCGGCTGGTATAACTACATTGATGTGGCGATAATTAATGGGACAAAAGCCGTATGATGCCTTGTATCACCCCTTTTCGAGATTTACACACCACAACCCCTGACACGGCAACGAGGTATTTATCAACCCTTTTTACTTGACAATACAGTTTGTTAACGCTAAAATCCAAATGAAATATTCAAAATCAAACGCTATGAGCTGGGTATCATCCCCCCTATTCCGCACCCCCAATCCATCCAAATTCCCAACCAAACTTATACCACTGAGACCACCCCTTCACCAATATGGCACCTCTGTCGACGTCCCCTCCCGTCTCAAATACAAACACACCTTCTCTCTCTCCTCCCTCCCAACCCCCGCTTCCTCACCTTCCCCGGGTTCCATAACCTCCACACCAGGCAACCCCGGCATCTCAAACCTCTCATACCCCCCGCCATCCACAAGCATCTTCCTCACCCTCGGCGAATCCGGATCCATAGCCTTCATACTCCACCCATCATCTACCACCCTCGACCGCACAACCGGCAACGGACCACTCTGCCCAGCCTCACCCACCGCCTCAGCCAGCGCGTCAGCCGCAGCGTCAGCCGGCTGCTGCTCCTGCTGCTCCGGCGTCTGCGGATACCAGTCAAAGTCGCGCTCCCGATCGTCTAGCGAGTCTGGGTTGTAGGTGTCTACGGGCCGGCAGATGAATACGGCGGGACGGGCGAGGTCGGCGATGACTTGTTTGACGGGAGACCAGTGGCGGTAGGAGAGGACGGCGGTGGTGGCGTCGATGGTGAGGAAGAGGCGGGCGTTGGAGGGGACGAGGGTGATGTTGTTTGAGCGGAGGAAAGAGAGTTCGGCGGAGTTCCAGCGGCGATAGAGGTCGTGGGAGGGCAGGTAGATGGGGATTTGGGGGGTTGATTCTGTATGAGAGGTGTTGTTGGTGTTTTGGAGAGATGTGATGAGATCCCGGAGGCAGAGGGCGAAGGAGAGCAGAAACAGGCCCCGCTGGCTGTACTCGACGGTGTCGTCGCTTAGTCCTTCGGCATAGAAAAACACAATCTTGTCTACCCCTTGCAACACCCGGTTTGGTGTCCCTGCAGTCTCACTTTCACTCTGACCCACCACACTCTCCCTCAACGTCCTCCACGCCAACCCCGACTCAATCGTCGCCTTCGCCCTCTCCACAGCCTCCCTCATCCCTTCCACAGTCAACTGCGGCACCCCCTCCATCTCCTCACGCATCCCCAGCACGCCGTACGGCCATTTCCGCACGACGATGGGCTGGAACCCGATCGAGGGCATCCAGCTGTCAGGCACAAACTGCTCGTCTGTGTTGGCGGGATCGGGCATGATGAGTTCTTGCAGGGAACGGAACTCGACTTGGGTGCGTCCTGGTCGGTAGACGATGGTGCCGAGTCGAAGGGTGGGGGAGCTGTCGTCGTTGGTGTCGTCGCTGTTACTGGAGGTGTCGCTGCTGCTGCTGCTGTTGTCGTCGTTACCATCTGCGTTGTCATTGCCATCGGTGTTGTTATTGTCATCAGTATTGACATTGTCATTAGTACTGATCTGGTCATTATCGTCATTGCCGGTCCCGATATTGTTGACGTCGTTGTTGTCATTCTCGTGAGTGGTGATCTCGTGAGTGGTGGTTTCATTGCCATTGTCGTTGGTATTGCCACTGTTGTCATTAGAGGTACTGGCATTGGGGTTCTCGTCGTTGTCGTCGTCATTGTTGTTAACATCCAACGTAGACGCGGAGGCGCTGTCGTTAAAGTAAACAATCTTGCTCATCTCAGCCCCCGGGGCCCAGGCCGCAACATGGGTCGTTACGTCGTCGAAGCCCGGGTACGAGATAAAGACGGTCTGCGGAGCTTTGCAGTAGGCCAGTAGACGAGTGCGCAGACGGGCGCGCAGACGGGCGCGCAGACTAGCAAGCCGGGCGAGGGGGTTATATTTTTGTCGTCGTTTTCGTTTTTGCCGTGTTTGTTTCCCAGACCCATTTTGCTGCCCACTCTCTCCATCCTCATCCTCATCCTCATCATCTTCTGATAACGTACTCCCCCGTTTCCTCGCCAATCTCTCCCCCGCAACCTCCAACTGCCTCTCAATATCCTCCAACACCCGCCTCGGATACAACGCCTTCCCCGCCTCATACGCATCCAACGTAGAATCCATCACAAACCTCTTCCGGTCCCTCACCTCCTCCTCCGACATCTGTTCCACCGGCCTCGTAATCGGCACCACATCAATCCACGGCAGCTTCTTGTACACCCTCCGAATCGGCGTAATAGCCAGCAGCCGACGGATGTCGATGCGCGACAGGCCCGAGAGATCGGGCACACCGTCCTCGTCGTATGTTACTGCGTCGTCGTCGTCGAGGACGTAGCCGACGAAGGCGCCTTCGTGGTAGCGATCGCCGCGCGGGATGCGCGGGGTCCAGAGTCGCCACCAGAGTGAGGAATAGGGGATCCAGCGGTATTCCATGTCGCCGAGGATCTCGGCGACGAAGTCGATTGGGGATTTCATCTTGGCTTGGCGTGTATCCTGTATGTGACTGAGAATGGTGGTGTTGAAGGGCCCGTCGGAAGTAAGTCAACTCCTCACTTTTCGTCCCGAGACCACGAGCGATGAAATGATGAGAAGCGCGGGATGCGCAGCGCGCAGTGCGCTAGCTAGCGTGTGGCTGTATGTATTTATGGCCGCTGCTGCAAATCCGATGAAGTACAACATAAAAAAGAAAAGGCGGCCTTTCGCACCGCAGGCAGCGATTGAAATGAGCTTGCCTGACTCCGACCGTCAATTCAAGAGTGACAAGCGTGAGACCCGGCGCGGCCCCAACTCGGCGCAAAACGAGGCAAAAGTGACTCAAGCCCACTCAAGTCATGGGATCGAGCAGCCTTTTAGGCATGCGCACTCGCGCAGTACCGACCGCCCACGCTGATCGGATATGCAGCCACTCGGTGCAGCCACTCGGTGCAGCCGCCTGTCTTGTCTTGCCCTGTCTCCCTTGTCTCGCTTGCAGCACAGCGTGCAGCTGCGACAGTCAGCGAGCGCGGGATTACCAGCCCAATCGGGCGCCTGGGACTGCGGGTGTGTGTGTCAGTTGTCTGCCAAATCGCAAGGCACACCAGGGCCTGGAAAAAGGGGGTTGCAACGTGGCGACGGTTTGTATGTTTGGCCTGTGGCCGGGAGGCCACCAGCCCCTTCCTAACTTTATTGGTTGTGGACGGTGTGGGAAGGGGCAATGAGGAAGCGATTCTCAATGCAGTGTCAGGGTTGGAACCCTAACCCTGGCCAGCCGGGAATAGCTTCACGTTAACAACCTTCGATGGAACTAGGAACTTTACCGACTGCCAATGCTTAGACTCTTGGGTAAATCATGTCCCTTAGTCCTCTCAATGTCAGTACACCTATTTAAGGCATCATTCCGAAGGCCGCGCACCACCATATCTTCCTCAAGAACGTTGAGGGCTGTTCTCCTAGGGTAGCACAGCAATTCAAAGCAGGGGTGTAACACACGCGGAAACGCTGCCGACGAGGACAAACATGGTAACATTGGCCCGGGCCGAGTTGGGTACGTACCCGGACGGCTGCTTTGAAGTGCCAATGAGTTGAGACGTTGTATTGAGTCGTTAATCATAGATTCCACATGCCTCGAGTCTATGCCCACGTCCCCTCCTGACCCTCCAGCGGTATCATGGTGATAACCCATTTCCCAGATACAAACAGCCCCTACTCCTGCTTCCTCAACTTCTTCGACCCATCCGTCCCATGCAACCAATCCATCCACCCATACGCCCCAAAATGCACCGTGAACTTCTCATGGTGCGCATCATGCGTCCTTGCAAGGCCCGCCCAGAAATCATACCCACTATGCACCGCCGCAGTCTCAACCAGCATCACCCCAAGCACCAGCCACATAGTAACAATATGCGTCCCCAGCAGCGCCGGCGGAAGCACAATCGGCAGGGTGTTGGCCAGCAGCTGCTCGATCGGGTGGGCGTACTGCGCGGCCAGCGCCACGGGAGCCGTGAACTCGTGGTGCTTCTTGTGGATGCGCTTGTATAGCGCGCGTGTGTGGAGCATCCGGTGCGCGTAGTAGAAGAGGATCTCGCGCAGGACGAGGCAGAAGAAGAAATCGCGCGCGAGTTCCGCCGCCGACGGGAGGGTACGCGACATCTGGAAGGGGGAGGGCCGGTCCCAGGCGGCTGAGACGGCCGATAGGAGGAGGGAGGTTGCGATCGACTGGGCTTGGTTGAAGAGCACCACGCGGAGGCAGTGCAAGATCTCCTTGGTTGTGGGTTGTTTGGGTGCGGGCTGGATCTTGTGCCGTTCTGAGAAGGCGGGAAAGGCATAGTCGAGGCCGGTGAGGGAGAGCGCGGGGACCCAGAAGAAGAGAAACTGCACACCGAGTGTACCCCAGAACTCGATCTGCCGCGGCGTGTAGGTGTCATTTGCCCAGTTCCACGCCGAGGCGAGGGCGTTATTGACGGTGTCCATGGTGCTAGGGTCTATCGAAAGCTTGACGTCTTGAGCAACAAGCGAGGCTTTATGGGTATGTACGTTGGTAACAGAAAAGCGATTGCGCGAGAAGTGATACCCCAAAGTTTTCTAACGTCCCTACAGTTCTTTCGAGAGGTTTTAATGCGTCTTCACCCGTTGTATGGGGTATGTGGACCTCAACCTCGGCATCGGATCCGTTCCGCCACGTTTGGAAGTGTTCACTAGCCCGTTCGGGTGAAATGTGAGCGTTTCATGTCAGTTCATTGGGTGGGTTGTCCGAAATCTGGGGCAAACCCGGGGTTAGCGGACCCCAGAAAACCAAAACTGGGGATCGTGGCAAGCGGAGCTTTTCCGACGATATTTCTCCTCAACTTCCAAGCTAACGTTGAGCCAAGACTATCATGTGAATTTCCCGGAGTGAATTGCCCGGGATGGGCAACCTCAGGGAGTTGAGAGAACCCAAAGCATGAACGACGAATGCACGTTCTGTTATTGATCGGCGATAAAACGGACAATTCTCTTGGAACGCTCGCCATACGACATCCCGAAAAATAGTAAAACGTCATTTCGATCAGAGAGGGAGTCAAGCGAACTTTTGCGAACATGAGATTGGTAGAAACCCACGTTGTGGTACATACATCAGACGGAAAAATGAAAAAGTACTTGATCGCCCAACGGCTGGATGATGGTAGGATCATGGATATTCACAAGTAGCAACCTTGACGCCAAAATGACCTAGGCCCCTTGAGGGTTTACGACAGGTTCAGCAAAAAGAGTCAATGCGATGTGATATGATTGACGCACCAATACTTCCCCTCATGGGTTAAATTGAGTCGCCGCTTCCAGAACAACATCTGACATGAACACAAGGAAGGTACTTTGTAACAGACGAAAACAGCCGTCTTCATCCACAACAAGAGCACGACATCCCTTGCCCTTAACTGCTCCAGAATGATCCAAGGTGCGACCAAGTTAAACGAACTCTTAGGAATCAAGTTCGATTGTCCAATTCTCGACACAAACGAACTCCGAGGAATCAAGATTTCCCAACTCTCGACAAGAGTCCGCCCCGTTTCGAACCTCACATTAATTCCCGACGGCTCCCGACTCTCCGAGACTTGTCCGGATAAACATCCTAGTCTCTCGTATCTTGGAGCATCAAGCTCCTCGGATCTACGACGACGCTGAGTGCAAGGCCACATCCAAAACTACGCAACACCATGACAAGAATCGACACGGCCCATGCCCTCGAATCCCCAAGTATAGCCCAAAATCCACTCCCGCCCCACAACTCTCCGAGCGGCCCCCAACTACAAGCCGAGGACGGACCCCGTGTCCCTCTTATTTACCAGCATTACATGTCAGCAATCATTGAGGCACTTCAAGGGGCGCTAGGATTGCTCATTGCGGCGGCGTTGCTGCTCGCGCTTGTCGTGGGTCCGGGGGCATGCTTTGGATTCGTTAGCTGGCCGCTGTCCATGCCTCTTCTACTAGGAGTCCCATGGAGATTCTTTTGGTACTCTCTGTTACCAGCCATCTGCAACGCATTATGGCGCTGGTTTTGGATTTTGTCGGCACAGGCGCTAGTCGCCGTGATGCTGCTCATCTATGTGGTCCTTGGCGTTCTGGTCTTATGCGGTTTGTTTAGCAAAGTGTGGATGTAGGGCTGGTGAAAAAGTGAGGAAGGGGCCGGGCTGGGCCGTTTGGGCGAGTGTCCGGGCATAGGTGATGCTGAACTCACCCTTGATGGGCAGAGGGACGGGATAGGCGTATGGGCACAACGGATCATGGATGTGTAATTGTTTACGGCGTTAGCTCCGGTTGAGAATACTTGACTCTTTCTCTCGGCTACGGCTATGACAGTGGGTAGGACTTGTGAACGACGAGCGGCAAGGGGACATCAAGCTTTAGTAATCATGCTAGGTACTAGTACCGAACGGGGAATCAACACCACACCCCAGGTCGTCTTGAATCAAATAAAATCGTTAACATATGTTCACATTGTCTGTTTTCTGCTGGGCATATGGGCTGTAGGTGAACAGATGGCGGACCAGGTCGGGGATATGAGGTAGCGGCATCGTATGGGATGCCACAGCATGGAGGTGACGGTTCTTCGTAGCCAGGTGGTGTTAGAAGTAAGTTGTGTCCTTTAAAAGGTTTAATTGGATTTACCGAACCTGTCGAGCCGTCGCGATAGTCACCAGAGCAAGAACGGGATAATATTTTTGCCGTGGATAACGGACAACCGTTTCCATTCCCAGACGAAGGGCGCAACTCGTTTCAATGAGAATATCCCAAGTCCATCACATACCGAATGACTCCCCATGAAAACGCACTGCTGCCTCAGCCCAACATCCATCCCATCGCCGACCTCATTCCCAAATCTCGTTCCTTCCCTCCCTCATCCGGCCACCCACCTCAACCCCCCTTATAACCCCCCAATTCCACGCCTTCCCCCGCAGCATCCGACCAATTTGCGCCAAAGATGGGAATCGAATGGCGTAGTTGGAAGGGTATTGCACCCGCAAGGCCGGGCACGTCTCCTCGCGCAACGCTGGCAACAGAGGTTGCGTCGGTTCGAGCCCCCGGTCGGGCACCGTAAAAAGGACTTTCTGAGTCGACGGGCGAAGGGAGGGAATTTTCGTAGCTGGCTGTTTCGGCAGTTGGTGAGCTTTTTGACTTTTTAAATTCATCAATGAGCGATGCTTTCCTTGTTTGGTTTTCATTTTACCCAACAACAGTAAACGTCCATGAAAAACGCTTCTCACTGAGGCACATTGATTATTATATCGCAAGGGGAAACACACGACGGCCAGCCCAACAGCACATTTGGTGTTCTTCATGGTCAAATCACATCACAGCGGAAAGGAGCGAGTATATCAAATTGTATCCCATTGATTCTTAGAACCTTCCTCCCAATTGGCTTATTGTAAAGCCTAATACCATGCAGTAGTAAACAACCAACGATATGTTTCAGCCAGAATATAATGCGTTGTCCGGTCCTCGTCTGGTACTCCCTCGCCCAGCGAGAGTGCACGACGAAGACCTCAACCGCCATGCCAAATGCCATACCAATTGCCGTCTTGTTCCTGACCTCTGAAATACTGTGGCCCAAGCCAAGGTGAAATCTATTTGCCAACCATAACCGGACAGTAAGGCCGTGATAAGAGAGCGTGAGGAAACTCCACATCACCTTATCGTGACCGTGACGTTAACGTCCAAAGAAGAATGTATCGTCTACCAACGACGTAAGCCAGAGATATCTAGCCCATTGCATGACATCAGTGTCAGGAATGTGTCGTGTCGGTAAAGGAAAAAAAGCCAAGTTGGTATCGTGCGCAAACGAAACAAAACAAATGACCTTGAGGGAATGAAAATACGCCGAATGCAAGAAAGATGCCCATCCGTCCGTGTGCACCCATGGTATGAAAACCGGGGAGTAAAAATAAGCGAATTCCCCCGCAATGCAAAAGGTATCGATGATAATGATGATGGGACAATGCAATTACGAGCGCATGGCCGAGCCGTTAAGCGACAATGCACCGGTATGCGAAAAAAGAAAGGAGGCGCGGAGAGGTGACGGGATGCGATGCGGAAATGCTGGTATCGACGGTGATGGTGCGATTAACGGAATGGGCTGATCCGGAACCATGCTCGGAAGCGGGATGTGAAACGGAAGCAAGCGGTGAGGAAATGTCGGCGCGCAGCCACCACAAAAGTCCCGGATGACCGAGATGATGCACATTGCATCCGAATGCTGGCGAATTGTATGCCGCTCACAACTCGGCATCGGCGCCGTAATGTTCATTGGTGGTGGTGGCTGACCTCAGCCTCAGCGCAGCCCTCGGTCGGTGGGTGGGAGATATCGGTGGCGAGTGTAACGTGTGAAGTCCTCCTGATACGCCGGGTAAGGAGGGTACGTGATGCCCAGGGAAATGCCATGTTGGCCTCACTGTCGCGTATTCGTCGCCTTCTTGCTGCGATGGCAATCGTGTTGGTGGTTATGTTGTTGTTGTTGACGTTGTTGTTCATGATGTTGCGGCTGGTGGTGGTCGTGGCTGTCGGCGCGGGACCGTTCGCGTTGACGGCCCCTTGTTTCTTCTTCGTCCATGGCTGAACTGAGCATGCGCCTGTCCTCCTCATACCACGCGCACAATGGCTTCCCACCAAACATCAAATCGTCGTCATCAATGACGGTGGCCATCATCCAAGGTTGGTTGTTGAGGTCGATCTCATCGGCGGCTGAATCGGGAATGTAGAGATTGTGCACGACCATGCGAGGCTGTGGTGTGTGGTTTGGCGATGAACTTTCTGATGAAGACATGTTGGCTAGATGCAAGCGTGCCGATGTAGATTGTTGTATTGTTCTGCGTCGTTGTTCGTTCCTTTGTCGGCAATGGAAATCCGAGGGAGGTCAAGTTGAGTGAGATTGTGGAAGCAGACGGTGTGACGGAAGAAACAGAGCCTCTTTTTGTTTGTGGGAAATGATCGGGGGACCTGAGAATAAAAAGGCACAAGCCAGCTGTTTTCGGTGAGTGGATGCAATTCCTTGTCGTGGCTTCGCAGCACCGTCTGGCCAGTAACCGAGACCCAAGTCAGCAAGGGCTTGCTTGGCCAGCGCGCAATGCAGCGGTCAGGGGTCGATGATCTGGGGCGAAAATGAACAACACGTTGGTCGGGCGTTGTCGTGGTCAGGCATACGCTTCGCGGGGAATCAGGAGCCACGGAAGCTGCGTCGAATATATAGCAAAGTGCTCAGTCGTTGGGCGGCCTAGCCGAGGATTGTCGCTGGTTTCTTGTTGATCCCGTCTAAGTGAGGGAGTGTGACTGGATGGGCTGGAAGCGCGGGGTTTGCGAGAGGGGTGCGCCGGAAATGCCGTTTTTGATGTGGCGGGAAAACGGAGGGTGTCGGGTGTCGGGTGTGTGGGGGGCGTATAAGCAGTGGCTCGATGAGATGGATGCTGGAGCAAGAACGGCGTGAATTCGGCGCAGGTCTGCCTGTAAAGCGTCGGACCAGAACGAAGTAATTAGCGAAGGGCGTGTAGACGACAAATGCGAGTCGGTCTGCGAAATCTGGGGACGGCGGGGAGTTATTATTGAAACAAAGGACGGTTTGCTCCTGCTTTCGAGGTGCCCGTGTGGGGGGCAACGACTGTCGAGGCATTTGCTCGTGATTGCGCGAATTGGGGGCGTGGGGGGCAAAATTGCCGGATGTGATGGGCGCGCTGATGACCTGCTGGAAACGTCAGGTGCTTTGCGAGGCGAACGGGGCGCGCAGTTAGGCTTGGCGAAAATAAATACAGAGCACACGACTGGCGGCGACTGGCCACCTCATGCCATGAATGGTCACTTCATGCCATGAATGGTCACACTTTCTCAGCACCTCAGGTTCCATGTGTTCACAGTGGCCGTCATGCGGCTTGCGTTTCTAGACGGGTGCGTCTTTCTTTAACCCACTTTTAGTTGTTACGGGCCCTCGGGGCCTTGCTTTGTAGAAGGATACAGAGTCTTAATTCGCCGGCGCACCCTTACAGCATTTTGTTGGTTCTGATCCGAGAGAACTGGTCATCTTGTCGCCACATGGTGTTGATGCGGCGTCACGAAAGAGCCCTTTTCGATACCTCATATTTCGGAAGATCCGCGGCCAAAAGAACCCGTCTGATTTTGTCGCCGATATCACGATCCGGGGAATAACTTGAGGCGAGGATGTTCCCGGTCGTTGTCTCGTTCAATATGACGCAACCAGGGATCGGATTACCGGTTTCGGCGCGGGGTGACCTTGACTTGGTCTTGCGAGCACTCTCACGGACCAAGTCCCTCCAAATCCGCCAAAACGAGGAGAACGATGTCCCGACCTTGGCGTCGCACAGTATCGAGTGTACACTTACTCGCAGATGACCGACAGAAAGTGAGACACCTCTCGTCATTCCCGAGTCTCCCTAGCAACCAACGGAGGCGGATTTTTCGACACAACACCCGCCTTCAGCTATCTTGAAACAACGAGGATCTTTATTGAGTTAACTCTCGCTCCAGCACCTGAACCGCCAGTGTCAAGTGTCAAATAATCCCAAGCCAGTTGACTGGACCCAGCAGTCTGGAACTGCTGCCAGCCATCGATGCGCTCGTGCGTTGGCACCGGCCCGATTTGTTGTTGTCGATGATGTGCTCAGCTGCGGCTCTTTTCCGAGCCACTTGCCACCATGGTCGGGCAGCGATCCTTTCATCCTTCCGCAACGCCCCTTTCAGCTCCGTTTTCTTGCCGTTTGGTAACCCCCTCGTTGCTGAGGGACTACACTAGTAGGGGTTCATCCATCTGTAGCTTCGGCGCTTGACAGTCTTCAAAACGGGCCAGATAGGGCTGAGCCCCCCACGCGCTTAGCGCTAAACTCAGCTCACAAACGCCTTAAGCCACATGGCAGGGGGAACGGAGATGCAAGACAAGCCAAGCGGTCCTGCCCCACGATCTCGCAAATGAGCGAGACCACACGGAGGAGCACTTTCGGGTTGTCCGTGGGCGACGCGACGGGGACGGGGCGCGAAAGTCCTCGGTCGACGCAAATGTCGGAAGCGCAAATGCATTAAGTACGTCCGTACCACCGCTGAGACAAAGTAGGGAGTGTAGTGTAGTGTAGTCACGCCCGCGGGGAACCTTGGAGGCAAACTGCCTTTTTGAGCAGACCAGGTGGCCCGGCATTGCGACCGCATTCCGCGCATGAACCGGATCCTCCCGATTGCATTTTCGGCCATGGCCTCCTAAAAGCAGCCAGCCGGTTTGTCCCCCTCGGAGTGTAATTATACCAATGGTACCGCTTTATTAATTTCAACCCGCGATGCCATTTATGGACGTGGTCGAAGCGATCCGGGGAATTTTGAGGTCGGATCAAAAATCCAAAAATAACTTCACAATGTGATCCAAGTTCGGTCTGGAACTTTACGGATGCACACAAGTAACGTTAATGTCCGCAATGTTGACAAGCGAAATTGAGTCGCAACAGCGAAAAAGTGCGGGGACAAGGAAACCCGGGCGGAAAACAAGGGACCCCACCAGGGTCGCGTTTTAAACTGCGTCAAGAGCCCCTCAAAATCTCCTAAGCCCATACGGAGTACTGTGTATGCGCAGCAGCTCAGGGAACGACGGATTCCCGTGAGGGAATTAACATCGCATAGTTTGGAACGGCGGTGATCTCTGACATCAGTGTCTTTATCCAACCTTTTTCCAGTTTGAGTTTACATGTAATTATTAGCCCAGTCTGGAGGAAACGGCCACATGCCCTGCTGGAGGACCCCGAGGACCGAGAGCTGACGTCACATCCCAGTTGTGACAACTCTTCGTCTTGCCTCCTGACCTTACCGTTAAGACTGTGTAGGCGATGATGCCGAGAGCCAAAGGCCAAAAGGCGGTAAACCACGGTACTAGTGTAGTGTAGGGAACCATTCCTGTTTTTAGTTGCTGTTCCCCGCGTAGCCGAGCAAGCTAAGACAGGATAAAGGTTTGCATGTGAACGAATTATTGAGATTTGAGACTTAGAATTGCAGATCCGCTTATCAACACCAAATCCTGACTTTGCTGCCCGCTTTCAAGACCCAAATAAAAAGAGTCGCTGATTGTATTCAAACAAGAGAAAAACATTGTACACATACACCTTTATCCATGAGCCACCTCTTCACTGGGACATCATGTCCCCGCCCAAAACCGTGAATATCCAAGTGTAGATTCCATCCAAACCATCGGCTTGCGAACAAGGAAAGCCCTTGTACCCAATCTCCCAAACGCCAACCCGACATACCCTTTCTAACGACGACGCACCGTTCCCATTTTATAACCATTCCCATGCCTCTGCAACCTCACCTTTCCATATTAGTCTCATATACCCTAGTCTTCTCTTGTTATCATTCTCTTCTCAATCCCAATCCTTCTTTACCCGCCACGCATCCTCGAATTTCAGCCCGCCCTTCTTGATAAGCTCGCAGTCACGATGGCCCCATTTGCGGCGGTACATCTCGCGTCCGGTCTCGGTCATAACCTCGATGCCCTCAGCAAGGCCGGCCGCGTTGTAGTAAAATGGTTCGCCCTCGCCGCCGTGCTGGCCGAGTTGCCAGGTGTTGCGCTCGCGGTCGCCGTGTTTGTGTTCTGTGCATGGGGTGATCGTTGATTAGCACAATCTTGAGGCTGACTATTGGACCGTGGGAAGAGGGTGAAGGTGGTACTGAAACTTACGAAACATTCTGTCCGCTGTCTTCCGCAAAGCGTTCCATTTAGCGAGGTTCGGGTCCTCGTCTCGCTTCGCCCGCTGCTTTGACTTTCCCCCTTCTTCCTTCGGCGGAGGAGGGTTTGGGTCGACAAAGTTGGGTTCGACTCCGTCGACACGGTACAAAGCACTGAGATCGCCCAAGGCCGAGGCCACATCAGTGATAATCCCCGCTTTCGCGTCCTCGATCGTCCATCCGCGCATGGTCAGGCGAGAATGCATATCACAATCAGTCATGTAATAAGGGATCAAGGTATCCCATCCACCCACATCCTCATATGCCTTCGGGTTCACCAGCGTCAAGTGGTCGTAGGAAAAGAACCGCAGGCCCCATTTATGGCCCTTTTCCTGTGTTGTTTGCAGCGCCGTTAACGCCAGTTCGTACAGCGACTTATACCCCGGCGCATCGTATCGCGGTGTCAGCCCGGCGCGCCCGTCCTCGTACGCCAGCGCCAATACGTCCATGTGACTCCAGAAAAAGTATGGCCAGTCGTGGGCGTAGGTAAGGGAGAGGAAGAAGTTTTGCATTTGCGCGAAGCTGAGCAAGGTCGGGGTTTGGATGATGTTAACGCCGAGCGCATGGAGCGCGGTGTGGTTCAGGAAGAACGGATTTTGGAGCGAGAGCTGCCCGCGTGCATTGGCTTGTTGCACCCCGGTGTTTTCAATAACGTAGATTTGGGACGCCGGCCAGCCAGCCGTGATGTAGCTGACCACAGCCTGTTGAAGGACGGGCCAGGTCCGGGTGAAGCCGATGAAGAGCGGGGGAGCGGCGGGGAGATTGTAAGTCTTGTGCGCATCCTGCCGCGGTTGGTTCCATTTAGGAATCGGGGGTGGGGAGGAGGTAGCCAGAAGTGGGAAGTTGTCCTTAATGGGCGGCGGGAGGTAGTCTGGCTCCGGTTTGTATTTCGGTTTTGGTGGCGGCGCTGGTTCGTCTGGGATCTCTGGGTTCGGTTTCTGTTTAACGAGGTCACGGAGGGTGACACGGGAAGAAGGGAGCGCGATGGCGAAGATGAGAAGACCGGCCAAAGCGACGATGGCCAAGTTGATGAGCACGCGGCGGTTTGGCAATGCCCCCATCATCACAACTGGGCGATGGCCGCGTGCGAGGACGCAGCGCCGGGAGAACAGAGAGTCGAGTTCGGATCGATCCTTGGCGGCCGCTGCCCGAACCGTCGAGAGGAAAGCGTCGGTGTTAAGAGATATTAGCACTTGTCAAGTGCGACACAATACATGGAAACAGTGTGAGTTCTCAAGAGTGAAAACTGCTTGAAGAAAGAAGGGAAAGGGTGAAAACATCCTGAAATCAGAGAAATTAGCTCAGACAAGGGGCTTGCATTCCCACTGCTGCGGCCATCCGCCGTCTGGCTGGGGCCTGGCTCGCCTGCAGTGTGGTTATGTCACTTCACAGTCAGACGGGACCTTAGCACCTCCTCCATGGGGGTGCATTATAAGTTCTATGACCCGGGAAATCGGCACCCTGGGTTCCACATCAGGTATATCGTATTTCGTAAGGCACCAACTGTCAAGCGGCAAGGCCGCTGTTGAGGAGGTAACTAATCGAAATTTACACAACCTCGGACATGAAGGAGAGGGATTTAACGGCGGCTTCTTGAAGCCCATAACTGATCCTGTCGAGTCGTCGACCGTCAAGAGTCAAGACCCAAGTTACTCAACCCTCCGGCGTCAGTTCTTTTTCAAGCCTTGACTTCTTTCGTCTTCTCCCCGCTCAATTGGGGGCCGCGTGCCAACAAACCGAGGAGACCGAAGCGGCAGGAGCCCAAACCGGAAACAAAAGTCCGGGCACATTGTAAGGAAAGAGCCATGATGGCTGACCCGACCTGACGTTCCTGGCGTCCGCTAACAAGCGACATCGTGATTCTAGATGTAAGTGGAGCTCTGAGAGCATGTTTCCAGGGGGTTGTGTGGTCGCTTGGCGAGGATGGTCAGAACTGTTTTTTGGAAGGCAGCCGTTTTACGAGCACCTCCGCAGGGGAAAGAGCATTGGGAGGTCCTTCTCATAAAAATACCGTGCCTGCATTTACCTCTCTTGGTCAACACACGGGCAGCACCGAAGACGTCGGCGGACAGCCATAAGTATAAGTTAGTCTACACATATCCCAGCGAGGAATGTTGGTCGATGTTGGACGTTTGAATGCAGTTTTTTATGGAAGTTGTCGCTGACTAAGGTGTTGGGTGGTGGAGGCTCGGCATTAAGATCGCTCCAACCACCGGAGACTCTCCGGAAGAAAAAAAAGCTTGTCAATGCAAGACCCCAACCATGTGGGGGAGCAAATTGGCACGTTTAACGACCGGAATGTGAAATGTTTACTTTCGAAACGCGAATCCTTCAAAGACACGTCAAATAGGAGCGAAACGTAGGCGCATACGCACACGGCAAAAATCCTGGAGAAACATACGAAAGCACAGCCATCAACAAACGATGCGGTGACGCGTCGACCCCTTCCAGGGACAGTTTCAATTGGCTCTAGGTTCGGTAAGCTGCCGTGGCCTCCTGTGCAGAGCCCAGGGGGTTCGCACTCGATCCAGCCAAGCCTTTGGCTCGAATATCCGAAGGTGTTCCTTCCGATGCCTCTCGGTTAATAGGAAACCCGAGCTTTCGGACGAGCCGCGCGACTTGTCGGGCGTGACGGGTGAGTCAAATTCCCGGAAAGGATCCCCAGGACATTCCTACGCAGGACACGGTAGGACCGAACGCAGTCCTTGAAGGAACTAATCCCCACGGTTGGGTTCATTGTCGCTTCCACCGGCAATTGCTGTACACGTGTAGGATGCGGAGCTCGGTGCGCCCACTACACCGACGTTGACGGTAAATGGAAACGATATATGAATGTGCTTGATGCCGCCTCCAACCATCGCGATGCTAAACACCACCACTACTAATTTAACCAAAGATACCCGCCATACACCCAACATACTTAATCTCCATTTGTGCGTCCTACGGCCTCAGCCTTTTCAATCTTTTGTCAAGTAGCGCTCCTCAACATGTCAACAACACCATCACCGCGACCTCTCCGGGTGCTTATCTCGGGCGGAGGAGTCGCCGGTCCCGCCGTGGCCTTGGAACTGAGCCGCCTTCCACCACCACTGCGATGCGAGATCACCATCGTCGAGCGGCACCCAGACCTGCGCGCGTCAGGCCAGCAAATTGACCTCCGCGGCCAAGGCGTGGTAGCGATGCGGCGACTGGGCATCGAGTCACAGGTACGCGAAGTTCGCGTCGAAGAGCCCGGCCTCCGCATCCTCAACGCCCGGGGCAAGCTCCAAGCCTACTTTGGCAGCAACAAGACCGGCCAGGGCGCCCAGGGGTTTTCGGCCGAGTGGGAGATTATGCGGGGTTCCCTGGTGCGCGTGCTGTACGACGAGACTAAGGACCTCCCCGGCATCACCTACCGCTTCGGTACCACCGTCTCCTCCTTTGAGCACATCCGCGACGGCACCGCCGTACGTGCGCGCCTGTCGGACGGCACTGAGGCCGAGTACGACCTTATGATCGGCTGCGACGGGTTGGGTTCGCGCACCCGGCGCAACATGTTCACCGACGGCCGTGAAGACATCGTCAAATCCGTCGGTGTAGCCTGCGCCTTCTACACCATCCCACCACGGGACGAAGACACCCCCAACGCCGTGCTCTGCCAGTTCCCCGGACGCCGGTACATCATGACGCGCCGCGACCAACCTGGTTGCCTGCGGGCGTACCTAGGCTTCCGCAACCCCGATGAGCGGCTATCGCAAACCATCAAGCACGGCACGGTGGAGGAGCAGAAGAAGGCGTGGGCGGAGGCGTTCAAGCACGACCTCTCCAACGAGTGGGGGGTCAAGCGGTCCCTCGATGGCCTGTTCACGCCGGAAGCCGACGACTTTTATACGCAAGACTTCGCCCAGGTCAAACTTGATAACTGGACCGAAGGGCGCGTCACACTTGTCGGCGATGCTGGGTACTGTCCGTCCCCGATGACAGGACAGGGCACCTCGCTCGCACTTATCGGTGCTTGCGTGCTCGCGGGGGAGATCGCACGCGCATGCAGCGCCGAACTCACCAGCCAGAGCTCAGACAGTCAAGCTACTAACAACGAAACCAATGACCCCTGGTCAGGAGGCATACCCCGTGCGCTGGCGGGTTACGAGAAGACGCTCCGCCCGATGGTTGATATCGTCCACAGCGAGAACATCCAGAGGGGCATCAAGATCCTCATGCCCGAGACGGCGTGGGCGATCAAGCTGATCCACTGGACGATGTGGTTGGTGTCGACGCTGCGGATTGATCAGATCGCCTCGCGGTTTGCGTCGGACGATCGGGGCTCGTGGAAGTTGCCAGAGTATCCGGAGTTGGTGAAGCCTAAGGTTTCGGAGTAGGGCTGGGAGGCGGGATAATTAGACGGACGGATTAATTTCTGCTTGGGAGAGACGGCTCGGAGGAAGCTTATTAATGACTCGGCATCTGCTGCTGTATAACCACTTTTGTACTACACCTCAACTCCAATGATACCACGCCACATAGCGGCACTGTTTTGTTTTGATTTGGTACCATTGTTCTTTCAAGCGATTCTTTTTTAGGCGATATTAATTCATTTTCCACACACATGAAGTACACGGGAGTTTGCAGCGTTTGACAACCCCCCGTATCACACCCTTCCCAGATACATCATCCCATTACCTACCCTCCTACCGCCATGATATCCCCTCCCAACCGGCATCGGCGCCATCCCCGCAACCCCATGCATCGCGCCTGCGGGGCCCGCTGTCCTTCGTCTGGGCGTAGTCACCGCGTTCCCAACCTCACCACTAAGCGTATTCACTGCCGCATTAGCCCTCTTCTCCGCCTGCTCATCCTGAAACACTGCCATGGCGCTCATCACCGCGACATGGGTGAACGCCTCGCCTAGCTCGCCGGACGCTCCGGCACCCCAGAACTGGAAGTACCACCATGCACGGTAGTCCCGCGAAGCAGTGTACGACGCCACGATTTCTTCGCCGTCGCGGGTATAGCCCAGGGGGCGGTTTTTGCCGGTAAATGATACAGGGGTCGCGGTGGCAGTGATAGCGGTGTTGGAGGTACGGGAAACGGGCCCGAGGCGGACGAGGACGGAGCCCGATGGGGCATAGACGAATTTCTCGTCGGGCATACGCTCGTCGCCGGTTTCAAGCACAGGGAGGGACTTCTTGCGGATGCCGCGAGTTTCTTGACAGTGTCTGGGGGCACGACGCCATTCGAAGGCTTCGAGGATGGTCGTTGTGGTAGAGGATGCGGTCGGGACGGGGATCTCGAACCGAAAGGTTACGGGCCGGCAGCGGGTGTGCTCCATGGGGATTTCAAGATCGGTGGTAGCCTCGGTGTCAGATGCGGCCTCAGGGGCTTCTTCGGTAGGTGCCTCTTCAATGGCCTCGTTGCCAGCCTGATCTTGACCTTGCTCAGCGTCCTCTTGGACCGTGCTGAGCTTCCGGTCATGAACTTTGATTGTAAATGTCGCTGCCTCGTCATCCACTGGCGAGAACGACTAGTATGGCCAGTTCTCAAACAGCGTTACTAGTGCCGGACTCTTGTCTCGCTTATGGGCGCTCTGGTGCAAAACTAGGCGTCGGGTATGCCACTCGATGTAGCGAAAGGGCTGGCTATGGTTGGCACCGTAGATCTTGAAGCCCTTAATCCCGGCGTGACGAACACCGAAGCGCATCGGGTAACCGTAGGGGCCTGGCTGGGCAAGAGGTGAGTGAATTGTTTGCCTCATGGTGGGCGAGAGAGATTGGGTTTGAGGTTGAAAATAAGGGGTTTTGTAGGCTCGGCGTTTTGAGTTGAATAGGATGGCTGTTCAACGGGAGAGAAGGAATTTTGTAAGAATACTTGGACTGGCTGAAGGTTCGCGATGGTGGAGAAAGCAGAAGATGTGAGATTTGCGGAAATTCTAGATGGAATGGAGGTATAAGGGGTCCCAAGGAGCCTACTTCCCGTTTTAGCAACACATAATGCATGACGAATGCGCTCTTTCCCCTTCTTAACTCGGTGCCCGATAATATCTCCCTTGGGTGGCTTATCGCTAGACTTGTATGGAGCTATCTTCCAGATGGATCCGAGGCAAAATTGGTGATTGATTCTCCTATTTGAGTGAAAATATAGACGACTAACTATGGGTCCAACTTTCTTCACAAATACGGAGCCCCTTGCTGGGAATGGAGTAATAGATCGGGGGCAAACTAGACCTGCTCTCTCTCAATCTTAGAAGACTTGTCAAAAATTTGTCATTACGTTGGGATAGGGTTTCAGTTCGGGGTAAAATACGAGGCTCGACTTTCCATCTGTGGCTATCGGAACTAAAGGTATTAGGCCGGCTTAGTGTCCCTCGGAAGTCTAAAACACATGTCATTAACTAGGCCTGCTCGCCTTTATTACCGCCCTCCTTCTCATCACCTTTGCTCTTGTCACCCGCGTTGTCGTCAGCTTTCTTCTCGCTCTGCTGGCTCTCCTTATCCTCCTGCTTATCCTTCTCCTCGCTGCTGTCAGCCTTCTTTTCCTTCTTCTTTCCCTCCTTTTCCTCTGTCTTTCCCTCCTTCTTTTCCTCCTTATCGTTACCCGCCTTGTTGTCGGGATCTTCCTTACCCTGCTTGCCCTCACTACTCTCCTGTTTCTTGCCCCCTTCTGGCTTCTTTTGCTCCTCCGCGTCCTTCTTCTTCTGCTCCTCCTGTTCCTTCTTCTTCTCCTCTTCCTCCCGCTTCTTCTTCTCTTCCTTTAATTTGTTCTTCTCCTCGGCTTCCTCCTGAGCCCAGTTATGCTGTTTCCCATCTCCCCGAGGCGTCTCATGCATACGGTCCGCTAGTTCACCCGTGGCTAGGCGGTTAAGGCTCTGGTCGATCTTGGCGCGGCCAATCAGGCTGATGAGGATAGCAATACCGACGACACCAGTCAACACAAAACGATACGTGGAATACCACGCCGGCGCCCAGCCTCGGACGGTGGCCTGTGAATCCACAAAATACAGCGCAGCAAACGCGCCAAATTGGACTGTCAGCGCCCACTCGAGCGGCAGAAAGGCTGAGGGCCATGCAACCGCCGGCGCGAGGGTACCAATGGTGTATCGGAGCCGCGTACGTTCTGGTAAGGGGGCTTTCTCCCCAAACTCGAGGCCCCAATGGATGGCGCCGAGGAAGGAGATAATCACGGCTCCATAGCCGATTTGGATCGGCTCGATGAGTTGCAGCCAGTAGGCTGCAGTTTCGTGACTGAAGAGGAAGGAGTTGAGGAAGCTTGACTGCGTGGGCCAGTCGACGTTGAGGTTCCAGGAAAGCAGAACGGTGGAGAGTGAGGTGGCTAGGTAGGGGAGTGTCCCAGCTAGGCCGAGAGTAAAGGCTTCGCGGGGCACCGTGGAGAGCGCGAAGGTGTCTTTTATGGCGTGCTAGCAAAGCGTCAGCTACGCGACTGATGTGACGTCGAAGAAAGTGAGTAGTGGGGCTTGGTTGGAGAGTCAAGCGCGTACAAGATCTTCCTTGAGGTCAGCTGTTACTTCCCGGTCTTTCGGCGGTGGTGCCTGGCTTTGCTCGAAGGCATGTCGAACAGAGGACTCCTCCGTAACTTCATCGGGCCGAGCTTTTAGTTTCTGCTGGCCGAGCTCTTTCTCGTGCTGCTTGTCAATAGTGGTTGGTTGGACCGGCGGTTTCGTGGACATTTGCGTGCGTAACGAGGACTGGAAAGGTCTGGAGACGGCGATTGTTGTCTGCTTCGATCTGATTAAAGGGCGAGATTGAGTCGAGAATGAGGGGGATGGCCACCCCGGCGCTCGGCCGGTCGCTGCGAGAGTCTGGGGACGGACGGCGGCCCGGGGCAGGCGTGCGACCCGGAGCGTTGCGGGGAACATTGTGCGTAGGGGACGGGGAATCGACGCTGAAGCTTAGAATTGACAGGCTATGTTGCGGATGGATAGACTTTAGGCCAAGGGCAGCTAATTGAGGAGGAGGAAGGAGGAACGGAGATTGAGCCTTCAACTAGGGAGTATGTCGGCGTGAAAGGAAGCTGTGGGCGACATGGGAGCTCGGCGGCGCCGTGATATACTTCGCAACGATCAATAGGATCGGAAAAAACGCCGGACACCTCCGCCTTTTCCATGGCTACCGGCTTGTGCAAGACCGGCAATGTAACCGCTCACAACCTTTTGATGCAAGACCTTACAGCACGACAGACAGGAACGAGGGCTGCTTGCAATATGTATGACGTCATGTTCGAACGCAGGCAACCCTGGAGACTGGCCAGGTACAAGGGTTGCCGTACGGGATTGTAAATACGGCGATGAATTTCAATATTGTGCAAGTTGCGCTGGGGTCGTAGAAGACAATTAGGGACGGCGTCTGAACTATATCGACCATAATTCCAGACACAAGATAAGATAAGCCTCACCGGGAATATCATGACCATTTTTGATTGTTCGCGACCTATCTTGCTCAAGCTAATGGGCCGAACTTGCGATTCATCTGGAATCGGAAACTTTACGACTGATACCACGCCCCTGAGACGGGCCCGCAGCGGGGTCGTGTAGTTGCAACTGTGCAGCGGCCCAAGCTTCGGCTTTTTGGTGGGCAGCAACGCAACTGGGCAGCCTCGGATGAAAGAGACGGGCCGTCGTCATCATCCCCAGCACTAACCACGCCACAACACCACCTGGCGCCGCGACGAGAGCCAGATAATTTTCCCTTGTCGCATTCCTCGTTTGAGCTTGACCCAATTCCTCACTGTCCAGCGTGTATCTTTTGCTCCCTTCCCGATTCTTGTTCCTTAGCTACCTGTTCCTAGGAATTGCGCGTTTGGTGGGTTTCCTCGTCGTTGGCCCCGCGTCTCTGCCCATTCCTGACACGTTGGTGTGTTGCACAGCTCCGTCATGACATAGATAAACCTTCAACACACGATACCTACGAACGAATAAAATACGAAAATCGGCGCCGACTTCATACTCCCCGATACGATACACACTCGTGCTTTCCCTTGCCCCCGCCCTCCGTTCGCCGATGACGACCCCACGATCTAGACGGTAGATACCCCATCCCACTCCCCTGCCCGGGTTACGGCACGCTGCCATCACCATGCTCGAAGGTCTCGTTGCGGGGCTTTTGAACCGCTTCCTGGGCATGTATGTGAAGAATTTCGACCCTACACAGCTCAAGGTCGGAATCTGGTCTGGCGACGTTAAGTTGCGTGACCTCGAGTTACGCCGGGAAGCTCTGGACCAGTTGAAGCTGCCCATCAATGTTGTCGAGGGCCATCTTGGTGCATTGACACTCGTTATCCCTTGGTCGAACTTGCGCGGTGCGCCGGTCAAGGTCTTTATCGAGGATGTCTTTTTGCTTGCATCGCCCAAGGAGGAAGCGGAATACGATGAGGAAGAGGAGGACCGTCGGAAGCAGCGGATCAAGATGGAGAAACTCGACTCGGCTGAACTGTTGAAAGAGAGGTCGCAGGAAGGTTTGAGCCAGGAAGAACAGAAGCGCACGCAAAGTTTCACCGAGAGTTTGGTTACGAAGATTGTCGACAATCTACAGGTCACCGTCAAAAATATCCATGTCCGTTACGAAGATGCCATTTCGGCACCAGGGCATCCATTTGCCCTCGGCGTCACCCTCGAAGAGTTCAGCGCTGTCAGCACCGATGGCGAATGGACCCCCACCTTCATTCAGGACTCGGCCGAGACGACCCACAAGCTGGCGACGCTGGAATCTTTAGCCGTGTACTGGAACACGGACACTAAGCTCCTGGGTCCAGGCCGTGAAGCTCACACACCAGGGACCGAAGAGACACCGCACGACGAGATCGTAGGAAACTTCAAGTCCATGATTGCAAGCAGCGAGAATGAAGTCGCCGGGAATCACCAGTTCATACTGAAGCCGGTTTCCGGGCAAGCCAAGATCGAGTTGGACAAGACGGGGAGTCCAAATGTGCCGAAGTTCAAAGCCAACCTGTTGTTCGACGAAATCGGTGTGGTGCTGGATGATCAACAGTACCGGGATGCCTTGATGATGGTTGACCTGTTTCACTACTTCATACGCCACCAGGAATACAAGAAGTACCAGCCCAAGGGTGTCACGCCGAAGGAGGATCCCAAAGCCTGGCTCAAGTTTGCTGGAGATGCTGTCCTGAGTAAGATCCACGAGAAAAACCGGCGGTGGTCGTGGGACTATTTCCGAGAACGCAGGGACGACAGGATCCGCTACATTGAGCTTTTCAAAAAGAGGAAACAAAACCAACAGTTGGACGCTCAGGAGACGGACGACTTGAACAAGCTAGAGTGGAAGCTTGGCTATGAGGACCTTCGCTTCTGGCGATCCTTGGCCCGCAACCAACTGAAGAAGGAAAACGCCGAGGCACTCAAGAACCGACCATCGTCCCAGCAACAAGATCAGCAACAACAGCAAGGTTGGATCGCTTGGGTTTGGGGCGCGAAGCCTCAGCAATCGGAGAAGCAGGATGAGACCGAGAACACGCAGATCACGGAGGAACAGCGCAAGGAACTCTACGAGGCCATCGATTGGGACGAGAAGACAGCCCTGGCCGCTGAGGTTGATGCGCCGCGGGACACCGTTAAGATGCAGATCGAGACATCTTTGAGCACGGGCAGCTTTACGCTGAAACAAAGCCCACATGGAGATTCACGGGATCTCATAAGTCTCCATTTCGACGTGTTCAAGGCCAAGGGGTGCAAACGGCCTGACTCCTTTTTGGTGGATCTCAGCCTGGGTGGGTTGCGTGTCAACGACGGCACGACTCCCAAGAGTCTTTACAAGGAGATTGTTCGTGTCAAAGATGCGCCTTCGCAACACGCCAATAAGCGACTTTCCATCGCCGAACTCGAGCAGGCTAGCGATCAGGCCTTCTTCCAGTTCCAACTTGAACAGAACCCTCTAGACGAGCAAGGCGATATCGCAGTGACCGCCAAGCTCAAGCCGCTGGAAATTGTTTGGAACCCGAACGTGGTGTTGGGGGTTGTGGACTTTTTCCGTCCCCCAGAACGTCACATGGAGTCCATCAGCGCACTCATGGAAACGGCTGGTGCTACAGTGGAGGGTCTCCGTGAGCAGACCAGGGCAGGGCTTCAATTCGCCCTGGAAGAGCACAAAACCGTCAACGCTAAACTGGATTTGCAAGCTCCCCTGATCATCATCCCCATGGCCATCACCAGTAAAAACTCATCCTGCTTGATCCTGGATGCCGGCCATATTAGCGTGACCAGCGAACTGGCCGACAAGGAAACCACTAAGAAGTTGGAATCGAAGGAGGCTAAGTCGTACACCGATGAGGACATCAAGCGGCTTGAGTCGCTCATGTACGACAAGTTTCTCGTCAAGCTAACGTCGACGCAAGTCTTGATCGGTCCGTCCATCGATGAGACAAAACAACAACTGGTTGATAGGGATGACGAGCGGAAATTGCACGTTGTCGACAAGATCAATGTGGACTTCGTGGTTGAAACATCAATCCTCCCTAAGGCTCCCAACCTCACCAAGTTCAAGATCTCTGGGCACATGCCAGTTCTCCAAGTCAGCGCGTCAGATGCCAAATATAAAACGCTTATGCGAATTATTGATGTCGCGATCCCCAAGTTTGGCGGGAATCAAGACTCTGCACCACACCACGACGGCCCCGCTCAGCGGCCTCGTCTCGAAAGCACTTCGTCCACTCGACCTCGGCGGAAGAGCGAAAGAAGGATGTCGACGCCGCTCCTCCCATTCGTTACGCAGCAACAGGCCATCATCATTGACGATGACGACCTTGATGACGACGATGACAAATTCGAGGATGCCAAGGATGGTTCGTCAGATGAGCAGCTTCGCATCCAACAGCGCATCTTTGAATTCAACTTCACAGTCGACAAGCTCAAGGGCTCGTTATACCGCAGCGACCCAAATCGGGGAGGCTTCGACCAGCTTCTCGTCGAGCTGGTGGCTGAGAATTTTGCGGTGGAGTACCACTTGAGACCCTTCGACATGGGTGCGGAGGTCTCCCTCGGATCAGTGACCGTCGACGACTTTGTGGAGAACCCGCCTGCCGAGTTTAAGTCCATCGTGTCTTCCGGCGATGTTGAAGACCGCCAACAGGCCAGGGATCTCGTGCATGTCAAGTTTGTTAGGGTCAAGAAGGAGTCGCCCGAGTTCATGTCTGTTTACGAGGGCGTGGAAACCAACGTTGATGTTGCCATATCTACGATCAACCTCGTCGTGACTCGCAAGACGCTACTTACTCTGCTAGACTTCATCCTGATTACCTTCACCAACAATCAATCAGCCGAAACCCCACGAGGGCGGGAGGAGGCCATCATGGACGCGGACTCGGAAACGGACGAGACCCCAGAGCCACCTTCACCACCACCGCCACAGCAAGAAGGCGGCGCCATCAGGGTAAAGGTCGACCTTAAGAGTATCCGATTGATCCTTAATAACGATGGCATTCGGCTCGCTACCTTGTCCTTCAACCACGCTGACGTGGGCGTCTTCCTGCTTGGTCGGTGCATGCGTGTGTCGACCAAAATCGGCGATCTGAGCTTGGTAGACGACGTTAACCTGGGTGTCTCGGCCGATTCGAGCTTGCGCCGGCTTGTTACCATTCAAGGGGACGAGCTGGCCGACTTCCGCTACGAGACCTTCGATTCGTCCAAGGAGGAGGGGTATCCCGGATATGACTCGTCTATCTTTTTGCGAGCCGGCTCTGTCAAGTTGAACTTTGTCGAGGAACCATTCCGCAAGATCGTTGACTTCCTCGTCAAATTCGGCAAGATGCAAGCCATTTACAACGCCGCTCGACAGGCTGCTGCCAACCAAGCCAACCAGCTGCAACAGAGTCAGAGCCGGATCAAGTTCGACGTCGTTGTCAAAACACCCATCGTCGTGTTCCCTCGCATGGTCGGGCCGGAGAGTCCCAAGCGAGATGTCATCACAGCATACCTCGGTGAAATCTACGCGCAGAACAAGTTTGCGCCGCTCGATGATTCGGAGAACTCGGAGATTGCGATGAAGTTGTCAGCGGGCATACGCAACATCAAGCTCACGTCGAATTTCTTCTACAGCGGGGATCGTGAAGAAGAGCTTGAGCTCATCGACCACGTTGATTTGGGTTTCCAGATCACGTATGCGGAGCACACGGACGGCGCGAAGAGACCTGACTTGGAGATAGAAGGGTCCATGACGGACTTCAATCTCCGCATCACGCCGTATCAGCTGAACTCCATTTTGGAGATTTCCCAATCCGTCCCGGCTGCGTTCGCGGGTGATACTGATCAACACACGGCTGACGCGGAAAGAGACGTTGGCGGTGCGACCCTGGAGCGTGCCAGGACCGTTCCTGGGTATGGTGGCACTGGCACGAACGAACAGCTCGTGGATATGGGCCCTGAACTCGGGACTCGCGGTGAGGCCTGGACAAAGCTGGACCTCAAGTTCGTCGTGAACGAAATCGGCTTGGAGTTGATCAATGCCCCAGAAGATGGCCCGGTCGGCGATCTTGATGCTGCGAGTCTGTCCAAGTTTAGCCTCAACACCAGCCGGCTCAAGACACGCATGGATTCCAATGGAAGTCTTGAAGCTGAGTTCGTCATCCAGGCCTTCACCATCTACGATACACGGCACCGCGAGACCAACAAGTTCCGCCGCATCATGACTAGCGGAAACTCTAGCGTTGAGCAGCTCATGGCCAGTGTCACCATGGCAGGCGGCAAGGAAAGAAATATCATCGCCATGGTCGCCATCGACAGTCCTCGCGTCATCTTTGCGCTCGATTATCTGTTTGCTCTTCAGAAGTTTATCACCATCGGGACGAAGAGTAACGAACCTGTGCTCCCCGAGAGTAGTCCGATCGAAAGCCCCGAGGACACAAGCGACGCGGACTCCATCCAGGCCAACCTTTCGGTGAGGCGATCAGAGAGCAGCACAGCCCGGTCGACGCCGCCAGCCTCGCAGCCACCCGGGACGAAGAACGATGGAAACAGGCCAAAGACGTCACTGGCGTATCGGGTGAACGTCGTTGATGCGCAGGTCATCCTGATCGCGAACCCCCTCAGCACGAGTTCTGAGGCCGTTGTCTTGGGGACGAAGCAGGTTATTTTGTCCCAGCACCACGCCCTCACCTTCCAAGTTTCGAAATGCGGCATGTTTTTGTGCCGGATGGATCGATTCGACGACTCCAGGCTGAGGATCATCGACGACTTCTCGCTCCAGCTCTCCGTGGATAACTCTCAGCCGGCTAGCACCAAAATCCACGCTGACATCGAGCCTCTTATTTTGCGCTTGTCGCTACGCGATATCTTGCTTGCGACGCAAACCATCACCAAAGCCTCGGAGCTTTCCGGGAGTAATCCTCCAGCGAACACGAACGCCGCGGTCAAGGCGTCGGACCAAAAGGCTAAGCAGCTCAAAGCATCTGGCCATAGGCCAAAACCCGGGGCTGGCAAGTCTTCCTCCGGCTTGGTTGCGAGAGTCCGTCGAGCAAGCAAGAGTGCAGGGAGTGTTTCGCAGAGACCGGGTAGCCCACAACCCCCACATGATGTGGTCAAGCCGCCTGCTCGACACGAGGAGCTCAGCGTCACAGTCGAAGGCGTGCGAGTCGTCCTCCTTGGCGATGTCCACGAGCTGCCCATACTCGACATGAGCGTCAAGAACTTTACGGCAAACGCGGAGAACTGGACGTCGAATCTCAAGGCGGAAACGGCACTGGAGATGTACGTCAACATCTACAACTTTGCCAAGTCCGCGTGGGAACCCATCGTCGAGCCGTGGCAAGTTGGGTTTGGAGTGGCACGCGACCAAAAGACGAGCGTACTGTCGGTCGATGTGTCGTCTAAGCGCAACTTTGACATAACCATCACGACGGCTAGCATTGCGCTACTGTCGCACTCGTTTGCTTTCTTCAGCGAGGCTCAAGACGTCCTGAGCAAGCCTCGAGGTGTCGAGGCGCCCTATCGCATCCGCAATTATACTGGGTTTGATGTCATGGTGCATGCAAAGAGACAGAGCAGTGCAGAGACGACCTCTTTGCGTCTGACGGATGGACAAGAGGTACCCTGGAGCTTCGAGGACTGGGAGAAGTTGCGAGAGAGTCTGACCCTGACCGAAGGGGCCAATGCCAGCAATGTGTCCGTTCAGCTCGACGGCAGCGGCTTCGACATGGTTAAAAACATTCGGCTGTCTCGCGAGGGCGAATTCCTCTACGCACTCAAGCCCAAGGCGGACGGTGTCCTGCACAAACTCCTGGTTGATGTCAAGCTGGGCCCCGACAATATCAAGTATGTGACGCTCCGCAGTCCCTTGCTTGTGGAGAACGACACCGATCTCCCTGTCGAGCTGGGCGTCTATGATTCTCAGGAGGGCCATCTCCTCAAGATTGAGAAGATTGCGCCGGGCGAGAGCAGGCCTGCACCGGTCGGGGCCGTGTATCTGAAGAGTCTGCTCGTGCGTCCGGATCCGGGCTTTGGGTATGGTTGGAGCACGGACACGTTGTGGTGGAGGGACTTGTTGCGACGGCCTACGAAGACGTTGGTCTGCAAGGGGGAGCACGGCGATCCATTTTACTTCCAGGTGTCTACGCGGTGGGATACTTCGAACCCGATGACCAGGTTTGTGGTTTTCTTTTCTTCTCTTCCTTCCGAGACAAGCCAGACAACTTACAATTCACAGGAACTACCCATACATGCGCTTGAAGATCTCCGCACCCGTCACGCTGGAGAACCTACTGCCGTACAACTTCAAGTACCGGATTTACGATAAGAACACGAAGAAGGACTGGTCCAACTTCCTGCGCAAGGGCGGCGTCAGCCCTGTTCATGTGGTTGAGCTATCTCATCTGCTGCTTCTCAGTGTCGACATGCAAGACACCCCCTTCAAGCCGAGCGAATTTGCCATCATCAACGCTGGATCGAACGACGACTTCAAGAAAGAAACAAATCTTGTGTGTCGCGATAACGCTAACATGTCTTTGAACTTGCGGCTGCACTACTTCCGCATTCCTAACAGTGGCGGTGCGTTCAAAGTCACAGTGTACAGCCCGTACGTCGTGCTCAACAAGACCGGGCTGGATGTCAGCTTCCGTTCCAAGAGCTTCATGCAGCACGCCAAGGCGGCGGCCGGCCAGCCTCTCATCGATGTGTCGGACGGGAATGAGCAAAAAGCACAGCCGCTGATGTTCTCATTCAACAACGACGACCATCGGAACAGAGCCATCCTAAAGGCCGGGGAATCGGAGTGGAGCAAGCCGCAGAGTTTCGATGCCATTGGCAGCACCACCGAGGTTGTGCTGAACTCGTCGCAGACCAATGCGGAGATTCACTTGGGTGTCACGGTGGATTCCGGGCTGGGCAAGTACAAGATGGTCAAGACCGTGACGCTGGCGCCAAGATACGTCATCCAAAACAAGCTGGGCGAGGATATCAACATTCGCGAGCCCAGCTCTTCCAGTGTCATGTTGTTGAAGAGCGGGTTGTTGAAGCCCCTGCATTACCTCCATCGGGGTGCTGTTAAACAGCTTTGCCTGTGCCATCCGGGAGTCGACAACCAGTGGACCGCGCCGTTCAACATTACCGATCTTGGCATCACGCATCTCAAGATTGCCAAGGCCGGCCAGCGACAGCGACTTGTTCGGGTGGAAGTCCTGATGGAGGAGGCGACAGTGTTTTTGAACCTGACTCTGGAGCAGCGCAACTGGCCGTTCTCGATGCGCAACGAGAGTGACACCGAGTTCACCTTCTACCAAGTCAATCCGAGCATCGACGAGGACGATACGGAGGACCGCTCTGGGTGGAGGCCGGTTAGGTACCGTCTTCCCCCTCGTAGCATCATGCCGTATGCCTGGGACTTTCCGGCGGCCAAGCACAGGGAAGTGTGCATCAGTGCCTACAACAAGGAGCGGCACGTCAAGCTGGCGGAAATTGGCAACCTGATGCCGATGAAGTTTATTGGCACGAACGGCCAGACCAAGATTATCGACATCAACGTCACGGCGGATGGGCCAACACAGACCATGATCTTGTCCAACTTCAAGCAGTCCAAGAGTCTGTACCGCCAACGGTCCAACGCCGGTTCTAGCAGTAGCCGAGAAGGGTTTGAAGCCAAGGCGCTGGACACCAACACCACGTTCCGCGCGCAACTGCGGCTGTCCGGCATTGGCATCTCGCTCATCAACTCGCAGCTCAAAGAGCTGGCATACCTCACTTTCCGTGACGTGCAGCTACGGTACAGCGACTCGCCGATGTACCAGACGGTCAGTCTGGCGGTCAAGTGGATCCAGATCGACAACCAGCTCTATGGCGGCATCTTCCCGATGATCCTCTACCCTAGTGTGGTTCCCAAGAGGGCACAGGAGATCGAGGCTCACCCCTCGCTGCACGCCATGGTGACACGGGTCAAAGACGAGTCGTACGGTGTCGAATACATCAAGTACGCCACCGTGTTGCTGCAGGAGATGACGGTCGAGCTAGACGAGGACTTCATCTACGCCATGCTGGAGTTCTCCAAGATCCCCGGCGCGTCATGGTCGTCGCCCTCGTCGACCACCAACGAGGAAGACAAGCTCTGTGACGACAACATCGACATTCCGCAGCCGAAGCAGCAGCAGGCCGGGCGGGACATCTACTTCGAGGTCCTCAACATCCAGCCTATGCAGCTAGACCTGTCGTTTGTGCGGACCGAGCGTGTCAATGTGGAGGACAAGACATCATCCAAAAACCCCGTCATGTTCTTCTTCAACGTCATGACTATGGCCATTGGCAACATCAATGACGCCCCCGTCCGATTCAACGCGCTCATGCTGGAGAACGTGCGCGTCTCGATCCCTGTGCTAATCCAGAATGTGTCGAACCACTACAGCCAGGAAGCATTGTTCCAGATCCACAAGATCCTCGGCAGTGCCGACTTCCTCGGGAACCCCGTGGGGCTCTTCAACAACATCAGTTCGGGCTTCGCGGATATCTTTTACGAGCCGTACCAGGGTCTCATTATGTCGGACAAACCGGAAGATTTCGGTCTCGGACTCGCCCGGGGAGCCGGTTCATTCTTCAAGAAGTCTGTCTACGGCTTTACCGACTCCTTCTCCAAAGTCACGGGCAGTTTCGCCAAGGGCCTGGCAGCGGCCACCATGGACAAGCAATTCCAAGACCGCCGGCGCATCACCCGCGCCCGCAACCGGCCCAAGCACGCCCTCTTCGGCGTCACGGCCGGCGCCAACAGTCTCTTCACCTCCGTGGCCTCTGGCGTCGGTGGCCTCGCCCTCAAACCCTTCGAAGGCGCCGAACAAGAAGGCGCCCTGGGATTCTTCAAAGGCATCGGCAAGGGCGTCGTCGGCCTCGCCACAAAGCCCGCCATCGGCGTCCTCGACTTCGCCTCTAACGTCTCCGAGGGCGTGCGCAACACCACCACCGTCTTCGACGGCTCCGAACTCGACCGCGTCCGCTTACCCCGCTACATCCCCGCCGACGGTATCGTCCGGCCCTATTCCCAGCGCGAAGCCCTCGGCCAGAGCTGGCTGAAACAAGTCGATAATGGCAAATACTTCGACGAGGCGTACATTGCACACTTGGAACTGCCCACCGAGGACATGGTGGTAATGGTGACGTATGCGCGGATCCTGTTGATTCGCAGTCGACGGCTGCAAACGGAGTGGGATGTGCCGCTGAAGGATGTGCAGACCATTGCGAAGGAACGGACGGGGTTGAGTCTGACGTTGCGGGGCGGGACGAATGGGCCGTTCATACCGATTGGTCAGGAGAGTGGAAGGGCGTTTATCTATCGTATGGTGGCTGTTGCGGTGGAGGAGTTTAATCGGCGGTTTAAGGGGTTGGAGTAGCGTGCTGACTGGGGGGGTCGTGGGGGTGAGCAGGAGCGTGTGGAGAGGGGAAGAGGTTGCCGGAAATGGTGGAGGGGTATGAAGGGCAGGAAGAGAAGAAGAAGAAGAAGACCTGATAGCGCGAGTTGGGATGCCGCTGTAACCTGACTCTTGATGAGTGAACGCTACCTTCCCGGGGTCGAGGATGGTCGGTGTATTCGTGGTGTAATGCTTGTTCTCCTTTTCCTATGTATCACGTTTCGTTCCTGTGCTGAGTTGATACAGCGCCGAGAATATGTATTTTGGAAGAATAAAATTAGTCTCTTTGATCCAAGTTCCATGGGTGATGCTGTCCGAGGAGCTCAACTGAGAGTAGGGTTAGGGTTAGTCCCTCGGACGCAGACCATGACGGACAGGTTAAGTCTCCGAGCACATGTTCGTGACCCTCCGATCCGAGACTCGACATAGTTTCCTCTTCGTTTCGTGGCCACCTGTGTAGAAAGAACATTTTGCCATTGCCAATTTTATCTTATTTTTATCAGAGACTTCCTTATGGTGTGTTGACAGACTAACGTTATTGATATTCGACGAGACTCGATAAGGATACCATAAACCCTCGCACAGCTTCATACCAAACTGGCAAACAGCTAACAACACAATGCCGGTTAAACTCAGATGTGTCAGTCTAAATCTTTCGCATCCGTAAACCAACAATACATCCATCACCGAAACGCCAAATTAACCACTCTAACCCCTGCCTGGGCAAAAGCCTGACTCTCTCCCTCCACCGGACCAAACAACACCCTCATCTTCATTCTCACACTCAGACTACGCCTCAATCATCCTCCTTTGATGCCCTCCTGCCGCAGCGGCTGTTTTGGTTGCCGCCCCTGAACTCGACCCCCGGCGACCTGTGCCCCGTCTCTCTTCCACACTCTTCCCCCGCGCCTGCTCAATCCTAACCACATCCAAACAAGCCCGAATCCCCCGTAATCTCTCCCCAGCACCCCAGCTAACAGTATTCTGCACCATGCTGTAGAACTCGCGGTAGTCCTCCGTGGAGTGCAGGGTAAACGTCTCGACAGGGGCCATGATGAAATGAGGTTCCTCCTTGCCACCGTAGTGTCTCCAGGTGATGAAAACGAAGGCTGTGGTGCCGTTCATGGCGACGCTGAATGCAGCTGTGTCGAGGGCGTTGGAAAGGTTGGTGAGATTGGGCAAGTTGTTCGCCGTGGCGTGCTGCTGGAGCTTTGCCTTGAGCTGTTCCATCAGGTGGACACATGCCACGGAACCGCCAACGCACTGGTTTACAGCTACGTATAGCTTGCCGGACTCGCCTTTGAATTCGATGGGGAAAAATGGGAAGAATGGCGGGTGGTGTAGTTGGGTTGTGGCGGGTGTGTCGAGGCCTAGTGCTCCGAGCCGGGCGTGTTGGGACTGCGAGAATGCGCCTGGGAATTTGTATCCGTACAGTAGGTCCGGGGCAGGCCGGCTGATTTTAAACTTCGAGTTGAGATTGGGGACGGTCTCTTGGCGGAGGGAGTAGCGAATACTGCGGGTGAGGGCGCGGGAGCCGGCCACAGCCGGGAAGACCTGAGTTGAGTAGTAGGTTTCGACCTCGGCTTCGTTCGTGCCGAGGAAAAGCGAGTCATAGTCCGGATTATCAAGGAGGTCCTTTTCGCAAGGGCCGGGCTTGTCACTGACTTGCCGGACTAAATCGGCGAGGCGGGCGATGTTGTAGGGGGCACCTTTTAAACGAGTGCGCAGTTCGATCTTGTTCTCGACGAAGTGCTTACTCCGGTATTCTTCGCGGTTAAGGACGCTTCGGGAGGTCTTAGGGGACCCTGGAGGGGTTGTGTGTGTCCATCGACGAGCGAGTGCAGAGTGAGAGCCCGTGAGGAAGGTCGACAGGGACTGGCGAGTTCGGGCTGTAATACAGCTTCGGAGGGTTGACATCGTGAACCCAGTTCGAAAGGTCCTACACTTATGATAGGGTAGACCCTGTAGTAAGAGAGGTACCGTTGATCTGGGATTGGAACAGGCGGTGCCCATGTGGTGATGAGTCAGTCTTGGAGCCGTGGGGCCTGGAGAGATAATCGACTGTCCTTTTGGTTTCGTCGGGGTCTCGATGTCGTCGAGAAGTCAAAGGCCCCTATTCCGTTTTCACCTCTGTGACTTCAAGAGCGTTTCTCGGCCGGCCATAAAGCAAACAGGCCACACTGCGAGTGTTAGCCATGACGGCGGCGGCACAGTTCCTCTTTATTCCCCTCTGACCCAGGAAGTTGGTGACTCAACTTCCAAGGCTTCCAGTTCATGTCCTGCATTCAGTCGGGGGCAGTGAAGTGGGAGGCCTTGCAAGAAACAAAGCCCTGGGTCGTCTCGATTGGCTACTGGACCTGCCATGTGGCGTCCGATATCATGTGCTGTTGAAAGAAGCCGCTGGGCGCAGCAAAAATGAGGCGGCTGGACTGATTGGGCGATGAGGTCGGTAGACTCGGCGTGGGCCTAACAAAGAACACATGGGCATGGCCCGAAAGACAGGTAGGCACCGGGTTGCGAGTGTCCTGGCCAGGTCTCTTACCTAACGGACCAACTGACTTTCGACCCTTTTCTCTGACGTCCTAATGCCCTTACTCATACTGGTGTCATGCTGTCGCGTTATCGAGTCGAAGATTCTTTGGCTCAACAACGCTGCCTTTCTTCATCCTCCCGTTACTTTCCCCAAACCCGGCTTCCATGGTTATAAAATTCGATAAGAAATCTGCCCCAACGTCCCGGGTTGCAAACTGTTGGTCGGCTCACCCTTCTTTGTGGTCCGTGTTCTTCGCTTGCTACGGCCCGGCCAACGGCTTAAGGTCGGGTTGATCAGCTGTGCAGACAAGGGGCCATGTGGGCGTGGTAGGCCTTCGAGCTGGCCGCAGCCTGACCATACAACATCCTCCACCAATACTAAGCGCGTGGGTATTGGGACGCATGGTGTGCCTCGGCAAGCCATTCCATTAGGCTTCGTGCACCAGCGGCCAGCCTTGGATCTGCCCGGTCCAGGAACGGGCCACTGTTACGGTGTGTCAAAATATGATTGGGGGGGGACCTTCTGGCGGCCTTCCAGCCTTGTACTGAGGGAAAACTTGTGTTAACTGTGTGACTAAGGAGGGTGGTGCTTGCTCCGTTGAACAACCAACGGCTGCATGGTTGGGTTTCAAGAGGTCAGTTGCCGAATCGGGAAAGAACAACAAAGCTTCTTCGCACTGTACGGCGGCACACCCAGAGAGCCAAGTTACAGACCAACTCTTGCAAAATTAACAAAAACAATTTCAATATTTTCAAAATTTAGGTCCACATTAATAAAACTGTTCATTTCGACACGTAGTTTTTGGGGAGACATATCAACAGAGGGTCTTTCGATGGTGCATCCAGTGAAAACACAGCTCGCGTCTTCGCACTGTAGCTTGCATGGAAGGGAAGGCTCGGCGGCTAAAAGTGGGGCTTCTGTCTCGGAAGGCGCTGCCAAGTCCATCTCTCCCGCCTCTTGACTCTTCCTCTTTCGAATGCACCAAAATAAAATTACTTCTTTGAATCTTTTTTGTCCTCGCTTTGCCACCCCGGAACGTGTCGCGGAAAATGATTTCCCTTCCTTAGAAAACTTCTGACCGTCTCACATTTGCACCGTTCGTGAGGCCCGGGCCGCTCCCGCTGCAGGATGCCTGAACCCTTGGACCCCAAGACCCCCAAAGGCCCCAACTACCCCAGCTGTAGCCCTAGCCAACCAACTCACCACTGATGCAACACCATGGGCCGCCGGAATGGGCCACACAACAAGGGGATGCTGGCGCGCGGCAGCGAGCCTCGACGTTTTCGATAATCTATTGGTATACGTGAGTTTCTTTGACTGCACTCAGCCGCACACGGGGCCCGGGTCGTGATTCCGGTCGGCTTTGGACGGTCGACTGTCAACGCTGCGCAGCGACCTGCCACTTCGTATCCTCCTTGAGTCAGAGCATGGCTAGCATGTTGTTGGTTGTTGATGTTGGTCGTCCGGATGGTGGCCACCTCACGAGGTATGGCCAATAAATAGCGCTTGCATCAATGAGTGCGGAAACCACCTGTTGGTGGCTTAGTTAATTCAGGCAGCATACTGGAATCACGGATTCTGCCTGGTGTTTTATTAGGTGGACAAGGCAGAAAATGCATACAATCCCCTCCTCTCCTTGGTGCCTGGGAGTCTGCTTCTCGCCTGCTCACTTCAACTCGCCCCAAGCTGCCAACTGACGCCCTCAACCTGTCTTGGGAGCGACCTCTCAATATCATGGTATCTCGCGACCCGGTACTTGAGAAAGACCAGCCCCTGGATCTTTCTCCACGCCCTTTACGAACCTTCGAACCGGGCCGCTGTATTTACGGTCCCGCGAAGTTCAACAAAAGCCCCTGGTGTTCCCGGTGCATATTCACAACACAACTCCAGGTTTCGAGATGTACCCAGCAAAACCCTATGGTTCCGAAGTATTGTATTGTTGTTTAAAATATCAGTTGCACACGACACCTGCCACGTTCGGAATTGGAGGACGGTGTCGACGCCGAAGACCTCAACTATCGCTGGACGATGACGAAAATCCCCCCGGCGAGAAACAAGTGAAGGAAGTCATTCAACAAAGACCATAGACCATAACTACGGCGAGTACAACTGGGGATACTCGGGAAAGTCTGTACGAGTTTGGCAACGTTAGATGACTTGTCATTCCTTATTCACTGGGATATCAACACCATGCAGACTCCGCCGTGCGTTATCAAAAGGCGAGTTTTGAATCTTGAGCGAGAACCCTGTCCCAGCCTGATTGTATGAACCCAAGGTTATCTGAGGCCTGGATTTTGTTGGGAATAATGAATTACCGAAGTCCAGGTGGCGTTACTAGAGAAGTCCAAGCAGCTTTCGCATATCATCATGGCGGCATTGTTAGAATCGTTGGAATCTAATGAAATTATGGTTTCTGAGGTCGAGATCATGAGATCCGTCCGAGGTTAGCTGGGCCCCGGAACCTCATTAGAGTTTTATGCCGCTTTGATTGGTATTTTGACTAATTATTGATATTACTTGAAGGAGCGTTAGACTGAAGGACGTCTGTTCAAATAGGATACCACCAAACCGAAGTTAATTATTTGTAGCACTCTCACCCGCAGTTGATTGAACAACGCACCTCGAACGAAGCCGAATTCTGATGTTTTGCCGTCGTAAACTTTCTTTGCAAATGAGGCGCCGCCGTGAAACGCATGAGGTCGCGGGTCTCGTGTTGTCAGATGTGGTGATAAGACAGCCCCTGAAGGGGTTCATGGTTTCACAACAGAACCCCACTTTGTTTTTCCGCCTGTCAACCTCAGCTGTCATCCTAAGGACGCGGATAGCACAGTGAACAGATCTTATCGTTACGGCCTTTAGTGCAAGGGATGGAGTTTTTGATTTTCCAATGTTAATTTTAGAAGGCGAAAAAAAGGAGAGGGAAAATAAGAATATTTAGTCCACGAACCACCTAGGTATCTCACCACGCGGGGCCCCATACATAGTAAGCGTCGTCCCAACTCTAATTGTCTCGAACACCCCCACCCCCAGGCTAGTCTGAGACGAGCAAGCTCTTTTCGGTCCACACAGCCAATCGACGTCCTCGGACTCATGTAAGATCGCCACCGGGCTTCGAGGCCGGAAGTTCTTGCACCCTTTTCTCACTGCGACACTGGGGTTCTCCTTGGTGGTCGGTTGTCTGGGTCTCTTTCAAGATGGGGGAAATCCCCAGCTGAGTCGTTTTTACCCATTTCGCTCTCTCTTTCTTTGGTTCTTGGTTTTGGGAGTGATGTTATTTTGTGGTTCTCCTCGGCTCACACCACCGGTGGTACAGGTCGCTAATAATTATTTTTCTCATCGACCTGTTGTAATCATTCCCGAGATCACCGCCAGCCGCTGGTCGCCGTCGACGGTCCTCAGTTCTTTCATTCCGGCGTATCACGCCCTCGACCTTTGTTTTTTCCTTCGTCGCTGGTCGATCGATATAACCTCCGACGACGCGAACTCCTTAAACACGAGCGAATACAACGACAACTCACCCAACAACCTTCTTAATATCCCACCTCAAATACCACTGCCAACATGGGTCAAAACCTCTCCCTCTCCGAGCCCTTCGCGGACACCTCAGGCGTGGTCCTCGCCCCCTGGGACCGCAATGCCGACATCCTAGTGGGCATATTCTGGGCCTGCTCACTGTACGCCATCGGCATGATCTGGTGCGCCATCGGCCTGCTACGGCGCTGGGCGGGAGGACCGGACAATGATCGCGGGGTTAATATATTTTCGGTGTTGGCGGCGTTTTTGCTGTCAACGGGGTGGCCGGTGATTTTGTTGTATTTTGCTATGTCGAGTCGGTAAGGGGGGAAAGGGGTAGGGGGGAAAGGGGTAGGGGTGATGGGGAGGCTGGGTGTGAGACGCAGGGTGGTTATTTGTGGGGGGCCAAAGTTGGTTGATACGGTTGCTGGGTGAGAGAGTTGGCGAGAGAGGAGGACCACGAGGACGACTGCACAGGATGCGTCCAGGTCGGCAAGATCAGGAGGTGTATTTATGAGCAGGCAACACATAATACGGGCACATACTGTTTTGTTCATATTTTTTGGCATCCCCAAATCGAATTATATCACTTTTCTTCACCTCCCAACCTGGACATAAACATAAATAACTTACCGCCCCAAAACAAGATACGCAAACCCCAACAACCCCCTATACCCCTCCAAATACCCCCTCTCCCTCTCATCCTGCTCTCTCCTCACCTCCTCCGCCCTCGTCGGACTCCTCCCCCCATTTAACAAAGCCCACTCCCTCAACCCAGCCCGATGCGCTGACTCAAACTCGTCCCACTCCCTCTGATCCGCCACGCTCAAATGCAACACAGTCCACCCTGCGGCGCGACACATCTCGACCAGCCCGGCCAACGAGGGGATCTGATTCTCTTCGTTGCTGTCGGGATCTTCGAACTGCGCGCGGGCTGTCTTGGCGCGGGGGTTGTTGGGGTGGTGGGCGGCTTCTTCCCAGAACATTTCGCCGATTAGAGCGCGGGTGATGGTGGGGCTGTGGCCGTCTTCTTCGGGCGGGTGGGAGAGGAGGTTGGTTAGGTGAGTGAGCATGGAGGAGGTGTTGCCGAATGCGTGGGAGGAACCGATGCAGATGGCGCGGGATGGTTGGGTGGTAGTTCCGGTCCCAGTCCAAGTCCATGCGGCCGCGGGTTGTTCGACAAAGGTAACTTTACCAGGAGATAACCCCTGCGAGGCAACCTCTCGACGAGCGCGCGCGAGCACGGTGACATCGGTGTCGACACCCGTGAAAGTAGCCGTCACTTCCGCCGAGTCCGACGGGACGGACGCCGCGGCACGGAGGAGTAACTCGCCCCAGCCACAGCCGAGATCAACCACGCTGGTGGCCGGGGTTAGATCGAGGTGGGTGAGTAAAGTGTCCGCGTGGGATAGGGAGAGCGGGGCGTTGAAGGTTAACCGGGCGTACCGGGCCTCGGCGATTGCTTCGTCGTCGTTGTTCACCATGGCTGGTTGATGGTCCGTCTCACTCAGTGGTGAAGTGTGGGGAAACGCATGGACCGAAAGCCAAAAGGGGGTGTTTCATGAGGGCGGTAGGAAACCTGTTATTACCTGAATGCGCGATAGATCATGTTATTAAAGGGCCATGAAAAGGTTTTGAATTTCAGCTTTCCGGGTCGAGAAATCGGAATCCCATGAGTCACGCCGAGAAAATGCTCTCCAAGACTAGCGTGTTGACCCAAATGGTATAGACCTAGACGCGACCTTCCCAATTAGGAAGTTTAACAACACGCCCTTTACAAAACTTTGGCGTCGAGCACGGGATCCTGAATTGACATTGAAGATATTGACATTGAAGATGCGCCACTGGGTGATACAGGCCAAGAATAGATCGCTCGGTATGTGAACATATGTGGACGTGTCCCAAGCCGGATAATGTTGCCGTGGCGATCATCAAACAGGACGCTGTCACGACAAGCGTAGCAGATATGCAAGTAAAGGCATCGAACCAGAAACAAGGTATTAATTGGGGAAACTTCACTAAGATAGTAAGATCCAGAGGAATTATCTACGTACTCCTTCAAACTGATTGAATATTATGACGGCACAACATAACTATGGCTTTAAAGCAGTCGATCAATGTCATCCCAGCCTTCTCCCGCTCAGGCCGGACACCAGTCTGATCTCCCTGTAGACGAGATCCAGATGATCTGTTTTGGCTGCGATCTTCCCTACAGTGATGCCGTCTCTATCTTGGCGCTGAGCCTCATGAACGAGACTTCAGCTTAAATATTGCCAGTCATCCAGCGGACCGATATCTCTTCTGCTTTACTCACCGTCAAAGTCTCATTCATTCGAGTTGATCTCACCACTCCAGGTTCTGTGAACCGTTCCGCTCTTTCAACAGCCTCCAGTACTTTACTTCTAGCCGCCAGTCGGTTTTCAAATTTTGTCATTCAACAATACCGCCATAATGTACCCCAAGACGCTTCTCCTCGCCCTTCTTGCGGCTACTGCCGTCAACGCGGCTAGCTTCCACTATCCTCGTCAGGCCAACAACACCGGTGTCGACGCGGCTGCCGACAACAACGCTGGTGGTAATGCCAATGGTAACAACAACAACAACAACAACGCCAGCGGTAACAACAACGCCAACGGTGACAACAACAACGGTAATGCCGCCGCCGACAACAACGCCAACGCCGGCGCAGAAGCCGACGCAGCCAACGGTGCAGCCGACTTCGGCACCTGCACACCCACCATGGACTTCCAACTCGGCCGAGCCGGCCGCAAGCCCGACGAAGGCACCTTCCTGCCGACCGATGCCGTCGTGGCCCAGGGCCAGCAGGACGCGCTCAACCCCAACATCATCACGAACCGGATCTGTGACCAGCTGGGCAATGTTTGCGGGGCCAACGACGCGGCGATTGCGCAGTGTGAGGACGCGAAGGCTACGGTGGAGGGGCTGGGGACTAAGGATGAGACTACGGCGGCGGCGTTTAATGCTGCTTTGGGGTTTTAGTTTAACGCGGGGCTGAGTCTGAAGGCTCCGGGAGCGCTGGGGATTGTTAGTTGGGGGGGAAGGGGTAAGGGTAGTTAGGGATGGTCTGTACAAGTGTTAAGAAATGGAGTCGTGAGAGTGTAAAATAACCCCCTGAATGATGTTTCGTCCGGCTTTTCAACGTAGTATAGCTGTCCCAAGTGATGTTGTGGTTGTTTAATTCTCCAAGGGCTGGCAGGACAAGCAATCGATCAAGACAACTTCTTTCTTCCTAGACATAGACACCACATCCGGTTCTTCAAGTGTTTTTCTGTAGTGACGTCACCGGTATCGCTGGTAGTTTGTTGATATTTGACCTAATGCGTAGACTTTTCATCCTGTTTAGAGTCTTGATGTCATGACAATAGGCGCGTCACTACTCCACAATTGGATCACCAACAACTTCAAGCACCCTTTATGACCGCAACTCATACCTATAAGCTGTTAAATTCTGCATTCCCTTGCTCTCCGAACTACCAAACGCTAAATTTCTTTCATTATATTCTCGAGTAGCACTCCACGACAACCCCCTTAAACCATCACCAAATCCAACCACCCAAATAGAAACACCACCACCCCACCGAAAACAACCATGTCCAAACCCCTCGCCACACGCACCGTCCCCCTCCTGATCGCCGCCACCCTTTTCGGCGGGCTCGCCTACAGCACCTGGGGCGGCACCACCCAGCCCCGGCCGCGCGCAACCCACGACGCGCGCTCCCAAGCGTCTGTCTCCGAACGGCTCCAATCCGCCGCCGGCACCGGCGGGGTGCAAAAAGCTTCCGGGAGTGGCAGTGACAGCTCCCATGAAGGTCCTAGTGCAGAAAGGCTGGAGAGCCTGAAGCAGTACGATCCCAAGGATACAAGGCTGTTTAGCAACGATCCGGCGGCGCAGAGTAAGCGGAATCCGGACAAGGCGAGGAGTGGGGAGTTGGATCGGGGCGGACCGTCACCGGGGGGTGGGCTGGGGAAGAATATTGGGGAGAGGGAGGAGGGGAAGGAGGGGGATTTGGCGTGGAAGAAGATTGGGGGGTCACATTAGTGAGTGGCATATCATATATGTGCATAGTGTTGATATTGCTTGGGTATATAAAATGGGTTGTGATAATTCGGACCAATTATCGGTGCGGTGTCAGGGGTAGTATTGGGGTTGTGGCTGTGAAGGACTACTATAGTGGTACGCCTGTATATAAAGAAGTGGGAAAATATGAAAGAAATCATATTCCTAAACCTGCTTCCAATGACCACGACTCACTTAACATGCTTCTAAACCCCCCCCCCCCGGTGACGCCTCCAACCAGTGTGGCGGACCATCCCCGAGTGAAGCCGATGGTTGTCAAACGGGAATGAACTGTGTTCAACATCTCTTTGAACTATCTGGGCGTGGAAGCCGTATTACTACTCAGCTTTGCTACTTCGGTGTAATTATCGACTCAGTCATCCAGATCAGGCAAAGGTGATGCTCAAAAACAGGGTTAGGGTCCGTCAGAACATCGTCACATTGTCTCAAATCGTTCAGAATTGCCAACATCAATGACAAACAAATTGATTGAGCAGACTTTGCGAACCAAACGACCGGAACTGATCCACTTCCCACTTCCAGACAACAACCTACATTACGCTAGTTGCTCTTCAGCTCTCCATCATCCCGATCGGAATGATCTGACGCAACAATCGTCCAGATCTCCTTCGTCCTCCCACATGCCACCCGCCGATTCCTTCCCAATCCAGTAATCTCGATCGAGCCCGATGCCAAGCCACTCGCCGACCGTCACGTCAGTGCCGGGTCGCCCCAGCTGGCAAGCACGCCGGGAACGGGTATGATTGGTCAATTCCGGTGGAGGGGTCCGGCCGATGATGTCAATGACGATTCCTCGCGGATCGCGCAAGCCGGCATGGTGCTACGAGCTGGGATCTGGATGCGGCACCCGGATGCTAGCATGGTGTTGGAATGGGATGACGCTGAGGCTTGGGATGAGCAGTGAGGGTTGTTATTAAGGGGTGAGGGACCGCGATCTGGTTCCTGGATTGTTCGGACTTGTAGTTCTCACAATTTAACGTTTTACGGTTTTACTGACGATTGACAATTCTTATAACATTCTTCACATCTTTCTAAGTTTTGTCAGCGGAACACAAACCCCGGCTTATAACACCCATCCACCTACACAGTTTGACAGTCCACCCCAAAATGGCAGCCATCCCAGGATCCTACCCTGACTCCATCCCCCCCACGCCCGACGAAACCATGCAACAACAACAACAGCAGCAAGACTACTACGGTCGCCGCCAGCGCAACAAGCTACACAAACCGGGTGACCCGCGCGGCCAAGCGTACGGCGACGAGCACATCCCCAACCTTGTCCCCAATCCTGTCTCCAACCCTGCCACACAACCCCGACAACAACAGCCCCCCTTGGCACAAAACCCAGTCGTTGCCAGCCGTGGCCCGGGAGATGTTGTCGGCGGTGATACCACGGCGTACAGCGGTGATTACCTGGACCAAACAAAAGGCCACAGCAGCAGCAACCGCGCGGCAGTCGGTGATACAACACCGACGCAGCAGAGTGAGAATGATCACGCCGGACTTGGCAAGGCTGCGGTGGGTGGTGGCTTTGCGGCCGGTGTTGTTGGAGGGGGTCTAGCTGCTTCGAAGCGGGATGAGCATGGAAATGTTGGTTCAGAGGAGCAGGAGAGTGGTGAGAATAGTAACTATCAGCTTTCTGGGTCTGAAAGGACGCCTTACTGGGGTAGTTTGCCTTCTAAGTGAGCAGTATCCTTCTTCCAGTCTACAGTGTTCTCCACTGGCATGATCCAGTCGAGCAAAGGCGGAGCATGGAAAGGGGTGCTCTTAAGGAAGCATGCTGACAGTCACAGGGGCGGCGGAGTATACAACACAGTTGTGGGCCACGGTAGCCAGGATGATGAGACCCGTCGTCAGGGACCGGCAACGGAGGGTGTGTCCGGTGTGTCGGACGTATCGGGTCTCACGGAACATGCCCAACGAGGTGCTGCAGCTGCTCCGGGCACAACTGGAGAGCGGAAGAGCCATTGGCACACGGGTGCAGGTGTAGCTGGAGCGGCCGGTCTCGCCGGCGCTGGAGGGGCGGCTGCACTCTCTGGAATTCCGGAGAATGAGAAGCAGAAGCAGACCGCTCATGCTGCTAATGCTGATCCGCAGGTTGGCCAGCACACCGGCCAACGTACCGTGCAGCATACCCAAGATCCCCGGACCGGTACCTCGCCAGCGGCCCCCGGGTTCCTGCCCGAAACGGCTGCCGGCGACGACGCCCGTCTTGCCGCGGCTGCTTCACGCGGGACCGGAACCCATCTCGGTTCAGATGCCCACACCGAGACGGGGAAGCCTGCCCACCGAGCATTCCCCCTAACTGGGCCGGGCCACACCACTACTACCGAGGAACGACACCAGACGGAGCAACGCGAATCGTCCCCGTCCAAGTACGGCACCGCAGCTGCCGGTGCAGCCGGTCTCGCAGCGGGCGCAGCAACGGCCAAGTATGTCGGCAAGCGTCGCAGCGGGAGCGCCGCGGCCGCTGACCGAGACCACACCGATCGTGCTGGGGACTCCTCCCCGCAGCGGTCTTCCCCACCCGTGGAAAAGACTTCCAGCAATGAGGAAGAGGGGTCGTCGCCTAAGGGCGAGAAGAAACATCGTATTCTCGGCCTCTTCCACCGCCGCAAGGAGTCCAAGAACTACAAGGGCCATCACCACGAGAAGGATGATTCTCACACCAGCCACCACCACGCCAACGACGGCCCCGAATCCGTAAAGCAGCAGCAGCAGCAACAGCCTGAAACTACCGGTATCAACACCACCCCCAACCGTCTCCGCAAACCCTCCAGCGCTGAGCGCAGAAGGTCGCCGGATTACCGCGATGAGCAGCAGCAGGCTACCAACAACAGCCACAACAAGGAGAAGTCCGCGGCCGGTGCTGCTGCTGCCGCTGGTGCCGGTGCAGGCGCGTATGGGCTGTGGAACCACCACCGCAACCAGAAGAGCGTCGGTGAGAAGCAGCAGGGCGAGGACATCACCACGGGAGCTAACGACAACAGCGGTAGCAACAACATCGGCAACAACAACAATACGCTCCGTGGTCATCAGGGCTTGGCGTCTGCGGCGGCGGCCACGGGTGTTGCTGGCCCGGCTGCGGACGCTGGTCATCGTGTTGAGAAGGTCCCGGCGCCGTTGGAGCATTCGAGAGGAGTACCTGCGTCGGAGTCTGTCGTCCCACAGTCTGGTGTTGATCGCGGATCAGCTGGTTACTCAGGGTTCAGGGGTGCTGGTGTGAACGAGCCGAGTGGCTACAACAGCACTCAAAACTCTGGCGTTCCCATCGATGCCCGTCAAGACACCGCCCGTGGGATCGACCAGACTGCTCAGACCTCGGCCAACTCGGGTGGCCATGGGTACGGGAAGTACGGCGCCATTGCTGCGGGAACGGCTGCTGCTGCTGCTGTTCCTGCTGCGTACGAGGCCACCAAGAAACGGGAGGTTTCGAACCCTTCCCACCTGGCCGACAACACTCGGCAGGTAGCCAACAACACCAGCAATGCCGCGCAGACTCCCGGTCACTACGACACGCTGGCCACCGGCATGCCCTCGAGTGTGAAGCACGACCAGTCGGCCGGTGAGTCTGGGCTTGCCTCGGGTCAAAATCCGGCCCATGGCACCACCGTTCGGGATATCACCTCTGCTAGACAAGCAGCGCCCACGCCAGAGTACAATGTCCTCCCCTCAGGCACCGCTTCAGGCGTCAAGGTCAAGCCGCACTCGCCGCACCACAGCCAGACCACCGATGAGTCATCGGGCATCGCTTCTAGCGATGTTTCTCGGTCAACCGCTACCCGCTCTGGACCCGGACAGACCGAGACCCGGTCTCAGCAAGAGCCTCAGGGACACAGTCAGGGGCATGGTAAGCAATACGCTGCCATGGGGCTAGGCGCTGCTGTCGTGCCAGCTGCGGCGTATACTGCGTCGTCTTCGCTCGGCGGTCATCAAGATCGTGAGGGCCAGGGCCAGACCCAGGCCCAGCCTCAAGGTGGTGAAGGACATGGATACGACCAGTACAGCCATGCTCAGCAGTTCCACCAACAACAGCAACCGGGTCAACTCCACCAGCAGACTCAACACCTGCAACAGCCCCAACAGCAACCCTTCCAACCCCAGTTCCAGCACCAGCAGCCTTACGCCCAACCTCAATCACAATCTCAAATTCCACCCCAGCCCCAGCAACAAACCGCCCGCAACCCCGCCCTCGCAGCCGCTACAACCTCCTGGACCTCCAACGCAGGCAAGAGCTCCGGTGTGCCTGTGCCCGATTACGACCGGTCTGTCCCGCCGAACACCAACGCCTCGACAGCAGCTGGTCTCGCGCACCAACAACAGCAAGGGGGGTTCACCCAAGCTCAGGACTACCGGGTGTCTCAACAAGGCCAGCATTTCACACGGTGTCAGCATTGCGGTGGGGAGAATGATATTAGCGAGCATGTGCAGCGGCTTTTGGGGGGGAAGGTTTAGGTGGGATTTTGAGCAAGAGAGAGGGGGACGGGAGAGAAAAGGGGGAGGAGTGGGTGAGTGAGGGGGTTTGATGTTGATTTTGACTGGTAACGGACGTGTACGATTATGATGGCGATGATGATGATCTGTATGTAGCGAGAGTTAGCTCTGCTTACCCTTTCTTATGTCCTTCGAATACGACAGTTTCCTCACTCTTCAACACCCTGTCTAATCTGAACTCGTGATCAAACGTCAGCCAAATATCCCTGCTGACTTCCCCCTTACTCTCACCCGAAAGCACTAACGGCCAACCTATGCCGGGAGACGTTTCTGGATCAAATAGGCCGTACCCGTCGTAGAGGGTGCTGCTCCTCGGGTCCTACTGCAAGTCCGGTTGTGATTCGGGGGCCACGGACTTGCTTGATATGGGCAAAGAAATACAAATATTCATTCCACGGGAATTACGCCGGACACCGAAAGGTGAATAAAGACAAACCCGCGAGTTCCCCGAAAAGGCCGATAGGTCAACCGTTAAGAAAAAGCCGAGCCGTGCCAGGCCACGCGGCCCGTTCCTGAAGTCGGAGAATTCGCCATTCAGGGCTGGGGAATGCATCACAGTCGCGCCTTCCGTCAAACCCATCCACTGCAACCCCAACGGAAGGCGTCACCACCTCATTTATGTAACGCTGCAATGATATTGCCTATTCCGTATAAACATCGGCAGTTTTGCCGCCGTTAACCCACGGGCTATAACCCGTCTTCATATCAAGAATCTGAGCGCACCTAGCCAACAAAATATCACACAACACCTGGAATTCACAACGAAGGGAGTGAACAATAAAGTTAACATCAAAATTAACAATGAATTCCAACGATAAAAACACCCGCTAAAATACCCAAAATATTATCCCAAACGCCCCCGCTATCAAGATGCCCGCTAAAATCCAAGCACTCTAAAGCCCGAACAGCCATCACAATGATAATAATTATCAAACAACCATCCACTACTCCCTCATCTCACTGCCCAACTAATACCCATGCCCCGCGTACTGCCCCTCCCCCTGCAACGGTACATACTCCTGTCCCTGCCCCTGCGCATACCCCCCATACCCAGCACCACCACCCTGCGACCCCTGCGAAGCAGACCGCCCATGGTGCTGCTGCTGCTGCTGGCGTTGCTGCTGGCGCTGTTCCCGCGCGTAGTATGTCTGTTGTGCCTGGGGCTGAGCCGGGAGTGGGGGGGAGTTGGACGGGGAGATGAAGGTTGGTGGTGAGGCGGCTGGTGGCGGGGGTGCGTCGTAGAAACGGGCGGGTGCGTAGGTTGGTGGGGAGGGGACGATGGAGGCTGGGTTTTGCGGGGGTGCGTTGGGGTTGGTGAGGTTGGTGTTGGAGGCCCCCCAGGTGGCGAGGGGGTTGTAGTGGGTGGTTGGCATGGGCGGGACGGGAGGTGGGGAGGATGCGCTGTCGTGGTGCTGGTGGTGCTGGTGAGGGTGGTGGTGTGGGGGGCTGGAGCTGGTGAGGGGTTCGGCAGAGACGAGGAGGCTTTGCTTGTCGTTGGCGGCCCCGTGCTCGCCGCTGTCGTCGTGGTCGTCGTCGTGGCCGTGGCCGTGGCCCGGGTCCGCCCCGATCAGGGGGTCGCCAGAGCGGATGTTGCGGCGGTTGGCGAACCAGGCACCGACCCGGTCGCTGAAGATGATGATGTAGAGCAGGGCGACGCTGAAGGGGAGGATCGCGGGGGTGGCCATGATGCCGTACATCAAGTCTTTGGTGGCGGACAGCGAGAGTAGCACGCCGGCTATGATGATGACAAAGGCGCGGACGAAAAAGGTGACGTAGTCATAGGCGTCGAGTTTCGTGGTGCGGATGAGGATCATGACGACGAGGAAGCAGGCGCTGAGAATCATGAAGGCGGCCCAGAAGTAGCGGTAGATCAGTTTCCACGACTCGACCATCGAGAGGATGACGTCTTCCTGGAGCGGGATCTTCATGCCGAAGGCGCTGTACATGGCCGCGACAAGGTGGCGGATGAGGTCCTGCAGCGCATCGGGAAGGTCCATCGCTGTAGTGCCCGTTAAGCCAGGCCGGCAGATGCCCGAGGTCTCTTCGATGCGTGCGATGTCGTCGGTGATAGTGCCCACGAAAGAGAGACTGTCAGACTTTTTGTCCAAGTGCAATGGCTCAATAAGCTCGTTAAGCTTTTCAGCTAACTTCTCTCCATCCAGGTGCTCGGTGAGGCAGTACTTGACCACCGACGACTCAAGCTTGAGTGTCTTGGACGCGATGGACCGGGCCAAGGCAATCTGCTGAGCGCCCTCGGCCAGACCCACGATGGCGAGGTGAATTGGGAAGTGTAGGCAGGACCAGATCTGCTGCCGGATTGTGCCGAAATGCCCATGCGGGTGGTTGTCAAAGTAAATCGTCCACGTTGCAACCTGCGCGTCCATGTCAGTATGAGGTTGTGTTTGGTGGGCTAACATCAGGGGTAGTGGTAAAATCAGGGGGGAAAACTCACCAACAACAGCACAATACACAAAGTAAGTCCGCAGCCCTCGGGATCCAGACCACTCTTCCCCATGAGCCGAGAAACCGTCTTGGTCACACCGATAGCGCCCTCGCCGATGACAATCAGCGTCAGCAGCCCCATGCGTTCCACCAAATGCGTCCTTTTGAAACTCAACATCCGCCAGGAACAGGACACAGCAATCGTGGCGATCGTCTCGAGCGCCATCACAACCCACCACACGCTATAAATCCCGTTGCTGTCATCCACCGGCTTGCTATCGGGGAACGCCCCGATCAGGCCACCATACACCGCGGTCGCAACCACATAGGTGAGCACGTTAAGCGACAGCGGGATGTACAGATCAGCCCGGCCGGCCCGCGCGACAAAAAACACCAGCACCAGGTACTGGATGCTGAACAGCACCCGACTCGTCACCAGCGTGTAGCACAGGATCCGGAAGTTGTTGTTGTTTCCTTGCGGTGTGCCCGGCGCAAACCCGGACCCGACCAAGGCAAAGCCCACAAACACCACCATCATGATGGTTTTGCACACCCGGCTGTAGATGCTGTCGTTCTCGAACCGCACATCGTGCAGCACCGTGTGGAACCAGGTGACCCAGATGATAGCGAAGAAGCCGATGTACGCGAACAGCGTGGAATGGTTGTTGATGTAGTGGTAGGCCGTGAACGTCGCGAGGTTGGCGACGAAGAAGAGGTCGAAGAACAGCTCGAGCGTGCTGGCTTCGTGGCGTGGGGCGAATACGAGCTGCTTCTTGTCGACGCCTTGCAGCGGGTTTTGGATCCATGGCACGATGCTGTGGATACGGCGTTTGTGTCGTGATGCCAGGCTAAACGCGTGGTATGTTAGTCAACTCACTGTTGCATTCTTCTTCAAAGTAAACAAACTGTTGTGGGGTTCGACTTACACAGTCTTTTGCCGCTGGAACGCCGGCATGCGCATCGTCCGGGATCTCTCAAAGGGAGCCATGTTGGGCAACTGCCACTCCTCTTTGGACACACGATAGTCGTTGAGGGAGGAACTGAAGTTGAGGAGGAACCAGTCGATCTTCTACCTCAAGAGGTGCCCAGCTTGGCGCGCTGACAAACTGAGAAGGGAGGGACGGCTTCCAAGATCCATTCGACTTGGCGAAAGCTTCTTTTTCGTTACGGGTCTAGACTGGCTGCCTGCTTTGCCCCGGGCACCAACCTGCAACGCCCAAACCAATGATCATGGAACATATTTTCGGCTACGAGCGTGCGAAGGAGCGAGGATAGACATCTCACCTCAGCCACGACGTCGGCATTGGACGATTGGACGAGACGGGGTTGCTTGCTTGGGGGTCCCACTCGGCCACGTTCCCGAATCCTTTGGCCGGGGAGTCAAGGTGCTTGTTGACTGTGCCTGAAGCCTGCCTGCTTGCGCAGGGTTCCGGTCGAAAATCATCCCCCAAAACAAACCCGCTCGTCTTCTCGTTTGCACCCCCAAAGCGGCTCTCTTCCCACGCTCAGCCCATTTTCTGGCTGGCCCGCCACGGAAAACCCCTCCCGAATCTGGTAGGGTCGTCAGCGCTAGAGCGGCCGCGGCGGGGATCATTGGCCCACAACTTCAGGGCTGTGTTTACCAAAAAAATATGCAGCACAACATGCCAAGCCCCTTCCACCCAAAGTCCCCCAACATCAGTCGATCATGAAAAAGACGCCCTCGCGGATTGGGCACAAAACGGGCCAGCCAAAAAACCCCGCTCGTACCTTGGTGTATGCGCTGGCAGTCTTGCAGGAAGACAGAAAAGGGAATCAAGAGTCCTCACTCCTCCCTTTCGTGCTGCCCAGTCGGGCCTCTTCGCCCCTCGTGAGCGTCTGTCTGTATCGGTGTGTGACGGTGTGATGTGAAACATCCCGAGACCATTCGCGCGCCGGGCGTAACTCGAGAATCTCGGGGCCAAGCCTCAATGCTGAGCTGAGGACATCTTATCTTGTGCGTTTCCCACTCGTATTGTCATTCTCATCGCTCGCTCGGGTTTAATCGGTTTCTCAATCGTTCTTGGTGTCGGGGCGGCCGTTGGGTCTTAGGGCCATGCCGATCAATGCTTGGCCAACGAGGGGATCATGATGGTGGACCATCGGATGTGCTTGGGCGGTGAGGTCGGACGAGAGTTCGCGTGTGGACCTGATCCAGAAATAGCTACCTCTGCGATTTTTTTCTCCGAGACAGAAATGAGCTAGAGAGATGAAACATTTCGTCCCTTTTTCTTTTCAGCCCAAAACAGACGCCATGAGCCGACTAGCGGCACGAACGCAGCTTCTCAAGTTTCGTGTTCCAGCTCGTCGGGATGTAACGAAGAGGTCGAATTAGCCTTCGAATGTTGGGACCGTTTTTGGAATGCAAAGTGGCTGTGCCGGCGCTGCAAACCTGCAGGTGCGCACCGTGCGGTCTGCAAATCTATCCCTGGCCGTGGGGTTGGCCACTAACCAAAAGTAGACCAGCACGCCAGCATTTCTGGCAATATCAATGCGACTTTATCAAGGCAACAGAATTAGTTGTCGACGCCGTCAAACTCGTGGCTGAAAGTCCACGCTGTGTATGGTCATGAACGGGACGGGGCATATCCAGTTAGGCAAGCTGAAAAGTTGGTGATTCCCGTTACCAACCGGGTCTGATCAACATTTCCCTATCATGTGGAACAAACGACGGGTCATCATGCACACAACATACTTCCCGATTAGTGATATCAACTCTTGCACCACCGCGGCTAGACCAAATAAGCGGATCTCAAAACTGGAATGCAAGCAGAAGCTAAGACTGTTTAAGGACTACTGCATATAAGGCGACCATTTGTACAATAGAATGTAAAGTAAGATATCAGTAAAAAGTTAAATCTCAATACATCATTTTAAAAGTTTCGTATGAAACAATCTAACGAAGTAATTAATCTGGAGGATTGCTACAACAAAACTCTCCACCCCTCCCATAAACGTTGATTACATGTGCTCTTCTAAGTTTCAGGCCCTTAAGAAAGATCTTGTTACGGAAACTAGTTGGGCACTGGCGAAAACTCAAGGTTGGTCAAATTTGTGCTAAGTAATTACCATCAGAGATTCATCAGTTACGCTCACTCAAAACTGGGAGAGCCTTGTAAACATTATTTTCAAAATCGATAACTAAATGCTTTATTTATATTTGAACCAGAGCTGAAGACCAATGTCAATTGAGATGTATCCGGCGGCCATCAATGTGCAATAAAAGTGAAAACCTACCCAAACCCCTCTTACTTCCTTCCTTCCCTCCGATCTTTCATCCCCTCCGCCCTTTATAACCCACCCTTTCGGCACCTGTTTCCAACGACCCCCCCATCTGGCAAATGCGTTGACCCGACGGATGGCGCATTTGGGGGGGCGCGGGCTGCCCCGAGCATGCCCGCTGTGTCCCGGCCCGGTGAGTTCGACTAGGGGCCGGGCACTTGAGTAAAACTCACTTGTGGGTTTTCGTAGCTGTCTACTGAGCTTTCCTTCGGGAAAGGGGATGTGGGCGGTGAGCTTTTTGTGTTGTTTTCGTTATTTATTTTTCTCTCATTCTTGTATCTCTTTTTTTCTTTGATGTTTTCTGCACTTTTAAATAAATAAGTTAAACGGGTGAAAGTTGGTTTACCGTTTCTGGATCTTCAAAGTGGTGGGGAATTATTTCAGGACAAGCACTCATTCTTCATGAGATTGAGAGACGGATGGGGATTGACCCGGTAAGAGACCAGAGATGTACGAATAGTTATAGTCCATTCCATTTTCGAGTCCACATTACATAACATATACTGTCAACGACTGACTTGCATGAACCCAACGGCTAAATCGCTTGCATAGGGGTATCTATCTTTGTACTAACTACCGCCCGCCCGCCTCTCATGGCTCGGGGAGGACCTGGTTGCTCGGAGCATCCCCTGCCCAAATCCATTCTTCGCTGGGATGTGCGACGAAGCCGAAGCATTGACCTTGCAGGTACCGTGTCATTGTTTCGAACACGCGAACACAACGGTTGTCGAGCATCTCTGCCAGCGTGGTCATATCGCGCCAGTCCATTCAGCCCCCACCTCCCTTCCTCCTGTCTTGCTGGTCGCGTTGGTATTTTACCAAGTACGACGATCATCAGTTGGCGAATATCCTCACATTGAGGTCGACACTCCCCGTTGCAAGAACACACCGGATTTGCGCATCTGTAACAGCCGCTGCTGCTGCCTTGCTAGCCGCCCCATTCGATGCCCCTCCCTCGCCATTCGTCGGTGGAACTTCCTTGGCCACCGAAGGGGCCCATCGGATACACTGCACAAAGTGCCCGTGGGCGTCGGATATCGTCTTGACACATCTCCCTTCTTGCGCTAGGTCCCAACACCGTAGCGTGTAATCGTCCGCAACGGAGAGCAGATACTTCCCACCGGGGTGGAATACAAGGCCGCGGACCCAATTGTCGTGCCCAACCAGCACTTTGATGCACGTGCCTCGGGCATCCCAAAGACGGATGGTCTTGTCTCGCGAACCCGTGGCCATGAATTCGACGGGGCTCGTCGGCGGCGGCTTCTTAGCACCGGCGATAGCCGCTAGATGGGGATATGCGGTGGCGGGCGCGATGGTGCAACAGAGTACTACGTGCTCGTGACCGATCAGTGTTGTTTTTGGGTCGGGATTTGCGGCTGATATATCCCATAACCGGCCGCTATAATCATCGCTCGTGGAGAGGATAAACTTCCCATCGATCGATGGGCACACGTCACGGACCCATTCCGCATGCCCCCTTAGCGTCTTGATGCAGTACCCTGTGCTCACGTCCCATATCCTCAGTGTCTTGTCCCGGCTAGCGCTGACCAACAAATTCCCGGTGCCGCCCGCGACACCCGAGGGGATGAATCGTACAGCGCTGACGCTGTGGTCGTGACCTGGTAGCGTTCGGATGTTTTTGTACTCGTCTGCCGGGTCCCACAGTTTGATCGTAAGATCTGAACTGCACGACGCGAGCAGGGTGTTCCCCCGCGGCCCTCCGAAGTCAACGCTGAGTACTGGTTTGGTGTGGCCTTTAATGGTCCGTTCAAGCTCCCCGAGTTCCCAGTCCCAGATTTTAATTGTTTGGTCTTCGGATCCAGAGGCGAGTGACGAGAAAACGGGGTGAAATGCGACGCATGTGATGGGGTTGCGATGCGATTGGAGGGTGTGCCTTGCAGGTGACTTTGGTAGCCAGTTGATTGGATCCTTGTTTTGCCGTGATGTCGGCGTCGCGTTATCGAGTTCGGATTGTAGGGCGAAGTTGCGCGATTCGAGGTCCATAATCTGCGAAGAGAGTCAGTCAGGCACCGGACCTCCACGAAAGACCGTGGGGAGGTGGGCGGGAGGAAGTAATGCCCATGTTGGAACGGTGCTGAGGCTTACCTTCTTCTGAAGTCGAACTACACTCGTCCACTTTTTTTCCAACAGGCCTTCATATTTCTTTGCCGTTCCCGCGTCAAAAACATCCTCGCCGAGCCCCAATTCTGCCCGTAACGCTGCGGCAGTGCTTGTGAGGTTGTTGGAAGAGAGATATGCTATGAGAGCTCGGTGTCTGCTCGCGCGTTAGTGCCCGCACGCGCAACCTGTTGGTAGACCGTCATGCATAGCCGGCAGCCGGATGCACTACCTACAGCTCCTCAGCCTGCCTGGGGGTCAATATCTGGCTCATTCTGGTGCGCAGTGAGTCGTTTGCAACGCCTTGTTGGCGGGGTGCGAGACAACTGCTGCGAGCTAGAATGCTAGGGTGATCGAATCGGCGGTCACGGAGCCGTAGTCGATCGCTTCGTCGCTACGAGATCAGGGGTTGCTGGGAACGGATGTGGCAGTTATCGAACCACGAGCGCATCGCCGTAGGGCATGCCGCTCGCCCGTTGTGCTCAGGAACGGCTCGATGAAGTTGTCGGATGCGTTGTTTGTCGGGAGTTCGACGGATGTTCGACGGATCGGTCTTCAGCGGATGGGGCACCAAGGGTAGGTCGGGTGGATCTTGAAGTTCGAGAGCAACAAAGGTCGCGTCTTGTCGTCAAAATTCGGAATATTCGCGCCCAAGAAGATTCTAGAATGCGAACCTGAAAAGGGAGTTGTGGTGTTGGGAAGCTTCGGCTTGGCCTTCTCGTCTATCCGAACCGCTTTTCGAACTTGGAGCAACAATGGCGGGGCAAATGAGACTTTGAAACCCTGGGGATATTTTGATGGCACTTGTTGTCGGTGCCAAGGTTTCGCTGGCCGCAGATTAAGAGCTGTCAATCCGCGAGAAGGAGCTGTTGACAGCTGGCACTACAACGCTGCCAGCACGCGGGGGCCAATAACGAAGTGACGTCGCGAACAGCAGCCGGGGTTTCTCCGGCAATCGGTCCCAACCCCGGCACATGTCAACAAGCCCAGCAGCCAAATCAGGCTTCGCGCCCCGCCGTCTTGCAGCGAACACCCAGCGCAGGAGCCACACAAACAACGCAGGTGTCGCAGACAAGTAAATATTGATCGCTGAAGAGAGACTTTGCGCTTTTTCCTTAGGGGCTTTTCAATACCCAACTCCGGCTCTTACTCATAGGCTTAGAAGGAGACATCTTCTTTTCGGTACGTGGCTTTAACATCCAGCTTGCAGCGACAAACCAGGCCCCCGCCAAACAAAAACCAGGTCGCCCCGGACAAGGCGCCGGTTGTTCCTTGCACCCACCGCCAAACAAGAAACCTCAAGCCACAGTGAGCCCCGGACTGACAACAAATCGCAGCACATCCACAACACCAGCCCCGAAACACGCAGGCCAGTCGCGCATAGCACAACCCGCCTTTTTCACCAATCCGCGGAGCACAAAGAATCCGTGCAGACCGCCGAACCACTGGGTGCATCTGCTCGCTCGTTTGTACGTACCAAGGTAGGTTCGTCCCACTTCACGACCCCTACTCCCACAAGATAGGGGTATGGACGATTGGATTACTTTTTGCCGCGAGCTACGGTGCACACACATGCCAGCGAAGCAATAGATATGACCAAGCACAGCCCTTTCTCTTGGATACTAACCAAAAACACCGTTTCTCCAGGGCGGAAACCGGAGAGCCCTGACAGCGCCAACCCCGCCAATCCCCAACAGCGACATCCTGCCGAGCGGGAACGACCAAGATCGGGCCTACTTCGTGCAATCCTTAGATATAGCTTCAAGATGGCGGAAGAAGAAGATTTTAGCTCCCTCCCTTTGACAGACCGCTGGACCCACAAGGTAGGCGTCGTCGTGGACATTCGGTGTGGCCTACTCGGCACTCGCTGACATCTTGCTTTTTTGGTTTGAATTAGGTGTGGAAAGTCCGGAAGCAGGCATACGAAGAAGCGGCGCAATTATTCGAGAAGACCCCCGACGAATATGACCCAGTATTCCGACCGTTTACCCAAGATCCAGGGTTGTGGAAATCCGCCGCAGGCGACTCCAACGTGGCAGCACAGCAGGAAGGTTTGGCAGCGCTGTGCGCGTTCCTGAAGTTTGGTGGTCGCGATGGCGCGCTACGAGCTCGACAACACGCAGTAACACCGATTGCCGAGAAATGCTTATCCTCCACTCGTGCGGCCATCAAGACCTCCGCTGTTGAGGCGCTACTGCTCTTCATCGAAGTCGACGTTCCCGGGCCTGTCATCGAAGAAATCCTCCCGGTTCTCTCGAGCAAACAGCCGAAGGTTATCGCCGCGGCGCTCGCCTCCCTAACTCAGATCTACCACAATTATGGCTGCAAGACTGCCGATCCGAAACCAGTGCTCAAGTTCCTGCCCAAGGTTTTCGGGCATGCCGATAAGAATGTCCGTGCCGAAGCAACAAACCTCGCAGTCGAGTTCTACCGGTGGCTTCGCGACGCCATGAAGCCCGTGTTCTGGAATGATCTGAAGCCGACACAACAGACGGACTTGGAGGCACAATTCGAGAAGGTCAAGGCGGACGGAGCACCGAAACAGGAGCGGTTGTTGCGGTCACAACAAGCCGAGAAGGAGCGTGCGCCCGCTGGCGGAGGGGAGGAGGAGTACGAGGAGGACGGCGGCGAGGCTGACGACGCCGGTGAAGCGGATGCCTTCGATTTGGCCGAGCCTCAAGACGTTGTTGGAAAAGTCCCCAAGGATTTCTTCGACAACCTGGCGTCCTCGAAGTGGAAGGAGAGGAAGGAGGCATTGGAGGCCCTGTATGCCGTCGTCAACGTGCCAAGGATCAAGGACGGAGACTTTCACGAAATCAACCGCTGCCTTGCCAAGTGCATGAAGGACGCCAACATTGCGGTCGTCACACAAGCCGCTCAATGCATCGAGCTTTTAGCCAAGGGTCTTCGGAAGGGCTACGCGAAATACCGCGCCACTGTAATGCAGCCCATCATGGAGAGGTTGAAGGAGAAGAAGGCAACTGTCGCGGACGCCCTTGGGGCGGCACTCGACGCTGTGTTCCTGTCGACTGACCTTACCGAGTGCCTCGAAGACATCACCACATACCTTGTCCACAAGAACCCGCAGGTTAAGGAGGGGACGATGAAGTTTCTGGTTCGGTGTCTGAGGACAACTCGGGATGTCCCCGGAAAACAAGAGATTGCCACCATTGTCGGATGCGCCAAGAAACTGCTTTCTGAATCTAGTGAAGGTCTCCGTGCTGGTGGTGCCGAGATTTTGGGCACTGTGATGAAGATTATCGGCGAGCGAGCTATGAACCCTCATCTAGAGGGCCTCGACGACATCCGAAAGACGAAAGTCAAGGAGTTCTACGAGACGGCGGAAGTCAAGGCCAAGGACAAGCCAAAGCCGCCACCTCCGGCTGCACGAGCGCCGCCAGCCGCTGCGAAGAAGGCTGTTGGTGGTGCTAAGAAGTCGGCGCTTGGTGCGAAGAAACCTCCACCAGCTGCCGCAGCCCCCGCCGAGGCACCCTCGGCCCCTGCCCCTCGCGCGGGTCCTGGGAGTAAACTCGGCATGCCTAAGCCGGGCGGCCTGGGCGCTTTGAAGGCCCCTCAGAAGCGTTCATTAGCAGCGCCCGGCGGTGCTTCACCCAGACGACCTGCCCCAGCCCAGTCACCGCCTCCAGTGGAGGAGGAAGAGCTGCCAGCGTCCCCACCTCCAGCAAAACCCGCACCACGCATGGGCCTTGGCCGCGGTGGTCTCGCCGGCCGTTCTTTAGCGAAGCCCGCAGCGCCCGGTATGCCCGTTGCTCCACCATCCCCAACACCTGCATCGGGTTTGACGGCGATTGAGCGTGCCGAGCTTGAAGAACTCCGTGATGCGAACGAACGACTGCTCAAGGCCCTCGACGACGCGAGACACGACCGGTCGAAGTTGATGTCGGAGATCCAGGAGCTCAAGAACCAGAATGCGGGCCTTATCGAGGACCACACAAGGGATGTGCTTTCCATTAAGGCGAAGGAGACGCAGTTGGTCAGGGCGCGCAGCGATGCCGACGCTGCGGAACAAACCAACGACCGACTCCGGCGCGAGCTGGACCGCTTGAAGCGTGCCTTGAGTAAGGCCGAGGCACTCAGTGGGCCAGGTGGGCCTGGCAGCCCCAGCTCCCCCGGCGGACTTGGCTTCCGGACTATGAGCCCGACGCAGGACGAGTTTTACCGGGATCAGTCCGCGGGCAGGCATCGGATGAGCATTGTCAGCACGCTCAGCGAGGAGAAAGAGAACGGTGAGGGTTTGCCTCATCCGTTAAGCAAGTATACCGGGAGCAACGCAAGTAGCGGGCGTGCGAGTCCAGCAAGAGGGTTCCGCCGCGACGTCAGCATGGAAGAGAAGGAACCAAGGGCCGCCGAGGCTCCTCCGGCGTACAGTGAGCGGGCTGGAAGTAGGACGGGTAGCAGGACGAGTGGAAGGGAGACGCCTTCCGGTGGGGGTAACGGTGCCACGTCTGGGATGGAGAGCTGGAAGAGGGCGGCCGAGGTCACGAGCCAGCTCAAGGCACGGATCGAGCAGATGAAGGTGAGAACACTCTCGCACACAACTACCGAGTAGATGGGTTTCGTTGCTAACCTTTTACAAACAGGCAAAGCAAGCTAGCAGGCCGCAGTAGAATGGTCGCGCTGTTAGTAACAAGGGTCCAGTTATCCCGGAGAGGGCCTCATCCGCCACGATGAAACCGCCTCCCCCACCTTCGACTTGACTATCCCGGGCTGTTTTGTTTCTCAGGGGAAAGAGATACAAGGAAAAGGTTTCTTAAACTTCGAACCGGATTTTGGGTTCTTCACATGATGGAACGGGTGGTGGTGCATTTTTTCCCAGGCGTTGGTTCGGGATGAGAAACAAACCATACCCCTTCCCTCTCCGGGCCACGCTTTGGGTTTTGCTCGTTGTGGTATGTACACGGTAGTGCATTTTGGGGTTATGGTGACCTGTCTTCGGTATTGTAGTTCTCAAGGCAGGTGTGGGCTGGTTATGATAGCTGGGGTCGCTTAGTATCTTGTGGGAATAATTCGTGTTTTACTATTGTTAATCCTGCTATTCCGTTGCTGTTGTTGAGCTAAGTAAGTTGAGCAAATTGCGTGTGGTTGCTTCGTGGCGGGGGTAAAGCAGATCTGTCTGACGGAGTGCTGGGTCGGGAAGTGGGTCACGCACCGTGAGAGGCTCATATGATGCATTAGCGGTCATGATCCACAACAAAGAGCTAAGCGCGGTTAGTTCAGTGGTTAGAATTCTCGCTTCCCATCTTCTCTTGGAATAGCGAGTGACCCGGGTTCGAATCCCGGATTGCGCACACCTTTTTTCTTGTTTTTCTAGAACCCTGTTCTATATCACTCACTTCTTTTTTCTGATACTTACGTTCTGTCAAACAAATATTACTGTTCATATCTATCGTGAGTTCCGAAAGGATACACAACAGAACGCGTAGTAGCGACTGCAACAACTGCCCCCAGGGCCTCGAAGCAATTAACGCTGCGGAGGTGTCACTGGCACAGCCCCCTTTATTCGCTCAACTCATCGCGTCTCCGGTGCCTTCGTTTGATCGTTCGGCGTAGCCGGGTACCAATCCCCTCCATACGTCCCATTCAACGAGACCGCCCCGACCACGTCCCCAGACTCCAATCTCATATATGTCTCAACTTCCACATCCTCTCCTACGCCCCCAAGCGAAATGACGACTTGTCGCGCGCCCCGGATCCAATTCCCGTACCCCCCATACCCGGTATGCTGTCCAAAGCAGAGATTGATGCCATTACTCTTCTGCGTCCTCTTTTCCTGTCCTTCGCCCTGGCCGGGATTTGTTCCGCCGTTCTCCCCCTTCCATGGCGCGCACCACGTATTTCCGTGATCATGCCCAAAGAACAAGGCCTTCACTCCGGGCGTTGTTGAGATGGCATTCCAAAACGGTTTGTCCTGCCCTCCGTACACACAGCCATCCCCTGTCGTTCCGTTGGCACACCACCCTTGTGCTTGGGTGGCGACGGGCACGTCGTCGTTGATTCCCGGGTGGTGATGTGCTTCCCAGTTTGGGTCGCTTTGGGATGCGCGTTGTTCCTGCAGTGTTAGGGCTGGGTATGGGGGGATGTGGACGAACGCGAGAGAGGGAATGGGTTTCTTGTTGGGGCTTTGGCGGGTGAAGAGGGTGTTGATGTGGGTGAACCAGTCCGCTACGAGCGGGTCGACCCAGTTGGGGAGAGGGGTGAGTTTGGTTGGGTCAGGCGTGGGTTGGTAGCGGAAGCCGCCGCGGCTGTCGAAAAACCAGAGAAGCAGCGCGGGGGTGCATCCGTGATGCTTGTGGTTCAGGGGGTCGAACGGGAGATTCGTTGCCGAACAATCGGGGCCGTAAACGGGGAGATAGTAGTTGGACACTCCGACATCTTGTTCATCAGGGAAGGTCTGTTGCGTCCGAGTTCCAGGCCAACGGCGCTCGCGCGCGAGAATGTGGGAGCCGGATATGTTAACATGGTTGTCATGGTTACCGTAGGTGGATGCCCAAGTAAGGCCATGGTGAACAAGCGGCTGGACAATCTTATCGATGTAGACGGTGCTGTTCTCATGGAAAGAATTGTCGCCAGTTATGAGGTCGCCGTTCAGCACCGCCAGGTCAATGTTGGGCTCGGAGTCAAGGATGCTGTTGATGACCTTCACGCTTTGGACATCTTGGCGTGGACCCCAGTCTTCCCAGGCATCTAACATGGGGCGTACCATGTTAGTCAGTTTAGCGGGGCGCATCAGGAATTGTGACTTGATTATTAGACGTACTCTCGCCAAAATGCAGATCCTCAAAGATGGAGAGGTGGAACGTTCCGGACGGGCCGAACTTAAGAGGGGGTAGGGCGTTGGGTTGGTGAGGCCATGGTAGGCGTGCTTGACCTTGGTGGGCACCAGCAGACGAGGCAGTAAAGGGGAGGTTGAGAAAAGCCAGCGTCGTTGACACCCAGGTATGAACCCGGGAACGATGGTGTTTGGAATCCATGCAAATTTCTCGAACTGGCCGTTTCTTGTCGCCTCGACGCGTTCTACAGTTCTACTTGACTTGCGGCATTCCGTTGTTGAAATTGCTCGGCGCCTTAAGGTTTTAAGCTTGAAAACTTGATGGAGACTTTATTTTTGGGGGGTATATCGTGGGCGCGTTTAGAGAATATATATATGGCCCACCGCAGGGTTGGTTGATTGAGCTTTCCTTCAAACAGGTGCCATGCTGCACGCACGTGGCTAAATACCCCGCGGGAATGGAGCGGTGAAAGCAGGAACAACCGACTACCTAATAAACTCGGTTGAGCTATAATTGATGAGCCGACGTTTCCCGCGCATGCCATAATTAATACCATACCTGAATTATTATCACGGTACGGTCACTACGGTTAATGTCCGGAAATACCAGTTTACACAGGATCCTGGGCCGCATCGATCTCATCCCAATCGTGACGTGTTGAACTCATCATCTCCATATCTACATAAACGCATCGTTGGCTAGTATATACACGACTCGAGAGCCAAAGGAAACGAATATACAAGAGAAAGCCAGATATCCGGCGAACCAGCACACCAATTCCGCCACCAAAACTTTATTTAGTACCCGCCAGCCGAGCAGATGGAAGAGGCCTTGCTGGCCTGCGCAGCATAGCGATCAGGGTAGGCCGAGACCTGGACCTTCTGGCACAGGGTGCCGACGGCCATAGTCTTCCAGCCCGAGATACCGACCATCTTGACGAGGAACTGGTGCGCCGAGCGGGCGGGGTCCATGTCGGCGGCAATGTTGGGGTAGTACATGGCGCGCTGCTGGAAGATGCCGACGCTGTCGTGGTCGGAGCCGATGGCATCGTGCGCGTAGTTGAGGGACGAGGGGACGGCGCGGTTGGCGTAGACAAGGATGTTGGACTAGAAGGGGGGAAAGGTTAGCACTCTTTCTATCTTCACTTCATTATTTTCCTTCCTGCAAATGGGAGAAACTTACCTCGACGAGAGCAGTGGCGATGGCAGCCGAGCAGCCGTGATGGCCAACAGCATCCTTCTTGGCCTGGGCAATGATGGCCTTGGCATGGGCGCTCTGCACGCTGTTAAGGCCGGGCAGGTTGCCGCCGGTGCTGCACTTGCCGACCACGTAGCCGGAGGTGCCGGTCTTGACGTAGTAGTCAGCGACGTAGCAGCCGTCCGTGGTCTTGTCCCAGAGGGTGTCGCCGTTGACGCTGGGGCCAGTGGTCTGGCAGCTGAGCTTGATGTCGACGCCCGCCGCGTAGGTCTTGACCAGGGCGTAGCTGGTACCGGGGCCCTTGCGGCAGTTGAGCGCGGCCTTGGTCGGGTACGCGCTCACCATGGGCGCGATGGCCGCAAGGAGGACCGTGAGGGTGGTGGGGAGTTGCATGATGGATAGAGGGAAAAGTGGTGTTTTTGGGGAAAAGATGTAGGAGATCTGCTGATGATGTCGAATGGGAATATCGAGATGGGCTCTGGAAGACCCTCGAGGCTTTATACCTTTCACATCGCGGCTATCGTCCCAAAACACCGTCTGGTGGTATCTTTAATTTTAGATCCGATCTATCGAGATCTTTCGTCCTTTCCTTACACCTTCCACGACCAATGAGACCCTCAAGCCCCTTTGCTTTCGCCGCTAACTCTGTCCAACAGTAACGTCAACCCCAGCTTCCCCATTCCGCCCCTTTTTTTCCGACTTCGAGACTGGTCCGGTGTTCGCCAGTGCAGACGGGTGTTACATCGGCCAAGCGGAATAAGCTTTCCTTTCCTCTCGAGAGCCTCGGTGTCGCAATTTGGCCGTGCGGGTGTCAGTGGCTTGAAGCTGTGGCACTGGCGGGGGATTGTTGGTTCAACGAAGGGGACACTGGGGATTGTGGTTCATCCGAGCGCGGGTAAGCAGCAGGGTCCGCAGGGGGGTTTATTTTTGACTTGTGGGACGATCGTCGCCAAGGCGGGCGAGCTGGGGCAGCTGAAGAGGCCCAGCCAACCCCGAGTCTGGACCCAGGCATGTGTTCAGCCCTGAGAAGCTCTCGAACTGGTGTTTTCCCCTTGAATGACGTGCATTAGGTACAGGAACTATTCGAAGGGCTGTTGAGCCCCCTCAGGACCGTCACAAAAAACAAGCCGCCGACTCGGAATTACATGCAGCCTGTGGACTTTTAGGGCTTCATTCGCTCGTTCGGTCTTTAGCGGCAGGAGGGGTTCGCGGCTCGCGCCGAACGGGTTATTGATGAATGGCCTTCCCAATTAGGAAGGCCGCCGCTCCCAGTGAGTCGGGAGGGAAGATGGGCTGATTCCATGTGTTTGATACAGTCCGGTACGTTCCACGATTCCACCCACACGCACCCGGGCTCTTTTCACCGGAGATCAACCACCACGTGGGTGTCAGAGCCTCGGAGGCAAGCGGCTGGACCCTGCTCAAAATATCGAACAACCAAGCGGAGAAAACTCTCCATAATAAGCCCAGATCGGATGATCCACGGACAAAAACCGGACTAATAAACCCAGCAAGCCCGGTGGAAAACATCCCCGAGTCCCTCACGTTTCATCCCCGATAAGCGGGACAACGTGGGAGTAAAAGTGGCAGGCAATAAGAGGTGGCGAAGCAAGCGGTAGTTAAACAGTAAGATCTCGGGGCATCTCCTCAACAGAAAAAAAAAAGGAGATAAAAAAAGAACAGCGCGAGGAATATCGGGGCTCAACTAAATGACCACCACACCAACCCCTCATCATGAAATGCAAAGCCTTCGGTCTTTTCAGAGTAACATCATCGTTTCTTCCACAACGTTCACGAATGCCATAAGGTACAGCCAACACCAACTACCCGAGACTACCACTCGGTCGCGAAATCAGAAGGAATGATTTTGACATGCTGTCAACATGCCATGCAACCCAACGTACAGCAGTCTACACTCCACTAGTTACGGTAGGGATGCCCCCCCACTCACACAGACGCATGTACCGATGCAATCTCTCAGCTTCTCCGCATAGAAGAGGAAGAACTTGCGCATACTATGCACATTCATTGAGTGGGTAATACGTCATGCCGAGGTTGATTGAAAGCTCTCGGAGCTCACCGTGCCCTTATCCACCCATCTGCCCGGAAAGATCGGGACATACAACCCATGAGTGAGGTCGCGGAGGAAATGAAGGAGAATGTGGCGTGAGGCTTGACACTAGACCGAAAACATCACAACTACCAGTTAATGCAAGTAAAACAAAGAGAGAGAAGTCAGAGACAACAGCACCCGCGCTGCTCCTTTATTGAGTCTATCTGATACCCCTTCAACCCCCCGTTGAGCCCCGCTCAAGCTCAGCCCAGCTGGTCTATGTTTCTAACCCCTATCCCTCACTCACTCTCCCCCAATCCAAAGGAGGACCCGCCCCTTGATTAACTAATCCTCCCATCCCATTCCCGTTCAACATCCCAAACAAATGCTTTCCGCTTCCGGATCCCCGGAAAAGAGTGGCGAAGGCGAAAGCATTTATTTGATGCCAGTACCGCCGCAGTAGCGGCAGACCTCCGAGGCGGTACCCGTTCCCTGGCACGGGCTGCACTTCTTAGGCTGGGTGTAGGTAGCCATCTTAGTGCCGTGGCACTTGGAGCAGTTCTGGCCAGTGCGCGGGTTCTTGCCGTTGCGGCACCCGGCGTTGCACATGGCTTGGAAGGTAGTGGTGCCGTTCTGGCCGGTTCCGTTGCAGCGCCCGCATTGGAGGGTGTCGTAGCCCTTGCCGTGGCAGCCGCCGCAAGCTGTGAGAAGTAGTTAGTAGGGATTGGGGATTGTTTGGTTGGCGGGTGAGGGTTGGAGTGATGCTACTCACGAGTGGTACGGGGACGGTTCATGGTGAAGGTGGAAAGTTAAAAAAAAGTGGTTGGTTTGGTTGGTGGTTGGTGAGTGAGTGAAGATGCTGATGCTTCCGCGCTGCGGTTGCTTAAGATGCTGAAGAGAAGATGCTGAAGTGAAGATGTTGATGAAGTGAATGCTGATGATGAGAGAGAATAGCACCTTGAAGCAGGAGGGTTTGCACACTTTTATATCTGAGATGCTCCCTTTCTTTCGACGCCTGCCATAACCCTTTGCAACGAAAATCTCACAACTCAGGCCCATCACAGGCAGCATCAATCATGCCGTCGGCACATCGTACCCAAGGTTTGCCATCGTATCCAGGGCATCTCGTATGTCCAGACGCGCGCCGTGAGTGTCGACTAGGCCATCATCAGTCTGAATAACGGGTGCCTCACAAGGGGCCCCTATCGCCCCTGATGTCCCGTCGCACGGCCCAGACTATCGGTAATCGTATGTTCGTTCAAACGGCCTTGCCCTAGGTTACTAGCATCGAACAATGGCGTCGACCCAGCCAAGGGGTCGATCTGTGCCGCAAACTTAGTCATTTGCCGCACATCAAGTGTGTTAATAACACTAAAGGCGACCTTGGAGTCTGCTTACGTGTACTTACCCGTCGACCGTTTGCGCGCTAGAACACCGTCCATCTGGACTTTGGCTTTGCCCCAGCCAGTCAAATACCAGCTCTCGTACGAACTTCCCTGTAAAGGTCAAAGCTAAGTTCTATGAACTCGGTGGGCGATCTTTGCCGTAACCTTGTTTCCAACCCTTCTTGCGGCAAGAACACACACGACCCCAGACCACGCCACTGGGGCTTCTCTCAAACGAAAGGGCGGTCGGGGAAGGCACGGAGATTATCCTCAATGTGGTATTTCATGTCAGCTCAGCTAGATCGGTGGCCGGGGACGCCAACCCTTGGACCGTTAAGCTCTTGAAGGTTGATCCCGTCGTATCGCAGCTCGTAGACTCCACACTTTTGATCTTAGGAGAATCACTAACTTGGGAACATTCCCAGCTGGAAAGATTGGGCTGAAGCTTGCTCGTAAAATCTAACTTGAAGGGCGATGACCATGATGCTAGCATGGTAGGCATCCATACCTACCTTATTACGGTGATTTGTGATCATGAATTCATGGGCGGTGCGCAAGCGTAACGGAAACGACCTCCGCACAGACAGGGCGGTTAGGAAAGGCAACAACTTCATGATGAATTTAGGCGTGTGGAATTACTTCGTACGATTCGGGATCGTGTTTGAGAACGTGGGCGGGCCATGATGCGTCTTACTCGCGGCTGACGGGGTGGAACACTGGAAATGATACGTTGATGCTAATTATTTTTGGGACTTTCCCACCAAACTCAACCCAAATGGGTGAAAAACACACGGTCTTTTTTACAGCAATCAGTGATGCAAGAGAACCGGTCATGTATGAGACAAAGGCGCCAGCGTGGAATCAACATGGACTACGGAGTTTACCTTGGCGATGAACATTCCAGCTCAATGGCACGTGTGTGCCCAAGTGCACTCTCACACCCTAGCCGAGCCAACGCTGGAAGCGTTTCCGGAAATAACTAGCAGTTGAGGCACAAGTTAGTGAAATAAGAATTATACACAGATTTCGCCTTATTATTAATCACCGAAACCGGGCCGGAGTTAAAACTATCTCGGGCATAAGTTTGACCCCTGATTCTAGGTCCCAACCCTCCCCCTTCGTAAAATAGCGACATCTCCTTTTCCATTCGCTGCTTCACCATCCTTGTGGCCTTCATTGCAGTTTTAAAGCATGGATCAATGGTGTCTGTCGAGCTTCATATCACTGTGCCGCTCAGTTGGCACCTAGTTTGGACGGCGACACGATGTTCCACCCACTCATGGGCGAGCAGTGGTAGCCTAGGGTCAGGGGTTGTATCCCCGCTTGGCTGTGCCGTTGTTTACGTTTCTTATCAGTCATCACGGAACTGTATCATTTTTCGATGTTGTTCTTGGGTGATGCGCCGAAAATAGGGAATTGCGCTCGGTATTTGAAATTTAGGCTTGAATTAGGGAGCCTGGGGCAATCGGTATGCACACTTACACGCCTGGCTTGACTGCCTCACACGGCCACACACCAGACGGGAAGCTGGCCATATCCCGGGGATCATCTTTTATGGTCTGAGTCAGCATGATTTGAACCTATGAGGGGAGGAGAACGGGCGGAATTTGATTCCAGGTACAGGTTAAGTGACGGAATGTCAACATTGACTTTCCCTCAAATGGACTGGTCTTAGGCTCCAATGACCCGGAGCTAATTACGGGAACGTGGTCGCCCCAGGTTGATTTTGAAACAGGGTTTTCAGCCTTGATTGGAGGGAAGCCGGGTCGTGGAAATTTGTACCTCCGGAGTTTTGGTGAACTTGGATGGACTATAAAGGGTGGGCTGCCGGCGATGGGCTTGGTTGAGTCCCTCAGGTCATCTTGGCTCCTTAACCAGCGTCCATTTCGATGGCTTGTTTAAAGTGCTTTATCTCAAAGTGGCACCGCGTTAGAGGGCATGGCGATTTTTCTTCACTCTACTATAATTAGCTCCTCCGCTCAAATCGTCGCCAGACAACACGATCATGATGGTTTTTCTCGGCCCAAGACCGGTTTATCTTCCCATTAACGGCATCTGTCCCTGTTTGTCGAGATAAAGTGGGCTGACGGCCACGGGCTGGGTTTAGGGCGTTGAATAGTCCAATCCGTTGCGAGCGGTCGTCTGAGCCTGCCTTGAGGCGCGCGAAATGCGCAGTGGCACTTCACAACTCGAGGGCTTCGCCGGCGCGAGAATGGAACAACAAATCCAACAACCCATGATCCCCACGACCAGTGGCACCTAGTTTAGTGCCATCCCGCTGTTCTGTGCATCATATGTCCGAACTGTCTTGGAAGGAAGCAACCACGAACGACTGAGTAAAAGTTGGATTTCCGGAGAGGACCAGAGAGGATAAGGATCCTCTTGTGATTAATGGTCACGTCGATTCTCAGCTTGCTGTCCATTCGCCGGGTTATCATAATCGTGCTCTGGGCAAGAAATACTGCACATACAAACACTTATCAACTTAGGGTTGGGTGAAGCGAGGTGTCCTCGTTCTCCCCAGGGCTTGGCCGTCTTCCCTGGCTGCTCGCTTCGACCAACTTCGTTGAGAAACGGGAACCACAGTTTTGGTTTGCATGGCTTACTTCCTGCACCCAGACTTTCACATATTATCCGGCAAGGAAAAGTGTGAAAGCTCACGGGCAACGCCGCCTGCGTCAACGGCTTGACGCTAGAATCGATGAGGGTTGCAGTGCTTGCTGCAATGTACAGTGGTAGACGCCTTCGGTGTTTGATAAGGAGAGAGCCAATCGATATGACGTCGTGTGGCGTTCCTGGAGGTCTTCAGAGCCGTCAAAGGTGCTTTTGTGGGGTGGTGTGCAGAATGGGAATTTCCATTTTGTTCTCGGCGGATTTATGTGGAAGCCTGGAGCCTCAGGGGGTCACGGCAGGCAATGGTTGCCAACGGTGAAATGGAAGGAGCATTGGAAGCGGGTGCGGGGCATCCAGGCGGGGACCAAAGGTGGGTCGATATCCAAATCTCCAGGGCCGGGAAAGCTACCCTTCCTTTCTTTTGCGTGGAAGTTTCCCAGTACGCTAGGTCCATCTAGCGCAACACAAACTCCGCCACGATCGCCCTTGGTCCCTGGATTTGAGCCTGCTTTCATCGACAGCAGGTGTCGCCTGGCTTGATGCCGAAGCTTTTGTTGCCACGTTGGCTTCGGGACGGTTGCTATGTTGGGGCGATGCGGTGGATGCCGCAGTTAAGTTCATTCGATCCGTTTTCTCAGCCGCACGCCGACGACTAACAAAGCTATCGGTGACGACAACGAGTTATCACCACGTAAAATTCGGGGGCCACGATAGGCTGGAGGAACAGGCTTTTGGGGGCGGCACAGAAAATGGGAATTACCGCTACGCGCATTTGGTGTGGGTGAACGTTTTGTTTCCTGCGCAGTTCATCAATTCTTGAATCTGCCCTCTGGGTCCTCGCTTTGGGCCGGTATTTGTTCAGTTGGCCGCTCCCGTCGTCCCATGTTTTGCTGCTTCGCCCGACTCGAGATGAATTGCAGCCTGCGTCCCGGTCGATTCCCTGTCGCTGCCCAGGTTTCCGTACCATCACAGGCACGCAGACAGGCCCTGAGACGCAACGGGCCCACACAGCCTGGATCGGGCGATCAACCATGGTGTGTGCAGGCCGGGACAGGGGCTGAGCCATTGGAAACACCTCCTTGATTGGTCAACTGGCGCTGACAATGGGGGGTTCGTCCAGGGCTGCTTGTGGATGAGCTGGGGTGGTCAACCGCCGTTGCGCAGCGTGCAGTGCGGCGCGGCTTTCAGGCCCAGACGCAACCGGGAAATTCGCAACGGAAGCATACCGCCCACCGCGCACACGCAACGGCCCGGGCTGGAGGGAACAGAGCAGGAGTGTTGAGCTGTGCAAAGGGACCGACCCCAACCACCAAGAATTGCTCATCCGTCCATCGCAGACCGACTCTACACTATCGTCTTTGGTCCTCCCGCAGCCACCTTTAAACGCCCGGCATCTCGACGCATATCCGCCGCGGCCGCTGCCGTAAATCACGAACGCTTCGTCCCGAACGACCGAACCGGGGTCCATGTGCGAGCCGACTTCGAACCCCCCAGTGTCCACAGCCGCCTGTTGCTGCGCCATGTGGCCCGGTGCCTGAGAACCCACGCGTTTTGTGCCTTGTCTTTCTTGTCCTTCGCTCGGCTCCCGTTATTCTGTTTTGTTGGTGATACCTTTTCCAAGCTTGCATTTTTTTGTTCTGGTTGGTTTCCTTTTCGAGTGTATGATATTCCCGTCTCGAGGCGCCTGTCGCCATGGCTGCCGCTCCACGGCCTGCCCCGCACATCGATGCCTCGACATCCTGGTTGCTGTTGGAAGAGGAGACAGCCGAAGCGCGCCTGTTGGTTATGGTCTCGCAGGTGCTTGGCGTTAGCACCGACAGGGTCCAGGTGCACCAGTCGTTCCGGGAGCTTGGGGGCGATGAGCAGCGGGCAGTTGCCCTGAGGAAGGCCTGCATGGCCGCTGGCATGGACGTCAAGGTCAAAGACATCCTGCGTTGCGCGACCCTCGCCGAGCTGCAAACATGCATCACCCCCTGCGCGCCACCAAACCAACACTCCGCGATCGATCCCGCCGGTCCTGTCGAGGTCGCACCACTCGAGATCAAGCGAGCGAACCGCACGTCCATTATGCCCGAACCCACGGACGGTCAACTGCCAACACTGAGTCGCGCGGAGCGGGAGGAGGAACGACTACGATCACTCGAAAAGAAGAAAGACATTGGGGAAGCACTAGGGTCACAGCCTGAGGTCGGGAGGATAGTAGCTTTACGTCCTAAGGCTGGACTCCTGGATGGAAAACTCGTCGCACTTCTGACGCTATCGAGCGCCACCAGCACGGAAACGACAACGAATCCAGACAACCCGGCCGCGATCAGCCTCATACACCAGTCACACGTGCTCTTTGCCGGCACCCAAATATTACATCTCAAAGCCGCGGCCGAAGCTACGCTTATCCCACAGGCCATCCCAGATTTGTGGATCGTTTTGGACGCCATGCCCCTGACGGAGGCGGGCGCCGTGGACGTACGGCGACTACGGACCTGGGCACAAAATATGAACGAGGAGATCTACCACCAAGCGTTGAGTTTGGAGCACCAGGAGGTCCTACAAAGTCCGGAAACCGGGATGGAAAAGTCAATACAGAGGCTGGTCGGCAAGATTCTGGATGTTCCCCCCGGCCAAATTGGCGTGAACTTTTCCTTTTCGCAGCTGGGAGGCGACGAGATGACCGCGATGGAACTAGCGGCGAGATGCAAGCACGAGTCCATCTACATCAATCCTACGGAAGCCCTTGGGTCAATGTCATTATCCGAGCTCGCGGCGATTGCCGTATCTAGGGGCGGTCTGGCGCACAAGTGGGATGAGGAGACGTCCGATTGTTTCGATCTTTCTCCTATGCAACACCTTTATTTCCAGACCAGCATGGGTGGGGATTTGAGACGACGGCCCGCACTAGATGGGAGCTACCGCTTCAACCAGAGCCAACTTCTGCGGGCGAAAAAGGTGTTTTCCTTTGAGGACGTCTCGGCAGCCATCGAGGCCATTGTTGCCCACCACCCCATGCTGCGGTCTCGGTTTGGTCGGGGCTTGCACGGATGGGTACAAAGGATACTGCCCGACGTTGCGGGTTCTTACACTCTCAATCACGGCATGATTGGCTCGGAAAGTGATTTGCAGGCGGTCATCGAGCGGACACAACAGGCTATCAACATTGAGACTGGGCCCATCTTTGCGGTCGACTACCTCGTTTCCCACGACGGGCAGCAACTGGTGTATCTTGCGGCTCACCATCTCGCGGTTGATCTTCCGTCCTGGCGAACCATTATCCGAGACCTGGATGAATTGTTGGAAAACGGCAGCTTGCTGTCACAGAGGTCTATGCCCTTCCACAAGTGGGTGGACCTCCAGAAGGCGGAGGCAATGGGGCCGGACACTAAGGACCTTCTTCCTTACGAGCTCCAACCGGGTGACTATGCCTATTGGGGCCTGCAGGATACGCCGAACACCTACGATGACACAATAGAAGCGAATTTTACGCTGAGCCAAGAGCTTACCACCCTTCTCCTGACTTCTTGCAACGAAGTCTTCAAGACCGACCCGGCCGACGTGTTTCTCGCTGCACTGATGCTTTCCTTTGCCGAAACTTTCCATGATCGGCCTGTCCCGACCGTCTGGAACCAGGAACATACCAGGGAAACGTGGAACCCGGAGGTTGATATTTCCGACACCGTCGGTTGGTTTACATCACTATGCCCCATCAGCCTCAACATTGACACATCCGACGGTTTCATCAAAATCCTTCGCCAACTCAAGGACACCCGACGGTCGATACCTGCTCGAGGTGGCCAATATTTCGCTTCGCGGTTTTACCACTATGACAAGGAGGACCTGGCGGCAAAAGACTGGCCGTTTGAGATCATCTTCAGCTACGCCGGCGCCTTGGAAAACTTGGGGAAGGAGAATGGCATTATTGAGCAAATCCCCATCCCAGGCCAAACCCTTGTCTCACCTCACTCTGGAGTTGGGGGAAATGTCGGCCGGGTCGCGTTGTTTGAAGTGAACTCAGTGGTAGCCGATGGAAGCGCTAGGATTGTCTTCCTCTACAACCGCTTCTCTAAGGACCAGGCACGCATTGCACAGTGGGTCCAAAACTACGAACACTTTCTCCTCGAGGCTATTGGGAAGCTGCGTTACCACCCACAGGAGTTGACTCAGGCCGACGTTCCACACCTTGATGTCACGTACGAGGGCCTGGACAAGTTCAACACCGAACGCGTGGCCACGCTCAAGCTGGCCAGCGTTCGGGACGTAGAGACGATATACCCCGTCACCGCGGTGCAGCAAAGCATCCTCATCAGCCAAGCGCAGCGGCCGGACACATGTTATTTGCACGCCATTTATGAGTTTGCCTCGCCTAATGGTGACCCGATCGATACGGCGAGGATATGCACGGCATGGCAACAAGTGACTGTGAGGCATCCAGCACTCCGGACGGTGTTTACAGAAAGTGTCACCGAGACCGGTCTGTGGGACAAGGTCATTCTTCGCCGGACGTCACCAGACATGCTGTTCATCGATACCGCGCCGGCTGAGGATCCTGTCTATGAGTTGAGCAACCTGCCGAATTTGCGGCCGACAGAAAGCAAACCGCTCCATCGACTCACGGTCTGCAAGGCCCCCACGCGGACGTTGGTGAAGCTGGATATCAGCACCGCCCTCTGTGATGTGAGTTCAGTCGAGTGTTAACCTCGGTTATTTGTGTTTTGTCTTTCACTGACACGTCCCACAGTCCCTCAGCATCCATGTTCTCCTCCACGATTTGCGACGTGCTTATGCAACCGAGCGGGCGATCACCGACGCCGACCAGTTTTGGTGGCCACATTACCTCTACTTTCTCAAAACGGTCCGGCAGGAAAACAGTCTGGTGTTCTGGCGCGAGAAGTTGAAAGGGATTCCGCCGTGTATTTTCCCTCGTCTTAGCGTCCTGCCTGGCGAACTCGGCTACACTAGCACTTGCATCGAATTGGACATCACTTCATACCAGCTGTCCGCCTTCACACGAACTCAAAAAACGACCGTCGATGCCGTGCTGCGGCTTGCGTGGGCCTTCATCTTGCGATACTTCACCGGCTCGAGCCGGGTTTGTTTCGGTTACCAGACCATGGGGCGGGACGATTCTCTCCTCGGGATGAGGCACGCCGTCGGCTCCTTCTCCAACATTGTTGCATGCAACTACGAGCTCTCGTCCCACAGTCCGGTGTCAGCGGCCCTGAAGATGGTCGAAGATGAATTCGCCACCTGTCTCCCCCATCAACATTTCACTCTCGCCGAGCTCCAACATGCGATGGGCGTCAAGGGCGGTGATCGCCTGTTCAACTCTTGTCTAACCTTTACAGAAGAGCCCGCGGGTCTCAACAGCAAGTTTACCACCCGCACGAATTTTGAACTCAAGCCTATTTCCCTCCTGCAAACCTTTGACATGGACGTCGTCGTCAACACACGGTTTGCCAGCGGTAAGCTTACGGTCGACATTGGCCAGCGCATGATGTCGTCTGAGCAGTCCGTGAATGTTGCCAACACGTTTGGGAAGACGATCCGCGCGATCCTTGCGACTCCGAGCGCTCCCATCGGAATGGTAGAGCTGTTTAGCGACCGGGACTACGCCCAGATTGTGGAGTGGGAAGCGGAAAACCCGCCAGAAGTAGAGGAGCAGCTGCAGGATGTCGTTCATGATCTTGTATCGCAGCAGGCGGAGAGGCAGCCGTCCTCTCAGGCAATCTGCTCGTGGGATGGGACCCTGACATACTTGGAACTGGAGGAAGAGGCGACCAGGTTGGCGCATCACTTGGTAGATGCCGGTGTTGGGCCCCATTCGGTTGTGCCTGTGGTGATGGACAAGTGTCGGCTTGCGCCTGTTGCTATGGTCGCCGTCTTAAAGTACGTTGTCCGTTCACTATTTGTTTTGTGCCCCTAGTTCTGTTGACTAACGCGCATTTTTCTCTCAGGGCCGGCGGGGCGTTTGTCCCCATCGACTCGCAGGATCTTAACCTGATCCAGTCCATTTTCGAGCGTCTCAACTCTAGGGTCGCCATCTCCTCAGAGGCGGCCGCATCTGTTCTCAATAACCTTTTCGAGCGCGTTGTCATCGTATCTGACGAGTTGATGAACGTATTACCAAGGGGCCAAGGATCAATAACATCCATGGCCGCCTCGAGCGATCCGGCGTGTATTCTATTCGTGCCCACATCATCCAACGAAGCCAGAGGTGTCACCTTCAGTCATGCCGCCTTGTCAACAACACTCCGTGGCCAAGGGCCGGCAGCCAGGATCACACCTCTCAGCCGGGTGATGCAGCTATCTTCGTTCAAGGTGGACATTTGCATTTCCGAAATCTTCACCACGCTAGCGATAGGCGGCTGTGTCTGCATACCACAACCGATGAAGAACTTGGAGGACTTTGGTGATGCGGTCAAACGGATGCAGGTCAACTGGTCGTACATGACGCCAATGTTGTCACGCAAGATTGATCCGACGCTTCTCCCTTCGCTCAAAGTTGTGTGCTTCCGGACCCGGGGCCTTGACGAGGATACGTACAATATCTGGCACGGCAAAGTCAACGTGGTCTTGGCGTATGGCCCGAATGATGTGTGTCCGCTCGGTATCGCGTTTCTCGAAGCGCTGGGGCCTCATCACCTCAGGAGTATTGGGCGGCCATTTGCGGGAAATCTCCTTATTGTCAACCCGGAGGACCACAAGAGGCGGGTTCCGGTCGGCGCTGTGGGCGAACTTGTCATCGAAGGCCCGACTGTGGGGTTCTCGTACCCGAATAGGGAGTCCATGATGACCCCCATGACCCCCATTGGACCGGCCGCAGGGATCAAGTCCCGGCATTTCAAGACTGGGCACCGCGCAAGATACACGGAGAAAGGCTTGATCGAGTTCATCTCAAACAAGCCGGAGGGACTCGACAACAGTGGTAAGGCGTTGAATTTGACGGAAATCGAGCAGCACATGCGTCGGTTTCTGGGGCAAGGGGTGGACGTTGTGGTGGAGCAAATCACATTTCGTGGGCATGCGAAGAATGACATTCTGCTCGCTGCGTTTGTTGAGCTCAGCGACCGATTCAAGGACGACGAAACTCTCACGACACTGAGCGTAGGAACCAAGGAGTCCCTAGCACTGGCCAAGCAGTTTGTGGAAACCGGGATGAAGAACAAGTTCCCGCCTTCCATGATACCATCTGCGTTTATCCCGGTCAAGCAGTTGCCCATCACGGCATCGCTCAAGGTCAACAGACCCCGACTGCAGAAGATGATCGCTGGTTTGACCAAGGACGATCTCCTTAACTTGGCGACGGTCCCCAATTCCGCCAAGTTTCAGCACCTGAAGCCGTTACCCCTGACACAGGGCGAAGAAAAGATGAGAGCGATCTGGGCGCGCGTACTGGGCGTGGAGGAGGCCAAGATTTCGGCTGTTGATAACTTTTTCGGCGTCGGAGGAGACGACATCGTGGCTGCCCGGCTCGTGACCATGTGCAGACAGCAAAACATACCCATTTCGATCGCCGATGTGCTGCAAAACGCAACGCTCACAGATCTCAGCCGGGCCGTTGCCAGTGCTGACACACCACAGATTGCGCAAGACGACTCCCCGGCAGTGATTCCCGGCATCACGCCCCCACCGGCACCGGCGAATGCAGTTGCCCCGATCAAGGAGGTGTTCATCGGGGAGGTCATCGCGCCCGGGGTGGGAGTCGATGCAAGTGTTATCGCGGACGCGGCCGAGGCGTCGTCGGCACAGATCCGGTACATCGAGACGGGGATGCTTCAGGCCCGGACCAACATCAACCACCTCGTGTTCAACTTTTCCGGCGCGGTCGACTCGAAGAAACTTGAAGAGGCCTGCAAGCGCCTTGTCACGCTCCATCCCATTCTCCGCACCGCGTTCGTCCCGCACAATCGTCGGGTGTACCAAGCGGTCATCAAGCCGAGCGGCATTGAGTTTCGCCGGCATCACTCTGCAACTTGGCGCCTTTCCAACTTGCTCGAGAAGGTCATCAAGAAAGACCAAGCGATGCCCATCCACTTCGAGAACCCGGTGACCAAGTTCATGTTTCTCGACGGCGGCAAGCAATCGGTGCTTATCCTACGGTTGTCCAAGGCCCAATACGACGATCTCTCGGTTGCACTACTCGTTAAGGACCTGAAACGGTTGTACGATGGTTCCCAGACCCCTCCTCGTCGGTCAAGCTACTGCGAGTTCATTCGCACTACGCAGATTGCGAACTCACTGGCTGCGGAAGAGTATTGGCGCGCCCTGTTAGAAGGCTCGAACATCACGCAAATCGTCGGCCACCAGCACCCGTACGAGATGTCGATCAACGTCCAGACTGTGCGCAATCCGGCCTTGGCAATCGGGTCGGTCACCAGCTTTGGCCTAACCTTTGAAACCGTCCTCAAGAGCGCGTGGGCCATGGTGCTGGCTAATCTGTCGGCTTCGGATGATGTCGTGTTTGGCGAGGTGATCGAAGGCCGACGTATGCGGCTTCCTGGAGGCCACTCTGTGGCCGGCGTCATGGGGCCGACAGTCAACACCATCCCGGTCCGTGTGGTGTTCCCAGATACGCCGTTGACTCCGCAGAACCTGCTGCAGTACGTCCATAGCCAGCGTCTGTCGAGCATTCCGTTCGAGAATCTCGGCACGTTGACAATTGTCGAGAAATGCACGCCGTGGGCGTATTGGAGCCGATTCAGTACCGTGGTGCAACATCAGTGCGAGGAGACTGCCATCAACCCGTCGGAGTCCAAGTCCTTTCACCTGGGCACGGCGGCTTGCAAGTTCACCATCAATGAATCCAAGGCACAGGATATCCCGGACCTTTTTGTCAGGTCACTCGTTCGTCCGGGCGACAAGGTGGAGGTTTCCATCTCGTTCTGCGCCGACCGTGTCACGGAGAAGTTTGCGGAGCACGCGCTCCGCATGCTCTGCTTCACTATCAGTCTCCTCACGGGCGTAAGCATGATGCAGCCCATTATCCCCTGCGGGTTCCAGTACAAAGCTATGGTCAAGAGGATCCCGCTGCCCGCGAAACCGGCCCCGCTGCTGGATCCGGATGCACTGGAGAAGATGCTCAACACGATCGGCAAAGCACAAGTGGACACGATCCAGTCTGCTATCATGAGCACGTGGGACTCGACACTTTGCCCCCGCGCGTTGGGTGTCTCTGACTCCGAAATTCTGAACGCAGCGTTCTTTGATCTCTGGGGCAGTCTCATCCCCGCGAATCAAATCATGAAGAAGCTGAATGCCGAGTTGGTCAAGATCAACCTGCCCGGGGTTGAAGGGATTGTTCAAGTCACGATGGAAGAGATCATCCAGAATCCGTCGATGCATAAGCAATTCGATCTTATCGCGTCCAAGGTCAAGGCTCCTATCCTCAAGGACGGCCAAAAAGGTAAGGAGAAGGAGAAAGAGAAAGAGAAAGAGGTACTGGATAAGGGTATCGGAAGCATCCGCCCTGGAACCCAAAAGCCTAGGCGGATGCCCAGCATGAATGTATCGGCCCCAGCCCCGTCATTCACCAACCGTCTCCGTCGGTTGGCTAGCACCGTTACCCGGAACCCACCACCGCCAACAAACAACCTCGCTAGTACCGCTGTGATCAGACACCACGCCAACTTCCGACCTCCGCCCACCCCGACGTCACCGGTTGCCATCGGGCTCGCCTCAGCCATGGTTGCCGACATGGCGCCCTCGCCCAAGATCATCTCCAGCGTCAGCCCCAACCTCTCCAACCTCTCGGGCGCCCTAACTCCACGACCAACGCCGACGCCAAACACAAGTAGCTTCAGTCCCAACCTCTCCGTTTCCAACGCAGCCCCGCAACTCCCCAGCCTCCCCGCGTTCGAGCCCATCGTGGAAGAGACCGAGCCATTCGAGAGCTCCACGAAAGACACCATCCCTCCTGCACCACACTCCGCGCCCTTACCGGGTACCCGCGTAGCCGCGCCCCAGGGCATCGGCATCTTCCTCTCCGAACCCGACAGCATGACAGAAGGCAGCACAGGAAGCAGCACCAACGCCTCCACCGAAATGACCCTCGCCATGACCTTAGGCTTGGGAGCACGAAGCGAGATCAAAAACACCGACCTCGAGCGTGACGGGCCCAAAAACTTTGATAATAACACCTTTACCACTTTCACCACCACCACCATGGGGGGTAACACCGTTATCGCCGACACTGCGGCGTCCATCGACAGCCACGACAGCGGTCGTGACACACTTGGCCCGCTGCCGGGGAATATCACGGCGGCGTATGTTGCTAAGGCGCCTGGGGGGATGCGCGTTGCTTTGCCGGGTAGCATCCCCACAATGACAGCAACAGCAACGACAAAGGCCTCACCGGCGATGAAATCGGCTTCCTCAGAAGAGGGCATGGAGGATCTAGTCAGTCCGTTGAGCGCCATCACGCTTACGCCGGGTAGTGGAGGAGGTGCGGGTGGAGGGAATGTGAGGTATTTTGGGGTGCATCAGGGACAGCAGCAGCAACAGCAGTCGCAGGGTTTTGGTCAGGGGCAGATGGGGCAGATGGGGCAGATGGGGCAAATGGGAAGGGGACATGGGAGGCATGGGAGTGTTGGGACTGTTAGTCCTGATACGCCGAAGAAGGGGATCTGAGTTACTTTCTTTGGCTGTGTTGTTGAGGGAGTGGTTTGGTGTTGTTGTTTTTAAGGGGTTGTTGCATGTTGGCTTCGGGTTAGGGCTGGTACTGGGGGCTTGGGTTCGAACTGGGGGTTAGGGTTTTGGATAGGGGTTAGGGTTGAGAATGTTGGTATATAAAAGGGGGTGGGGGGCGCGTGATCAAAAATTGGGGTCTAGGGATTTGTTACTAATGCCCTGGTCATTTTGGATTTCGTCACTTTGGACTTCTTATTGCATGTTTCTATCTAGTTTCTTGGATGATACCGCTTTTAGCACGGCGTTGGAGATGATGGGATGGCGGGATGATACAACACGTTTTGTTTCTGTTGTTTTGCATGACTTGGATCATCATTTTAGTCGTGGCCTCCCCTGTCTTGTTAATTAACCACGTACATTGATCAGGAATACTTCCCTGCCTGTCGATGTTGAGGCGCCCGGAACGTCTTGTAGCGCGGCCGAAAGTATATGCGGACGGACAGTGATGAGGGTACAACAACATTCCATGGACTTCGGCATATGATCGAATCTCGTATACGTACATCGGCTGCACAACATGCTCACTAACCCACACCTCAATCCACCCTTTCGCGCTCTCACTCACGGAGATACCGCCATAATCACGCCTTCACCAACCACTCACTCTCCTCCACAAACCGATGCCTCAGCCCCGAATCCACCTTCGGGAACGGATTCGTCGGCCAATACGCCCGCCACTCATCACAAACCCGATTAAAATCATCCCGATCCCCCGGCGTAATCTGCTGCCGCAAATCATTCGGCCGCTCCAAGAAATCCACGCTCAACCCTCCCGACACGTGCCAGGCAATATGGCAGTGGAATAGCCATGCGCCCGGGTTGTCGGATTTGAAGGCTAGCAGGAGCCAGCCGCCTGCGGGCAGGATGGTTACGTCGCGACGGACGGGGTTGGATCCGCGGAGCCGGGGGAGGTCGACTGTTGGGTCGAAGGTGAAGCGTTGGTTGGAGCCGGGGGGGACGTCGGGGGAACGGCCGAGGACGAGGAAGTCGTGGCCCTGGGGGGGCGTTAACATAAGTTGTTAAGAGAATAGACATAGGGTGGCAGCGGTACTTACGTGGAGGTGCATCGGGTGAGGGAGACTGAACGGTCCGTTGGGATCGTTTTCGATGAGCCAATATGTCCACTAATTCATCAGTATCTGTCAACAACTCATGTTCTTAAAACCTGATGGCAGAAGCAGGACAGTGAAAGAAACGTACCTGATCCGCAGTATCAATCTGCACGATATTCTCACTCCGCGGAATACTGTTATTCTGCGTCATAACATACTCCAACACCGGCTTATTCCAATCCACATTAATCGCACTCCCATTCACCTTCCACACAAACAACGGCGTCCCGGTCAAGTCAATGTTCACCGTCAGCGTGTTATCCGCCTTCTTCGTGAACCCACTAACCGGTACCGTCCGCTGCACCACCGGCGTCAAGTTCGGCAAGTCCAAACACTGATGGTCGACAGGAACAACCCCTTGCTTCGTCGGCAACCCGCCCGACGAACCGGCATAGTGGAAAATCGCCGCCGGGTTCGGATTCAACGACCCGCCGCAGGCTGCTTGTCCGCCAAAGGTCACGTTGAACCAGTAATTCCCCGGCGCGGCGTTTCCGTCGATGGTGACGTCGTACCGCTGACCGACGGCTAGGAATAGGCTATCGACAGTTTGTGCTTGCACGGGGACGAGATCGGACGCGATGATGGTGAACTTGTGGTCCACCAAGGAAACCTGGAAGTGGTTCTCAGTCGACGTGTTGATGATACGCAGCCGGTGGCGTTTTCCCGGCGTCAGCGTGACGTTGGCGTACTGCCCTGCGCCAGTGGTTGGGTGTTTGGCGGAGCCGTTGAAGAGGACGTTGTCGCTGAAGGGCGCGCCGTTGTTTTGGGTGAAGGCGACTAGCTCGTCGGCCGTGCGGTAGTAGTAGTCCATGAGCGGGAACACGCCCAGGTCGATGTCGTAGGGGAGCGAGGCCGGGCCGTTGATGTGGATTGTGCCGACTACGCCGTTGCCGTATTGTGCGGAGAAGTGAGAGTGGTACCAGCTGCTGCCGTATTGTTGGGCTTTGAAACGGTAGACTTTGCGGCCGCCTTGAGGTGGGATGGGACATTCGGTCAGGCCGTTGGCGCCGTCGTGCAGGTTGGTTCCTTTTTGGTGGAGGCCGTGCCAGTGGATGGAGGTGCTGTTATGCGGGTTAGCAATATGTTGAGAACATGAGGTTAAAAGGGCTGGATTACCCGTTGGTTTCGAGATTGTTGATGACAGTGACTTGGATGGTATCACCCCAATCAGCAAAGATGGTCGGACCTATGAGAGGGTTAATGAGCCACGTCGAATGTACTGCGCGGCGACTAATCGTATCTAGGTGTTGGACGCACCAATGATCTTGTCTAAAGCCCATGTTAGTCCACGCTCAGCCAAATTAACCGCCGGCACATTACTCACTGTTGATCAACATAACCTTCTCCTTGACAACACCATCAGGACCAGTCCAGTTGTCAACCTCCGTCAAGGTAAAAGTGTACTATCTATGGTTAGCTCTAATCTAGTAAGAGCATACGAGAAGTCGTTACTCACCGGCCGAACAACACCAGTGTCAGGACTTTTGACTTCATAGTCCGTGTTAATATCAAACCCATTCGACCAACAAGCCCGGTTACTCGGAGTGTTGCAGCTAGACTGCCGAGGAGCAAGACCGCTTTCGTCTCTGTCGACGATAGGGACGAGAAGGTCTCGCTGCGCCGGAGTCGACGGAGGGGCGGCAACCGCGCGGGAAGCTAGTATGCCAACGACGAGCGCCACTCTGGCGAGGATGGACTTCATCTTGGGGCAGGAATTGGGGGAAGTGCTGTGGTGGTGTTGAGACGGAGTCAGATTTAGGGTTCAAAATGTATCGAAGAAGAGGAAAGACTCCTGGGCCGTGTTGTGATGAGGAGGGAATCAAGTCGAGGAACCGAGTCCACTAGAGGGAGTTTTATAGACGGAGTCGACATCGTTCCTGCCTTTGTTAAAAGTCCCAGCTTCGTACTCGCGATGCCCTCCACACCCCCTTTTCTCAAAATATCCACCCTCATTTGACATCTCCTCGTGAAAAGCCTCAACGGATGTGCAGCAGAAGGGCCTAGCAGTGTGGGGGCAGGTGGGTAATGTGATAAGAAGTGTCGTTGGAGTGTGTGTGCTGAAAAGAGGTGTTCTCCATCCCGGTGAGGGACTACTAACGAGTTGGTGAGTGCCTTGATGGTGTCCTCCCCCAGGTCCAGGCCCCGTGATATTGGTGAACCCCTGGCTGGGCTGCTGAAAAGGTGTCAATAAAACGGTAAAGTGGTGGGAAGGTAGGGTTGCTAAATGTGTTGGTAATAAACGTATCAGCACTCTGTGCGGTCAAGGTGTTGCTAATGACCACACTTTGGACATTATGGCCCTGCCAAAAGTGCCAGGTTGTCATAACCGGCAAGGGAGAGGGGTCATGGTAGAAGAATGAATGCCCAAATTGGTGCTTCAAGGCAAAGCGTATCTCGTGTCAAGGGCAAGTCTCGCCAGAAAGAGACCGATACCCGCTGGGATTGGTCAAGTCCGGGACCCAAGAGGCGGTTTGACACGGCACGAGTGTGGCATGGTTGGGACCGAAATCAATAGTAGTGTTGAAATCAGCGGGCAAGATGGGGTAATCAAAGCGCTTCACTCGAAAAGAGCACAGAGCTAGCTTCCACAACACAGTTTCCCCCCTTGAATCTCATGCTTGTGGCTTGCAGCTCATTCTGGGTTGTGGTCAGGAGAAAAGACACATGGGCGTGGGATCGACGTTGCAGACAGTATTGGCTCGCGTAAAATCAACTAGGCTGTGCGTTCAAAAGCATGGCCACGATTCCTGCGGCTACTATGACTAATTTGTCCAAAGGGGACGGGGCGAAGACAAGAGTGTGAACACCATGCGTTGTGTGCCTTGCTAAGCCTGCTGTGCTGTTGTACACAACAGCACGGGACCTGTCTCCGGTCGATCCTGTGATTAGAATATGTACTCTTGGCAGGGGAAAAGGCCGAAAATGTACAGGATAATCAGAGGTAAGATGAGATACTCCGATATGCCCTTCGGGCTCACTATGAAATTCTGCATGGCGTGCAGTAATAGCTTGAATAGATCTAGCACATTGGGGACACAGTTTCCATTCATTTACGCATGCCAAGATTGTATCTGAAGTACTTCGCCGGAAAAGGAGAGTACAGCAACTTCAGCAGCTGTTGTTAGACGCAACCGAACCCGTTTCAGTCCTAGTAATCAATGTCAAGCGCTCCTGTAGGTAAGGAACGCACCGCAACTCGCGTCGGATACGGCACGACCCGCCAGCTTACCGGTCAAGGGCAAGTGAAGGAACAGGTAGGCCGTATCGAGGATCATTAATCTAATACAACGATCCTAATGGCATAATACGACGCCAAACCTTCGAGGTGGACACACTTCCGGCGCTAATAGGGTAGTAGCCCTTCGTGCTTTGCGCCACTGCGGAGGGATGTCACACCCAAGGTACCATTCCCCCCGAGCTGGTAACCCGGGAAGTGGAGGCCAGCCTTACCGATGTAGATTCCAATTTGGGTTGCCGTTCGCTTCCTCCCACGTGGAACGGAGTATTATTGGGTATTTGTGTTTCTTGGCGAAAATGAGTCCTCGGAATAGCAGAACCTCGTGAGTGTCGGGAACTTCGTCTCAAGTTACACAAGCGTTCTCGTGGCTAAAGTTGTCCCGATGCCGTGTAAGCCGAGCGAGGATACTAGCCGGAAACAGTTTGTCAAGGTCAAAGTTTCGAACCCAAACAAGGTTTTGACCCCACCTCATAACTGGTCGTCCGTCACCGTGTGGTGGAGTTTTCGGGAAGGATAAGGATTGCGTAGGCGCCCGTAGACTCAGAAATCGGATTTTAAACCGGGGAACGCGTTATGACGCTCGAAAGCCCGGCATCCACACGGCCCTCTGCTTGTTTTGTTGGGTTGCACGCCGGAAGGCATCAGCTGTCCCTGGCATGCTGGAGCACCCTTCCAATGCGGATGCACAGGCGGAAGTGCGTTTGGAGTTCCCTTGTAGCCAGCTTGCTCGTCGTACCTCACCGAGGAACCCGAAGTTTAATTTACCTTACTATCTCAAGTCGACTGGAAGTATGGGAAAGAGGGGTCACTTATCCATCCACTTGATCATGGATCGTATTGTATCATATTGCCGCGTGGCGCTCGATACGGCAGACCGTTTTCCATGAGCGAAAGATCGGGTTATCGAAGACAAATACAGGCGCCCATGGCTAGCCTTTCGAAGGTGCGATAAGTCGGTCTACGAGCCAAGTTTAGCAGTGAGGAGAGCTGTCCATGTCAGCGATTGGTCACATGGCGCGTGGGATGTGGGAGTGAGCCCAATGAGAGACGCCTAATTAACGAGCCTCTCGTTCTGCAGCTGGCCAAATCCACCAAACGGGCCTTCGTTGCGATACCGGATACGCTGCGATCAATGCACCTTCATCGGCGGGTTAAACTTTGGGGGTTTCATGCCGCGCGATACCCGCCTGCTTGCCTGCTAGCGTCAGTAGCTTCATGCACAGATGCTTGAGGGGACGGGGAACTCGGTGTCTGAGCAACTGCCCATTAATTGCCTCGTTCTTCCCGGCACTTGCGACAAGCAGATGGGGATAGGGGACATTAGAGGGTAACATCTAAAGAACTCGGTGAGGCAAGCACAGATCAATGTTGACAACCCCGACGAAGATCGCGGGAGAACGGGATTCAGGGGCGGAAATGCATTGTCCTACACCGGAGAATCGGGCATAGGCGCAAGATGCGAACGCCGGTTCGCCCCTTAAGCCGAGCGCTGTCATCACATACAAAGTCTGTTGTCCCAACTCCGCCCGATGTACTCGAGTGTTGAGTTATCATGTGCTTCGCTGTGCCGGCCATCCCGCGCACGCCCCGCGTCACGGGAGACGCGAGATGGCGCCTCTTTCTCGTGCAGGTTGTCGGCGGCCTTGGCACCTGGGGGTTTCGATGGGAATATCAAAATATCGGTGTTGAGTCCAAGCTCAATGCCATCGAGGGAAGCCACTTTGACCGTGTTCTTGCGACTATGTTAGATGTGCGCGAAAGAGAAGCTTCACCAGAAGTTCTTCCACCACCTGAAAGGCCTCTGTGTGTTGTGGGGGGGTTCTGGGTGGGTGTGTGTGCGTGCGTGAGGTGGGACAGGCCGCAGACGCGGAGCTGAGTCTCCTGAGCTGAAATCTGATGGCTTCGGTCGCAAGCGGCAACGGTCTTGCGCGGGTGTCAGGGTTGCGCCGGCACCCACGACGTGTGTGATATTGCATCGCTTGCGCTTTCCCTCTTATCGCCGCTCCTACATGGCTCCTTCCATGGCCTCACCCGTCGACACCGACCATCACCGCGGCATTCGCGCTTTCTTCCTCCTCCCCGGGCCGCATGGTTGGCGACTTCTTTACCCACTAGCAAGGTTGGCTCGTTCCAATATAACTACACTAAAAATGGGAACGATCGGCAGAGGGGCTAGCCACACCACGAAAGCGGGATCGGACTCAGCTCGCGAGGCTCGCTAGGAGCTAGGGCACACTCAGTGTTGGCTGGAACTAAAGGGGCACACATAGGCCGAAACTGTACGGCGTTCTTCCCCTCTCTTTCAATTCTCCAATCGCAACAATTCTTCAATTTTGAGTGAGAAAAGCCCACTTCCCGGAGGTTCCGCGGTCACCCGCTCCGATCGATCCGCCTCCCCAGTTAAAATGGTGCTTATTGATTTAATTATTACGCAGCTGGAAAGACTTACACGGTCAACACAATCAGTCTACTTCCACCAGGTAGTTAATTAAGGCTCTGACCGAGATACCGCTAGAGTTTAAAGGCATTTAGTTGAACCATCAAACCGTTGGACCATAGCATAAACAGTTTCCTGGGCGTTCAACCAAACAACTACCGAGTCTTCGAGGATCATAAAGCTCCTTTAACGCCTAAGCCTCCGCAGCATTTCTCGAATAACGTGAGGGTTATACCCTTTCCAACAACACCTCCCGCATGACCGGAATGGTTCTAAACTTTTCTCCCTCCCCATGGCGTTACACCTAGAACTTGCCGATTGAGTCATGGTTTCCCGTTTAAAACTGCCGACGTTTACAATCCCGCCCTTAAAATCAAGTGGGTGTGAAAGTGTCACATCACGAAACCAATAATTCAGCTGACCCACCAGGCCAATTCGCATCGCCAGCCACCCCCATGAGAGGCGTTGCGCCAAGCGTTACGCCAGGTGTCACAGTGCTACACGGGCCTTGACAGGTGTGCCAGGGGACCTGCATTGCTCGCGACAATTGCTCAAGTGGCGGGTTGCGAGGAGATGAAGCCAGAAGCCCTCACTATTTAGTTTGCATCTTGTTAATTAATTTGCATGTCTCGAATTTCGGTTCAACCGCAAACAGCAGTTCCATGGCGTTGGAATTCTGCAATGGCCCGAGGTCAGATTAGGCCTCGAAGTGACTAGAAATGAAGAGAGTAATTATCCGTAGTTAATTAAATAACTAGTATGTAATAATCTGCCGAAATTTATAGAAAGTCAAGGTTTGATGTGCGAATCGAACATGAAACAATGGCAGTGAATAAACGAGGGAAGAAACAAGTCATTGTTATTTTATCATTCTGCCCTTGAGGTGCAACCTTGAAAGTTGAGCATTCATCGGAATAATTAATCAACTGGCAGAGAGAGGGGAAACCGGACTCTCCAGGGTTAGGGTTGATTTTCTTTCCACAAAGACAGCGCCACAGAGGCCACCCAAGCTTGCCAAGCTAAACGCGCGGCATGAGCCGGCGCCACATCTAAGCCACCCGTTGACGTCATCCACGACCCCTCACCCTCTCCCACATTCGTCCAAAGTGACCCCATCGCCAACCACTGCCAATCAGGCAGTTGAGCCAACCCAACATGAGCCTGAAACTGATTACGACTTTGTACAAGCCACGGGTGTTGCGCGTTTAAAGAACCACAGTACAACCGATCCTTAGCAAATAAATAAAAACACAAGTCAACCGTCAACCTGCGCTCATATTACAACCTAGACTCAGATTCCCATTCTTCGCTCACCAAACCGCTCGAAAGGCCTCGAACTATACATCCACCCATTTCACCAACCCCCCAAAATGAGCGCCAACGAAAAGCAGACGCCTGCAAAACCCGTCGCCCAGCAGGGCGACCAACCATATTTCCCTCCTCCTCCCCCCGGACCACCGCCAGCCCAGAACACACAACCCCAGCCTCAATCTACAAAACACCCCAACGATACCCCTCTTCCTGAGTACGACGTCCCCGCGTACGATCCGGCCCACCCGCAGTTTGCGCCGCCTGCGGGAAAATTTGAGGAAGACCTCTATAACGCCACGCCAACTGAGGAGCATTCGTCCTTCGGGTGGGGCCATCATCGACATGGTCACGGTAGTGATGGGGAGGGGAAGAAGAAGACGAATAGGCTTTCTGCCTTTGGCGAGGCGTTTACGAGCAAGGTCGCTGGCCCTGTGAATGCCCTCGCCAACAAGTTTGGTTCTGAAGGTTTCTTGCCCGAGGCTTTGGATAAGGAATGCGAGAAAGCTGCTAGGATTCTCAGGGGGTTTTGCAGTAAGTCTGATCAATACCTACACCTCTTCAGTCTACGATACTAACGTTTGATTTCTTCTAGAGGATGGCATCTACAGTGATGTTGCTGCTCTCGCAGCTCCAACACCCGCTGTGGCAGCTACGACGCCTGAAAAGCGACCTTCGTCACCAGCCGGCAAAGCCAAGAAGTCCCGCGTGCTCCTGACCATCCCGTCAAAGGTCATCGCCCGTGCCCAGGGTCTAGCCATTTTCACTGCGGTCCGTGTCGGGTTCCAAGCCACTGGATCCAGCGGCAGCGGCGTTCTCCTCGCCCGTCTCCCCGACGGCAGCTGGTCACCCCCTTCAGGCATCCAAATCACCTCCATCGGAGCCGGTTTCGTTGCCGGGCTGGACATCTACGACTGCGTCATCGTGATTAACACTCGCGAGGCCCTCGAGATGTTCACCAAGACTCGCCTCGGACTCGGCTCCGATCTTGCGGTTACTGCAGGCCCCTTTGGCGCAGGGGGTTCTCTCAACTGGGGCGTACCCGCGGGCAACGACAAGAACGCCGCGCAGCCCAGTCCCATCCCAGCGTCTGCCAACCTGGCCCCGCCCCCGTTGTCCTCAGACCATACGCATTTCCAGACCGCGCCCGTCCCTGAGTCACAGCAGGGTATGGACCGCGAGCACACCGACGACGTCCACCATCACCTCAAGGATGACAAGGACAAGAAGCAGGCCGACAAACCCGACCGAGCCAAGAGTCCGTTCCGTGAGGCCTTGACCAAACCCGTTTACAGCTATGTCAAGTCGCGCGGATTTTATGCTGGTGTGAAGATTGATGGAACCGTCATTGCTTCGCGCGAGAGTGCCAACGCCAAGTTCTACGGGCAGGCTGTCTCTGTTGACAAGATCCTCCGGGCCGAGGTCCCCACGGCTGCTGCACCTGCAGCGCATGATGGTGCCCACGGTCACGGTACATGGCCAGGTGCCGCGAGGGGGTTGTTCGAGGTCTTGAAGGGTGCTGAACTGGGCTGGAAGGGCCAGGGCGGTCAGGGACAGACTCAGGGTCAATCTTATGGGCAGCAGCAACAGCCCCAGAATCTCAACCAAGACCTTCCTGGTGCGCACCAGACTGTACCCCCGGGCTTTGGAGGTCCAAGCCCGGCTTTTGGCGCACCCACTGGAACAGGCGGCGCCCCAGCCACATCATGGGTTCCCCCACATCCTCCGACCACCCAGCCGCCCGCAGCCACAACTAGAGCGGGTGTACCGGAGGTCACAACGGGCATCCAAAACCTCGGCGTGGGGTCCTCATCCAGCGTCCCTCCACCTCCCGCAGCGACAGCGGGTGCCAGCGCTTCGTCCGCGAAGGCTGCAGAGGCAGCCGCCGAGTCGGCGCGCGCACATCAGGAGGGGCAGGATGGCGGCCCTCCGTCGTACTCGGAGCATCATAACGCGGAGGACTTGCCGCCGGCGTATGTGGAGGATGATGGGAGGCCGCGTGTGCAGGGGGATAGTAAGGCGGGATTGCACTAGATAGGGTTGCGCTTTTAAGATTTGAGAAGTAGATGCTAGCCGTGACGATTTCAAGATGCCCTGTGCTGTGTTGGATTTATCGCGAGCGAGTTGATTTGAATATGATACTTTTCTTGTTTCCCCTTCAAGGACCCATGCCCTCTTTTTGAATTGCCATGCACTAGCAGTAGTAACTAGTAGCAACTAAGCAAGATTGATGACGGATGACCGCCGAAAAGCCTTTTGTTGCCCCTGCGCTGACATCAGCCCCCTTTTTCAGCTCAGCATCTATTCATAATTACCACCTCAACCCCTCAACCCCCCCTCATGACCCCACGTTTACACTCACACATCACCCCTTTTGCATCTTATCCCACAACCGTCCGTCCCTTAGTGACCCCCTTCTCAAGCCCCCGTCTTCTTAGCACAAACCTCACATCCCAAACACCCACAAACAGCACACCCAACCTGAGCCTCCACCGTAACCGTACACACCGCCTCCCCAGCAGCCGTCGGCGTCCCCGTAACCGTGCCCACAATAGTCGTAGCCGGCAACTGCGGCAGCCGTGTGATAGTCTGTCCCGACGGGCAGGCCCCCGTGGGGATGGCGGGACAGGGGTATTTTGGGCAGATGGGGCTGTCAGGGGTGACGCAGTACATGGGACACATTTCGTGGGCGTAGGAGGTTGTTGTTGTGTAGGTTTTGCAGGAGGAGGGGGGGGTCGGGGTTGGGAGGGGGGTGATGATGGGGGTTGTTGGGGTTGGGCTGGCGAGGGCGCTGTGGGGAGGTTAGCTACCATGAGCTTGACCAGACGGCATGAGGGGGAGGTTGAGGGTATGGTGGTGGGTTGGGCTAGGGGGTTTGAGTCAAGTAGGGGGGCGCGTACCTGCCGGCGAGAAGAGCGATGGCGCTGAGGGTGACTGTGAACTTCATGATGGATGGATAAGTCGGGATCGAGTCTCTGGTCTTGGCTGATGGTACAACTTGAGGACGCTGATAGAGAAGGAACAGAGAAGCCAAGACCTGAGGATAGCGTTATATAAATACTCTTCATATAACCAGGGAAATTCAGCTCTCCAGACTTTTCGGAACCGTCGCTCCGGTCTGCGACTTCCATCTTGAGACCACACCACACACTCCACGTCATCAAACACCCTCAACACCCCGGATTTCCCAAAACCCCGGATACGCCCCCGCAGAAATTGAGCTCTCAACACCGCGGGCCGGGACGATTGCCAAACGGGCTTACCCGGGTCAAGAAACCGACGCGTCCTTTCCCATAGCCGGGGATTCGGGGAATGCCATGCAGCGAAGCTATTTGACAGGGCGCAAGGGGAAATCAGCCGGATGATTAGACGGCGCCCGATTTAGCATACGTGATACGACAGAACTAACACGGCTAAGAAGCGAGGGCCATTTTGGGCAATTAACTAGTCTAAAAAAACCCCGGTGTGGCGCTCGCTCTAACATCTCAGTCGTTGATGGGAAAAAAATTGCAGCTGTCAAACATGCGCCTCCGGGCACGATCTTCCGTCGGGAAAGCAGCCGAAAGCTTGTTCAGGACCTCGCAGTGCTTGCTATTTGTCGGTTAACACGTCGAATCGTGGTAACCCATGTTACCGATTTCGGAATCTAGATTCACGTGGCGTATATTGATGTTCCAATTCTTCGTATTCCAGTCGGCGCGGTCCCAATGAGCCCTGTGTGAAAAGCGCCATTATTATTAAGGAGGAATTCGACCACTTGCTTGGACGTGTCTTCCCTGCGTAGTAACCTACTGTTTAATTACATCCCCGACTTGTCGCATCGAGTACTGAAAGGAAAGTCCAAATAAATAACCCAGGCTTGAAGTGTCGGAAGCCAGCAGCTAGCGACACGTGGTTTGAAGGTTGTGCCTTCGGCTATGCCCTACCAGAGGCAACCTTCCTAACAAGTTTGAAACCATCTGGCCCATATTAGCCCAGTCGACGCGGTACACGTGCACCTCTCACCATTAACCCTACACAAGTCTCTCTCACACCGGCTTTCACGTCTTCCTTCTCTTTTCGAGGGGGGCGACCTGTTCACCCTAGACTTGTGGGCTTCTAAGAACCCATGGCAGGATCGCAAGTATTATACCGGTACTAATGGGCCCGTCTTTTCTCTGGGGAACCCTGGTGTTTAAACCATCTAGACATTATCCTCTCGTCGTGGTGTACTTTCCGGTATTACCTCGACGGATCCGGCAGCACACAAACGAACTCTGAAGATAATTACGTGTTGCTGCCTGCTATTTCCTCAGATATTATCTTTTGAAACATATGTAGCACGGTCACATCGATCTACGGGGCAGCGTCTCATATCTTTGACCGCGGTTGTCCCAGTTTCTCTTTGACAAGTCTCGTTCTGCTCCCTTGGCCAATTGGAGCCGGGCCGTTTCGGGTCCCCAGCGGCCCGGTCCGGTCCGTTTCGGCCCGCACTGGCCCGAGTCCCCAGGATGACTGGGGCGTGTTGGTAACGGCAAATTAAATAGACGCCGTGTGCGTCTTATGATATAGGGTAGTGAGCAGCCGCAGCGGATGTTGTGTTTAACTGATCTGACCACGTTGACTACGGCTTGTTGATTGGCCTGGCGCTTCATGACGTTGATAACGTAAAGGATCTCAAACAATCGTGCAATATTCATGAACCCGCATTGGACACAGAACCATAGGGACAGCAAATCGAGTAAGTTGTTATGATATCAATTAACTACAATACCAACGCCTTTCTAAATGCCTGCTCACCGTCGGCGGAACCGCCCACTTGACCCCCAAAAAACATACGCCCAGCTAACCGTGCTTAGGCCCAACCCCTTTTGACTCCAGTAAAAATAAAACAGAATAAAAAGCGAATAAGGGTAATAGCCAGATAAATGAAGCCCGTGAAAAGGTATGATATCGAGGACACCTGACACCAACATCGAAATGAAGCGATAATACAAATGAAAACAGAAGTAAGAAGATCGAAACAACGCCTCTGTAACGATCATTGATTGTCCGGCAGCCACACCAACTCAATGATCCCGTCCCGGTTGTTCATCGGTGAGCCATCGGGGTTCTTCCATCGCGGATCCTCGCGTCGGCAAATGTACACCTGGCTGACGGTGCCATCCTCGTTGACGTCCGCCTCGAGGAGTTCCCACGAGATCTTGCGGCCCGTTCTATGCAGTGATTGACGCTGCGGACCCATCATGTAGTCCAAGTTGTACCCCTTGTTATCAGGCGCCGGTTGGAACGTCGCCTCAAACTGACCGAGGTTGAAGTCTACGCCGTAGGGGTAGTAGGCGACGCTGTAACCGTTGGAGATGATGAAGTCGTCGGCGGTCTGGAAACGCTGGAAGGTGCAATCCTCGCCGCAAGCGTGGGCAATTTTCGTGTAGTGCCAAGGGTGCGCGATGTGCCAGATTCCGCCGCGGTAATGGTGGAGAGAGAGGGGCTTGATGCCGCCCTCATAAAAGCCGGACGGGTCGCCGAAGAGGTCGAGTTGCCAGAGGTCATTGAGGAGTGTGAGCTTAACCTCCGAGTTCTCGTAGATGCACTTGCGAAGGAGGATGTCGCCCTGCGGACCCCAACCAGTGTTGGCCTCGAGGATCTTTTGTTCGGTCCGGCATGACTCGAAATTTTCGGAGATGATCTGTGCCATGGGGAGACTCAGAAACACGCCGGCACCACCGAAGGCCTGAGAGCCATGGCGTTCAATGTTGTTGATATCTTCGGAGAATGTGCCGATGTACATGGGCATAGTGTGATCGTAATCGGCGGCGAACTTCTCAGCGAGGCCATTAAAGGAAGGGAAGAAAGTATCGTCGTCGCAAACAACGAGCCACTTCTTCGTGCTGCGCTCAGGGTGCGCGTAGAGCGTGGGTGCAAGCGCCAGGTAACGCACCGCCATGATCTGGCTCGCGTCCGACCGGTACACATCCACATCAATACCGACATTGGACAGCGTGGTATACGCATCCTCGAGTTCGTCATCCGTGGCATCGAGAAGGAGAAGCACCAACTTTCCACCGTTGGAGTTTCCTTTGCCGTCTGTGAGCCAGTAGGACCACTCATTGATGGGGCTCGTGCGAATGTCGCTGAATCGTCGGTAGGTCGTTGAGACGCCAAACATGAAATCCGAGGCGTTGGCAGTGTTGGGGTATGGCGACTTGGTGACGGGTACAACAAGAGGTTCCGGGCACGTCTCAGGTTGGTACTGGTTGTTGACGTTCACGACCTTGACCGCATCAACCAAGAAATCCTGATCAAGCTTGGTGACAGACTTCCGAGGGATATCCTGGCGCGAGGCTTGGACGTATCGCTTGGTGTATTCGAAGGTCTCTTCGAGGCGATAGACCTCTTGCCACTTCCGGAGCCGCTCCATGTCGTAGTCGCACGTCATGGCGTAGGATGAGTTGGAGATCGTCGGCTGGGCGTCCTCGGCCGGCTCAACCACATCCTCCTGTTGCTTCCCTGCGGCCTCGCCGCCCGCGGGCCCGCCCCAGCCCGCTGATTCGGGACGAGACACGGGCTTTTGGATCGACATTGCTTCCCTTGCTGACGTGGCGGTCTTCATCAGCGCCGAACGCACATCCACGTCTGGTCGAAGGACCAGGCCGCCGATGGTGAGCATTGCCACGGTTAGTACGATGGCCCTCGTCAGGGTGTTCCGCATGCTGAAGCAGCGGTTCCTGGGTATTGTCGTGCCCATGGTGATGTGGTGGGTGGTGGTGCTATCGACGTCGGGTTACCGGGTCTCCGTTAGGGGACAGGGCCGAGCAGTGATAGTAACAACGACAAGGTGGGCTGGCTGGAAATGGCACGTGCCCCCGTTCCTGCCTTCGCCCTTGCCACGAAGAGGGTGTGCAGAGATGACCTCGCGGTTTGGGAAGGAAGGTGCAACCTGGCTGGGCCACGTCGACGGCAAGCACGTCCCACTGAAAGGCAGCAGTGGAGAGATGTCGAATATATTTGCCAGGGAAGAGAGCTGGTCGAACTTTCGAATCCGGAGACGGCCGTGCTTTTGAAAGAATGAAAGGCCCGGGTATGACAAGACAACACGGGGAAGCCAGATGGGGGAGGAGGTTAAGAAAGATGAAACAAGGCGAGTGAAAGGACAAGAGTTGCACAAGGTGCGACGAACGGGTGTGACGATGTCCAACACTTATTCAGGAACGACAGGGGGCAAAGGGGAGAAGAACAAGGGTGGCCTAATGGAATGCATCGACGATCTTCAGGGGAGGCGCAAGGTATGGCGGCTGAGAAACAGCGCAGAGTTGAGCCCACTGGGCGGGTCGAACATGACGCGTCCGCACAGTCTAAGGACAGTGGGGGCGATGGCAGTGTTAGAGAACGACTTTAAGTGGCCGAGAGATCCCCATCGGATGGCGAAGTATCAGACAAAAAGATAAAAGGGGGTCGAACGAAGCACATTGCAGAGAAATTAGGACTTCTGGAGGCATCGCGGCCTCTGCAACTGCCAGTTTTGTGAGATCACCTCGATCAGTTCCATTCGGTCTGTTTCCTTCCTCGACAGGCCGACCAGATCGGGGCGGTCGGAACGACCAATACTTCCCGTTGGAGTAAACTGTTGCTCCATCGATTCGGTTACAGGATGCCGACATGGAAGAGTTCAAGAAAGTGGGCGGGATGCAGTGAGGATCGGGTCCTTCAAGATACGGCAATTTGGGGAGAGCTCCGTGATCATCGGGCCGCCCGTCAAACGGGGAGTGGTGGAATGCCGCGAGTCTGCATGCTGTGCCCTTCGCTTGGCCGATTCCACAACTCTGACCTACTGACCGGACAAACAACACCAGGTAAAGATGCCAAAACCTTTGCGGCTGGGCTGTCAGCTTGTGGCCATCCGATCGGGATGCACCCTGCTGCTCTGCCGCTGCCCGCCGAGCCCGGTTTGAGATCAGCAGATCTACCGCGGTATCGCCCTGATGGTTCGCGGCGATTGGCCGGGAGAAGGCAAAGATGCGCAACGAACCACCGGGCGTGCTCTTCTTCATTCGATGACAAAAAATTGGCGCCTTCTGTTGCTGCAAGCTGTTCACACCGTTCAACGCTCAAAAGAGGATTGAGCGAACAACCGCCTGGCGTTTTGGCGTCGCGCTGGGCGCCCGAGTGTTTGATAGGTGTAGCCCCATGACCCCTTTTGGGGAAGGCCAAAACCTGAGACTGTGTGTCTCTCTTCTACGGTTTCACCATGTCCAGCGGTTTGGTGTCCTCGTCTGACTGTGAGGTCATCGGTGGGGGGGTCTTTCCAGAAGTATTGACAGGCCGTTTCATATGAGCGGGGCCGTCGCTGGGGCATTTGCGCATTCGGGGGCGGCATTTCGTCGGGCCCACTATTCGGTAAAGCCGGGTGGATGTCGGCGTCGCTTCCGGGTCTTGCCAAAGGACGTTAAGATCAGCGATAATGCCATTTTGCCGCTTTGGCATTTCAAGGAAGCCTTCCTGAAGGGGGTTGGAACAACTCGACTGTTCAGGAAGTTCGAGTACAAGAGCAGCTCGGAGGGTAACAAGTCATTCCTCGGAGAGCGTTGTCCCTCTTCGGAGAGAAGTGCATCAAGCTAGCAGACACTCGTTTTACTCAGCCCCCCGCAAAAACCCACTGATGCGTCTGGACTCTGGAACACGCCCAACGGCGCCAATGTGAGACACGAGGCGTGTCTTTTGCTTACGAGTCCGTTGCCCTGCGTTTATTGTCATTAAATGAGGATGGTGCCTACACTACGAATACAGACTCACACAGGAGGTGGGAACGCAGCGTGACATCCCAGGTTTCTCCGAGCGATTACCCCTTCCGCAGCTTGGTGCCGGGCTTAGAGGGCATGGCAGCAATTTGGAGAACCAAGAGGTTGGACGCCGAGAAGCTGAGTTGTTCTATGCGAGACGTCCGCCGCGGGGGTGAGTGATGATCGTTCATCTACTTTATAAACTGATTGCAACAGAAGCCAAGACCGTGCCCTTGCAGGAAAAGAATGGTCATGGAAAGAATGGAAGCGAGGGCGAGAAAGGGAACCGAATGACGATAAGCCCCGGCAGTGACAAGTGGGGCTAATATAACATGTTCAGGGGCCCTTGTTCCCTCCCGAAGTGCCGCCTTGGACTGACACCCTCCCACGCTGCTCTGCGACCTTGGGGACTTGAGACCAAGTTGTTGAAATAAAGGTTTGCCAAGCGATTGCCAAGATCCTTCCACAACGTCAAGTGGGGAGGCGAGAAGGGAAGAAACATGCGAAGAGGGGGAAACGAGGTTGAATTGTAGAGGTTAACTCGGAGGGCGACGGGGAAGAAGGCGTGAAGAAACGAAAACAGACCACATCGACAATTGTCTCAACGCGATTTCTCTAAGATTACACTGCCCAAAATCCCCTCATCGTCTCCGCCCACCAATTCCCCAATTTTTTCGCTCACAACGCGCCGAAGTTCGCTCGTCGACCCCCCCCCCCCCCCCCCTGCAACGGGGACAGCTCTTGCTCGAGCCTTGGTGCCTTCCCGACTGGCGCTTTGTATTTTTCCGCTGGCCCTGCTTCCAAGTTCTTCCACTCGGTTCACGCACAGGTCAACCCCACCACCACTGACACCATATTTATCCCCGACGCTCGTTCTTTCCATGTCCACCCTAACCCACCGGAAAAGGGTGCTCTCACCGCGGTTGGCGATTGTAATCTTCGGCAGATACACCTCGGCCATGTCCAGTCACGCCACAGCACAGAGCCTTGTCGTTCTAACCTGTGAAGGCCGAACAAGGTATTGGTACCCTGTGGGTGGACCCCATCAATGTACCGAGTTAATACGCCCATTGCCTTAGAGAGGCCTTGCCTCGGTACAGGTACTGATTCTTTTTCGTAGGTAGTCTGTGTACCGTGGGTGATGCTCGATTGAAACCTGTAGAAAATCGCATTCGACACCCCCCTCCCTTCTTTGAGCAAGGAAGGGAAATGCCAACACAATAGGGGGCAGTGGCCGTACTGATATTTCCCCTCTACGATGCCATCAATCCAGCTTACTATTACAGGTTGGAGTGAGGTATCTTTCCCCAATCTACGAGGAGAGGCGGGGGGTTCCTTGCGTCAGGAAATGATACCTCCCACGCAGACATGACTCTGAATATCTTCTGCTCCTCGCCGTTTCGTGCCAGTATCTCCATTCCGTAAGGTCTACCGTTGTAGGAGGAGAACCCCAAGGGCACACTGGTGATAGGATATCCCGCACCCGACGCGATGCTGGTCAAGTACGACTCTCCTGACGCCATGATAACATCCGCACTAGTTGCCTCGAAGCATTTTTCGACGGCTTCACGGTAGCTCTTACGCAAGTAGCCAAGGTCGTGAAGGTACTTTTCATGGTTCATGTTGTCTTTAGCCGCATTCTCGAGCACGCTTTGGCTTGGCTGGTCTGGGGCAGGTCAAAAGTCTGTTAGCATTAGTGCGTTGCGAAGAACCAGATGAACATGGCCTTACCGGGAGGAAGTTCCAGTTCGTAATGTTGCTTGTTGAAATCGACCAAGTCCTGGACCGTGCGAAGCTCTGGCTTGTTAAACAAGGCGAGAAATCTTAAGAAGGTAAACGCAATGTCGTGTGCTAGCGACCAGTGTCAGTGGTGCTCGCTGCATGTGATTGAGTGAAGATACTCACTCAGAAGATCCGACATTTGAGCTGTGCCATACTCTTTCATGATCGCCTCTGGCATCAGCAACGGCGCATTCTATACAACCTTCCCACCGGAGCTGTCTATCTTTTCCATGGCGTTGACAATCGTGCGCTCCTATAAGAAGGAAGGTGAGTATTTGTGCGATGCACGGCACATGCCACACCCCGGCTTCCTTCACCGTCGCTTACATGTTCTTCGTCAAACGCTGGCGTTGCTTTGCATATTCAGTCTTCAAATTGCCAACTCTTGTAGTCCAGGTAGGCAATATGAAGCCCATCCCACGACTTTGTTAGGTGTGAGCAGAAATTTCTTCCCGGTAGCAGAATGTCCATGACGTCGGCACAATCCTCGACTGACTTGGCAAGCGGCCCAGCACTGTCGAAGCCAGCACCTCCGGACATGGTGCCTTTCATGTTAACATCACCCACGGCCCCCTTGATACTGTAGAGGGCGGCACGGATAGCCGGTTGCACGATCGAACCGTCTGATTCGCTCCCGACACTGAGAGCTGCGAAGCCAGCCGTCGTTCCTACGGCAGAGCCTGAGGACGAGCCGCCGGGAGTCTGAATCACCGTTAGGGCGTCTATTCAAAGCGGCAAGAGCTTGGTAACTTACGCTGTGGCCCAGCCACTGGTCGTCGGGATCAACGCCGCCCTTGACGTACGGAGTTTGAGTCTAGTCGCAGTTAGCATGCAGGAATCACCTGCATTATCGGGCACTCTCTCACCTGGCCACCAACGGCCGACCAGCCAGCTGTGAGGTTAGAACCCTTCCCGTTTCCCCACTCCTAATACTTGATGATTAGTTCAGTCTGTCCCATGACTGGAGTGGAGCGTTTATTAAAACCCCGACAGAGTAGGACGTACCGAAAGATTGGCCAAACCGATGACGATACAGCCAGCATCTCTAAGCGCAGTTGCAATCGCTGCATCTTCACTAGCAGTCAGACCCTCCAAGGCAAAGGAGCCGCACGTTGTCTCGAGCCCGAAGGACGGAGCGAGATAGAAATTCTATACCGAGCACGTCAACCAACGCGCCAAGAGGAAGACCATCAGAATGCATACCCACCTTAAGCGTGATTGGAATCCCGTGAAGTGGTGACCTCGGGCCGGAGTTCTTCCTCTCGGCATCCAATGCCATTGCCTGATCGAACAATGCATCGCGGGACACTACCGCGTTGATGGCGTGGAGTTTCATGCCATCGTGATTGTGCTTGGCGCTCTGGTCGAGGTACAGTCGCACTAGCTCGACGCTGGTGGTTTCCCCTGACTCGAGACGTTCACGGAGATCCCCTGCCGTGGCTGTGAGGAGGTCCACTCCCGAGCGCTCCAGCTCGACTGGAGGGAGATGTGGTCCAGCCATTCGTGGCCACAGTTTGTAGCATGTAAATAGAAGGAGCAAAGTAGCTGGGATGGTGATCCGCATTGATGGATTGCAAAACCCGGTCGTCATCCGCCCCGCGCGCTTTAAAGAGATTGTGAGAGGCAAGCACAGAAGGCTTAGTGGTGGTGGGATCAAAATTCAGACCATGTTGGCAATTCCTGCATCTTCCACCGTGCTGGCCTGGACACCGCATTTCAGGTTTAGTATTGGGGCACCTAAGGTAGGTAGTGGCATATCGAACAGTGCAAACACAACCTCTCGAATCTGCAAATCGGATGCACGGTGACGGAGCATGGCGTGGGAGATAGATCACGGTGCCACTACCAGCGAAAAATGAGTCGCGCCCGTCCACACTAGCTATACGTAAGATTGCACTATATCCAATGCTTCAGCATCTGGCATGGGGCCGAGATCCGCCCCCGTCCTTCCTTCCATTTGTGTTTCCTATTCCTAGACCACTTGAGACATAGGCAACAGCAACACCACCTCAACGGCGCCTTCCTCGCCACCAAACCGGAATCCGTCTGGATCATTTGTGAGCCCGTTCTCCGGACTATAAACCCCCCCTCCAATTCCAAGTTAGCATGGAAACTTTGCCGGAGTTTCAAAAAGTCCTATCAAAGGCGAGTGGGAATGCTTTAATTACCACGTCGCAATCAAGTAAAGATGGATTCTTCTCGAACTCTCGACAGGACGACGATGTTGCCTGGTTGATATATTAACACGGCGGTTCAGGGAGCTTTCAATGCCTCCATCTCGGAGGTTTTGTCTCAGCGTACACCGCTCAGAGCAATACGTGTAGGAAGAGCAGTCCGAGATGGAAGTTGACCGTAAGATTGACTGACGCCCCTACGTCTAACGAGTGCTTCCGATGCAAGCCTACCCCCACCATCAATCACACGTTACACTTATGTTTCTGTCTCAGAGAAAAAGCCCATCAAAAACGCTGGCTCCTTCCATCAGCATTATCCTTGTCACATCGCCCGTCATGTCCACCATCAACCGCATGAGGAGGCTCCCGTTTTCCTCGTCCTCCTCGATACCCTTCAGAGCCTTCTCTTCCAATGTCTTTCTCGGTTCTACTTGGGAAAAGATGTCGACAACACGCACGTCACGCGTCGAGGAAAGGAGTTGGAACCAAGCTTCAGAGGTAGGCATGTCATGCTCTATCGCACCGGGCTCGGGCTTGGCTTGTGACGGGGGAAACGCCCATTGTAGAGCGTTGGTCCATGGATGGCCGGGATAAGCTTTGTTGTTCATATCATGTATCATGTAGGCCGGAAGGATCGACGGCTGTCGTTGTGGGTGTGGAGCACCGGCCCAGGGGTAGACATACCGGGCGTTGTAGCGGTGCGAAGCTCCCGACTCTGAGCAGTATGCACATGGCAGCGGGATTAGACCCCGGCCAATTTTCTCCCCTCCGAACTCGGTAGTGTCCTGCTGTTGGATGGGTCGGTGGATCGATTTCCGGCGTTTTGACATTGTGGGCAGGAAGTCGTCGGGACTGCGCCGTCTCTTACCCGGCACAGTCGTTTGCAACTCATGTTTAGCATGGGCTAGCTTCTCACCAATTGACTTGAGGAAGTCGGTGGTGGCCATTGTTGTACCCAACGCTCTGCCAAGCCGATCCAGCGTATATGGACCCATGGAGCCTCCCTCGCTGCCATTCCGGCTCTTTCTGATGGCGTGAGTCCAAGATCCCGAATCTGCTAACATCCCTGCTGGTTTTGAACGAGGTTGCTTAGCTTCATCTCCCCAAACCCAACCATCCTCTCGAGGCTTATCCGAGCCTCGATTAGCTGACTTGTTCCCGTCAAGCATCCTCCTATACACCACCGCCATAGCCTTCAAGCACTGCGTACCAACCCCGATATCTTGCCGTAGGCCCGCCAGAGTCACTTTCACTTCGACTGCGTGTTGTGGCTCCAGAGTGGGCAGAGCTTGCTCCGCCAAGGTGCGCAGCAGAAACAACCCGATCACATCCGGTGGATACTCTGTAAGTCGCAGTTCCGGCCAGCTTTTACCCTTCCGCCACGCGCAGTGTACCGATTCTACCCCCACCACCCCCTTGTCCTCTTCTTGCCCGCTATACCCTTCCGTTCCCTCAACGGAGTCACTCCCAACATCAACAGCCTCCAAGCCACGCCCCTCAGCTTCAACAATTTCCCCGACCATCAACCTCAACGCATCCATCGCGGGTATTCGCCCATCGCCGTTTGCCCCGCCAGGATCAAGCAAACGTAGTACTTTCATGACACCATCCTGAATCTGGAGCCAGCGTAAAACGTCGTGGTAGAAACAGGACTCGCAATAGATTGTCCCGTTCTGGATAGGAACGAGTGGTTGGTGGGTGGGGTTAGTTAGTCCGGTAGTTGCTGAGGTGGAATGCCAAATTGGGTTTCTCTTTGGGTTGGGAAATGGCCTGGCTTTTTGTTGTCGTTGTTTTGAGGTTGGTAGCGGTGATGGTGGCACTGTCGTTGGCTTGCCGATAGGGAGTGTGAGGGGAGGGTATGGAGTGTCTAACAAAGCGGGATCGGTGAAAACTGATGCCTTCTCCTTGGTGACCAAAGGTCCGGGCGGTTCCTTTCTCGGTTTCTTCTTTGGACCTCTCAAAATTTTGGAGACTTTCGGCATTGGAGGAGGCTTTCCAGGGACATAATCCCCGTCAGTTTCATGGTCGTCAGAGCTGATTTCGATCGGTGATACTTCCTTGGTATCCTTTGGCACTACCGCTTTCTCACCTGTGTCCGTGTTTGCTGGTTTGGGCTGCCTTTTGGGGCCTTTCAGAATCCTGGGGACTTTGGGTAATGGCGGTGGGCGACCCGGCATGTAATCTTCATCTGGTTCCTCCTGGTCAGAATCGCTTGAAGTGGCTTGGTGATCTTGGACATCCATATCGCTTGGGGCACGTCCCTCTTCAAGTACTGATGTCGTTGAAGCCGCTTTATTGGGACGGGGTTTCGGCCCCTTGAGGATTTTGGGCACCTTCGGCATTGGCGGAGGCCTCCCTGGAACGTAGTCATCGTCTTTCTTTTCTTTATCTGGTTGGCTTATCGGTGGTGATCGCCCTTTGGTGTTAACTTTGACCGGAACTGGGGTTTCAACTTGAGGTGAGGGTTTTTTGTTAGGTTTCTTTTTGGATCCCTTCCGGGATTTCGGGGCCTTGGTGACCGCAGGTGGATCTCCCAATACGCGATCATCATCCAGCTGCATGCGAGACGACTTTTCTATGCTTGGTGATTCCTCTGCATCCCGGGCATCCTGGAGTTGAAACTCCTTCATTCGCTTCTTAGGGCCTCTGAGAATTCTCGGCACTCTAGGCATCGGGGGAGGCCTAAGGGGAATGTACTCGTCTCCCATGGCCTTATTATGGGAATCAGGCTCACCGTCGCCTTCGAGGTTTTCTGGCGGCGTAGATATTGCCGTCTTTGTTGGCGATAATGGGCCCGGGGCAACCCCACCTGGTGACCTGTCCGCGACAGCATTGTGGTCCTTTTGCCGTGGGGCTCTTCGCTTACGTTCTGTAGGCGTTTCCGGGGTAGTGATTCCCGTCTCATTCTGGCTGCTAACCCTTTGCCGGGTCGCTTTTACCCTGCTTCGTGTCGCTGGTTGGGGCTCGTCGGTGGACTTCAACGGCGTTTCCGTTGCTGCGTTTAATAGCTTGGCTGCCCTCGATCTCGTCGTTGGCCCGGTTCTCGTGGGAATCATGTTGACATGGCTTGCTTAACTTTAGCAATGTTTCCCTCCGTTCTTAAGGGGGTTTGGTAAATCCAACCCACTGGCACCGGAATCATAATGTGTTGGCCGCGGGGAATGGTGGTCTTAGGCTCGGTGCATCCAATAAATTTGACTTGACGGAGTGCGGCGAAGGTTTAGCAAACTTCAACCTTTCTAGAGGAGAATGATCCTTGGGCTACGCTACGCTGCTAGGGAACAATGAAAGAGGGCACGGCACTGATTTTGGCACTATCCCATTTCTTTTGTCAAATGTCTTTGTCCCAAGTCATTGGCAACAAAAGCGCCGACGGTATTCGTTTCCGGAACTCAACACGACCTAGGATGCGGAACAAACAAAGGTGATTGTTACAACCCATGTTATGCTAAGAAGGTTTGCCCGTAATAAAACTCATCATTTGCCCATTTAATCATCGCTGATATCTTAAATGAGCTCATTCGTGTACAAATATGCTGTCGGTCATACATTACACGGGGTTTCCAGCCCTGCTGGCATGCTTCATAAATAGGTGTTAGAGTGTAGTTACGCCTTTAGTAGTATGCTAGCTACAAGGGAGACAATAGCCTGTGGAAAACGCTGGAGCGGTACTGCTCTGAAAGGGCTCCCTCTGACAGTTACTCTGATCGCTCGTTTCTACTCCATGTGCTTGACAACGTTAAATTACCCCTGAATCAGCCTGCTTGTTCATGTTGACACCACGACCCAGAACATCCTTCTTAACCACTAAGCCGTTGCCATTTCCCGAAACTGAGACTTCAATCCTATTTAGCATCATCGCGGCCAGCTGAAATCAACCTTCATACCCAAGCATCACCACCCATCTCAGGAGCTAGTGCAGCCAAACCACTAATCATCAACCTGAAGCTCACTACCATGTCCGAAACATCAGACCAAAGCAACAAACTCCTCTCCTGCGACGTATCATCTCCCGAACCCGCCTCTTCACCAACCACTTCCGCCTCGCGCCAGACACTATGAAGCTTGTCGACCGATCCCGAACCGTCAGCCACAGCTTCTATTGCTCTCCAGCCATTGCCAAGGATTTCATCGCAATCTATAGCTGCTCCTCCGACTCTACCACCCAGTCCGAGGTTGATTATGCCTACTGTAGCGGTCCCTGGTCGCCGCAAACCGGTCCCGGTTGTTGCGAATAATGATCCGAGACCGGCGGCTGAGAGCATACGTGCTGCCGCCCCCAACTGCCGTTGTTGCCAAATCTTCCGGAGGTTGTTGGGGTGGTTTGTACCTCGGCAGCGGGGATCTCACTGACGATACCAGCATCACTAGGTGTTGTATTGCGTGTGGACTAACTGCTAGGAGTACCAATATCACTAACCACCACAATGGTTACTATTTCTTGGGCTGCCATCACAACTTTCAAGCCCTAGCACGCGCCCAAGGCCCTAAACTATCGTGAAACGGACTCTTGGAGGGTGGGATACACAAGATTGAGTCAGGACGGAAAGTCGGCGACGACGTGGAGCAAGATACGAGGGTGTGGATCAGGATCCGGACTAGAGGTGCTGTGTGGAGTTTTGGAATGATAATTAGTGTCCCCATGACGTGGGACGGTGGATGAAAGGGCCTTCGACAGGACCAGATGAATTTGGGCAATGCGTTAAATGGCCTTTGGGGGTCACTGGAGGGATATAAAGAGACAGAAAAGTAGTCCCCATCTAGGAATAACAAGAGCACATGTACTTCAGTAGTATCCTCCTTGATTCCCCGTCTTACTCTTCATAAATGTGTACAAAAATAGGCTATGACGCCTGCTGTGGCACGCTACCACTAAACCTAAAACATGCACAACATGTGTTTGTGTAAATATGGCCATCTCATCACCTGATGTTTGTCGTAACTATCCGAATCGTATCCCCGTCGTTGGCTCCCACGTCCCCGGCCCCGGAGGTTTACCGCCCCTCCCCAAACCTGCCGTCCCATCCTGCTGACCACCTGCAGGACTTCCCGATGCCGCAGCCGCGGACGGTGGACCTGCGAACCTTATCCCCATATCTGGATTCCACGCCCCCTGCATCGCTGCAGCCGAACCTACAGGGGCTAGTGGCCGCGGTTGTTGTTGTTGGACGTTGTCGGCCCAACTTTGGATCCGTGCCTCGGCGGGCGGCGGCCCACGTACGGGTTGTCGCGGTTGTTGGTACTGTTGTTGGGGTAGTTGGTGTGATATCGTGCGATAAGACGTAGGATCAGGGGTAGGATAGGATTGGGCATGGGGCGGCGGATGCGGTTGGTTGAGCGACAAGGAGGAGAGTGGAGGCATCGAAATATCGCTGCTGAACAGTTAGTTCTAAAAATACGGGGTACAATAGGTGGGAAGTTGGTCCACAAGTACTCTTCTAAAGCAGCCGCCTCTTTTCGCCTTTCGTTGGTGAAGGCACGGCATTGGTTTCGGAAACTCTCCACAATTCGACTAAGATCGTTGTAGAATTTCCTCCCCACCTCGACGTTGTTGACGATATCTTTGTACTTGTAGTACGCATCGTCCAATCGCTGCAGCGCTTTCTCCCGATCACGGCTCCCTTTTTCACCGGCGGTCTTCTTCTGCGACTCAAACTCGCGGTTGGCCCGCTGTAGGTCTGCCACAAGTTTCTCCTGGTCCGCAAGTTCCTTCTCGACCACCTCCAGCTCGGGCTCGTATAGTCTGTCCAAGCGTTTATCGAAGAATTCCTCGAAATGGGCGGGTACAATAGGCGTGTTGGGGTAACTGCGTTCTAAGCGGGCTGCTTCGGCGAGAATGTCTCCCTTGATATCGTCCGCACGGCTCCGGTCTCGTAGGGCTTCCACCCGTTTTCTCCTCCGTGATTCGAGGCGCAAGACATCGTTGTAAACTCCTCTCAGCTTCCCTATGGCTGGTTTGAGAGTATCGGGAATCTCGGTTTTGCGGCTGTTTGGGATGTAATCCAGCATTCCACGATCCGAACCGGCGAGAATGGCCAGGGTGCCTTTGACGGCGGCGAACTTTTCACGCACAACCTCATCGCTGGACGTGCTGGAAGTAAAGTATCCCTCAATCTCGGATGCTTGATTCCACAACTTGGCTCCTCCATCGTGGGCCTGATCAGCGCGAGACGCAGGACGAGACCAACGCTGCGTCCCGTGCATCAAACGGAACTTGTTGTCCTCCTCTTCCTCAGCGGCCAACAGCGCTTTGCCTTCGTCAAAGATCGTCTTGTCGCTGGCGCAAAGCTTTTCGATATCTGATAACCCGCGTTGAAGACGGTTGAGTGCATCGGCTTGTCGAATCTCTTCGGCATGCTGCACAAGTGTGCCGGGAAGACCCATGGGTTTCTCGAGTGCCTGGAGTGAACCTGGGAGATTCAGACTGGAAATAATTCCGTGAAGCTTGTCAGTCATAGCTTCGAGCTCGGTAACAATGTTGTTGTTGACTAGACGGTCCCGCCGTTCTTCGTAAATGGAGACAGCCAAGTGAACAGAGAAAGGAACTAGCTTGGTGAAGAGTGCGGGGCCAAACTCGGCTTGGTCTCCCAGGTACTCGTGTGGGTTGGCGATTTGCGGGGGCGTGCGAGCGACTGCCATATTAGCGCGCTCGAGAATCTTGAGCTCGGGCTTCGGTGGGACGACCTCTTCTAATTGTCAGTACACGTTGGGTACATCTTATTTCACAGTGTCGGGCTACTCACGAAGATAGATGACATTGTTGTCCCTTTCGGCCCGGGCGAGATTACTTTCTACTCGCTTTTTGAGACCCTGAAGGTCCTCTACAACGGCCTTATTGATGTACCCTCCTCTGCATTCTTTTAGGCCTTCGGTGACGCATGCAACGGCGTCAATTAGGCGCGCGACCTCCTCGCCGTACTTTCTCTTCTCGAGGCAATCGCAGGCAGCACGGTATTGGGCAGCGGCGGCGAAATGGTGATGTTTCGCACTCATGTGGTGGATCCAGGCAGAGCTGATAGCCTCGCTTTGCATCGCAGCGTCCCCGGCCAGATTGTAGAGATCGGACACCCGGGCGGCCAACTTGGCGATCGATGCGTCCTTATACCCGTCCATGACAGCCTTTTGCCAGAAACACTCTTGGCTTTCGGCTAAGAATAGTTGTACCAACGATTCGAGTGTCGCCTCATCCATATCATCTGGCGGGTTTGTCATGCGCAGCTCGGGTAACACTACGGTCTTCATATGCTTGAGGACCCCCGCTGCTTGGGAGAAGTAGTTCGCTGCAGTCTTTAATCCGTCGGTATTCCCCCGGTTTGACGACATGGCTAGTTGGGAGTACAAGGCAGCGAGGTTATACAGGATATTCATCAGTTCGTACTTGAGGTTGTTCGCGACGAGGGGGTGTTCGGTATTGTAACCGAGGGCGGGATACCAGGTGAAGTCGACGCCAATCTAAAATCCGCCCAGGGTTTGTCAACTTGGTGCCTATCAGAGTATTCACTGGTCCAGTGACCCCCAGGATACTACTAACGTCTATTGGAAATTTCCCGCTCATCCACACCAACTGCCCCGCGTATGTTTGTAGCGTTTTAATGCCACTGGGGTGGGCATCGATCGAGTTGAGAGCGGCCCGGCGAAGAGAGTCGATAGTATCGAGGTCATGGCGGAACATGTCCGGGTGCTGATCATATTTCTTGGAGATGTATTTGCGAATCGAGGAAGCGAGTGATATTTGAGCCGACTTCCGGAAGGGAAGTGACAGAATATTGGAACTGCATTTCCTCGTGGTCAGTCGATTCGGAGGGGTAGTTCGTTGTTTAGGCACTGTAATGCTCACGTCGTCATCTTGGCTCAAGCCTTTCGGCGGCCGCACATCCCTCGCGTGGGCTGGGAAAAAACTCAATCCTCACGATGTTCGGCCAATATTGCGGTACTTCAGGCTTCGTGGGGGGACCGATGTCATCCAACACCAGTGTCTTTCTTCCTTGCCAATTTGTTTGGCGGGGTGAGCTATTCTCGGCGCCAGGGCAACACAGAGCATCGCCCCACTTTCGTCCCGACACGTTTGGAGCCTGAATTTCGCGGCGGCAAATTTAGCAGCCGACCTCGAAGTCACACTCCCCGCTGGATGGAGGATTCGCGATTGCCTTTTCATCCCAATTCAAGATGTTCCATATCGACGTGTAAACCGGTTTCTGCCGTGTATTGTCGATTCCCATGTCTGACGGCCTGGTTTTCTCGCTTTATCCATGTGTTGGAGATAACTTTATGCTTCCCTTGTCGCCTCCTATCCAACAAATTTCCCGAGCCCAACTCATCACCTCTCGCACCTTTATGCGATTCGAGCTTGCGTTTGACGACAAGGATTCCGGGATTCCACGTGTAACACCACCGCGCCGCGAACCAAAAAAGCTGTCTATTCCCGATGATATGTCGCCCGCCGGGATGAAACACATGGATTCTAATCTTTCGGCCTCTTCGCGGCATGCTACCGTGACCGGTGGGGCTTTCGGCTACGACTGATCTCGGCCCGTTGACCCCCGGCGGCGGCTAGCATGCCTTCTGTGCGACTGACACCCATTTTCTCTTGATCCTGTGGGTATTGAGCCGTCCGATTTAGAGAGATTTTGTGTTAGGTTTCTCAGTGACGATCGGTACATTCATTGTTGACCTGCATCGTCTCTGAGCAAATATCTCCGTGGACCCCTTTCTATGTGCGTCACCATTGATAAATCGAAGCCTCGACGCGAATGTCAGTCGGCGTCAGCCCTACTAGACGAGCCTCATGTCTCTGAATATCGGTTGCCTCCAGCCTGGCAGCCGGCAGAGCTCTCGGCGCTGATGCTTTTTTTCGGTCCCGACTACCGAGTTTATGTGGTGTTACCGTCAACCTCGCCTTACTAAATTTGCTGCGTGTCTGTCTGTGATGGCGCGCTTTCCGGGCGCTGATCGGCACTCGCTCTTCCCATCAAGGTTCCTGTTCTTACCCACCACCAAATGCTTTGTCTCCTGGACGACCAGGGGCTAAAAGTCGGAATTGGTGAAGTAACAATTATGCCATGGATATAAATCTCACGCTAAATATCCATACTGCGTATTTGATCAATTCGACCGTCGCAAACCAGGGGGGTTTTGCACTAACAGTTGTCGATTACTTAGACTCCAAACCTGGAAGTCCAGAACCGGTGTTACCATAAAATCGGCTGCCTCTAACGCTGGGCTTACTGCGGTGTAATGGCTTGTGCGACGCGTCCCACGCCATCTCTTTGTGGAATGTCGGAAACTGCTACTTACTTTTTCTCGGCACGGTGGTGTCCAAGACTCATGGAAGCAACTCCGTGTGCAGCCGGCTTGAGCTCAAAATTACACCAACCGCTTGTCGCTCGATAAAGTAAATAACGGCGATTGCACACTCGGGGATTGCGGTTACCTCGATCCAAAACTTCCCATATAGGTGCTCCCTGCTGGTCCGAGCTTTTACCCGGATCTCTACAAGTCCCAAGGTCAGTAACGTTAATCGTGAAACGATCAGGGCGCCCCCAATTAAGCACGGTTGCTTGGGCGAAAATGGTTCCAGCCATGACAAAAGAACAACCTGTTCTCAAGCTAATTAACTTCCAGGAACAAACGTCAAGGTTTCCAGTTTTGCAGTGCCCGCCTCTTATTTCCTTTTCCGGAAATTGCACCAAAGCCTCTACCACAAAGTACACCGATTGCTCGGGCCGTCTGCAAGCTTCGCCAAAGCCTCAATCAGTTACATAATTGCAGATTCGATTTAGGTACGGGGCGAAATAGCTTGCTTTTCCGGAATTCGGAGAGGATTGATAGGCGTAGAAAGCCTGGAGCTGTGGACTAATCAGCAGGAAGGACTTGGGCAGGCCGCACCCGTAAAACCCAACACGATTTTATGTGTCGTGTTGGGCCAGCCCAGATTGTTCGCTGTTTTTTCCTTCCCAGCACCGTGGTTCGGGCGCGCACACGGCTGGAAATGCAACCACGCTCTCCGGCGTGTATTCCCAGTTCGGGTCCCGTTGCAAGCGGCTGATGGTGGTGTGGCACTTCATTCGCTTGTCAGCTGTCCACAGACCGGACATCCCCAAGTCAACGTCCACGGAGCTTGGCATCCCTGTCCACTCTGAGGTACTTACCTACCGGAGTGAGACATGGCGTGCCCGGTCGCGGGAACATTCAAGCAGCTCAACCTGTTACTTTCCAGGGTTCGCCCAAGTTACACGACATTGGTGAGTTGACCTCTGAACTCTCCTTGTTGACAGACAGTTTTGGGTGTCATCACGAAGGTCTCAGGTTGTGTCGGGCTTGAAGTGGCGTGTCCTAAAAGTCGCAACGCAGCATCCCGTAAACGCGGACCATGCCACAATGCGTTTTGCTCGTGGTTTGAATTTCGCTTCAAACCGTTTCCCTTCAACTCGGGCCCACGCAGAACGGCAGTGCGGGGGATGGAATGCCTGTCCTAGAGCTAAATTCACATGAACATGACCTCTCCCAAGGAGGAACCCAGTGGTGACGGTTCCGGGACAGCACCCCAGGCCCGTATAGGCTCTGTCGATATTATTATATGCCTGATTACCCCGAAGACGGACTTCGTGACACAACATCCCACCGCCGGTGCGCTATGGGCTGAACTCGACGCCACCAACCCCCCAAACTGGTGGACTCACCAGCAAATCATTCCGTGGGTTGACTAGGGCGAGCTCGCGAACATACTTGCAGCGCGACACTCCTACTAACCGATGAGATCCCGGAAACTAGATTTTTCATCCCGAGTCCTCCTATCACGGCACGCAGAGCCCCACATCCCCTTCGGACTCCCGCCACGAAAGGTCCCTGTGGGGGACGGGAATCCTTTCAAACGTTGCCGTAGATGGTCATCTGGCATTATGAATTTCGTCTGTCCTTTGTCCCGAGAATGAAGGACGGCTAAGGACCTCGGGATTCAGAACCCGTACAACGGGTTCGGGGCGCCGATGGCTTGCTTATTTATGGAGTGGACATGGGTTCCAGGGGGGAGGATCCGCCCTTTTTGGTTTCCGGATAGAGAATACACACACTGAGACAGACCACAGGTCGGGCCCGGGGTCACGGCGTCAGTGGGCTCCGATGAGGGATGGGTTACCCCGGCCTACTTTCCGATAACCCTATTTATGGAATCATGGCACCCGGCTACTTTTGACACCATGCGGTCTCCTGTTTGTATTTCCCCCGTGTTATTCATAGACCCTTTCCTCCCTCTATCTCCTTCACCATCCACTCCGTCGTTCTTAGACGAGTAGCCCTGCCGGATCATCCCGGTCGGCATTCTTCTTCCTATCATCGCTCGTCGCCTTAGTACCGGGGACGTTCAACATGGAAGGGCTAGCGCTGGTCCTGCTCTACCTGGCTATCCCGAGCCTTTTGTTCTCGGCCATCAAGCAGCTTCTCACATGGAGGAAAAGCGTTGGGTCGACGGCGAAATTCCCAGGCCCCCAGCAATTCCCCATCGTGGGGCGCGTCCATGACCTCCCTCGCTTCTCACTGTGGCTCAAGTTCAAGGAGTGGGCCGACGAACATGGCCCGATCTACTACACCAGGGCGTTGAACCAACCGTTCATCATCGTGTCAGACGAGAAGATTGCTGAGGAACTGCTGGTCAAGCGAGGTCATATCTACTCCGGCCGGCCGCAGATTCGGTCGTTGATAAGGCATAAGGAGGGGCCGGCCTACTCGGCGTTGATGGACCGCCATGGTATGTCATACGACACATTTCATTCTTTTCTCCCCGCATACTCGGAACTACTACTAAAGCACACGACCCCCCTAGACATCTGGAAAACCCAACGAAAATGGGCCCACGCAGCCATGGCTGAAGCCTACAAGCACCACTTCTACGGCCACGTCGAGCGCGAAATGAAGCGGTACCTCGGCCTGCTCCTGCTCGATCCGGCCCGTTTCCTAGACTACACCCGCGAGTACTGCGGGCGCGTGATGTCACGACTAGCCTGGGATGACGCCACGCAGGGGCGCACCAACGGCGATAGCGCAGACCAGACGCTGCACTGCATGAGCGTGTCGGGCCCGCTGCCCAACACATTAACACCGCTGTGGCATTTACCGGCGTTTGCGAACCCGTGGTATAATTTTGAGATCCGCCGCGAGCGGGAGCAGCGGGCGTGGTGGTTGAACAATTTCCGGTTGGCTAAGGATCGGATGCGGAACGGGGAACTGCCGAATGATACGTGGGCGTATCGGTATTTTGAGCAGTTGAAGAAAGAAGGGAATGATGGGCTGGATCAGGAGGAGGAGCAGGAGGTGTTTGCAAGCTGCATGATTGGGTTCTTGAACCTGGTCGGGGTCGTCACCATCAGCGGGCCGCTTAAGTTCTTCCTCATGGCCATGGCGCTGCATCCGGAGTGGCAGAAGAAGGCCCAGGCTGAGATCGACCGCGTGTGTGGGAACCGGATGCCGACGATGGAGGATTTCCCCAATTTGCCGACGGTGAGAGCGTGTATGAAGGAGACTGTACGCTGGAGGTCGGGCGTTCCGTTAGGTGAGTCTTCTTGTGGCACTTCTGCTTCTGTTGTTCAACCATAGTAGCACTCCCACGCTACGAGGGTCGCACTTGTGGTGTGTCATTGTACCAGCTGACAGTCTCTGTTCACCCGTTGCACAGGTGTCCCACACCAAGCAGAACGAGACGACGAGTACCGGGGTGTCAAGATTAGGAAAGGCACTATCGTCCTTGCCTGCGAATGGTAAGTTTAGCCGCGGCACCTCCTAACCCCACTGTTACTTTTACTACCAACGCCTTCCCTCCTACCCAACCTAACAAATACCCTCCTCACCCACGCACAGGTCCCTCAACCGCGTCCCAACCAAATACCCCGACGGCGATAGTTTCCGCCCCGAGCGCTGGCTCGAACCGTCCTGGCCGACCTACCAAGAACCGCTCACGCGGTACCCCAACTTCCGCGAGGGCCAGTCCATGCACACCTTCGGCTGGGGCCGGCGCACCTGTCTGGGCCAGAACATTGTGGACGACGAAACCTTTGTATTTGCCGCCGCCACTCTCTGGGCGTTTGACCTCGGCCGCAAGGTTTGCCCGCGCACCGGCAAGGTCGTGCCGATTGATACGCAGGCGACTAATAGCCATGTGATTTTGGAGCCGGACCCGTACCAGATTAGTATTAAAGTGAGGAGTGAGGAGAGGGGGAAGCAGGTGCTGGGGGGGTATCATCAGGTTATGGGTGAGTTGAAGGTATAGGGGGTTGATCGTGGTATAATTCGGGAGAATGTAACAAGATGGGTAAGGGACGATGTTTGGGGCCTTGGACTAAGAACGGTCTCTCGTCTGTATAATTTGAGGGGTACAGAGAGGTGACTACGGAAAAGTCAGTGATGGCCACTTAATGGTCGATCGTCATTGCGAATGTCAGCGTTGCAATTTTTCAATTCAGCATTTTGACTTATTAACAAGTCATTCTAGCACATGATAATACAAGCAATGATTAGCCTCATTGCCTCGACGGAACACGACGGCCGTGGATACTGTGGACAATACTGTCGACGATACATTTGGGGCACTTGGCAATATGTTAATGATCTCTACCTCGTGAATTTAAAGCCCGATCCAATCTCATTCTACTAAATGGCGTCTGATATAATTACGTCTAGAACGGCTGACTTCTAATCTAGCGAGTCAAACTCATTCCTTCTTCCCCGCGCCCTCTTCCGCAATCTTCTTCTCATACTCCGTAAACGTCTCAATCCCCTTCGGCACCCCATTCCACTGTAGCCCTTGTTCATCCATTAACCTCGCCCGAATCCTCATCGACCGTTCCCACGACGGCAGCGCCACCATCCTCTCATGCCACACGCGGACATGCGGCAGGCCTTCCCACACCTCATCCCACGGCTGCACCAAGACCTCGCTCAACCGGAAATTCCACGGCACAAACGCCATGTCCGCAAACGTCATCTTCCCACCGACCAACCAACGGACATCGCCATCGTCAGCATCCGGCTGCGCGGCAGCGAGAATACCCTCCAACACGCCCAGCACACGCCTGACTTCGTTAGCGTACCGCTCAATCGCCGACGGGATCGGTTCCGTGTGCAAGTGGCGGAACCAGCCCGCCTGGCCGTAATAGGGACCCTGGCCGCTCATCTGGAAGTGGAGGTACTGGTTGGCCAGGTGGCGGTTGGTAACGTCGTCGAAGGTGAGACGCTTCTCGGTGTCGTAAAGCTCGATGAGGTACTGGTAGATGGCCCCGGATTCCCAGAGGGTCAAGCCTGTGTTGGGGTCCTCGATAGCGGGCACGCGGCCGTTGGGGTTGATGTCGGTGTAGGGCTTTTTCTTGACGTCGTCGAAGCGGAAGGACTTGATTTCGTAGTTGAGGTGGAGCTCTTCTAGGAGGAAGATGACCTAACGAGCGTAGTTGTTAGGAACAAGTTTGGTATTAAGGGCTTGACAAATAGGAGACCGGGCACACTAAGTGAACCTCCGATGTACATACCTTCCATGGGTTGGGCCCAGGTGCTGTCGAGTGTTAACGGAAGTTGCTTTCGGATGGCGGTCGGGATAGGGTCATTAACATACGAGTGAGCCACACCCGGATTGGTTTCGGGGGATTAGAGGAGCTATTGGACGCCATTCTAAGGAGCGAGCTACGGCCTGGATACGACTTGACTTTCAAGGTCAGATCGTGACCGGTGGAGTTTTGAGGGGACTTAGGGTTAGAGCTAGGGGGCGGAGACTGAGATTTAAATACCATAAATCCCTAGCGGCAATGAAGCACAAACCTGAATGTAGCGAGAACGAGGGGAGCGAGTTGAGCGACATTTAATAAGGAGTCACTGAGAAGATGTGTGGAGCACACTCGGCCCCCAACTTAAACTTGGCGTAGGCATCCTCCCTTCGGAGACTAGGCTCACATCCCAAAAGGGGTGTTGTCCGCATCTCGGTTAATAATTATTGATCGAGTCACTCGGTTTGAGTCGTTAAGCCATCAAGCGCCACTTCCACAGAGCACAACCGATCAGCCGGTGGCGCATATCTTCAAGTTTATTCTAGATAGGGGTAAGATAATATGCAGTTTCAATGACAAAATGAGAACCAAGGCAGGTAGTTTTGCGACATTGTTGGTGCGAAGACCTTTTATGTGTTTCCCCAGGCAAGCTGAACCTACTACTGGCCTTAGCACCAGGCACCTCGTTCTCGCTTACGATATGTTGCTCACGACGTCGAGACGGGCATGGGGCTTGGATGCGTGGCGCGAGCGCTCAATATATAAATATATGACCCAGTTGGGTTAGGCGCGCGTGAAAGAGGGAAGAAGGTAGGAGAAATGCTTGAACCACCGCTGGAATGACAAAGAGAGCCGGAAGTGCCCATTCTGTCTCCGTTTTGTCACTTCCGGATTGCCACCCAACAACCGAAGGAGACGGAGAATGAACCGGCCATCCATGAGGGTTAACCGCCCTCTCCCGGTCGCTTGGTGTTCTCGCGTCCGAGTCGCCCTCTGTGTTTGTGACGGTGGCAGGCGGGCGGGTCAGCGGACCCACATATCCACTGCCAAGATCGGACTAGCCAATGAGAGCACGTATGGGCGAGCGCATCCACAATTTTCAGGGAGTTAGCCGCTCTGATTAGCTGGTCCGCTGACTAAGAAATTTCACGCCTCCTTCAACGCATCTCACAGTTGATATCACCGACCTTCTTCACAACTTATGGCGGCGACGCTGCGACCGCATGAGATGGTACAAATAAGGCGCCGGCTGGCGCCAAAAGGGCTTTGCTTGAATGTTTCCCCCTACTATTTTTCCCAAAGGCCCTGAGGGATTTCATCGATCCACAACTGTCCACGATGCCGTTCACCATGTATCCAGATTGGCCGCGCTCACGCGAAGATCTCGTACCTCTGCCGCAATGCGACGGGCCGAAGTTAAATCCGTTTAAATTTGATGGCAACCCGTCGATCGAATTTCTCGATTACCTGGGCGAGGGGTTACATGCCCATGTTTTCAAGGTCCGGATGGACAACCAAATATACGCTCTTAAGCTGGTAAGCATTCCTCGCATCCATTTGTACGGGACAGTAATTGGAGACTAAAACGGCGACAAACGACAGTTCCGATTCCTCTACGACGATGCATGGATGGGCCCCCCCGACTACGAAAGCACCGCCGATCCAGAAGACCGGGAACTCATGAGTGCCTTTTACGATTATTCCGAGCCCTTCAACTGCGAGTGCCGGGCGTTTGGGCGCCTGCAGGAAGCCGGCCATGAGGACCTTTCCATTCGTTGCTTTGGCTACGTCCTGCTGGACGAACAGAGGCACCTGGGCGTATGGAGATGCGGTCCCGATTCCTAGGCCGGGATGGCCGTGTCCCCCCAATACGGGGCATTGTGAAGGAATTTGGGCACGCGCCAGAGGAGGAGGATGTGCAGCCGGCCGACTTCCGCAAAATTCTGCATGATATCCCCCTCTTCCAACAGTTGGGCATCTTCTACCTAGATGTTGCGGCCCGGCAAATCGTGTCCGGGAAGTTCAGTGATTTAAGCACGGCCATCACGGTGCCACATTTTGTTATCACCCCTGAATTGAATCCGCAGCTGACCCCCGACATGCGGGAGGCCCTGGAGACGGAAACCTTTCGCCTAACCTTGGACGACTATAGGACGTTCGATGAAGTGGTTGATGACTGGAACCAGCGACATGCCGATCAAAAAGGTGCCGTGTCGGTGCGTGCATTCCCTGGTGGATCGGGTACTCCAAAGCTGCGAACCCGCGTGTCGAGAGGCCAGTCCGCCCAGGACCGCGTGTTCACGTTTATAGGAACTTAAGACATAAAATTAGATTTTATTATGTAGGCCTCTCTGAACCGATGCCCAGAGTATAATTATACTACTTCCCAGCCAGAGCAAAGTCCCAGGGGCTTCTCACCTTGTAAAACCTGATCCTCCAAGATAGCTCCCTTCCTCACTTGTTCCATAGCTCCAAGACGGCATGTAGGCGCCGGCCATCATCCCCCGCGTCAGCGGCTTTGCCGTGTACAACAGGACCATGCAGGTCAATGGCGCCGCCCCCTTGTCATAGCCAACCCAAACTACGGCCGGGGGGAAGCATTTCAGCGGCTAAACCTGTCTGACACGTACAGGACGGACGCCAATTTGCCCCGTGCGCTTGAAGGCAAAGGGCGCGAAAGGGAAGACGAGAAGGGGGTAGGGAGACCTGGCATTGTACATATGTCCCGATGGGGGGTGTAGGTACGTACCAGACCGAGTATGGGGTAGATAACACAGTAGTGATCCTTGGGATAGGGAGTGTGGGTATCACGGCGTTGATCGCCGTAACCTTGATCCTCGCAAACCAGTTTGTTGTCGTGAATGCGATGCATAGGAAATTAGACAGATACTGGTGGTTTGTGTGACCGCGTTACAATAGATATCAATTATTACATTACCTAAGTACTCTGAAGAAGAGCTACAGAGGGGTAAACCACCCAAAGGGAATTCTCACGCGCCCGAGATGATAACAATGTGCTATCAAGCTGATTTTTGTGGCGTGCTCGCGTTAGTTAACATGGGATGAACTGTTGTTCATCTTGCCAGGGTGGATCCAGCTCCCTAGGTAAGGTAATCCAATCCGTATTACATTGCATCTATACAGTGTTGACTGTATCGAACCCGATGTGGCGCACTGAGAGTGTGTTAGGAGGCACGATAAGGGGCAGTTGTCTTCTTATTCAAGAGGTTACGGCTTGCACCTTTCGACTTTCAAACCAATCCCTCAATTACCGCGGTATAATTACTGTAAAGACACAGTGTCTCCTAGAGAGAAAGCTCTGATTATGATCCCGGAAATCATAATAACAACGCAATAACCTGAACTCAATGCCCTTGGCGAGTTGCTTACCCAGCTGCCAACAGCTACGTCCGAGTTATCGAGGAGGGATCGGGTGATTCGGGGATATCATTGCAAACACGGCACTATTACGCATATAGGGCCTCAAACTACTACTGCTTGAGCATATCCAAATGTGTGCCCCCTAATTACACCTTCTCCAGGTTCTTCGCCCCCGCCTTCTCCTCCACATCGCCAGTTTCAGCACCGCCCAATGTCCCAACTTTCTGATCCGCCTCGTCAGTATCCCGCTCCCGCACACCCACATCCGTCTGTGCAAACGCGTCAATCGGATCTCGGTACGCCGGCACAAAGTTGACCGCCAACGCATACGTCCACGCGCCCACAAAGAAACATAACGGAACCACCATCGCAAACCCGGTGCCATGCCTGTCCGCAGCAACACCCATCAGCGGCGGCACACACGCACCGCCCACGACACCACCCACAATGTACCCAGACCCGCGCTTCGTATGCCGGCCTAGCCCCCGCATGCCCAGCGCCACAATGGTCGGGAAGCAAATCGACTCGAAGAACATGGTCACAAACACCATGCTCAGGCCCGTGTTCTCGCGCTGCGTGATGGCCGGCGCGGAGAACACGATGCACATTGTTAAGAAAAACAGGAATACCTTCCGCGGCAGGAGGAAATGCATGAGCGCGACACCGCCAAACCGGCCTATCGCAAACCCAGCCTGGGACCCCGCCAGGAACTTCGAGCCCAGCGCCGAATCGGTGTTGGACCGCGTCTCGGTGGCGTAGTTGATGAAATATCCCGCGATCGCCACCTGCGCGCCAGTGTAACAGAACTGCGCAAACGCCGCGTGGAACAGGCGCCACTGCTTGAAGAAGGGTTGGTCGTTGGCAGCCCCGGAGTGGGTCTCGTTGGCCTGGAAAGCCATATCGGCGTCGGTGATTTCGGGGATGGTGGAGAAGAAGAAGGCGGCGGCGAGCAGGAAGACGAAGCAGGCGATGGCAAGGTAGACCCATTGCACATTTTTGAGGGCTGTTTCTTCGTCGAAGTTGAAGAAGACGTAGGAGCCGAGGACGGGTGCGATCACAGTGCCAATGCCATTGAAAGCTTGGGCTAGGTTGATCCGAACCTCGGAGTACTTGGGTGGACCGCAGACTAGAGAAATAGTAAGTAAAAGGAACGACGAAAAACGGGCTTGGGGAAGGTGGTGCGTAAAAAGATACAAGACGCTTACCGGTGATGTACGGGTTGGCCGCCGTCTCAAGCGAACCGAGACCATTCCCGATGATGAAAATGCAGGCACAAAACCCGCCAAACGAGCGGCTTATGATAGCCGGGATGGCCAGCAAGGCGCCGAGACCGTACAAAAACAATCCCCAGATAAATACAGCCCGATATCCAAAGTGTCGCAAAATCCACGCCGCATGGCCGAGTGATGCGAGGGGGTATGCACTATCAAAAATAGCCCAGTCAGTCTTAGCTCTTCTCTTCCCCACCCAATTACAACCCCCAACAATCCATCCTTCCTGCCAAAACTCACCCAAAATACGCTGCCTGCAATCCCGACGATCTCGTCTTGTCAATCCCAAGCGTGTTCTGAAAATGCTTGTTGAGCGTGTCCAGGAGGCCGTAACTAAAGCCCCACAGGAAAAAGAGCACGGTGACGAGACAGATCGGGTACAACGACTGCCGCAGCGTGAGTTCGGCGGCCCGCGTGGTCCGATCATCGGGTACCCGCAGCGAGCGCCGCTTCCAGAACGTGCTTGCCGCCATGGTTGTTCGAGGCCGCGATCGGTCCACGGCGATGTCGTGGGGTTCTGTGCCGAGGGAGATCTGCCGAGATAATAATGGTTGGCAGTGCAAACAACGGGAAACGGAGCAGAGCGGTGGTCGGTTTTATTTCAACCCCAAAGGGTCCCAAGGGATCTCTCAAAGATCGACAATCAAAGTTTCCCATTTGTGTCCCTGCTTCCCCAAACCGAGACTCCAAAATGAAGGGCCCCAGGTCCCCCAGACAGAACGTTGCGTCTCATTCTCTTCCCCGCGCTTGGTGCAACGGTGCTTCTTCGGGGCATTCCTCACACCCGCACCTTTCACATCAACGGATGAGGGAGGGGTCGAGAGTGCACGGTCATCCGTCGGTCTTGGGGGCCAGGTCGTGCAATCCACTGTTCCAACTTCCAGGGTTCTCCGGGCGAAGACATGTGTACGAATACATTCTGGGCCAAGGACATTTCTTTCAATGGGCATTGGATGGTTCGTGGCACGATGACGGCAGACTGCAGGACGCTGGCGATGCCCCTGCTCGGATTCCACATCGCACCGAAGCACACCGATCGTCGCATTCCACACGCCTTCTTTCATCCCAAGCTCGGGTGAGCTCATTCCACCAATTGCCTTCACTGCCGGTCAAGGGGACGAACTCCAGTTCAAGTCAACCTTCCAGATCGAGCCTTTCCCCCCCGCAAAAGCTTGATCAGTTTCGGCCGGCTTTTCCACTCGGCCACTGAGGAAGCCGCAGCGTGTGGAAACTTGGCTGCCGGAGCCGGGTTCTGGGGTGGACTGGGAGTGGAATGCCAGGATCAGCGGTCGAAATGTGGGGTCACTTCCCCGGAATTTCGAGTTTGGGGGTCTTTTGTGCGAGTGCCGAAGACTCCGGAATGGAGACAGCGGGGAACCACGACATCATTCATGACTCCCCTGCTCCCCTTGCTACCGAGTTGTGCAAGTGTACACTGCACGCAGTTACCGTAAATTTTGCCGGTTGACAGATCTAAGATCGCAACCTCGCCAAGCTCGTAATTACATGGCGTACTTAGTGTAAGGGTGTAGTAAAACGTCGCCGCGTTTCCACCCGAGCCACCGTGGTCTTCCTTTTACCCTGACAAGGGACTATGTCTCTTGTTTCTTTTGCTGGCCCAGGTCATAAACTCCGGGTTCGGGTATCCCCGACACACCAAGTATCCTCGACGACCAACGGCTCCTCCAAACTCAAGCCTTGAGATATTGGTTCGATAATTACATTTTCTTAGACCAAGGCATCCGACGAAACTAGCGCAACTTTACCGATGCAGAGAAACCGACAGCGCTAGATTTCCTCAGCTAGTTATAGTGTATTTGCGAAAATCTAAAGAGATAAACTACATATGGAAAACGAATACTGCCGGCTGGTCCTCCGAGTATTTTTCCATGTGTCATAACCTCACCGTAACCCTAGCCCTAACTAAGAGCCAAGCGGGTGTTGTGTACATACCTAATGAGCTCTTGTTCTTTTGTCAACTTGGACCATCCAAGTTGTGTGATCTAGACGTCGACATTAGTATTCCGACCGGATAATCATTCAAGATGAGAAACCGTCCAACCCCATCGATCCAATCTTGCTCGTGTAGTGACTGAATCTGACCGGAAAGGCAGTGCAGATCTCTTCAATTCACAGGTCGTGAAGTTTTAAGGTACCAGGTACTTGAAGGTTTGCTTCCAAGTGAATCTTCGATGATTTCCTCTCCATGAGATGGGGGGTTAGGTCCCCAACAACGACTTCGATGACCCGCTCAACGCGTTTCTTCCTTAGCGAGCTGAATATAAATAGGGGGTCACGCCGTCCAACGAGGTTGATCCTTTGGTTCCCCCCATGAATGCGAAACTCCCCGAATGAGACGAAAGACAGCATGCTACCGAAGGTTGCTCTTTTGTAACCGTCCTCAATATTAGAGGCGAGGATCAGTGCGTCCTACGGGTGTCTGTCGAAGCTGAAGGATACGCGGATATCTTGAGCAAGTCAATGAGTTAACCAGGGTTAATTAGGTAAGTATCGATAGCACCTAGGCCTGGGATTTACACGTCGAGGCTACTCTTGAAGTTGGTGACGTGCGGCGGCCTTATGGCTTCGTCCTCGGCTCCTTTGAGCGACACCTAGAGTTTTAGTGTATCTCTGATCCGAAAATCGACACTCTTCTCAGTGACTCAACCCAGTTCTCCTCGAAATGCTTGGCTGTCTCAAGGTGGTACGGACAAGGGGTCAGCCCGTCGGGGGCCTTATGGGAGGGCGAGAGCCCCATCATGCCTCTGCAACAGCTCTTCGACAATTTCCACTTGTTGCACTTTGGACATCTGTCGTATCCCACGGCAAAGTGCAGTGGCGTCAAGGCACCGTGGTTTTGAGCCCCGAGCACAGCGGCTGTCGCTTTACTGATCAGGTTCAGGACAAAGGTGTAGCGGATCTCCTCCGTAAACACTGAGACGTGAATATAATTCATTCATCGTCATATTTGGCACTGGCAACGTCATTAACGGTCTCCAACATATCTATGACGGTTTGCACGAGGAGCGTGTTGCCTTCGCCAAACACAAGATATTTACAGTGGTGTTTTGTCACGCCCGTCCATGCCTTCTGCAAGACCGGGGAATTCTCCAACTAATCAGAAGCTGGACAAGGGACATTGAGTCCACAGGGCTTTTCAGGCCCGCAATGTGATATAGGATGTTAAGGCACCGCTGCTCTGCAGTCGATGAATTATCTCATGCTCAACCTGGAAGTGCAACTCGAACCGCGCAGTCGATGTGCTCTTGCCCGTCGCTCTCTTGTTCTAGCTCCACGTCAGAGTTTAGGTTCCCAAAATCCACGCCCTCGGGCAGTGTGCCTCGCTGGTGCGGATGATCGTCGCCGAGATCTTCCTCCATGACGGCGCGGTGGGACGTCCCTCACCCAAGAAGACGAGCTTCGCGATCTCCTGTGTAAAAAAAGCACCAAGATCGACTTTCAGCCCCTCGCCAACCTTGACAGGGCTGCAGCTCCAGTTCCCCTCCCAGCCCTCGACACGTCGCAAGCAGCTGCACCGCTGATAGGTTATCGCTATCAGCTCCCTGATCAGCTCCCAGATCAGCTTCGAGATCCGTGGTTGGGACACGAACTGGAAATGTCACGCGGAACACACAACTCCATTGTTGTGTTGGTGCTTTGGCTGCTGAAGCTGGGCTTGCGCCCAACCTCCTAATACCGAGCTCGCACCTTCTAGGACTCATCTAAGGCAGCACAGGACATCGCGACCGTGAAGCGGTGGATCCGGCCATGGCTGCTAATCCCTTTCTCATCTCTGGTGTCGCTACCCTTTTTTCCCTGGTCGCCCCTGCGCACGCGCTTTCTGGGCCAGATGACTGGAATGATTTCTCCAACAACTTCGCCACCGACCTCGCTCCCATTCTCGTCCTGTTTGGCGAGCAGGCCTCTAAACAATTCCTCAGCGAGTCCACCAGCATTTGGGACAGCATAATTTTTGGTATTGCGCCCATTGGAGTTATCACCGCCGTCGTCTCGGTAATTCGCCTTTACGGAAGCTCGTCGCTTAAAGCCTTGATCGGCAGAGCCCAAGAAGCCCACGGTGTCGCTGAAGCCGAACTCTGCTCCTCCACAAGCGATGATGTCTGTGAGCTTTGGTCCAACGGTGGCATCTGCCGTGTCTTCGGCCGCCCGCTCATCCTCGAATTTTTCCGCGTCACGCCGGGGCCGAACGACTTTTACCATCGTTTCGAAAGCGGAACAGTGGACACGAGAAGGCCACCGTCATGCGGCTTGTATTTGCCAAAGACTCTTTTATGTGCCAATGGGTACAATATTACGGACTGGGTGGAAATTGGGGCTGCGGAGGCTGGGGGGGTCCGTGATTTCGCACCGCATCCTAACTTGAGCTTGAATATTGGTATTAAGCCTCTGCCTCGCCAGCTCCTTCGCATTATCGCTGCGCTGGGGACTCTCCTTCAACTCAGCTTCTTTGCCTACGCGACCTGGGTCACTTTCTACTACCCCGAACTGTATGAGGAGGATGGCTTGCCGGGCTTATGGTCCTTCTGCCTCACCACTGTCGGGATGACCCTGTTGGTCATTGGCATGATTTGCTGCGCTATCCTGGTCGACGGCAGGTCGGCCGAGCGGCAATTTCGATTTCTCAACAACGCCAACAAGGCGTATCCACCGTATCGTTCGGGTCTAGCTTCGCTCATTTATCGATCAAAGCGCCGTCTGGCGCCAAATGACACCGAGTGCGACGCAGAGCGCGACGTAGAGCACGACACAGAGCGCGCCGAGTCCGACTCAAAGCGCGACGTAGAGCGCGACGCCGAGTGCGACGCAGAGTCCAAACCCAACAATAACATAACCATGTTCTGGCTTCAGCCTGGCAATCAACGCGTGGGCGACCAGCTATTCAACGCTTTTGCTTACTAAAAACCAGGAGATACCTACATCACGTCCTGGAAAACCGAGGCCGCAGTGGATTCGCCGCGGCGACCGGGAGCATCGCGACTCGCTCGACCCGGATTCGGGCTCGGGGTAGCCATCGGTAGTTCATGCTGCGGTTTCGTTTGCCAGTTCGTCGGCCTCAGAGGTTTGCATGGGTCCGTTGCGCTGTATCAACTAGCCGTCACCCTGTGCATGGCCATCGTTCGCGCCCTCCTCCGGTCCCGACGTCTCGGTGCGGACCAGAACAAGCTCAAGCTGAGAAGGGATCTTGATGGCCATGAATTGGATTGGCAAGCCTCAAACATTGAGAGAGAGAGGCCGATGATGAGTTTAAAGGCAAGTAAGGATACCTGTATCCGTCTGGTTGTGTACGTATGGCTCTGCTAACGCCTCTATCATTCCTAGGCGGGTGGTTTATCGACGATCTCCCGTCACCACTGAAGAGCCCAAACGACTCCCGGCGGAACCCTGGTCTACACTCGCATGACTACGGTGTCAATGTGGCGCCGGGAACCCGCGGGCTCGCCGGGTTCTATGCGCAACAGCAAAGGAACTTCGAAAATCCGTACAGTGTCATAACGGCCGTGTCTTGGGTCAAGCTGAACGAATGGAAAGACCCTCAACCAAACGAAGCAGCCAGAATTTTACATTACAGAGCCTCGCTATCCTATATGACCGGCGGCATGATTCAGGCCGAAGAGGAAAAATGGAACACGAAAATCCGAGAGGTGGCGAGACGGCTAAAAAATGCACTACAAGAAGCGGCGAAGCACGTCTTTTCGGATATGGCCCTGCTCAAGGGGTGGAAAGAATCCACCAGCTTGGTGTGGTCCACCACTTGCCGCTTACACGAGCCGTTCACCATGTCTGCCGATGAGAATTCGACGGCGCGGCCAGAGAGCCTGCCCATTCACTTTTCCATGCACCACGTCATGGGGCGTTGGGAGATCAGTGAATGCCAACTCGAGGCTGCATTGAGCCTCTGGCTATGGTCCATCCGTCACCTGGGTGCCCTGGACCGCATATCTAGGAGAAAAGCATTCATGGCGGAGCGGCGCGAAAGGCGGGACGACTTGGTCTCAGCTATTCGTCTCTGGGCTACCCAGACGCACGGGATAGACACAGATCCCGTGAAACTTGCTCAGCTTGCTTCCGAGAACCGTGCATCCATGCTGGGTGATGGAGAGTACGAAGGCGCCTCCCTAGACAGCCAGATGCCCTACGAGTTTCTGACTACACTTTCTGTGCCCCTCATGATGGCGACTAGGCCTGACCCATGGAATTTCGAAGTGTTGGACGGCGTTTGCCTCTCTATATCCACCCAAAGTTCGCTTCTACAGCTTATCTCCCAGGATATTTTTGCCATATTCATCAGCAGAATCGCCGACATCATGCATCCTCTTATCGGTGCTGAGTCGTGGACGCGGCGGAGACAAATCTCGGCTTCTGGCGGGGAAGGCGTTACGGAAGACCAGTTGTACCTTGGCCTCACAAACACCCATGTTGGGGTTCTTGCCAACACCGTGGTGTCGTCTGGTATCGGCTCTAGAGAAGATGCGCTTATGACGGTAATTCCGCCACTTCTTCAAAGAGCCAAGTTACCGACGACAAGTGAAGTTATGCGCTCGCTTTTGCGCGAGGCCAAGGGCCTGAGACGCAAAAATCAGTTGATTGAAGCCGAGAATCTCTTGCGGTGGCTGATGGACAATGTACCACGCGAACTGCAGGAACGAGCAGTTAGGGCTCTGGGCAATCTTTACCGCAACGCAGCGTGATCCAGCGACCTGTCCGATCAGCGCTTTGGCACCGTCGGATTTGAGGCCATGTCGGCCATGGAAACCCTGTCAGAGGGTTGGCGGATATTTGATGAGTCTAAGCGCGCCATCTCGGACTACGTGACCGCCTGGGGTCTTTCCAGACGCGCCAAAGCCAAGCGGGGTCGGAAGAAACCCTTAGTCAAGCTTTTGGAACTAAAAGACGACGCTGGGGCGATAGTCGGTGCCTTGAGCGCTGCAGACACCCATGATCTAGACACAGGGTGCGCCCAGGACGTAATGGACGTTCTGAGATGGGCTATTTCCACCAAGTGTCCTGAGCTGATCGAGGATATGTGGAGCTCCGACCACATCCGTGAGCTAATTGCCAGCGCCCAGAAGAATTCAAGTGCCAACGGGCCGGGTCTGTTGCCCTGGGCTGTTGACCACAAGGTGGACGAGGAGACGCTTGAGACACTGTTTGACTGGCCAGGTCTGGATCTTTCCCTTCACGATGACGGCATAAAGGCTGTCATAAGCGCAAGCGCAAGTGGATACTACGTCGGCGTTGATCTACTACTACAACATGGAGTGCGTCTGCACGGTTCCGGCGGGTCGGCGTTGCCTTTGGCGGTGAGAAACAAGCATAGGTGCGTGGTCTTTCGTCTACTCAGCGTACGAGCGCATCAAATAGAGGCCAGGCACTGCACAAGGGCGCTGCACTCGGCCATCAAATGGGACAACGACATCGTCAAGTTGCTTTTAAACCACCGTGCTGATCCCAATGCACCGGGCGTGGGTGGGAGGACTGCACTCCATGTAGCCACTCTCGAAGGCAATACGGCAGTTGTCGAAGAGCTGCTACGTTGCGGAGCTCAAATGGAAAAAGAAGACGATCACGGCGCGAATTCACTTGACATCGCTGTGTTGTTGAGGCGCCGGGCGATCCTGGGGCTGCTTATCGACCCGAACTCGCCCCAGTCCACGATCAAAAAATTCTTGCCTCATGATTGGGCATCCAAAGGCGAGACCGTTGTTGACCTCTTGTTGGCAAATTATAAAACCAAACACCAGATAGACATAAGCAACTACCAGACCCCACCCCTGATCGCCGCCGCCGAACAGGGGCTGGAAGAAATTGCGGAGGCGCACCTTGAAGCGGGCGCGGACCCGAATGTGCTCACGTCGGACCAAAACAACAGTCCTCTGCACGCCGCGATCAGAGCCGGCAACGATCGGATCATCACGGCCATTCTGAACCCGCATTACTGGGCCGACTTGAATCTGAAAATTATTACAGGCCAAACGCCGCTCGCGCTGGCAGTCGAACTCGGCCAATACAAGACAGTCGAGCAATTGTTGCAAAGAAAAGCGGCCCCTGACGCACAGATTGGTGACAGAGGCACTGTACTCCACGTTGCCACAGAGAAAAAAGACTCCGAGGTTGTCGACTTGCTCCTCCGGGAAGGGGCTGACCCCAACACCAAGGACGGCAACGGGCGCACACCATTACTGGCGGTATTGGAGGCTGAGGCGATCGAGCATAATCCACTCAACGAAGTGATTGTGGAACGCCTGCTGCATTCCAGGGCTCGACCGGATGAACGGAATGCAAACAAAACGAACACTCCCTTGCACGCCGCCCTTCGGTCTGGAAATCTGAGCATCATATCGACCATACTTGGCCAGCTTCATGGAGCCGACATCAACGTGACTGTGCACGAAAGACCCGCTCGGGCCGCTCCTTTGACTCCACTGGCACTCGCAGTTGAGCTCGACCAGCCGCAGAGTGTTCGACTACTGATAATAGCAGGAGCAATCCCGGACGCAGAGGCTAAGTATGGCAGCCTGTTGCATGCCGCAGCGAAACAGCGATATGTGAAGATAGTCAATCTGCTGCTCGCAGCCAAGGAGGACACAGAGGCAAAAGATCAGGCAGAGTGCACACCCCTCCTTGCGACTTTGATCTCTGAGCTGTCTCATCATCACACGGAAAACGAAGACATCGTAGAGAGCCTCCTGCGGGCGGGAGCAGACGCGAATGCCGCAGTGGGAGGAGGCGCCAATGTCAGCGCCTTACACATAGCTGTGCAGAGCGGCAATAAGACCATGGTCAAACTACTCATTGAGAATCACGCCAATGTCGAGGTCCGAAATAGAGAAGGCCTAACACCACTGCTCGCTATGCTCGATCCCTGTCGGCACCTGAGCCAGAAGCAGCGGAAGATCTTCCGCCTCCTCCTCGCTGCCGGCGCGGACGGAAATGCGTATGGCGGCAAATATGGCACCGCCCTACAAGCGGCAGCACACCACGGAGGCAAGTCCCTAGTGGAAGAGCTTTTGCAGCACAAGCCCAAGATCGACGTAAACGCCCTGGGCGGATACTACGGTACCGCGCTGCAAGCCGCCGCGGTAATCCAGGGGGGAGAAAAGGTTGTCGAACTTCTCCTTGAGCATAAAGCCGATCCTTCATCGCGGGGTGGCGCATACGGCAGTCCGCTGCTCGCTGCTTCGACGAAAGGCCACAAGAAAGTGGCTGGGCTTCTCCTTCGCCGAGGTGCCGACACCGAAGCTACGCATTCGGAAAGCGGACTCACTGCCCTCCTTGTGGCTGTCGAACGCCGCGACATTGACCTGGTTTCCCTACTTTTGCAACACAAAGCAAATCTAGAGACAGTTGACAAACAAGGTCGGACGGCGCTATTACTGGCAACCGGTGGCGGTAACACACAACTCTCCAGGGTTCTGGTAGACGGCGGGGCTAACAAAGAAGCGCGGGAGCCGAATTCTCGTCGTACGCCGCTATTAGTAGAGACTGATCGGGGGAATCGTGACGTGGTACGGCTGCTGCTCGCCCACCGGGCTGACACAGAAGCGCGGGATCCGGAGTCTGGTCGTACACCATTGTTAGTAGCGTGCGACCGGGGGGATTATGGCATGGTACAGCTACTGTTAGAAAAGGGCGCGGATGTCAATGCTGTGGGGGGGGGATATGGAAATGCAATGCGGGCCGCTTTGTATCGCCATGATGTTGAAGCGCAGGAGATGATAAAATCTTTTGGGGGGACGGCGGAGATAACAACGGGCTCGTGAGACAACGACCATCACCCTCCGATTTATAACTCAGTTTCGTGGGCCTGGAAGTAATTAATATCTCCTACCTACCTCTTTGCAAGCGCATACCGCATCCTGTATCCCTTGAATGACTGGCAGCAACAAAATTTGAAAATCCAGCCCAGTACCCCTGCGAGATATATGAGTTGTAAAAGCCCAAGACCACACCATCATTATCTCAAATGGCCGACCTACATATTTCATCAAGTTGCTACAGCTTCCCCTGATTCACCCCCACCTGGCGTTACCCGTATGAATCCAACGTAAACAACGCGATCTGTCTTGCATTTCTCCAAATTTCTAAGCAAGCCCTCAAAGAACACTGGCTTCGCCGTGATGAGACTGCCGGGGTAGGTTGGTTTCCCATTTGAGTTTCCATGCGTGGTTGCAAAGTGGTGAGAGCTTCGAGATAATTAGTACCGAATTAGGAAAGGCGTGTGGGTTTAAGGGTCAGATTCGCACGGATTTTTGCAAACGACAGGCCTATTGGCCCGTGCCAAGTATGTGCACAAAATTCGGATTGGAAAATTCGTGCAGCCAGCCCATGAAATAGCCATCAATTACAACCCATCTTTATCGTCTTTCTATGCTACAAACCAGTGCCACTCTCTGCTTTTTCTAACAGACCTGAGCCTCCAAAAATTCGCGAGAGGCGCAGGGGGCCTGGTTGGCTCCAGCAGGAGCGGGTTCGGCGAGCGCCAAAACGGTATCCGCTCGCGTGGTTCAACGGCTGTGTCTCCACCCGTGCGAGACCCCTGTTTAACACACTTATCGCTTCTCTAAGTGAGAAGAGTGAGAGTGCAATATGCAAGCCGCCCGCGCTGAGTCGTTATCTAGTAGGCGTAGAGGAGGAGGAAGGCAACCATGAGGGCGAACAGGCCGGTAGCTTCGGCGAAGGCGAAACCGAGGACGGCGTACGAGAAAAGTTGACCTGCAATTGCCAAGATCTGTCAGCTCTCATTGTCTCTGCACCCCCAACCAATGGTAAGGCGGGTTCACGCGGCTGGAAGGCCGCAGACGATGGGACCCGCTCTTACCTCTGAGCGCCGGGTTGCGGGCGACGCCATTGATGAGAGCTCCGAATACTGTGCCAATTCCGACACCAGCACCTGCAAGACCAATCGTGGCCGCACCGGCACCGTGGACCTTGGCGGCCGTGATAAGCGCGGCGGCGGTGGACTCAACGACAACACTCCGAGATTGCATCGCACCACGGATCATGGTCGAGGCAAAGGTGCTCCGGCCGCCATTGAGAAGCAAACCGTTACGCCCGACAGCCTGGCGAGCAGTGGGGAGGGTGGAGATGATGGAGCTGGGGACGCGAGCTAGAGTTGAGACGAGATGGTAAATAACGCATTTCTGGGGAAGCTGGTGGATCTGAGAGCTTGACAGCTGGCCCACTCATTCAGTGGAGTAACGTACCCTTGCTTTGTGTGGTTGATAGGAAGCGAACAGGCTGCTTCATGCCCGCGCGGGCGACGACGCCAGACAACCGGCCGGAGGCGAGCATTTTTGGAGGTTTGTGTGATGGAATTGATGGATGGAAGGTGTGTGGCAGCGATGAGCGGATGGATGAAATAGAAAAGGAGGAAGAGAGGGAAGGGGAAACGAGAGGGGGTGCCGGTCCCGTGCGGGGACTGGTTCCTCAGGCATCCAAAGTGTCACAACATGAATGCAATGGTAGGAAAGAACGACAGAGCTGGCCAATAGCAGGAGGGGGGCGCCCCAGACTTGTTTTGTCCCGGCAAGAACCGTGCGAAAGGGGAAAGCTGGGGGAAGTTGCGAGCCAAACTTGGAGCGGTTAAACTAACGGCTTTCCGTTTCGAACATTCCAACCGCAATTATCGCCAATCTTCTCGGCCGGTTCAACTCTATTTTTCGGTTTCTTTCCCTCAATTACCTCCCTCCCTGCGTGGTCGTCCATCACGCCGATGGTTCACGCCCGCTGACATTCATCAATGACCCAATGTGTCCCTGGGACACGAGACACTGGGGAAGCGGAGCCTTTGGAAGACCCCGGTGAACGCCAAGCCCGCCATGATGCCCACTTCTCCATGGGGAAAATGGAGCACCACGGGCAGATGGGGCGAGATGGGCAGCTCATCGAGCCAATCTCGGCTGGCTTGTGGGGCGGGCTGGCCATTGGACAATGCTCGCCTTCCAAGCCCTCCCTTGCAACATCCCCTGAGGCCTGCTTTCTGCGTCCACTTCCGCGTTGGGGAGGAAGCATCATCGACCTCGGGCCAGATCCCAGGATTCTTGGCTTCGTGACTCTTCACAACAAGTTGGTGCTCTCGAAATATCTTCTTGTTGTTTAAACATCTTCGCAAATTGACCCGATGAGAATTTCCTGCACACGTGCCACGTCTTACGCCCTTAAAGTCGGAACGAATGGGTTCAACCTTCCGGTTGACCCCTCTCAGACGCCTTCCGTTTTCAGCCGGCTGTGCTGATTCTCAACGCCCCTCGCCTGCGCGCCGCATGCTGTCCCAGTCCGTTGCCAGATAAGCTATGGATCTGCGGGGACATTCTCCCTCAGGTAAAAAACCGCGGTCTTTTTAGAATTGTCGCGAATCGCGAACTTGTGGCCCTGGGGAGATGCGCAGACTTATCACCTTATTTCCGTCTGGGGTTGGAGCGGCCTTTCAACCTGTCCGCTGGTCCCCCGTTGCTCCGGCGTATGCTCCCGAGGTTCTTGGAAATGGTGGGGCGAGATCGCGGGTGTTCGCTCTGTCCCGTCTTGATCCATATCGCCGAGGCATCTAGACAAATTCGCCGTCCTTCATTTTCCGTTGTCAAGCAGATAAAAGGTTCAAATATTAATTCGATGTTATGTTTCTGTAACCACCTCAGCAGCCGTAGCACCGGAGCTTGACTTCGGGTGAAACGCACCCGAGGGCTAATGCTGTGCAACCAATCTGCAAGGTCCCTGAAGATGCGGCGCGAGGGGCTCGTGCCTGACAGCCGGGGTTCAGATGGCGTCCAAGAGCATTGGACCCCGATCAATGCGTTACCGCCCGTAAATGGCTGTTCGGACGATGACGTAGACGGCGGTCTTGTTGTCTTTAGATCATAGCGCGTTCCCAGCTCCCGACACTGTCTTCGTCTCAACATAGCCGAGTGGACACCTCCCCCAGCTATCAATATTGGGCAAGCTGACATACACCAGTTAGGTGGCATCCAGTGTGAGGCAACTACTTGTTTTGACATTCTAAAGATTGTTAACCCCACACGTTTGAGCTTGTTGCCTTGAACCAGGGCGGGCGATAAACGCCAATTGGCGAGAGCCCTCCGATTCTGCTAAAGCCCGTTAAGATTCTTCTGTTGGCGGAGAATTCTGGTTGTAGATATCGAAGTCGCTACCACCACCCTTTGTCAGCTCGTAGACCTGAAGTCAACTCACGCGATACAGCCGCCTGCGGAAGACCACTCACAACACGAAAGAGTCCACCTCACCCCGACCATCCACCTGGCTGTTCACCCAAACGGCAACGCTCCGATGCCCTACGGGGAAAACTCCCCAGCCATCTGTGCCAATCACAACTTGTCCAGGACACCACCGAAGCAGATCCGTCCAGACCTCGCCAGCATGGTGCTCACCAACAAACATCCTTTTGCTCGCATGCTCCCAAGCGTTCGTCATGACAACAGCTAGACCATGGCCCCCGGAATGTGCCGGATGCCCAATGCGCGTGAAACCTACGCAGTGTCGCTCGTCAAAATAATCGTACTGCGAGCCGTATGCCCACAGTTTGCGAGCAAGCATCATCTTGGGCAGGGCAGCGCCGCCGGAGGTAGGTGGGATGAAGTTGGCAAATCCGGGTTGGGGGTGTTGTCCCATGGAACCGAAGAGGTCTGCGTAAAAGACGCAGGGAATGCCACAGTTTGCGCGAAGCAAGATAAGGGCGTATGCGAGGGGTATGAAGAATGGAGCGACGGGTAACTATGCGGGTCAATTATTACTGCGGGTTGTAGGGACGGGACCTGCATTAAGCTAACCTCAAGGGACTGTCCTGCTTGCTAAACGAGTGTTAAGGATACGATCAGCAGTTTTAGACATTCATCAAATAGGGTAGACTTACAGTATCGTGATTCACGACAAAGGTCTAGATAGAGTCATAAGCGTCAAGCTCTACGTACAAGGGAGCATCGCATGTGGGGAACTTACCACAGCATGATCCGGCTTCCATATCGCCAGTGAATCGTCTAAAACTGTTCTTAAGTCCCCGTTGACTTGCGAGGACAGTTTGCTAAAATTCGACACCAGCTGGACGTCGAACAAGGATATCCTGTGGTCCATAAACTCGACAAACTTTGCCAGGTATTCCGAGTCCTCCCGCCAATATTCCCCCACAAGCAATAAGTCTGGGGCAACAGACTTGGCGTGATGAACAAAATCGCGCAGAAACCGGAAGCTGTAGTGCTTGATAGCGTCGAGACGCAGCCCACCAAGCTTCATCTGCCGTGGAAGCCATTCGATCCAGCGGAAGAGGTCCTCCCTGACCTCAGGATGTTTATGGTCGATATTGGCGAACATTCTGTGACAGGCTATTAGCATTATTCGCTAGAAGTTCCGAAAAACATAGACTAGCCACAACCCACAAAAAATCATAGTTCCCCAACTCCTCATCCACATCATCCGCCCACTCCTTGCCCTCAAACTTCCACACTCCCGGGTCCTTTTCCCGATCATCATAATCCACCCCCGTAAAATGCTCCTTCTTCCACTCCATCCCACTATACACCCCCTTCCTCCTCGGAAACCCAAACCCCGTCCACACATCAATCTCCCTCTCACTCCCCTCCACCGCCACCAACCGATCCTTATCCTCCATCTTCCTCGCCAACACCCCCTTCTCACAATAATCCGCCCCCGCCTTATGATTCAACACCGCATCAAACAACACCCTAACCCCAACCCGATCCGCCACCTCCGCCATCCTCACCAATTCCTCCTTCGTACCCCATTTCGTCCGCACCCTGTCCCCCTTCTCCTCCTCCTCCCCAGCTGACCATCCCGCAGCAGCAGGAGGAGGAAGAGGAAATTCACCCAAATCCCACAAATCATGCACGTCATACCCGTTCCCTGACGGCGAGGCTGCCCGACACGCGGGCGGGATCCATAGGGATGTTGCGCCGAGATGGGCTAGACTGGGGAGGACCTGTTCTAGACGCCGCCAATGCGCTCCGTCGGCGGGGACGTACCATTCGAAGCCTTGGATCATGGTTTGGTTTATGGCCGGGGTGGGGTTGATGGAGGGTGTTGAGTTGCGATTTGGGGTGTTGTGGCGGTGTCCATCGGGGGTGGCACTGGGGCCGGGGTTTAAGACGGAAGAGGACGTTGGGTTGGTGGGCGGGAAGGGTTGCGTGGGAGAGGGTACGAGATATGGGTTTGGGAGATAGTCGTGAGCGGTGCGACGGGTGCGGAGTGGTCGCATGTTGGTGGAAAAGCCGGAGTCGGGTTCCTGGCGGAGGGCTGAGGTGCGAAGGGCGGAAAGGGCGGGTGGGAGAGGTGGATCGGGGAGTTTGAGAAAGGCGCTCATTTTCTAATGTTTATCTATAACATTCTCTGTCGCTTTCCGTTGTTTGGCTTCTTACCATATGTTGTTTGGTGACGGTCCTCGTTTTGTTATGCCCCACCGCATTTGACGTGGAGTTTCTGAGTAACCCCGCCGAGTGTCGCTCCCTCTCCACTTCTACGCATGTTGAGGGATATTCTTCGGTTTTGAAAGGTATATATATGTGTAACCGTTTATATGTAATGAAAGTGTGTAATTCATTGCAATAAAGATTCTTACATGCCTCCTCACTTTTATCGAGTCAACTCAACAAGGGAGCTCACAGCGACGAGGTTAGGAGATATCTAATTAGCCACAATCTCAGTTAATTAGGTAGGTACTCTTTCTTGTCAGCTATCTCAACTCTTCTATTCTAGGCAAGCAATCAATTGACCTGGGTAACCCCATCCTGATCGTGGTAGTTTAAAACCTTCTCTTTCTTTCTCCTCTGCGAGCATTCTGGGTTCGGGGCGCTGATAGAACGCCCCGCGGCTATATAGGACACAAGCGTCGCTCGAAACAACCTGCTTGTGACGAGAGAAGGGCGTTGCAGTCTCTGGGTCGAGTTGAGCGGACTGTACCGCATGGACCAGATACGGGCGGGCGTACATATGTGGTAATCGGCAAAGGCCAACAGTGTTCCCGCTTCACCCCATCCAGATCTATTTGCATGCGGCTAGCAAAAGTCATCGTCGATCGTCGACTGCCGGCGCCAGCTCGAGCGAGACCCTTCGTGTGTTATCCCCCCGCTGTCCGGTCATGTTCCATCAGTTCCACCATCCTGTCCATCCAGCCCGTGTTGGCCTGGACGTCGTCAAAGCCATGGGATTAGTATCTGTGATGAATGCCAAGGTACGTTCCTTAACGTTGCGAAGGAGCAGAACTCACCGAATCCGACGGAGCCCGTGATTTTGAAGGTTTGCTTTCCTTCGAAGTTACTTCAGCGAGAGTACGACCGGGAGTCGGGGTCTTGCTTCGCCCTGGCTGCGGCACTATGTCTGGCGGTGGCTTGGAGTCTGAGCTCTTGTCAGAGGCCGAGGCGTCCGCGGGAGACGCCCCTGAGCCCCCCATCGGGTCATTTCTTTGCCGTAACAACCGTCGCTCGGGACTCTCTTTCCTCTGCCGCTCGCCTTTGACAATTTCACTTCCAGCCTCGACATTGTCGCCTTCCTCGCGTCGAGCACGAGCGTATACTCGGGGGCGACGCAAGGTTGATCCCACCCAACTAGGCCGTTGGCTCGGTGTTAGTGGTTGCTCATTCAGCGCCGGGGGCTCGGGTGCTGGAGGCGAGGGCGCCGGCAACGAGGACGGCGGCCGCCCCGCCTGCGACAGGCGCGTGAAAAATGGGTTCGACAGCCTGGCTGCAGCGGGCGGTGCTTCCATCGCCGAACGGTATCCCATCCCCCGTGGCTGCAAGTGCACCTGCAACACCTCGTGTGGCGGACCCCTCGATATCGCGTCCTCGGTGCGGTCCTGCCACCGGCGCGCGAGTACCTCCCTCCACCCGCTCGTGTCACAGCCCCCTGGCAGTTCGCGCTTCACCCGGCTGACCAGCGCGCCCGGCGCGACCCGCGCGTCGCCGCCGCTGTTGCTGCCGGCCCCGTTGACGAAGCGTTCGGCCTTGGCCGCCATCAGCCGCCACAGCCTGCTCAGGCGCGGGAACTCCCACTCCAGTAGCACGATGATGGCGGCTGCCATCGCCAGCTTGGTTGCGTTTTCCTTTGACATGCCCGGGACGGGCGGGGAATGCGAATGCCCGAGGTAAGGGCTGCCCGTCGCATAGTCCCAGTCGAAGCAGTAGCTCTCGTCGAGCGAGGGAGGCGGCCACCTGGAGGACATGTAGGGCGAATAGACATTTACAGGGCCCCGGCCGGGGTCTGAGTCGGCGTACAGCTCCCCCGCGACACGGTCGACCACGGCCCCAAGGACTGTGCCCAGCAGGTCGCTTGGGTCGCCGGAAAGACGGAACGAGCCGTCATGCTCTTGGTGCTGCAGGAGAAGGTTGATGTACTCCCTGCCGCGCCGGTCGTCGTCGTCGTCGTCATCGTCGAGCAGTCCCATGACGAGGGCTGGGGCTGGTGCGGGGTTGTTGCGAGGCGAGATAATTTCCCGCTGCAACGCTTCACCGGACAGCTTCTCGTAGGGATTGGTAGCGCCGCTGGTGGGCGCCGGGTTACTGGTGGCTGTGGTGGCAGAGGAGCGATCCGCCCGTTCCCATTCCCGCTGGGCGAGGCGCTCTCGCGCAAATTTCGAAATCTTGCTCGCTCTCTTTGACTCGGTGCTAGACTCCGACTCCGGCACTGGCCATCCATCGGCAGTGGCCGTCTTCTCATCCCGGCCCCTACGAAGTCTCGAGAACGGACGAAGGGGAGGCGCTGGCTGCTGTGGCGGCGAATCCCTCGGCCTCCATGCCTGTCGCGACATTGGACGATCCAGGTCCGGGGAAATGCGCTGTGGCAGAGGCAGGTTAAGAAGTCCGCGCACGGTCTGGCCTGTTGCGGGTGGGCTTCGTCCGGCACGGAGATTATCTGGGTCAGAACCCGAAAGGGTCGATGTCGGGACCCGGCCGGCATGGGTTGGCGGGCTCGCGGCGCGTCTTGCAACGTTGTAGCCCGGCCCCGTTGCGGCCGGACCTGTGCCAGAACCATTGCCACCTCCATGTCTGCTGCTTTCATGACCAGGGTTGCCTCCAGAACGGTGATCTCCTCCCGGCCTTGGCAGATTCCCCCCTGATGCTCCTGCTCCCCCGTAGCCTGCAGGCCCACCGTTGCCGTCACTGCTGCCATCATCATCATCAGTTGAGCCGTCTCCAAAATCAGCGGGAAATTCTTCGCCCTCTTCGCTTTCGTCAGTGTCCTCATCGAACTCGCCCCGCCCGGTCAGGCCTGCCGCAAGACGCCGGGCCACGTTGTTAGTCGTGGCCCTCGCCCTCAGCAGCCCGGGCTCGCTCTGGGTAACCACCTCTATCCCTGGGTCCGAGCCGTCCAGGAAAGGGTCCAAGGGTGTGTCTCCGTACGGTGGTGGTTGGAAACGATCTTCGGTGGCATAAAAGCTTGTCCACTTGGACACCAGATCCCACTTACACCCCAGCCGCTTGCCCTCCGCCATGACGGCTTTTTGTGTGGCCAACGGCCCCAGTGTCGGGCCACCATCCGCCAAGTGGATAATGCTTTGACCGCGCTCCAGGTCGCCCAGCAGGGCGCGGGCAGCGAGCTTGTGGATTGCGGTGCCAGGAGCGCTGAGAACTCTGATGGGGACCTGCTCAGTGATTTCTTCACCGCTGGGCCGCGTCGCTCGCAGGCGGAGGCAGGAAAGGTGCGCGGCAGAGGGGAGCGACTCGAACAGGAAGAAGACGCGGTTCCGGAGAAATGGGCTTACGGAGGAGACGGCCGCGGGGGACTGCATCATCTTGAGTCTTGAATTGGCGTAGTTATTGGGTGTGGCAGTGGACCTTTCACCTGTCTCTGGGGTTAGATCTCACGTTCAGGAACATTGAGATATCCTCGTGGCGCTTCGACGGGCATGGGACTTACCAGTCGTAACGTGCTGCATTTCCTCAGATCCATGTACCTCCACATCGACACCGATGGGCCCAATATGTCCCGTCAACGCGGCCTCCAAAACGGCAACGACGCGCGAGTCCCATCCACCACTGCTCGCTGCCGGGATGACCTCGGCGTACCCCCCGCCGAGCCTGGCAATGCCTTCGACCAGGGCATGAGACACGGCCGCGCCGATGCCCAGAGCAAAGAAGCGAAGGCGGTTCTCGCTGGCAGCCCTCGCTTCCCGGACGAAGCGCAGCGTCTCGTCCAGGTCCCAGACCTCGCCGTCCGTGAGCACCACGACGTCAGTGGTGCGTCCCCTGTCCCGCCCCGCGACGACGGCCTTGAGCGCCGGCAGCAGGCTGGTGCCGCCCATGTCGGCGCGGAAGTGCTGGCTGACGTAGCCGAGCGCCGTCTGCAGAGTGTCAGCCGAGTACGCCGTGGGGCGTGCCCACAGGGACTCGTGGTTTGATCCGAAACAGTGGATGTTGAAGGACCTCTCCGTCGGGATCCCCTTGAGGAAGAACTCCATGGCCGACCGGAGCGCCGCGATCTTGTCCCCCATCGACCCCGACCGGTCAGCGACGAAGATGATCTCGCCCTGGCCATCCGCGTGGGCCGCCGCGGTAGCCGTGGTGCCCAGCATCAGCCGCGACGGTATGGTGAGCATCACGGCCGTGTGGCCGTCCCACTGAGGGTGGCGCTCGAGACAGGCCTGCGGCGTCTCGAGGCCCGCCTCGGGCTGCGTGCGGATCTCGACGACAAAGTCCCTGTCGAGCTGGGCGACCATCTCGGGTAGGCGGATAAATGCGGTTCGGGGATCGGGATCCTGGCGCTGGCCTTGTGACTGTGCAAACTCCCGCCAGGTCTGGCAGGCTCTCCTGACTGCTCCAATCTCGATCTCGGCGTCGGAATGGGACGGGCAGGTGACGGACGAGATGGCTCCGGGGGCCAGCACGTCGACTTCGATCGAGAGCCTGTTGAGGCTGGCCGAAGTGTCCAGGGCCCGGAAGAGGCCAGGGGACGGCATCCCAAAGAGCGGGGCAATGTACACGGGAAGAGTGAAGGTGGTTAAGCCGGATGATCCATCAACATAGTCGTACTTCAGGAGGACAATGCAGGAGATGCTGAATTTGAGCCTGGCACGGGCCGGAATGTTGCCCAGAGTGGCGGTAAAGATCTCGGGCGTCTGTTCGTCCAGCAGTCCCGCCGTTTCGCCCTCGCTCGTGGCTCGCTCGAAGGCCTCACGGGCCTCCCTCTTGGGCTTGACTCTGCCCTGTAACACCCTGTCACGTCCGATCCGGCATGAGAATCCCACGACGGTGCAGCCGTGCGGGAGCGGAAAGGTGTACGAGGCCCGCGGGAGTGCAAGGCCCTTGTCGTTGTAAAACAGGTGCGTGACGTCGACCTGGGCTGTGTCGTGGACGAGCTGCGCGCGGATGGACGCGGCAATTGGGGGTAAGAACCCGTCCGCATGCGATCCACCCAGGGCGTCGTTTGCGTGGGCGCCGTCGTGAACCCGTCCCTCGGACCGCCGGTTGGGTTCTTCCACGGAATCATACGACCGAGACTGATCTCCAAAATCCCGGTTCGTTTCCGCCGTCCAATGAGATCCTCGGGGGTGGGATATTTGGACGTTGATGTACTCATCTTGTGGGCGTCGACGCCCAGTGTCACTGGCCTGGCCGAGATCTCGTGGTCGCCGCCGCTGAACCCGGGCAACCTCGCGCTCAAGGTCCAAGGACCGCTGAATGTCGGGGGGCGGTGGCTCGCGGCGGTCCCACCGAATGCCGGGCTGGATCATCATCTTCTTGTGCGTGCGATAACGTTAGAGGCTCAGGGGGCAGACCAGCTGGGGATGTACCTAGGCTAGAACTCTTGATTTTACACTCGCACGTCTCGCAGGAACCGCGGGAGGGCAAGGATGACCCTAAGTACGTTAAGGCGATAACCGCTTCTGTGAGTAGGCCTGCTACCGCCTGACTCACGAGAAATTCCTCAAGAAAAGACAAGAAGAGATAAGGCTCGGAGCGCGGTGTTCTGTCTTATGCGCCCATTTGAGGCGCAGCCTGCTCTGCCTGCAGCTTGTCTTAAAAGCCTGCATGCATCGTGCTTAGATCAGCGCTGCCGCTACTTCACCTGGAGTTACACGAACACCCGGCCGGGGATGTGCTCTTGGTGTGCCACCTGCCGCTCTGGGCAAGGCTCAAGTTGGGCTTCTCCACTTCTGGCCCCCTAGATGACTCACGTACCTGTATTGGACCATCTTGACCCTCTCTGCACTGCCTACCACGCTTGTCGACGGACTACTAGTATGCTAGTTTTCCGCGGCGAACAGCGTCCGAGCCCACCGACACGTCGTGCCATTTGCCATGTCCTCCCCCATTTCGATCGGCGATGCCTACCTGATGGCCAGGCTGGCCTTCAAGCTTGGTCGGGCTTTTACCAAGGGGCGCAAGTCAGCGCCAGACGAGTTTCGCGAGGTCGAAAACCAGCTCTACTCCTTGAGCGCCGCACTGTCTGCCTTAAGCGAGGAGCAGACATCTGCAAGTGCTGCCCTAAATATAGACACATCCAGACTCCCCTCCGTGACTCGGGGGCTGCAGGTCAACAACGGCGGGGATGTGCTCATGGTGATGCTCAGCAGCTGCCAGGAGACCCTCAAGCACCTCGAACACCTCGTCGAGAAGTATAGCTCCATCCGAGAGCCACGAGACCCCGCCGCTTCAACAAGGCAGAGGTGGAGAAGGGAGCTCCGGGACATCTGGAGGACGATCGAGTGGACCACCGAAGGAGGTGACCTGGCGACGCTAAGAAGCCAGCTCACCGTCCACACCAATAGCCTCAGTCTGATTCTGGCCGTGGTTAACCAGTCTGTTTTCCTGCTGCCGCACCCCGAGCAAGTGACAAACCACAAGCGGTGCTAACCAGGTAGTGCAATAGTACGAAGGCCGGCCGTATCCAAGAAGACATGACCCAAGCCTCAAAGATGCTGCGTGAAATACACACGTGGTTCGTCGAGAACCTTCGAGACCCCCCTAATAGAGACCACGACGCTGCACCTCCGGAGCCACACGACCAGGACGAGGGGCCTAGAGACCACCATGCTGCACCTCCAGGGCCACACGACCAAGACGAGGGGGCGACGCCAGTCATCCAACTCCCATTCACGGAGGTTCGCTTTAGGCTCGGGATTCACGCTTCCACTGAGGCCCGAAACTTCGTCTGCCCACAAGCTTCTCTGCATCCCGAATGGACGCACAAGGCTTCTCGTGGTGTTGGTGGCCACTCCGGCCAGCCTTCCACCCCTAAACAGGTCTTCCGGTGTCGTTGCACAAACACGGATCAACCAGGAAGCGATCACCGCGACTTGGTAGGAGAGTTTGGCCGTACGTATTCTGAATTATTCTCTCCACAGGCACCTGGTTCCTGAGCAGGAGCGCTAACACCTCCGGTAGTGTCACCCCTCAGCTTTGCTATTCGCCTGGCGGGAAAAGAGAAAGCCTGGATGCTGTACAAAGCTGTCGATCGCTCCACCAACAAGTTGGTGTCGTTATTGATCTCGGGCGTTCCGGCAGCGCGTAAGCCTCGTTGGACTTGCTCAACATCATCTCTCAGATGCATATCCTAGAGACTGACGGCGTTTTGAAATGTTTAGGAATTGCCGAGTTTGAAGACAGATTCGTAGACACGCTTAGGGCTCGCACTGCAAAGTCACTGCTCGACCAGAACCTAGGAACGATGCTCGCTTACCAGACCCCGAGCACCCCTGGAGGGCCCTCCGAAACCCGCGTTCTTGACCTCATGGCGTGAGTGTGCCGCAAAGCCAGGCAAGACCCATTCTGAATCATGGCCACAACTGATCATTCGGGCCGAGAATAGCGACCTCCAAGGGATCGAAAACCTGGTTGATTCCGTGACCTTGACCATGAACAAACAGTCGTACACTCGGAACTCTGTCGAGACTATCCAGCTGCTTCACTACGAGACGCTAAAGCAAGATGATTTAACCAGCCAAATCGTCCAAGTTCCGGCAGACAACTCCCCAGAGGCTAGTGCCGAGCTAGTCGTCTTCTACGGAAGCGATCCGGACGCCGCTGCCATCTTCCCTTCTCAGGACGTCGATGTTGATCGCATGATCGTGAAAAGTAAGCCGTTGCGAAGCTGCAGGCCCGTACGTGCATCGTGATGTCGGTAGCTGACACGAGGAATTTAAAAAGTCGTTCCAACGACCACCATACGCGCTGATGACCGCAACTTCAAGGTGCTGCTGAAAGATGTCGAGTGTGTCGGCCACACTGGCACTGAGGAGACAGTCGTTCTGGGCGGCGTGGACGTGGCATTCCAGTTGGCAAGCCCGGAGAGTGAGACATTGCACTCAATCTCACAAACAACATACCGGGAAGGCTGACCGTGCCCTATCAATCCTCAGATGCCCGGGAGTTTTCCAGCAAACTCGAAGCCATGAGGATGGAACTCATTGTCATGTCTCTGCGGGCGCCCCTTCCCAACGAGAAGCTTCTGCTCAGTTTGTAAGTACTTCATGTTGTCTCAGACTCCGTGGGATTGCTGGATGAAGGCTGGCTGGGTATTTACTATCAATTCTACCAGGCATGCCCGAGGAGCCCACACCGAAGACCTCAACATGGCCGAATCCGAAATCAAGATCTTCCAGTCCACGACCACCCAGAGACTCCGGCTGATTGTGCAGAGCAAGGACGGCTGCACCCTGATCAGCCAGCAGCGTGAGTCTTTATTCAGACTGCTACACGTAAGCTCATTAACAAACCCTGAATTGCTAATCAGAGCCCCCTTTGGCCAGTGGCGGAGAACTTCCTACCCGTATCCAATGACGGACAGCCGTGCCGGCCCAACTTTAGGTCACCCAGCTATGTGGTCCAGGTCGTGGGGGCTGGCACGCGGGAAGTACACCACTACCCGGATGGGTTTAGGATTTTGCAGTTTGACGACGTTCAGAGTAAGTCTGCACCATGCGCACTGTGATGTGCTGTTAACTCGGATCCGAATCACGGTCACTGACAGACCGTAATCTTTACAGTGGACCGCCTCGTGGGATTGGGCCTGGCGGCAGTGTCGGGCAGTTCGGCATCGATCGCGTGACGGACGCTGCCGCAGCTTGCGGGGCAGTAATCACTTGGCAAGGAACAACACCAGCAAGGTATTGAACGTGGAGATGAACGAGATTGCGATTCCCGGTGGCCGGGCGGGCGTTTAAGATGTTGACTGCGTTTTGCCCCCGTTGCTCAATCCAAGGATTATGTGGTTCAATCCGTCATTTAGGTAGTAGGTACTTGGGGTTCAATATGTGTGCTGCCCCTGAGTAGGTGGTTCTTGAAAGAGTCCTGCTACGCCGACTTGCATTGCCGAGCTGGTGGTATCGAGCGTGGTAGCCCTTGATAGATGCGTCGCCTGCCAAGACTGTAGGTATGGGGAAAGCCTGCTTTCCTCTAGAATCATCTCAGGCCTCACAACCCCTCCCCTAGCCCTTGAAGCCAAGTTTCACGAGACTGACAAAATGCACGCATACACGCCAGCACAGCTCACCCGCTATTTCAGCCACATCGGACTCAAGGAGCAAGATGCGCGAGGGTTGAACCCCCGCGGCCAGCTGGCATGCCTCACGGTCCTGCAGCGCCATCACATGGCCCGCGTCCCCTTCGAGAGCCTGTCGCTGCACTACTCGCGAACGCGGCTCCTGTCTCTCGAGCCCGATGACCTGTACAGCAAGATTATCGAGAAGGGCAGGGGCGGGTACTGCATGGAGGTCAGCGCCTTCTTCGCGTCCGTGCTGCGGGGTACCGGCTTCACGCTGTTCAGCGCCGGCGCGAGAGTCAAGGGGCCTGCGGGGTACAAGGCAACGTTTGTACGTCAAGGAGCATGCTATCATGCTCAACGACCCCTTCTTTGAGTCTAAGTACACCTATGGCGATGACGCTGTGCCAAGCGAACCGGGACTCCTCGTTGCACACGGTGTCAAACACCCAACTCGATCGTCTCTTAACCTTACATCGCTGCCGGACGAGTTCCTTAAGATCTGGCACCCGACCTTTCTGATCCGCCATCCGGCCATGATGCTACCCTCGCTCTACCGCACTACCCTCGCCGATCTAGGGCCAGATGCGGAGCGGCTTAAGGCACGTCAGGGGAAAGGCCCGCTAAAGCACGAAGCGACTATGAAATGGATCCGGACGCTCTATGAGTTCTTTGCGGCCTACCTTCCTAAGGACAGCATGTGGCCGATTGTACTCGATGCTGACGATATCATGAAGACGCCCGAACTGGTGACCAAGTACGCTCCGCTCGCCGACCTTGACCCGGCAAAGCTCCGCTTCTCGTGGGAAATGGTTCCAAATGAGAAGATAAAGACCATATCGAAGGCCCACCAGGTCATGACGAGCTCCATCAGGGCGAGCTCCAAGACTGACACCTCCAAGGCGGCCGGCGCCATTGACATTGACACCGAGAATACCAAGTGGAGGGCTGAGTTTGGTGAGGAGGGCTGCAGAAATCTCGAACAGTGGGTTAGGGATATGATGCCAGATTATTTAGCCATGCACTCCAAGAGGCTGAGGCTCAACTAAAGGGAAGTGGGTTCCGTGTGCCTATTGTGGCCGGTGCGCACTATTGCGCGCACTGTTGCGCGTAAAAAGAATGGTCATAGATGTAAGGTAGTTACAGTTATGAAAGAGGAGTGAGAAGTTCAAATTAACAGCAAGATCCCGGATGACGAAGAATAGGCTTTCACCCTGCTGCGAAATATGGTCATCTTCCGAAAACACTATGATCCAGACATGACCAGAAGGACAGCCGACCGCCACAGCCGTTCCCGATATAACAGTCTGGGCAGGAGGGAAGAGGCGGGAGGCCTAATGGTTGAAGTAATTCGAAGGCAGAACAGTCAACTTGGAGAGAACCACGCTTCTACACTCATCAACAAGTTCAACCTGGCCTTGATCCGCCTGGAACAAGGTCAACGGAATTAGTAGAAGATGTATGGGTCAGAATTCTGGGAAAGATGGAGACTGTGTTGGGGAGGGAGCATGAGTGTACAGTCCGCTGCGGGCAGTAATTATCATTCTCCTTGATGTCCGGCCACCCTACTGTCAATAGCAACCTAGAAACGTAGTAGCTGTCTGTAATGTCCCGACCCCTAGCCATGAATGTCTTTTTGACAAATGTAAAAGTCATCATATCATCGCCTTTTCCCCAGATGCCACCCAGCTGCGTTGCTCACGTTGCAGGCAAAAAAAGAGTGTATAACTAATTAACTAAATGTCAACTTCACATTATTACGTCTTCGACGACACACCCTGGTTTTGAGTCTTTTGACTGTTTCACCACCAGCCCGGTATTCCTGTCCTCGATTCCTTCACCCCGCTTCCCCGGTTGTTGTCGATGCAGCGCGGTGCAATGAATTCGAAACGACCACTGGAAGATGATCAAGACTCAGATGCGAGCTACCCAACGCGCCTAAAAACCTTTGATATCGTCTCCCATGGCTCCCATGGCGGCGTGCCCCTCAGCACCGATCACTACACCGTCGGGTGGGCGTAGTCGCAGATGCCTCGGATCACAAGACAGGGAAAGTGGCCTTACGGCTAATGCCATTGCACCATGAAAAGAGTGGGGCTGTCACCCCGCGTGCCCAGTTGGCAACTCAGCTGCTGCGCCTTGCAATTTGCCAAGACGCAGACGCATTTGGTTGGCCAGGGATAAGATTTGCGACGCGTTGGCGGAACTCGCGGTCACAAGGCGAATGTTAGAATCACACCGCGACGTTGATGAGAAAACGGAACTGAGAGAGAGAGAGAAACGGAATTGTAAAACTTAGCGTGTACGCGTTCTCTACCGTTTAATTCCGGACAGCGTTTTCAGCACGTGACCCAAGTGATTCTAAGTCAGCAACTTGAACCCCAAAAAGGAAGTGGATTATTAGGTCCAGATTCGCGTTTTCGCCCTCCTATAATAACGACAGCTTTGGTCTTCGTTGCTGTTCAAACGGTGCGGTTTTCTGTCTTCAAAGCGACCAGTTCTGGGTGCTTCTGAGCAGCCAGGGAACTTTTATAGGCAAGCACTGCAGACCCTGCGTGCCAAGCCACTGTTGCGGATCATTTGCTCCCGAACCTCCGAATACGTACTGCAGATTCCAACAGTCGGACACGTACAGAATATGGCGCTAAGCTTTTGGGTTAACACCCTAGCGGAGGTGAATGTAGCTGTCTCGGCTAGGTATGTAGATAAAACAATCACGCAATTCTCAGCTGCGGTTTGACGGTCAATCTTGCCCACCTAGAGACACGCTGGTTCAGAGCCTCGCTGTTTGAGCGAGGGCAATCCGTTCGGGGGGTTAGCTTCCCGGTCCTGTCTCAGCCTCACCCAGGCAGTAATAAAATGCCCTGGATTTCCGCAACCGAGCTTCGGAACTTTCCTGATCTGTCTACTCTGTCTTCTGAATGCCGAAGCTCTCACAACGTAACCTTTGGTATCAATGGGTCCTGTAAGGCTCCTCGAACCTGCGCTTCCCCTTGCCCTACTTATCTTAAGCACTGCTATAGCCTATAGATTTATAGATTACAGCTATTTTCTGAGGTTCGATTCTGTGACGAACCTGTACAGACTAATCTCTGCAAGGGTTCACTAGACGAAGGTTGTATGACGGATCGGGTCTCAACCACACTCTGAAAGGGTTCACTGAAGGTATGATGTAAGGGTTGTGATCCGGTGAAGCCAAAGGGTTCACAACAAGATAGTAATCTGGTCTCAATATTCACGGCGCAGTGTAAATGGCAATGAACAAGTTGTATTGCTTACTGAGGAAGTCCCAGACTCCCTCAACAAGTGACTAGCTGACTATCTATATACTCGACAATTTCTTTCTTACTTCGTACCTGGATCTCGTGGCTCTCGTCGAGATCCCATCGAGCTTGTTGGCTCTCAACCTTTCTTTGTAGATCCTGGTGTTGGCTCTCATGGATCTCAAAGAGATCCCGTCGAGCCTCTCCTGATTGGTTATGTAATGATTGGTTGGCAGTACGTCCCGCGCCCCACCTTGTCACGGACTAGGCCGCGGAAGGCGGCCCGTGGCACACACAGGTGGGTGACCAAGCGCCCCGCACTGTCGAGACCCCCGAAAATGGCGGCCCTGCCCTGCCAAATTCGGCGGCCGCAACAGCAAGTTCTGTACTTGACCTGTATTTTTTTTCTCTTTCGTTTCCTTTTTTTTTCCTTTTCTGCTTTCCTTTTTATTCTTTCCTTTTTCTTTTCCTTCTTTCTGAAAGAAGAAGAGAAAAGAATCCGTTTTTCCTGCGTTTAAGGACCTTTTCTTGTTCGGTGGATAGGTTCGCATCGTGCAAAGTGTACAGAATGTAGGAAAGCGGAGCACCTTGGGTGAAGATGACTACAGCAAAGCAAGTTTGCAACCCTGGGGTCGGGTAAACAGGCTCTCAACCGTACCTTTTAGAGACCGGTCTCCCCTATCGCCGAGGGTGGAGCGGATTTTGCATTTGTTGTCGGTAGTAAGCCAAGCAATACTGCCGACTTCCACCAGCGTGCAGTTGTCGTCGGTTCTGGCGTCGTCGGTTTTGGCGAAAGTGCGGGTCAACCGACGGAGGAAAGCTTGAAAACGTTGACGCATTGTGAAAGTAGGTGTTTGAAGGGATGGAAGAGAGAGTGGGTTTTAGGGGTATCGGCGTAATTGTTGGGTTACTGATGTGAGTTTGGTGATTTGTGTCTACGTGGGTAGTGTAGAAACATGAGATGGGGAGAATGGGTGTGTGGGAATCTTTGACCAGAGGAGAAGTAAACTCGGTCGCTCAGTCGTCGCTTTTGTGAAATATGAAAAAGTTCAGGAAGAAGCCATGACTACCTAGAGTTCAGTTACTCCTAACATGGCAAGTCGTGCCGCACTTTCGTACATTCCGCAGCTGGAAGACCCAACCAATATCAATTTAGAAGGCTCGAAACTCCATGTTCTTAGGAATAGCTGGTAGTTACCGGAAATAATGCCCACAGCCGCTGTTGGATTACAGACGGGAAAGACTGTGTAAGATCTACTTGTACATGGCTTAGTGATTGGATATGTTCGGGTACTTATTGGCAATTTGGAGGATGAAAAGTTCCCATGTGTAACTATCAATAATTAACGTCCTAAATAGGCAATACAAAGGAACAAAAAAGAGAGTAAAAGGCTGACAAAAAAGAAACGAAACAGAATCTATCGATGAAAGACAAACAAAACAAAATGACCGCCGAGGGTATGCATGCTAAATCAGCCCAAACGCCCACTCCTTCATTCTTACCCCACATCTCCCACGACAAATCCACGCATCCGCTGACTAAAACGAGGTCCGTGCAAAAGATTGTCAATCCAAGATCATCATCATGTTCTCCCACCCCACCGTGTAGAAGTTAGAAGCCGGCTTCAGGCAAGAGCCTTAGCGCTTCCCATTCGGCTTGACATCCCCCGCCTGCCTCTCCACCTGCGACATCTGCCCAGCCAGGCGACCAAACTGCCACTCCGGCAGCGTAATCCCCGTCTGCTCATTGATAGTCGTCATCAGCGGCGGCAGCATCTGGTACACATTGCGCATCGCCGCAATGTTGCTCGGGTGGCCACCACTGCCCTCACCCGACGAAGAAGCCCCCGCCTCGGCGCCGGTGTTCCACACGCTGATCTTGGGCGCCATGCCGCGGACCGCCTCCGCGTTGGCCTTGGCCATCTCGACGTAGGTGCCCTTCTCAATCATCATGTACTGCAGCAGACCGGCGGGGCCGCCAAAGGCCTGGCTCATGCGCGCGTAGGCATCGGCCATGGCGGCGGTCGCCTCGGCTTCCTTGAGCTTCTTCTGCAGGTTGGCGTCGGCGTTCTTGAGCGTGGCGTAGCTCCACGCTTCGGCGTCCTGCTTGGTCTTGTACGCGGCCGCGTCGGTGTCGATCTTGGCCTTGTACACGCCGGCCTCGGCAGTCTGCTTGCGTTTCTCAAAGTCCGCGCGGGCCTCGGCCTCGACCTCGTAGGCCTTGGCGTCGGCGGCCTGTTGCTTGGACTCACGCGCGATGGTGGCCTTGACGACGTCGCTAGCGCGGAGACGTTCCATCTCAGCGGCCGCGCGCTTGATCTGCACCTCGCGCTTGAGTTCTTCGTCCTGGGCTTCGGTCTTGCGCGTGGCGGCGATGCGGGAGATGTCGACGTCGCGGTTGAGCTCGTTCTTGCGCGTCGCGAGGACAGCCTCGGCCGAGGCACGCTCGATATCCCGCTCTGTCTTTTGCACGGCCGTCTCGGCGTGGATCTTGGCGATCTCACGCTCTTGCTCGCCCTTGCGCTGGGCTTCGCCGACGTTACCGCGCAGTTGCGCCTCGGCGACGTTCACCCTCGCTTCGTTGACCGCACCCTCGTGGGCCTTGCGGCTGAGCGACTCAAAGTACAGCGAGTTGGGCGCATCCTTAAGCTCTTTGACCTGTTGGAATTGTCAGCGAAAATGTTCTCAAGTAGGTGGTTCAGGGGTAAAGGAAAGGTGGGTCTGTTTTTGTTGTGTTGAACTCAGGGGTAAAAGTGGGTCCATGTTGTTGCTGGCGACAACAGAGGATAGAGGAGAGTGGGTGAATGCAACTTACGTTAGCGTTGTAAATCTTCAGGCCGAATTGATCCAATTCGCTCTGGATGTTGCGGAAGATGCGGCGCTTGAAGACCTCCCGCTCCGTGAAGATCTCCTCCATCGTCATGCTCGACACCAGCACACGCGTCTCACCCTCGATAATGCCCTTGACAATGTTCTCCAAGAACTGGTGGTTGCTCCCGCTCTTGCTGGTGCCTGAATCCGCCAGGAGCATGGCGAACTTCATCAGCGAGTCGCCCTGGTCCTCGCGGCGGAAGTCGTGCGCGTGCACGCCGTGGTCGGCGTCCGCTGGGCCGCCCTCGCTGCCGGCACCGGCGAAAGGCTCATGAAGGTCGCGCCGGGAGTTGGCACCACGCTGGTTGACGTCGGGGCCGATGGTGAAAACGACGGGGAGCAGGAACTGCAGCTTCTCCTTGGTCATGGCCTGCAGGTTCATGGCGTAGTCGTGGGGCTGCACGCTGAAGCGCATGCAGCGCTGGAAGGGCCAAACCCATGCTGCTTTGGTGATTTTGACTGTATGGTTGTGTTAGTAGCGGTAACCACAAGAATGACAGAGAGAATAGAAGGAGACATACCACTCTTGACGTTCATGCCAGTGATGGCAAGATACTCGTCGGGCGCCGCGATCCTGTAAGAGGCCATTGTGAAGGATGTAAAGATTAAATTATGGGATAATTAGGTAATAGAGCGTGTTGCTAAAAAGGCTCAACGAAGAAGTAGGAGGTTGGTGGTGATGTTGATGAGGCGTGGGGTAGTGGTGGTGTAAAGGACTTTATATGTATCTTCGCCGGTCGACCCAAGTGCACGCTGATGCAGATAGTTTCCCGGAGGTTTCCAGGCTGTTGTGATGCTGTCGGATGATCTCACGATGCACTAATTATCGGCATGGACAAAGTTTGAGGGGGTGTTTGGGATATTTGTACATTTTCCCGTCACCAACCGGCCCACACATGCCGAACAACAAAACATACTGCCGTCTGCAGGATTCCGGCCGCCGGCCACAAAGTCACAAAACACAGCCATCCGACTATGGGCTTGGCCGGCTCTGCTTGGCTGCATTCGTGACAAGCGGGTGCATGGATCGGAGCCTCATTCCGCCCATCATCTGACCGAACGGCGGCTCGGACGGAATGGGACGGCGACGAAGAGTGACACAGCGGAAGCGATCCTGCCTTGTCAAGTTTGTGTTCCAGCGAGCTGTGTGGCATTGGCTTCAACATTGTGGCGGAGCGCCTCCAGTGATTGGCCCCCGCAATCCAAGAGAGTGGAGCGGAGACAACGTGGAAGCACGGCCGCACAGACCCCGGCCTGCGCCTGCAGCGCGTTTGGCTTCCAATTCTCCAGGTCGCCCTTCTCGCGTCGCACGGCATGTCGTTTCGGGGACCGGGCATCCAAAACGGACAGCCAAATCAACGGCTTTTTGGGACTGCATCTTACCCTTTTCGCGTCTCAAGATGCACGCTTGAGAAGACAGCTGTTGAAAGGATCCACGAGGTTGTTTTGCGTCCACCGCAAGCGTCAGGCTTCTGTCTCAAGCCGTCACCGAGATGCCCCGGATTTGGCGACCGATCGGGATACTGGTTGAACCGCCTAACATTCCCATCTGCCTATGTCGATGACGCTTTCGCCCAACCTAAACATGACTCCGTCGTTGCGTAGGTTCTCGTCAGACCAGAAGAGAGGCACCGACGACAGTTAGTGTTTCTTTAGGCATTTTTGCAGTTGGCCGGCAGCCGAAGCCGGTCATGCGCTCAAAGCTGGAGATTGGCCCCTGTCATCAGCCACTGCACAGCGGCTCAACAGCCACTGAAAGCCACCAACGGCCAACAGAACCGCCCAGCAATGCCCGAACCCCGGTCTCCCGATGTGGCCCAAACAAGCGAAGGAGCATCTGCGCTTAGAGGGGTTTTCTTCTGGAAACGTTCTTTATTCCGCTCCGACAAAGATTCCCTGCATGGAAAGCCCAAGGACAAGACCAGCTCCAGGCCTAGCGGCCCAGCACAGCCACCAGATATGGCCCCGACCACCTTTTGGCCCGGGCTTAATGCAAGGCATCATGACGCGAGGAGAGGGTCTGGGTGATTTTGGTGGGGTTTGTCCGTTTGGGGTCCGATGACCATCTTCATAAGGCGGCCAAGACAAGGCTTACCGTTCGCCAAGTTGAATCGCGAGCAAACAAAGATGAGCCCTCTCGGCTTTCACTTTCCGTTTAAACCTTTGCCCTTCCCTTTCTCCTCGGAAACCTCTCGGATTATCCCTTGGCGCTTCGCGCTTTCCCTGAACCCGAGACCGAGTTTGGCCTCCCCACACAGCCTGGGCAAAGGGAGCCCATCAATGATTCTGCCTTCGTGATTGAACCGAACATCGAATCCTCCTTCTGCGCCGAGTTACCCGATTCGAAGCCCCACCCCCACCTTTCTCGTTCCTCAGGCACTGGACCTCTAACCTGACAAGTCGACTTCTATCATTCAACACCTTCAACAGCGCAAACGAACCGTAAACCTACCTCCCCCAAACAACATCACCCCCCTTCCCTCAAACAGTCGATCCATTCACCAAACAACGAAACAACTAAACATCCAAGAAAAATGGGCCACCCACCGGCAGACGAACCCCCAAACACCACGTCCACCACCGCCCTCCCTCCCCCCTCCTACTCCGAAGCAACCACCACCCCATCCTACCTTCCCTCCCCAACCTCAACCCTAAGCAACGGCCTCCCCCCCGCCTCCCCATTAACAACCCACCTCCGCGCCCTCCCCGCCCGCTTCCGCACCGCCCGCCTCGCCCGCCAATCCGCCCAAGCCGCCGACGAGCTCGGTCTCGCAGCGCTCTTGGTACCGCATGTGGAGGGGTTTTTGGCTGAGTTGACGGCTGCCGGTGGGGGGTTGGCGGGGTCTTCTTCGGCTTCATTTTCGGGGCCTGCATGGACGAGGAGGGGTACGGCGTCGGGGATAAGGGGGGAATTGACGCTTGTTCCGGTGGGGGTTGTGCCAAATGGGGCGAGGATGAGTGGGTTGGAGGAGAGGATTGGGGATGGGGAGGTGGTGAGGGTTGGGTTTGTGGATGTTGCTGTTGAGGAGGAGGGTGGTGGGTTTGGGGAGAAGGGCGGGGAGAAGAAGGGTGGTACAAACAGGAATGGGGATGGGAATGCGAGTGGAGGAGCGCTGCGGGAACAAGTAAACACCGGATTTGATGAATGGGGCCGGTTTGATACGCACCCTTCCCGCTCCGACAGCGACACCAACGGGTGGTGGTTCCGCGATGAGGATATGGCCCGTCGACTGGCGACGTATTTACGGCCGGAGCCGGTGCTGGAACGGAAACGGGTCCAGGCCACTGTTGTGCAGGCGAAGACGGTCGAGAAAGAAAAGTCGGGGTGGTCGCGCTGGGGTCTAGGTGGAGGGGGCCGGAAGAGGAGTACGTCGTCGGTTGGGTCGGAACAGATGTCTCCTGGTTTGCCGTCGCCGATATCGCCGGTGCTGTCGAGCCCTGTGCTGTCGGCGGAGGATGATGCAGTGAGGATGGCGGTTACGGCACAGGAGGTTACATTTCGGAAGGAGAATGACTTTGGGGTGTGGGAGAGCTTGACGGGTTGGGGGGTTGTGGTGGCTGTGAGGATCTCTGCGTGATAAGCAGCAAGCGGGAACAGAGTAATTAGGGGTTGGTTGGGATTCCTGTTCATATTTGTTAATTCTGTTGTTTAGCTCACGAACACAATTCCCCAATTTCATTCTACAGTATAATTAGAATATTAAATTCGTCGCACACGAAGAATCCCGTATTCCCCATCAAGACCCAATTAAAATGTAAGAAAAGGCTAAAATGTTAAGTGAGGCTGCACAGGAACTGGAATAAACCAGGAATTGGACTTCCATAAGCTAAAGCGGGAAGATGTAGGTAGCCATGACAGCGGAATGTCCAACATCTACTGCCCGCCAAAACCACGAAACAAACGAGTACGGGACAGTTCAATTCATTATTGAAATCTAAGAGCACGCCAATACACAAAGCACAAAACGCCGGCCATGGAAACGGAACAGCGTTGGAGCTTTTCCAGGCTCGCCATAATTAAGCTTTGTCTCAATGACCGGGTGCCGACCACTTTCAACTTAAACCTAAATGTACCTAGGTACCTAGGTACCTCCTTAGGTCCCCCTTCAAAATGCCTAATCCAACCGGCGGAGTGCATGCTTCCTGACGAAGTAGTTTGAGGCAACCATCATGGTGGTCTTCAGTTCTCAATGCAACAATGCCCAACCTGTGGCCTACCGAGGGAGGTGTGCCTCCAGTTTATTATTGCCTTGGATCGAATGATCGAGATGGTCTGATCAAGTTCCCACCCACACTCCGGTCCCCATTAAAAATATAAACGATCGCATGCAATTGGTGCACTTTTGTACCTATGGCTGAATCCCCTGCGAGTTGAGCCGCATTACTTTAACCACTGGCGGTAAACTCGGAAAACCCGCTAATTCGAAAAATAAGAGACAAATGATACGCACATTCAAAGGCTCCTTGCGCGGGGAAAGGGCTGCGAAAGGGATTGGTGAGTAGATCCGGTGTGTCTGAAGGGCCGTGTAATAATTCTGGTCCCCCGCTTCTCCTCGTTACACAACGTCGAGAGCTGCGGAGTTGTTGACCTGGAACCGAATCTAAGGTGCCACCGATATTAGAGGAAATTCTGGGAGGCAACGCGTAGGTACCTATAGGTACCTACGTAGGTAGCCAAAGATGGCCAGGTGTGTTAGTTGCTACAGAGTTACTGGTCTTGGAGCCGCACAACCCCATAACTAGAGAAAGGCTCGGCAAGCCGGTTCAACTACCTCGACCAGGCTGTGAGAGCACTCGAATTGTGGAGGCACAAGAAGGTCTTTTGGGGGTGAAGCTATCGGAGGTATGCACAGCTTTACACCGAAGAAAGCAGAGATATCTCTCACCCAGATGCCCAACGTCGTCTGCGGCACTCCTCCGGATGCGGATTTGGCAATTGCTCTGCGCAGAGCCGCAGCGTGCCAGCGTGATACAGAACCACTCAGGTAGGTATATTTCAAAGCATTTCTGAACATGCATGTTCACCCTCCACCGGTTAACAGAGAACCAAGGAGTCTTTCGAGCCTTGACTCATGTTGAAGATGGGTGTGATTTGGGATAGCATGCATATGAGTGGCGTGATCATCATTTGCTAAACCTCCAGATGGGCGACCAACTGGGGAACGCCTCGTGGGCTCGTGGTGCAGGCTCTCGTCAGTGTTCCTTGGAGTTGAGGGGGGGGCACTAATATTGCATGATGGAAGAATGGGGGAAGGTGCCAGGACCGAGAGGCCAACCTGAGAAATCAAAGTCATCCCCCGCCTATCAGAGAACCCGGACTCTCTTGAGCCTCCTGGCTCATGTAAAAGATGGGTGTGAGTTGGGCTGGGATGCATAGGAGTGGCGCGATCCTCGATTTCTCAAGCTTCATTTTTGTTTTCAGTGAGCGGCCAACTAGAGAGCGCTTCGTGGCCTCGTGGTACAGGAGCTCATCAGTGTTTCTTGGAGTTGATGGGGGGCACTCTTACGCGATGGAAGAAGGGGGGAAGGTGCTGGAACCAAGAGGCCAAACTGAGAAACTAAAGTGTAGGTAAGTCTCTTGAAAACTATAAGAACCCCCAAATGTCGGACGGTTTACGGCATGTCCGGCACCGGTTTCTCAATCTCGTCCGCTCCCATCTACACAGAGCATTGCAGAACCGCTTCATCATATCATTATTATTGCCTGTTGCCCGAAAGAAAAACCACAAAAAAAAACCGGGTCAGCACTTTTTTGCTTCTTTGCCAACCTTACAACATGGCGTCTATTCCGTCTATCCCCTACCTTTTCGTCGACAGGGAGCAGGTCCTTTCCACCAAGGCCTGGAAGGACCACTTGCACGCCAAAGCCTCGCAGTACGAGAACTGTTTCGTCAAGAGCATCACACATGTCAAGAATCTAGGCTCCATCGTCTCTCACGAGTACCTCCAGGTCATCATTGAGGATGAGGACACTCAGTTCCGAACCAGACTCATTGTCGAGCGCCAGACGGAGCAGGACCAGGTCATTATTGGCCGATGGACGGCATCCAAGTGGACCCCCAGATCTTCTAGATTCCTGGATGACATGCTGTCTAGTAGCTCCTCCAGCTCCAGCGATACCAACCCTGTGACGGTCTATCCGCTCCCGCTCGCCTCATTGAAGTTCGAGGGCGCTGATCAGATTCGCGTCGTGGATCTCGCGTCAACCCTGTACCAGACCACTCGCCTCCAGCCCGACTATTCTTTGGCCTTTGCGAACTGCTATTGGTTTGCTAGCACTGTCTATGGGGTCTGTCGGGAGGTCTCGTCATCCATCAGGGAGAAATTGTGGACGTTTCACTGGGTTCGCGGACTGCCTCTCTTCTGGAGGCGCCAGTACATGGTAGGTCCCTACTCCTCTACGTATTGCGGGAGCCGTGATTCAGTGGATTTTCTGATCCTAGCATAAGAATTGCACGTGTGGTCACTAACTGCCGATATAGGGAGAGGCGAATAACTTCGAGGCCGGCTGCCAGGAGAGTATGGAGTACCAGCCCAATGGAGACTCCGAGCCAAGGTGCATTCTTAACGGCATGTGGAAAGAATCATCTGCCCGGGACTTTGAGAATTGGATAGGAGGCGATTGGGCGTTTAGAGTAGGGGATCGCTTCGCCCCTCATTCCAATCTTATCACTAATGCAGACAGGGAATCGAGCCTGACCATGATACGCCTACCGATGCGGAGCTAGCATCGTCCCGCCGGAAGGTCAGCATCACCCTGATAAAATGATCGAACCCGGCGCTTTGTCTTGTTCAAATTTATTCGGTTAACATCGCGTGATGAATAGTTCGACAACTCCATCGATGCCGTTTGCAATGAAATCAGGCAAAATCTTCCCCTAGGGCTGGTGATGGATGCATCTGAACAGGCCAACCCAGAGGTAAGCTGACAGGCTTCTAGCGTTCATACCTGCGCCTTTGCCATGGCTAACTTTGGCTGTCTGGTCGGAAGGAATCTATGTCGTGGCTGGTCCCATACGACCCGGATACCCATAATCTGCCGCCCGATGTCGAGGTTTTTAACATTTCGGCCGAACAGGCAAGGAAGTTGAGCGACGTCATGAACGCATCTGTGATGTTCATTCTTTCGACTCTCCGCGTCGCTTGCGCGATGGATCCGGAGGATTGCATTGATATGGATCCATTAGAGCTTACATCGGACACCGGGTGTCTCGCTGTCGCAAGGACATGGCTGTGGGAGGTTGGACAGACGCTTCGCATTCGCTTCATTGACGGAACCGCGGAGGAGCGCGAAAAAGTCAAGAAATACGCGAAGCAGTGGACAAAGTGGGCGAACCTCACGATGGAATTTGTTGATGACAACTACGCCGGTGACACGGACATTCGGGTCGCATTCGATACCAGTAAACCCACTTGCTCCAAACTCGGAAAATCCGCTCGGACAATCGCTCAGAACGAGCCCACGATGAACTTCTCCAATCTGGTGGCTGAGGGTTATAAGGGAACAATTCTCCACGAGTTTGGCCATGCCCTTGGGTGTTTGCACGAGCACCTATCACCAGCGGCTGGAATATTGTGGGACAAGGCAGCCGTTTACCGTCAATACCGCAACCAGAAAAAACCTTGGTCGGAGGCCACGATCCATAGTCAAGTCCTGAATCACTACACCAATGCACAGGTTGAAGAAGGCGACATTCGAAACTCGTCCCTAGATGGCCGTTCCGTCATGATATACTCGATCGAACCCTGGATGACGACCAACGGCGTCTCGTTCAAACAGGGACAAGAGCTTTCACGCATGGATAAGCATTTCATCGCCGCTATCTATCCTCATCCCACCGACACCCCTAAGGGGCACAACCTCAACGTTCTTGACGAGAACTGGGGCTTCCCCTTGTATTGGGCTTCTGCATGGGGCCAAGCTCACGAAGTCAGAAGGCTCCTCCGGGCTGGGGCGGATCCAAACTTCCAGTCGGGGTTCCAGTGGAGAGCCCTGCACTGGGCCGCGGGAAACGGGCACGTTGACGTTGTTGATCATCTCCTTGACTGGGGTGCACTCGTCGATGTGCGTTCAGATACTGGCATGACGCCCCTGGACCTAGCCCGCATCAATGGTAACCAAACGATCATTGAGGAGCTGGAAGAGCACGCAGAGATCCAAGCGCGTGCAGCAGCCGAACTTGTTCCGCCCGCCGGGACGGAGCCGGCGACACATCACAACGCCGACTTGCCGCTCCAACCAATCGCTGTCGCATGAAGTGAAAGGCAGCCAACAGCCGGCAGGACTGATGCTCGGAAGGCGGATAAAAATGGAGTGGTATATCGAGGCAGGTTTGGAGTGTGAAAAAAGGCGTGGTAATTTTGTTGTGCAGCACACGAGAGATTGAATATGAGACATGTTTTCCATCATGATGTTGCAGGATTAGCAGCCAATAATTAATTCTGTGATGTGAAACTCTAACAGCGGGAGCTTCTAGACATGTTGATTACCCCCTGGCTTTCCTCACGCGTTGGCCGTGGCCTGATAGCCAACTCTCAAATCATCCGTCATTCCATGGCTCCAGTGACACAGTGACAAGCCTGTTGTTTTGTAACTTTGTAAGTTCTGTGCTTAGGTCGTCTGTCATTAGCTCGAAACCTCGCACGTCAAGGTCGACTGCACTCGTGTGGCCACCACAACTTCCGCATTTGCTCGTGTCCATGATTTAAATACAAAAATAACTCGCAGTTCTTCAAACCCTACAAAACGCTGACAAGGATATACCCGCACAGCAAAAGAAAGATAAGGTGAAAGGAGACAATCTAATACAGGAACCCCATCTTCTTCCAAGCATCCACATACTTAACCGCCAACTCCGGACTCACAGGTCCCTCCGCGGCCATCGTGGCACTGTGCTCCTGTGCCTTCGCCGTATCCAAGATCAAGTCCCCGCCGGCAATGCGCTCAAAGTTGGCCATCAGGAAATCCACCATGCCGGGCCTCGCGGCCGGGTTATCTGAGTCCGCCAGCGCCGACGTTCGCACGCGCCGAATCCACTCCTTGAACGGAACAATTTCCTTGGCCGGGATGCCCAGCGCGCGTGCCAACACGGGTGACATCTCCTTCCATGGCTGCCCGACCGGGTTATCAATATGGTACACCGGATGCGAAGCAGCAGGATTCATGACCAAATCCGCCGACACACCCGCCATATGATCAACCGGCATCCACTGCATCCTCCCGTGCAAATCAGGCCACGCCTTGACAGCCTGCGCCGACTTCACCACAAACGCAAGATGCTCAACCGGATTCCAATATCCGCTCTCCGATGACCCGGCAATTTGCCCCGCCCTTGTCACATGCGGCCGGAACAGCACCGGGTACTGATGCATCGTCTCATCCAACATCCTCTCACACACCCACTTCGCCTCGGGATACCCCCGCGGCAGGGCCGCCTCCAAAGGCACCCTCTGCTCCAACACGCGGGGCACACCTGCGCAGCCCACCACACCAATCGACGACACAAACTGGAACGCAAAGTGATGGACATTGCCCCCCTTCGCAAGCACCGCATCCCGTGCCAAATCCAGCAAATTCCGCATGGCCTGCAACTGGCCTTCGTACCCGGTAATCGGGCGCGTGACGCTCATCGGCCAGGCATTGTGCACGACGGCCGTGGCATTCTGCACCAGCCACGCGTACTCGGCCGGCGGGAGGCCGAGCTGCGGCTTGGAGGTGTCGGTCTCGAGGATGCGGAGCTTGGCGCGCGCGCTAGGGGGTAGGGCGATGCCGCGCGAGGTGAAGGCTTCTTGTTGACGTTTGGCGACGGGCTCGCTGCTGTGGCGGTTCACGCAGACGACGGTGGAGACGGCTGGGTCGACGGCGAGTTTGGCGACGATGTGCGAGCCGAGGCTGCCAGTCGCGCCGGTGACGAGGACGACGGCGCCGGGACGCCTGCCGGTGGTGTTGTTGGTGCTGATGCTGGTGTTCAGTGTGCGCAGGCGCGGCTTGTCCCAGCCACTGATGTATTTGGCAAGGAGGCGCTCGGCTTCGGCGGTGCGGGCGGGGACGTTGCCTTTGTTGAGCGCGGCGTCGGGCGCGAGGGCGGGCTTGGGCAGGTGTTGTGGGAGCTGGGAGCCGGAGGCCATGGCGAGGATGACCTTCTGGTAGGAGTTCTCGGGCAGATTGCCGTCGGTCCAGTCGACGTGGCCAAAGCCGGCCTTGTGCATCTCCTTCTCCCAGTGCTCGGGCTGGACGATGGCGTGCTTGCGGCCGTCGTCAAACAGCCACCAGCCTTCGAACAGGCCGAAGACGAGGTCGAGGAAGGGGACCACGCGGGTTAGCTCCGTAAGCAGGATGAAGCCGTCCGGCCGCAGGGCCTGGTGTATGTAGGTCAGTGATGTGACGAGATTGTGGGTGGCGTGCACGGCGTTGCCGGCGAGCACGAGGTGGTTCCCGCGGAGATGTTCGGCGGGCGACTCTTCGATGTTATGCACGGCGAAGCGCATGAAGGGATACTCGTTCGACCAGCGACGACGGGCAGCAGCGACCATGGAGGAAGAGAGATCGGTAAACGTGTACTCGACGGGAATTCCCATTTTCTTGAGCACGGGCAAGATGAGTTGGGTGGTACCACCGGTGCCAGCGCCCATCTCCATAATCTTGATTGTCTCTCCCGTTCCTCGCTGACGAACGCGCTCGCACACGCCCTGGATTGCATCGCGCAGATTGGCATTGTTCATCCGGCTGAGGGGCCAGTCCGCATAAATCGCCGCTGTCAATGCCTGGCCCTCAGGGTTACCAAAAAGGACGCGAATTCCGTCCGTCTTGCCAGAGAGCACGCCGGCCAAATGCTTCCCGGCGTGGTGAACGAGACGGTTAGCCTGGACATACTCGGGATGCTGGGCGAGCACTTCTTGGAGGATGACATCACTCGTCTTCGCCGGGGCTGGGAAGTGGGTGCGAGTGACTTGTCCCGTTGCCGGATCGATGTCGATGAGGCGCGCATCACGCTCAAGGAACTCGTAAATACACTTCATCAGCGGGCCGTAGCGAGGCTGGAAGGGGACACGGTCGAGAACCTGTCCGGCCGAGGCAGTGCGAAGAGGAGATCCGAGCTGGTCGAAGGCTTCGACCACAAGGGCTGCGCAGAGACGGTTGCTGCCGGCCACTTGGGCCTTCTCCGTGTTCTCGACGTGGAATTCGTGGATGCGCGTGTCGGCTGCCAGTTTGACCTCGGCAAAGGCGTCGAGAATATCGGACGGCGACAGGGTCAGGTTGGTGACTGCGGGTGGTGAAGTGCCCTTGGCAGCAGGCCCCGCAACCTTCGTGACCTTCTTTTCCAGAATAGGCTCGTCGTCCTCAGAGCACATGTCGGGGGTCGAAATGTCCGAATCTTGACCGATGACAACCAAGGACGAGCCATCGGAAGACATGCTATCATCAGATGTCTCAAGCTCCTCGCTTTCATCCTCCTCCAAGGGAACATCCGCATCGATTCCGAAGAGCGCATGTTCGACGCAAGCGACAAACATGCGCAGAGTGCTTGCTGCGAGCTGTTCCTCCTGGTTCAACGTGCACTGAAAAGCCCTTTCCACCTCGCGGCCCAGTTCCATGCCCATAAGGGAGTCAATGCCGAAGTCGGCCATGTCGCCATCGAGAGTCAGGTCGTCTGCATCGACGCCAGCAACGCGAGCCACCAAGTCGCGCACCTCGTTGGTGAGATCGCGTCTGTTGGAAGTCGGGGCTGATGAGGCTGATGAGGCTGCCTTCACCTTCTTCGCGGATGAGCGTGCCTTGACCTTCTTCTTCGGCCCGTCCGCTCCGAACAGGGCATGCTCGATACAAACCACAAACATGCGCAACGTCGTCGCAGCCAGCTGCTCCTCTTGATTCAGCGTACACTTGAAGGCCCTCTCCACCTCACGCCCCAATTCCATACCCATCAACGAGTCGATACCAAAGTCGGCCATATCGCCATCAAGTGTCAAGTCGTCGGCATCGACACCAGCAACGCGAGCCACCAGGTTCCGAACTTCGTCTGTGATGTCGCGCCTGTTTGAAGACGTCGACGATGATGAGACGGATGAGGCGGGTGAGGCCGCCCTCACCTTCTTCTTCTTCTTTTCTCCCAACTTTTCCGCTCCAAACAAAGCGTTCTCGATGCAGATGATGAACATACGCAGTGTTGTTGCGGCCAGTTGCTCCTCCTGGTTGAGTGTGCACTTGAACGCCCTCTCGACTTCGCGCCCCAGTTCCATACCCATCAGCGAATCGATGCCAAAATCAGCCATGTCCCCATCCAGAGTCAGGTCCTCCGCGTCAACGCCAGCAACCCGGGCCACCAGGCTGCGCACTTCGTCCGTGATGTCGCGTCTGCTGGAGGAAGTCGATGCGGATGAGGCGGACGATGACGGTACCCGGATCCTCTTCTTCTCTCCGTCCGAACCAACCTTCCGAGTAGCTGGGACAGCCGCAGCCGAAGTCGAAGCCGAAGTCGAGGCTGGAACACGCAGAACCGACTCATCTTTAGTCAACCTCGCCAGCGTCCTGCTCATCAAAGCCTTGCTCACGCGGTGGTACTGCATCCCCAACATAACCTCCACCAACAACCCCGTCGCAGCATCAAACACAAACAAATCTGTCACATACGCCGCGTCACTCTGCTGCCTGGCATTCCGCGCATACACATGCCACACATCGGTCCCCGCCCGATCTGCAGCCGTATGCTTAGGCGACCGCATAATCATATCACACCCACTCGCAACATACATATCCTCCACCGGGCAATCCGTCATAAGATTAACCCACACCCCGGATACCTGCGCGAACGAATCAGCCAGTGGCGTGTCCAGCCACGTGTTGGTGCGGCGGTGCTGCCGGTCGAGCTGCACCCGCGCCGCGCTCTCGGTGCCTCGGCCCACGAGGTAGTTGACCCCCCTGAAAACGTCGGCGTAGTCCACGACAGGGGTGAAGGCGCGGTAGAGGTGGCGGCCTTGTAGGACCTCGACGTCGGCGTTGTTGTTGAGGCTGAGCTGGAGGAGGTCGAGAGACTGGGTGTGGTTGACAAGACGCTCGAAGAGGGCGAATTCTTGGATGTAGGATGCGGAGGTGGGGGGGCTGACGTCCACGCGTGCTTCGAAGTGGGTTTGTTGGAAGCGTTCGGCGGATGCCGTGCCGTCTTTGGATTTGTCGAGGCTGAACATGCGGGCTTTCCATTGGCTCTGCTTTGTTGTCGATGGCTTGGTGTTGGTGTCGTCGACGGCGGACAGCTCGAGATAGACGACGCGGGCGGGGTTGGCGCACAGGGCCGATGGGAAGACGGAACCGCGGACAACGGGGAGGAGGCCGTCTTGTTTGGAGTTGGGGATCAGACTGAACAGGGCCTCGAGAGTGAGGTCCCATGCCAGCACGCCCGGACAGATGGGCGCAGTCTGGGCAATGACGTGGGCTGCGAAAAGAGTGTGGAACTTTTCGGAGGCAGTGTTGATGCGGAATTGAGCGGTCTTTTCGTGCTTGTCTTGGTATCCCACAAATTCGAACGGAGCCATCAACTTGGGATCGAGAGTTGATGAGACGGGAGGAGGAGCCAAAAGGGCACCTCGTTGCTTCAGGAGCGCCTCGGCGGCCTTTTGGATCACCTCGGACGCCGACTTGACGGGCAGCCAGTGACGGGATGCAGGCGACTTGTCGAACTGGTACGGCGGCAAGAGCAGCGGGGCGTAGTCAAGGGTTGATTGCTTGTGATGGGCCCAGAATGACACGCGCAGGCCCTGCTTCCAGAGCGCCTCGGTGGCGTCTGTCAATCCGTTGAAGCCGTTCTGGGTGTTGGTAATGGAGACGGCCTGGAAATGATGGTCTTGGGTTGCGACATTAGCTTGGGCCAAGGCTCGGCTGGCCATGACGGTGATGGTGGAGTTGGAGCCGGCCTCGAGGAAGACAGCCTGGGGGTATTGCTTCGCCAGGCGCTGGACGGCATGGCTGAAGAAGACGGGCTGGTGCATGTGGGTGGGGACAAAAGACCAGTCCAGTGTGGTGTTGGCCTCCTCCGTGGCGCGCTCCACAGGGATCGTCGGCTTGTGGAAGGTAACCCCCTTCCCAACCGCACCGAGAGCATCTGCAATGTTGTTGACCAGTGCCGAGTGGAAGGCATTGGTTACGCTGAGGCGCTTGCTCTTGATGGCAGAGAACTTGGCATTACCCGCGAGGGTTTGCTGGACGGCATCGACAGCAGCCGTGGAACCAGCTAGCGTAAAGCTGCGTGGGCCGTTATAGCATGCGATGCTGGCCAGGCCGTCCGAGTTGGGAGAGCCGTTGGCTTCCTGCAGGAGCTCCTTGACGAGGGCTTCGTCAGCTTCGACGGCCATCATAGCGCCAGCGTCGGATCCCCAGGAATCACGGACAAGCCTGGCCCTGGCCGCAACGAGCTTGATCGCATCCTCTAGGCTCAGAGCACCAGCCACGCACAATCCGGTAATTTCTCCGAAGCTGTGGCCGACGACGGCGGCAATCTTGCTCTCCAGACCACAATCCATCCACGCCTTAGCCGAGGCATACTGCGTGGCAAACAGGGTAGCCTGTAGCTTGACGGTGTCCGCGATCGGCTCTGTGGAGAAGATATCGGGGTAAATGCTTCCCAGACCCAGAGACTTGGCCACCGCGTCGCAGTCATCCAGGTGCTTGCGTAGCACGGCGACGTTGTCGTACAGGGTGCGATCTAGTCCAACGAATCGCGAAACTTGGCCGCCGAAGCACAAGATCACGGGCCGCTCGGCCTTGACGGATGTGACGCCGATCTGGGCGGCTGAGGCTTTATCCGATGCGAGTGCTGCTTGCTGCAGCTTGTCTTCGAGCTCGGCTCTTGACCGGCAGCTGAAGATGAGGCCCTGCCCCAAGGTGCGGTTGGATTGGCGACTGACGGCGAACGAGAGGTCGGCGAGTGTCGTCGACGGAGGCAGGGACTTGCAGTACGCAGCCAACTTGGCAGAGTAGGCTGAGATGGCGCGGGCATCGAGGCCAGGGATCCAGAAAGGGTACTGAGAAGCCTCGCCGATGGTCAATTTGCCGCTGCTCCCGGCAAGAGATTTCGGGGGTTGTGCGATAATGAAACTGGCGTTGGACCCGCACGCGCCGTAGTTGTTCAACAGGGCGATTCTGTGGTCCTCGTCCCAAGTGCGCAGCTTCGTAACAACTTCCATCATATCGTCCGAGCGGACGTTAATGTTGTGGTTGATCTTCTTGAAGCTGGCCTGGGGCGGGATAAAACCACCGCGCATCATCATGATCACCTTGATGAGCGCAAGCACACCCGACGCCCCCTCAGCATGACCGATGTGGCCCTTGACCGAGCCGATCGGGAGGTTCTTGGTCCGGCCAGACTCCGGGCCACCAAGGGCGATCCGGATACTTTCGTACTCGGCCGGATCACCGACCGCTGTGCCCGTCCCATGGGCCTCGACCAGCGAGATATCCTTAGGAGTAATGTCAGCCTTACGGACCACGTCCCCGAACAGCTGCGAGAGCGAAGCCGAGTTCGGCACAAAGATGGGCGTGATGTTCTGGTTCTGGTAGACGGCCGTGCTAGAAATAACGGCTAGGACAGGGTTTCCATCTCGCACGGCATCTGAGAGCTTTTTCAGGAACACAAATCCAAAGCCATCAGCGCGGCAGTAACCGTCGGCGGACTCGTCAAAGGGTTTGCACTGCCCCGTCGGGCTGAGGAAGTTGCCCGCTGCGAGGTTCTGGAACCACATGATGTTGGCAATGGCGTTGCACCCGCCCGCCAGAGCAGCCGTGCACTCGCCAGACAGCAGATTCCGACAGGCCGTGTGAATGGCGACGGCGGAGGACGAGCACGCCGTATCAAAGGTCATGGTCGGGCCTGTCCAGCCAAAGTAATGCGAGACCCGACCCGCGATAAAGCTCCTCGCTGACCCCGTTCCCGTGAAAGCGCTGGTGTCGTTGCATTCAATGTTGTAGTCGTATTCGCACCCTGCCGTGCCCAGGTACACACCAACATGCTTGCTATCACTCAGGCCGTGAAAGTATCCCGACTGTTCCACGGCCTGGTAAGCACCCTCAAGAACCATACGAGCCTGAGGGTCCATGGCAGCCGACTCGCGCGGGCTGCGCTTGAAGAAGCGGTGGTCAAAGGCATCCGGGTTGCGGACGAAGTTGCCGTAGTATTTGCGCTGTGGGTCGGGGTCGCCGGGTGTGCGGAAGGCTAAGTTGCGTTCCATGCGCTCTTCGGTGATCAGCTCGTGTTGGGACTTGCCGGTCTTGAGCATGTCGACGAATTCGGCGAGGTCGTCGGCGCCGGGGCATTTGATGGAGAGACCGACGACGGCGATGGCGTTGGCGTAGGCTTCGTCTTGTGTGGACTGCAGTTGTTGTGTCGTGTTAGACTCAGGCTGGGGCTGAGGCCGTTCCGATGTTGATGGTGCTGGCTCGGCTGGAACAGAAACGGCCTGCGACGCAGGCAGCGGCAGGCTGGATGACACCGTCGGCCACGCCGCCTGTGAAGACGAAGCCTCGATTTCGTCAAAATGCTTTGCCCTGCCATCGAGCTTCTTCAGCCAGGTTGGCGGGACACACTGCTCCGGACCAATCGTCACAACAACCGAATCCTTGGCCTCACCGACAACGGCAGAAAAGGTCTTGAACCAGTCCACCTGCCGCGCCAACATACCCCGCAGCACCAACGCAGTCATATTCCCCTCCGTCACGCGCTTCCCATCACCACTATTGTCATACGTCGCCAACGCCAGCCCCTCTGCATCAGCATACTGCAGACCATGCATCTCCCGACAAAGCTCCAGCAGCGGATCAATGTGTTCCGCCCTCGCCGGATCCGGATCATGCAGCCGGGCCCGAAAGTCGGTATCAGCCACAATAACCCCCGCAGCCCGAAGTTTCTTCTCCAACAACGGCCCCGTCGCTTCGTTCGTGACCAACGACGCCCGCGCCTCATCATACACCACAGCCGTGTACGCATCAGGCGACAGCTCCCCAACAATCCGCTTCAGCTCATCAGCTTGCTTCTGACCAACCCACGCCGCCGCGAAGGACACCGTCCCGCCTTTCTCGCTCTCCTCCCTGTCCTGTACTTCGCGGGCGTCGGTCAAGGCGCCCGCCAGCATCGACAGCCGGGCGGCCACGGCGGCGTATTTTTGGAATTCCTGCCTGTTGTGCGCGCTCGCGACGGCTAGGGCGGGCATCAACCCGGCGCAGAAGCCGAGCGAGGCTGGGAGTTGTGATGGGGAGGATGACGCCAGTCGGCTGGCGAGGACGTCAGGCACAGGCTCGCCGCCGGGATGCGTCAGCTCGAGATAGCGCCAGTACTGCGTGAGCTGTGACAAAACGATCACGGGACCGATCACCGGTCGGGGGACGGTGGCATCGGGGGCGAGGTCGGATGTGCCATGTCGGAACCAGGAGTCGAGATCGACCAGGCGCTTGGGGGTGTCGGGGATGGCGGTGGCTACCTCGGGGACCTTGGCAACTAAAGCGTCCCAGTAGCTTGGGAGTTCGGCGATGGTGTCGAGGACCCAGTCACGGTGGGGGCCTTGGGAGAGTTGGCGGACGGTTTTGTCGAGGGCTTTTTTGGTGTCGGCTGTACCGATGTAGTTGCCGAAAACCAGGATTGTTGACTCGGCGGTGCCATTGTTGGGCCCGGTGGGCTCGGAAGCGAAGCTGCTCACCATGTTGAGGGTTGGTCTTGAGGCTGGGCTTGCGAGGCTGAGACAAATGGGAAAATCAAAGAATGAATGGTTGGGACTTGAAAAGCCCTGATTTTTACTGTGTTGAACACAAAACTTCCTCAGAGAAAGAGAGATACAGGGACAGCCGTTGAGAGACGGACGCAGAAAAAAGAAAGACGGATGTAATTACAAGCTTCTAGAACCTGTAGTTAAGTCAACTTGAACTATTGACACTTATCATGGTGATACTACTTCAGACTTCCCCTCTCAGCCACAACAACAGCCGTCAGTCAGCCTGATCAAATCAGCCTTGGCGACAATACGACATCACCCACCGGCCTCACCGAACGTCTTCGCGTGGATGATGGCGGACATCGTGGCAGCGGAGTTCTTGCGGGCCGGGCAGCGGCCGGTACGGCGCCGGGATCGAGCGGAGTTCTTTGGCTGACCGGAAAGCGGACCACGCTCCGGGTCGGCGGCCTAGAACCTCGATCTCGGGCTGCTGACAGCAGCTGATAAGGTTGGTGTGGTGTGCCTTGGCCCGTGGAATTCCTCCCGCCTGCAACAGGTACATGTCGTGTAATTACCAACGCCAAGTCGGTTCCGCCCGGAGGTAAGCGGATACAGAACCGGCCTTGAAAGGCTGTTGTGGATCCGCCGGCTGAAACTCCGCCAAATGCTACCGTAGTACTCCGGTTGGACTCCGGATTTCAGCTGGTGCCAGGTGGAGATCGGGATCAGACAGCTGGTGGATACACGGGTCAACCCTCCCCCGAGCACCCTTTCAGGGCTCAACTTTCTTGCATTCGTCAATCTGTTGTGTGTCCCTCGTTTGGAGGTTGCCCAACTGGTTGTTGGCGAGAAACGGGAAAAGTTCTGATAGGTTCCCTCATGGCAACTCATTGCCGGTTTTGGTCCCTTGTAACATTGGCGCTGCACTGGGCGTCAACCGGCACATAACCGCGCTGGAATGGTACATAATCGTAATTCGGTGTTTGCTCTCGGTTCCAGCGCGGTACAGGGACGGTAATTGCGGTGTTAAGTCTTAATTCCGCTTGAGAAATCGAACTGTGTTTGCGCATTTCCGTGGTCCTCTTCATCAGTCCCTTTTTTCAGTTGGTCTTAGGGCTGGATTTCTTTCTCGACGACCGAGCCAGTTTTGTTTCTCCTGCTTTTGCGCAGACTACCACCCAACTGCCGGCACAGCTTACGGCTACAGTAATCAGTGTGTCAGCAAGTGAGTTATGGAACCCCAAAGCAACGCAGCAGCAACCATGGCCTTGGAGAAGGAGAAGCTCTCGAGCGAGGTGCACTCGAAGCCTGGCTCTGCAAACGGGACCACGACAAATGATAACACAGACTCGGAGACGGGGGCTGCCGAAACAACACCAACGCCACCCGCCCCCGCACCCGCACCTGCTGCCGCCTCGCCAGAACACCCGTGGCCGCAGGGCATCAAGCTCGCGTCGATTCTTGCGGCTGTTGTGACCGCGTATTTTCTGGTGTTCTTCGATATCGCGATTGTGTCGACTGTCACGCCGCCTATTACGTCCGAGTTCAACTCGTTGGTTGATATCGGTTGGTACAGCAGCGCGTACACGCTTGCGAGCTCTGCGTTCCAGCCTTTGAGCGGGAACATTTATCGCCATTTTTCGATCAAGGTAAGTCGCATGGTCATACACATTGATGTTCACACTAACTTACTGTCTGTTAGTGGTCCTTCCTAGTGTTCCTCTTCATCTTCGAGGTCGGCTCAGCACTATGCGGCGCCGCTCAGTCCTCCACGATGCTCATCATCGGCCGCGCCATCGCCGGCTTGGGCTCAGCTGGCATCTTCACCGGCAACGCCACCATCGTCGCTAACGTCCTGCCCGCCCACCGCCGACCCAGAATCATGGGCATCAACATGGGCATTGGCCAGATGGGTTTCGCGCTTGGTCCCATTCTCGGTGGCGCTTTTGCGACTGGCGTCTCGTGGCGCTGGATCTTTTACCTTAACCTGTTTCTCGGCATTCCCGTTGCTGCTGGCATGCTGTTTAACGTCGTCCCCGAGGCCGCGCCCAAGCTGCCGGCTCGCAAAGTCCTCGGCACGGCGGTCAAGTCGCTCGACCTGGGCGGGTTCCTACTGGTTAGCCCGGCAGCTGTGATGCTGCTTCTAGCGCTCGAATACGGCGGCAGTCAGTTCGCGTGGAACAGCTCTGTGGTGATCGGCCTGCTGGTGGGCGCTGTGGTCACCTTCGGCCTCTTCTTCTTCTGGGAGCGCTCGCAACGCGACACCGCGATGGTCCCCTTCGCCATGCTCCAACACCGCGTCATCCGCTCGGCAACGCTCACATCCTTCTTCAGCGTCCCCGGAATCCTCATCGCCGATTATTACCTCGCCATCTACTTCCAAGCCATCCTCAACGACTCCGCGCTCATGAGCGGCGTGCACTTACTCCCCAAAACAATGGTCATGGTCGTCGCCACCATCCTCACCGGCGCACTCACCCAAAAGACGGGATACTACCTCCCCTGGATCATGGCCGGCAGTGCACTATCCGCTATCGGCTACGGTCTGCTGTCCACGCTGACTCCAACCACGTCGGTCGGAAAGTGGGTGGGCTACCAGATCCTCATCGGCGCGGGTATCGGCGCCAGCGTGTCGGGGCCCATGTTGGCTGTGCAGAACATTGTGGCGCTGAAGCAGATGCCCAAGGCCGTGTCCATCGTGTTGTCGATGCAGAACATGGGCAGTGCCATCTGGCTTGTTGTGGCCAACACCATCTTCAACAACGAACTGCGCAAGGAGCTGCAGGCGAAGATGGGTGTTATTGGGCTCGACCCGAGTGAGGTTATTAGCGCTGGTGCGAGGTCGATCCGGCATCTGGGCCTGGACCAGGCAGGCGTTGGTGCGGTCGTGCAGGCTTACACGGACGCGGTGGACAGGGCTATGTATCTAGGTGTTGCGGTTGTTGCGACGACCTTTTTGTTTAACTGGGGCTTGGGGATGCATAACATTCATACGGTTAAGCGTGAGGAGATTGTGGACAAGAGGGCGCAGAAGAAGGAGGAGGCCAGCAAGGCGTAGATCGTGGGGATCTGGGGGAAAGCTGGGGAATCGGAGGGATCATGTGGGGACGTCGTAACGGGCTTACTCTATTCTTATTGGTCGGATTCACAGCCTTGGTGTGGAAGGACAGATAAAGTTTATTTCGTTCAAGCTTTCTCCGCGGCGCGGCCCGGAGCCACTCACCGTCTGAAGCTTTTTGTGGTACACTACCTTTGAAGAGTAGGCTAACGGCACTGGGAAACCCGGACCAGTTTTGAAAAGACCATGCAGAGCACTCGCGTTTGTTGATGCGTATTATAATTCAAAGCAAGCAGAACTTTCATTTCACAGCATGTGTTATTAACCTGATCTGTGGAGGATAAGCGACTCTGCATGTGCTGCTGCATCGTAGCGGATCCGAGCTGCCGTTCGGTCTGCGCTTAGGACCGAAGACGGCGATTCTTGACAACAAAAAAAGTAATACGGAGGACACCGGCCTTCTTTACCGAACCCCACCACGCCCACTTTCCGTCCACCGGAGTTACATCCAGAGCACACCACAAGGCGCACAGCCCGGGGCATTGGGCAAGGAGCTCGTGTACTCGGCGAGCCCGCCAAGGCTGCTATATACAATAAACAAGAGCGGCAGGTGCGATGTACATACACGACACGTAATGAGTGTATTAGTGCAGATCACTCTGCCCCTGCTAAACGTGGCTGTAACTAACCCGAGTAGTGTAGAGGGTGCAAAACATGAGAAATCAGCCCCCGCACACTCACGTGAAGGGGATTTTGAACAGGTAGATGGGTGTTAACGACGGTGCAATCAACTGCTGCTTCCTGCAAGGAAGAAAGAGAATGATACGACATACGCAGCTGCGAGGGGCTGCAGGCGAATGGAGCTTCGCTCACCCAGGTATCTTGTCCCTTTTTGCCGACCAGAGCCCCACTTATCTTAAACTCTGACAAGCTTTGCGTAATCGAGACTTAACCAGCCAACCAGCCTCTCAACTCAGCAGGCAACGGCGAGATCCCGTCTCTCGTCGGATCGTTGAAAATCCTTGGCATCCTTCTGTGTTCTCCGACTGGCGGACCGTATCGCCGGGAGTCTGGCCCCGGTGCCCGCTTGTCCACGCGGCGCATCTGATGATCTTTGCCGAGTCGAAGTTCTGAAGAAAGCGCAGTCAATACCCACCTCTTCCCAGAAAGAGGGTACCATTGCAGCGCAAGGTATGTTAGTGTGGTATTCGCTAGGGCTTTTGAGTTTCGCAGTACAACCACACGAGGATTCCACGCGAATTCTCCGGCATCGTTGATCCGTCTTATTGTGAAATTCACCTCTGCGAGTCTAATGCCCCCCTTCCCCCAATCTGATCACATCTTATCATGCTCGTGAATCCAACCCCCTTCCCGAATCCGGTCACATCTTATCATGAATCCATGATCACCAAGCGCGTCGCCGTGCATATGTGGACGTTGTGTAACCCGGGCCGGTACCTTTTCAATGGCCCCCCAAGCCACGTTGGGGGCCCAAGATCCCCCGCGCAGGGGCCGCCAAGTCGAAGCTTTTGACTAAAGCCGCCACATTGAATTGGCACTGCGGGCCGTACCGGCGTTCGATATCTCCTTTTGATTCGGACAAGAAAGGTAATGAGAGCGGATTGACCAGGGATCATGGATCATACGTGGCCACCCACACAACTTTGGTTGATGGGATTCCGCATCTCGCACGGCCAAGGCGAAGTACAGCCCCATTTCCCCCATTTCCCACATTATTCGGCAGTGGAATTTCTTCCTACACTTGCAGACTCCTTTGATAGAGCACTGTGACTCTTCGTCAGCCACCGGCCCAATAATCACACCGAGACGCACCTCTAAACCCGGGGCTCCAAACGCAATTGCTCAAATCTTATATCACTCGGCAATGCAGCCGAGGCCGCGCTGCTGCCGAACCAAGTCCGGGTTGAAAACTGCCAGACTGTCCATCGTATATTATCTTGTGTTGTAGCTTTTTGATCCCTTCTTGCTGTGAGAGTCAACGGATGAAAAAAGGTTACCCAACATTCTTTGGTCAAGATGGCCGACAAAGGACGCCGACAACAACCCGGATTTGCGTGCGAGGAGTGCCGGAGACGGAAGGCGCGCTGCGACCGGGTGCGGCCCACTTGCGGGCTGTGTTTGGAAAGTAGTACTGTCTGCCTGGTACTGGACAGGAAACCGCAAAGGGGACCCAAAAAGGGGAGAATCAATGCAATGCGGTCACAAATCGGTTTGTGATGCCCAGTTACACAGCTCCATATACACACTTCCACACACACCCGCACAGCCTACCAACCGTCTCTCGACGCCCCTCCCCTTCCCCCCACCCAACGTACACGCACTCCCGATGAATGCGAGTTTATCCCGCATCACTAATCACGCCGACGTCACGCAGCTACATTGCAATGGCAATTAAGCCAACAACTGGGGGGTTACGACGCGGAAGATTTGGCCGCTGTGCCGGGTATGTCGACCGGGAACGGGTCACCAGAACGAGACTTTCTTGATCCATTGTCTCGCGTTGTCGATTTGGGATGGCCAGACTGGGCAACGACGGCAGGGCTTGGGAGTGAGCTTAGCCTGGGAGCGTTGGACATGGTCGTGCGAGACGAGGACATGATGGACACAGGAGGGACAACACCAGCTGAACCACCAGCAGCAGCAGCAGCAGCAGGAATGGCCATTCTCACAGACCATGTGCGAGCAGACCTAGATCAGGTCTTCTTCGACCGCGTCCACCCGGTGCTTCCAATTGTGTACAAGCGGGGATACTTTTCGTGGGCCGACCAAATACACCCCGGGCCGGCACGCGCCTGTCTCCGATCGGCAATACGGACAATCGCCGCAGCTATGTCCGCTCCGTGTCTCCGCTTCTGCGACCAGCTGTACGACGAGACCCGCGCCCTGCTGGAGGGGTACATGGTCGGGTCCAAATCCGAGATAGCGCTCGAATACATCCAGGCCTGGCTGCTGCTGGCCCACTGCGAGCTGCTGCGGGTGGGCGAGCACCAGGCCTTGCTGACAGCTGCGCGTGCGTTTCGTCTGGTCCTCATGGCTCGGTTGGACAGCATCGATCAGCCGAACCCCGAGGACATGGCTTCGGGCCCGTTGATACAACATCATCAGCACCAGCAGCAGCAGGCATCGCCCGTTGAGAGCTTAGCGAGCTGCGAAGCTCCAGACCTGGCGGGGCTTGGGGGGGACGGCGGCTTTTCTGCAGTTGAGGAGCGGAGACGCACGTTTTGGCTGGGTTTTCAACTGGATCGGCTGTTGTGCTCGCGGAATGACTACCCTCTGACAATATACGAAGAGATGGTAAGTAGTTGTCGCATTTTGATTTTCACTTTGTCCCGGAGTAGTGGAAAAGTCCGGAAATTCTAACACTTGTCTCAGATCAACACCCGCCTCCCGGCCCCCGAGGCCAACTTCCAGGGAAACCACTATACGCGCACCATCTTCCTGTCCGAAGCCATCCGCTGTTCAGGAGGCAAACCCCCCACCACTCTCTCGCCCTTCGCCGAATGCGTCGTGCTAACCTCCCTGCACGGCCGATGCGCAGCAGCCCGAAGCCGCGACAACACTCACACCTCCTCTCCCAGAACCCCTACCAGAAACAACAGCGGAAGCAGCGGCAGCGGGGGCACAACGGACTTTTGGACACAGCAAGCGGGGCTCGCTTCGGCTATTGAGACACGCATGCAGGCCTTAACGACATCGTCGGCTTCGCCTGCCAGAGGCGGCAGCGGCAGTGGGAGCGATGGAGACGCGCTTCTGCTGTTTGCGAATATGCTAGCTCACGGCGCGGTGATTAAGCTTGCTGCTGCTGCGGCTGTTACCTCTCAGCATCAGCAAGGGGGAGGGCCGTCGCCGTCATCAGCGTCGGGGACATGGGGTCAGATGACGACAACAACAGTCGACCAACAGCAGCACCAGCGCGCAGCAGCAACGGCGGCCGCAGAAATTGTCCGTCTAGCCCGGTTGATGCCTTCGTCGGCGTGCTTCAAAGCGCATCCATTCTTACCGGACCCACTCGCCTCCGCGGCCGGTTATTTGATTACGGCCGGTGCTACCGGCACCGGCACAGGCAATAACAACACCGCATCGGGCGTCCCGCATCTGATGCGGGTGTTGCGCGACATGCAGGGGATGAATAGCCTGGCGAGAGACCATGTAACGGCGTTTATGCTGTCGACGGAGGGAGTCACGGAGTTCGTCAGAGGTCCGAATAACGTTAACGTTAGTGAGATGGAGTCGACGGGTGGGGCCCATGGCTGGGCGGTGGGTCCGGGGGGACCAAACAGTGGGGTGCAGATGCAACGGATGCATTGTTGATTGGTCAGCGATACCATCGCGCTGCCGTGAGTCACGTGCCGGCTGATCCGACTTGCCGAACCTCCGTCTCCCATCCGATCGCGCTAGGCTCGTTTTGGGATAGTTGATCGCGATGGTTGCCAAAATTGGACGGCCCCGCAGACGCACGCTACGGCGGATTTTATTCCGATGTGCTTGCGGGGCAAGGTGGGATAGAGACTTTGGGTTTAGATACCATTGCTGCTTGTAAATTACATACTATGTATCCAGGTAGTCAAAATCATAGAAACGAACGGACGTTGCGACAAGGTATGCGTGTCTCACAATGGGAAGACATTGGAGGTTGACTCGGATGTCGCGATCGACCCTGGCCCATGTCTGAGACAACTGGACAACGTCCTTCAGAAAGTTGCGTGTCCATCATGTCCACGAGTTATGTATGGGTGGCCTGAACACACGCCCTTGCGTGGGGTTAAGCGAAGTCCATAAAAGGTAACCTGACCAAGGCCAGGGGCTTTTCTTGAATCAATTTACGATCAGTTCTTTACACGAATTACACTAGGTACGATAGAATACAAATTCATACACTTTTTAATGGCTGAAAGAAAGCCGGGTTACACTCGATTCTGAAAAACTTGTGCAAAAATGATTTCGAAGAGCCAAATTGACTTGACGAAAAAGAGATCTTGGCCTGAACAATTTTCTTTCGGTCAAAAAATACTCCGTTTTTACACCGATCCGATCGACTACGGGAGGCGTGTTCGTTTGAACCCGGTCCGGTCTGCTGTGCCTCCCAAACGTCAGGAGAATCCATCTTAGCGCCGTTTGAGTCTTTGCACACCAAAATTTGCACACGTTTAGCCTCAACATCTGCTCGCGAATTGAGCATTTTCCCCCAAAACAGCCGCAAATTGAAGTTTTCAATATGTTTGAATTGATATTTACATTTGGCATACCTATATATATCTTTTAATACCCGATTTTCTATACTAACGGCAATACGCGTACGGTTTGATACCCTTCTGCTTTAAGTTCGATTGTTATCTGATGTCTTGGCACTACCTGAGGCCTAGTTGAGAGGTAGATAGGCTATTAAACTACTACAGTAGACGTGCATTGCCGTTGATATATAAAAAAAGGTATCAAAAAATAGGTACGAGTCTAGGTAATATAGATCTTGTTTAAACGGATTGGAAAACTTCAGTTTGGGTCTGTTTTCGGGAAAAGTGTGATTTTCTTCGTTGGGGCCAAACGTGTGCAGATTTTGGTGTGCACTGAAAAAAAACGGCGCTAAATTCTCCTGACGTTTGGGAGGCACAGTGGTGTCTACCGATTCTGAAATTTCGGAAGGCGTGACAGCCTCGTGCGGATTTACGTGTCGATCGTCAGATTTAAGCTTGTTCCATTCTGAAGGAACGCGGAATGGAAGATTCCGCTGTGTTCTTCCATTAGTGTAAGGTGTAATTCAGCCTCCAACGCGAGACAGGGGTACGGTACACGCCAAGCAACGTCGCCCACACAGCCTTCCCAAGGGCGCCCTGAGTCAAAGCTGATAAACTTCCTCCATTGCCATGTCGTTCCGTGATTACCCGACCTCCCCGTGGATGTTTCTGGTTCTTGATAGGAAAGATTCGATAATTCTATAGAGTCGGTGCATTCCACGGTCTCGAAGCTAAGTCCAAAGCAGCTATTGTTCAGAAAAGTGAAGTCTTATCCCGAAGCGTAAGCGTGCATCGTGTTGTGCCGACCCGGAGTCAGCACCGAAGACATCCGTCCCGGCATTGGCAGGGAGGGGATCGATCGGTTGATTTTAGGTTATTACGCCCCAGGGGGACTGATGCCGAAAAGAGGCTTGGCTTGGCACGCGCTAAGTCCGGACCGGAGTACAACACTTTGTCCCATTTTTCCACTTTATCTTGCGTTGTCCCAGCCTTTCCATGCGCAGTTTGGAATCCGGCGGCGGGGATAACCTTGCTGGGGAGGCCCCGAGGCAACGCTGGGGAGGTTGGGGTCTGGAGGAAAAGGGTCGATTGGTGGAACGGCTCCATCAGCAGGATGGAGACGTTGGGAGAGAAGGACGGACCGGCATGGCCCATTACCAAACGGAAGACCGAGGACTCAGCCGGCAAAGAAGGACTCTGGGGCAGCACCGTAAGGGCGGTTCTCACATGACCTGCCCAAGCCGAAAGCACTGAACGCGTGTCCCCACCACACATATCTGTTATTTCTGAAATTACACCTACACAGGATGCCGATGGCCGTCGTCAACACGCCACATCACTCGAGGGGCCACTTTGCCTTGCCCTGTCCCAGCCCTTTTTACATCTGCCTCATGCAACCCTCCTACACGCCTCATTTTTCAGCTGTGAGCAGATCCGCCTGGAGGTTAATGTCACGTTATCCAAGCCTTCAGCCAAGCGAAAGCGAGATCTGCTATTTCAGGATGTGTGGTGTTTGTTTGTTCTGGTCTTTCACTGTGGTTGGCTCAGTCCTTACTAGTCGTCTTAGTCCAGTCTCCATGTTGCCATCACGTATGTGATTTCTTCAGGCTTGGTGGCCACCGTTTTGAACCCGATGATGCTTTCTCTCCTAAATATCCGCAAACATAAGCTCCCTCATCTCGTCGTACTACATTGAAGCAACCTCCTGTCAACGCTGTTAGTTCCATGCCTTGAAGAAAAAAGGGTTCCACTGTTTGCCTTCCATGGGTTGGTGGACACGGCTTGTAGTGGGCTGTTAAATGCACAGGAAAAACTTGTGATATTTTGCGATGATGCTGTCTAGTTATCACGGAATTTTATATACATGGAGAATCGTCCCAAATGGAACTCTTACAGCTAGAATTACAAAACATGGAATTGTCAAATATACCCAGGAGATGTCAATTTTTTCACACATCATTTTCGTAACTTATCGTAAGCGATTACCTTGCAAGTTCCGGTATCTTTCTAAGCTCTCGAAACCTTTCTCCTGTGCCCGCAACCCCAATATTCATACTTGGATCTACATAAACTACCGTCACAATAAAGCGAGTTGAGGACGTACAATTCTTTCAGCTTTTGCCGTGTGATTCAAGCAGAGACGCCCCGGCCGCCAGCCCGCATTCCCCAGCAGCACATTCCATCCACCTTCTCCTCAGTCATTCTTCAGTAACTTCTGAAGAGCAGACCATCACATACGACCATAGATAGTAGAAAATATAGGATCCTGTCTGCTCTCCCCTAGTCAAACTGCTGACCGATGGATTATCTAGATGATTTGGAGCATAGTCCATTTTTTTTTTTTTTTTTTTGAGTTCCTTCTTCCCGCTTACAACGCCGGCGGCTCGCCAGCTGCGGGACATACAGCTCTCAGGCTTACCGCCTCCCAAGGCGGATCGGACCGAGTCGTCGCTGCCGGACACCGCCCCGGCCAGTCTGCAGGCCAACTCGCCACAGCATTGATCACCTTGGAAATGATGATGTCGTAGACCGGACCGACCGCCGCGTTGGACATGGTGACGGATTGCGGTCGTATGAGCCCGCGGAAGCGTGGTCGGAATGGGATATGGATCCCCGCCGCAGGCTGCGCTGCACCCGGCCCGTCGCCTTCGGTATTGCCCGCTGAGGCGCTTGACGATCTCCAAGACGCTTACTCAGCCGACATCACCCGCCAACCAGCCCAGCAAAGGGAGTTGAGTGGACTGCCCTGTGAGTTCAATGCACATGCAATTACAAAAGGCAAAGTGACGACGCAGCAGAGGAAGAGGGGAAAAGTAATCTCAAATCAAAGTCCAACCACTATCAGTCTCCTACCCAGTCCGCACTTTGAGCGGTGTGCTCATCGGCCAGCCACATATGCACGTGACTGGGGGCACTGGAGCAAAATCCCCTGCATGGGCGGCGTGGGCTTGGGGGCCTTCTGCTTCAATACACTTATTTCTCCCAGCTCACCGAGAGGATTCCCAACCCGAGCTCCGACAGAGATTCGAGAGCGAGCTACTACCACCAACAGCAGAGAATTACACTAAGTGGTAGACAGATAACCAAGACTTTGTATACTACAATGCCCAGCCCACCCGCCACCTTCCTTAACTACTACAAGTAGCTACGTATCTAGTATATCTTTATAGACTAGAAAATCTACTATCTCGATAAGCTATTCTTTAAGTAGACCCTCTAGAGGTATAAGTAGACTAACGTCGGTAATAGCTTTCTAGTATAGCCTATAGCAACTATACCCTATATGACAGCCCGGCTCGTCAGCGTGTCCTGGGATGCTCCTTCCGAGTCGTATCGTCACCTGACACCTGCCTTCTACAGGCGCCCGGGATAACTATAAAGGTAAACGGTTATAGGAACGTATAGAGGATATAATCAGCTAATCTACAGCGGGGCAAGGCCCAAAGGTTGGCTATGTCGGTGTGTAAGAAGCCAGGGTCGAAAGATCACGTCTTGAGTATATCGGAACAAGAGCTCGTGTTTCTCGCTGTCCCATTCGATCCCGGTCACTCGGTGCAGGGTCGGTCGAGTGATGCTGAAACATCCTCATGGCCAAGCTCCCTGATTAAGGGAAAGGCCAGATGAGGTATCATCAATTGGCAGCAAACCGTAACAAGGAAACGACAAGCTGCATGTGAAACCCGGAGATTGAAATGATCGACCTATTCAACATCCTTCGCATAACCTCTCCGAACTATCATGGAACCTTTTGCAACACATCATGCAGCTCACTCCCCCAAAATGGTGTGGCTGCGGTACACCGCAAGCCAGGACACTACGCTCTTGCGCACCCAACCTTTCACTCTCTATTAGTGGACGGCAAAAGCAAGCCTGTATTGGAATTTAGGTTCACGTTCAACCTTGATTGGTGCGCGGCACCTCTACTATCTGACGCGCGTCGGCGTCGAGCGACGGCACCGTGCGCGTGTGGGACGTGCGGCCTAAGGCGAGGAAGCCGGCGCTCACGGTCAGGGTGAGCGACATGGATGTGAATGTGCTGTCGTGGTCGAGGCAGACGACGCATTTGCTTGCGAGCGGGAATGATGCGGGCGTGTGGGCGGTGTGGGATCTGATAACCCTAAGCTGGTGCGGGAGTTGGGGGTGGGAGTGGTTCGGCGGCGGACCCGCTGCGGCCGACGCCCATTGCGAGTTTTGGGTTTCATAAGGAGCAGATTACGAGCGTGGAGTGGCACCCGACGGATGACAGTATTGTGGCCGTGTCGGCGGGGGATAATACTGTTACGCTGTGGGATTTGGTGGTCGAGTTGGATGATGAGGAGAGTAAGGACACGGCGGGCGTGCAGGACGTGCCGCTGCAGCTGCTGTTTGTGCATTACCAGAACTTGGCCAAGGAGGTGCACTGGCACCCGCAGATTCCGGGGGCGTTGGTTGCTATAGGCGAGGAGTTTATCATCTTCCGGACTATCAGCGTGTAAACCGGGGGCAGGCGGATTGTTGCTCTGGCTCTTGGCGTGGTTGAATAAAATGAACTGTGTAAGCCATTGCAGTTACATTTCGTGCTACTTGGCGTCGTCGTATGACAAGCTAGCGGATGGTGATGGTTGTTGCTTGGATGTAAGGACTCAAAGGTTCTAGTGTCGCCTAATTACCCCCCACGCATTTTTCGGCCGCTCATCCGCCAATGGGGATGAGTCACAACAATTGCGAAGATGATTCCGCTCTTGAGGTAGCGCCGTGCGTGCCCTGTTCCATGGAGGAGAAACTTCGAGTCCGAAGAAAATCAGGGTGAGTCCGAGGTTGTCACCGCGCTATTGGATGTTGTCATCCTGCGATACGCTTTTGGCTACATTGCAATGGCTTCAGTCATTTACAAGCTAAGTGATCCAATAGGAACAGCTTCGGCTCGGCGCGAGTGCGAATGCGAAGTTTACATCGTGGTATATAGGTAATCCTCGCGCTGAGTGCTTCAGAGTCGGTGAAAATGTGATCTTCTAACCAGTGATAGGTACCATGGCTAGTAATAGGAGCATAAATAGCTCGTGTTACCTCCTCTTGATCCTCCTGCCCCATCCTCACATCACCAGGTTCAGACATTCCACGCTACCTATTCAACTCAATACTTAAATAAACTTTCGCTATTTTTGTGAGTCTTCCCAGAACATCCGCCTTGCCGTCATCACCTGGTTCCCTAATCACTCATGTAAAAGAAAAGCCATCAACCCAACATGCGTTTTTTCGCCACCATCCTCATCACGCTGGTCGCCACGGCGACCGCTGCACCCGCCGAGGTGGCTGGCTCCCTTATCAAGAAAGACGGCTGCACCTGTGCCCGCCCGTTCAACTCCCTTCCCTGCAACCCAGGCGGTCTCAACTGCGGCTGCTCGGGTGCCGGTGCTGGTTGCTGTCCCGACGGGTATCATATCCTCTGCTGAGTTCATGGTCGTAGGGTTTGGGGACGGGGTCAGCAAGGGCATGCAAGTAGTTCAGTGAAGCACGTTTGGAGTATCGTTTTGGGAGGCCAGGACTGAGAGGTCGAGAGAGGCGTGAGAGGTTAGGAGGTTAGGAACCTGAACCACAACAGTGGCAGTCAAAGTCAAACCTCAGTTATGATTTAAGGTGGTGATACTAATCTTCAACAATGTTGCCGCTTTTGGGTAAGGCGCACTGAAGAGGTGTATTGACGCGTGTTTCAGAACCCAGGGAGAGAGTGGCTGGCCCTGGCAAGTGGCTGGAAAGCCAAAATTGGAAATGCGGCTATCCCCCCGTGTTTCGCTCTTTCCAAGTCGGGCGTTCAGATAGGTAAAATACGATCCTTGAATGATTGTGATCCACATATGGGCGGCGCCTGCAGGAAATCTTGGTAGTTGAGGCACCGTTCTCGAGCAGCCATCGGACAATATCGAACTTGCCGTTCCGGGTCGCCAGAATTAGAGGTGAGCAGCCTCCACACGCAAGATCGACGTCGAGAGGGCAGCCCCTCGCACGCACCTCTTTGCAAAGCTCAAGGTGGCCGGACCGGACGGCATGTTCCAATGCCTGAGCGAGACCAGGCTGTTGCCGCTGCAGGGAGGCGGTGTTTTGCGACGATTTAGTCGCGGCGGCTTGGAGAGGAGGCTCAGCGGGGCCGGCTGCGTTTTGGAGAGTTTCGTTGATGCTCTTGTTGCCCATTCGGTACGCCCGAATCAAAGGTGTCTCACCGTGAAAATCTGGTTGAGACTTTGCGCCGTGCAGAAGAAGAGCTTGGACGGTCTCTGAACTTCCAGCAGCGACGGCGAGATGCGATGCTGTCTTACCGGTGGTTGGGTATTGGAAGTCAATCTGGACTCCCTTCCGGCAGAGATAGTCTACTTCCCGCACCCTTCCGGCCACTGCGGCAGCTAACAGAGGAGTATGTCCGTCTGAAGTTAAACAGTCGATCTCTTCTAGTACTGGTAGTTGCCGGTCCAGATAGAATCTTAGGCAGTCCACGTGGCCCAAATATGCGCCGAGGTGCAAAGCACCCAGGCCCGATATAGAGCTAGCGTGAGGCCGGACCCTGTCGCGAGGAAAGGTGCAAGTTCGCCGCGAGTCTATCCTCCACGAGTACTCTCCATCGGCACGAGCGAGCTCCTCAAGGAAACTGCTGCAACCCGAGCGCGACGCAGCAAGGACGCAATCCATCCCCGTCGGATTTTGCTCTGTTGGATCCGCCCCATTGTGTAACAAGGCCTTGGCGGTGTCGAGATGCCGTTGTAAGATGTGGTATACTAACGCCGGTAGGGAGCCAACAGCTGGTCCTGACCGTAGATTGGGGTCTGCGCCCCTGCGAACCAGCTCCTCCACCACCCAGACAGAATTCCCAGATGCGGCTTCGTGGATGAGCCCTGTCTGTCTGTTGGCGGGATTGAGATCGTTCAATCGGCTCGAGCCTGCATGGTGCAACAACATCCGGAACAGAGCCTGCTTCCCGTCATCGTCCACCCCGACGGGGCAGCGGCAAATCTCTTCTAACCAAGACCGGGTCCATAGGCTTGGTACAAGTACAGTCCTCTCTAGGATCGAACGGACGACTTGAGTGTCGGCAGAGTTAAAGGCAGCTCGCAGCAAAATGGCAGCAGTCGAGGAGCTTTCGAAAACAGACCAGCGTGTTGTATGCGCGACCACTTCCGCGATGCACTCCCCTGACAACGGCCAAAGGTCAGCCATGCTTTTCCACTGTTTTGGCTCAAAAGCTACTTGCATTCGAGCCAACCCAGATTGGTTGGTGATGGTTTCATATGCCGCGAGATAGCCCAAGTCTACGAGGCAGTGGACAGCCGACGGCACTAGGTCCGGGTGCCGAGCAGCGCCACTCTCTCGGTCCGAGTCAGCTCGTGATTCTCGTAGTACCGTCAGGGCAAAGTATTCCCATGCGGCTGCTTTAACGACCTGATCGTCCTTTTCTAGGAAGTCCAATGTGGTAATTCGCGGATGATTCCATGGAAACAAGTCGGAGTTCAGTACATCTCGGGCGAACCGACGAGGCACGCATGCAAGTAGTTGTCCAAGGGCAACTTGCCCTCCATGCTGGTTCCGCAGCTGTGCGGATATAACGCCTTGAGAACCTTGACGCAGGGCAAAGGTGCCCAGCGATTCAACTGGTGAAGGGGACTGAATTGTCCATTCAATCCGACGCACACGCCCGAGTCCAAGAGGTCCGAGCCAAACCGGTAGCAAGTTCTGGCATTTCCATGCCGCTCTCCCCGTTGCTGAATCCGTACCTGTCTGCACAGAATTGCAGAAGGATTTTCGCAGACGCTTCTTCTCCCAGCCTAAGTGCTTCCATCAGTGGGGTGCATCCATAACTCGTATTAGTCGTCCGTAACGCCCTGTCGAGGGACGCCTGGTCCGCGATATTGAGAATTGCTTTTAACTGTCGGGGGTTGCTGAAGTTGGCATGCAGTGCATTGTCCCCGCCCTGATCCAGTATGTACAGTATGTCGATGGCTTGGTCGGCCTGTACCAAAACCCGGACGAAGTCTTCCACCACGTCCTGGCTTGACCTGTCCATGCTGTCCTCCCACTCCCAGACGTGAAGTGGCGTTTCTCTCTCATCATTTGTGACTGACGGCGAGAAGCCTGCTTCAAGCAGCTGAATTGTTATGACAAGGAGAATTTTTCCTGGCAAAAGAACCAAAAACGGCAGCCTTGGCCACGACATGTAACAAGGAATCCCCGTCCTCGGTACGAATACTGAGGGGGTTAAACCGCGGGTCGCTGAGGAGAGCATCCAAAGAACGCGTATCGGCGGAGTTGATGGCGGAGACGGCCGATTCGGAGAAAGCATCCTCGGTAAGCCAAATCCTGGTATCAAGGGCTGATGTCACTGTGTGTTTCATGAGGCTCGGGTTGTCCCGGACGGCATTCTTTCACACCATACAAGTCACAGGCAAAACGCCCGGCGAAATCTTGACTAGGTCGTTCAATGACAAGAGGCATGACTGGAAAGCTGGGTTGCCTTCGTCGTCTTCGTCCAGAACCGAGGGCCTTAGACAGATGTCGAATAACTCAATCTTGTCGTCGGTAAGTGTGGCGCCGCGCGCCAGAAACAAGCTGACGACCGAACAATCTCCCAGATCGCGCGCAGCAAAAATCACAGCCTCCATCAATGTCATTTTTTTTTAGGGAGAGACGAGTGAGAGGATTCCGCACCTGCAGCAAACAAACATTCGACCGTGCGACGATAGTCCTTAGAAGATTCCGCCGATTCTGACTTGTAGAACAAGTCAAACGATGTTTCCTCCACCTCGTCGGTCCATTCGGTGAAGAGCCAGAGACCCGCAACCGCACATTGCAGAGGCGTTCTTCCCAGCGGGCTCTGGAGACTGACCGCGGAAATCGCGGCGTCGAGATGCTGCCTACAGATATCCGGGAGCCGAAGAATCGCAGCAAGCGCGATTGGGAAGCCGTCGAAGCGGTCAGAATCGCTTGAGGACCATGACTCCGACAGCTGCGCAATAATGGAGGTCGGAGGACCCCCGCCAAATACAGTCAGGGCCATAGAGGTCTAGGCAATTGAACTGGATAGATTGGAGGGCTTTCCGAACGTAAAACCGACGCTGGGGATTGGATAGGAGGATGGGCTGTCGTCGCGTCGAAGTCGCGTAGCCTGGCCAAAGCAATCGACACAGTTGCTAAATCTCTGATCTAATTGGTGGAAAGTCACGTGGAAAGTCACGTAACTCCAAGTCGATCAATCAAGCAGGGAATCAACTTTCCACCCTTTGGAACTTGCTTGATTGAGTCCTCGAGAGGCCCGTAATTGCGTGGTTGATTAGTTAACTTGATTGACATGATTGAATTGTGAGCAGCGCTGGTTCGTGTGCCTAGCTGGAACTTGTCCTCAAGGCTAGCGCATGCAGAACTGGACTGCCGTGCGTAAGAACAAGCGGAACGGTTAAGTTCGCTTGAGTTATGACTCAACCTAATCTCTCATGAAGACTTCGAGCCCCTGTCTGATTCTCGACAAGCTGACTACTCTAGGAATATAGACATTGTCTTCTGAAGGCCGAAGGAAGGTGTTGTTCCCGAAAGCCGGGCAGCCCCGATACGCCTAAACCTCCCTTTCTCCGGCAAGCCTACCGGCTCAACAATAATGAATACTTCATACACCTCGTCTCTCTCAATGTCTCGACCTGTTGACGTTAACAGGCATAAGTGTGTCGCGGACCCGGTCAAATCCTTTCGATCAAAGTAACCGAAGCAACGGTAGCTTAACACTCCAGCAGTGTTGGTCAGATTCTCTCCGAACACTTGATAGTAGCAGGAGAGTGCGCCACTCATTACATCCTCAGTTGGACGCATATCAATCAGCATGGCTGGAGCTTCGACTCGAATGCAGGCCGATCTCAGGGGTGAGGTGTACGGTGTCCCAGACCACTGCACATCCCAACTCAAAAGCCGAATATGGGATTGGATAGCAATGTGCGGCCGTCTTTTCTCGGGGTGAGGAAGGGGGTCATTCAAGTGCCAGAAAGACGCGGCACCAGGGCACGCCAACCAGGTCCAAGAGGGCAACAGTGGATCGCCCGGTGCCTTAGCAGTTCTCCGTACCCACAGCCGTGTCCATGCCATATCGCGTGCGAAGGTCGTCTTCCACAGTCCCATGATAGGCTCATCATTCAGGACTGATGCAAAGTGCCGGACAATGCCGGCAATCGCGGGGATACGATCTTGTTCAAAGGTGAGTGACCGTCCGGAGTAGTTCTCAACCACCTTTTCCCACGCTGCGCGCAGCTGGATGAAACTTGGAGTTGCGGTCTGCGGTAGCATTCGGTGGACGCGCATCGGCAGCCTAACATCTCTCTCTGTGTCGCGTGCTGATCCAAAGGACAAGCCATTCTCCACTTTGTGATTACCATGGCATTGCCAATGCATTTCCGACTGCAGGCAAGAGACAATCCTTGGGGAAAGCAACTGCTCTTGCAGCGACCAGGCACGCGAGCTAAGGAGGTTGTCGGAGGTGGGACGATCCCGAACGTCGCCATCATAGAAGCGCACGAGGTGATTAAAGCCACGGGCTCGAAACAAAGCGTCCTGGCTGTTAGGGCCTTCCCTGGTGACAGCAAAAAAGCCTGCTGAGCTGTCGGCAGACTGGGAGGCGGCAACGGTCAGTTGGCTGCCACCGTAGATCCTATCCATTGTTGCTGCTTCCCGTTGCCAATCCTCGATGTCATCTTGGATAATGCACAGGGCATCAATCCAGATGTAAGAAATTCCCACTGCGCGTGTTATCCTCATTGCTTCCGCGAATGTCGCCGGTATCAGCCGGGTCGGTAATTCCTGGGTGAACTTGGCGAGCGTCGTTGTCGTTGTGCGCAGCGGCAATAGCCCACCCCAGCAGTAACTTAGAGCCGCATACTCCATGTTCTCATTTCCACTCGCCTTTCCTGTATGAATCAACCTTGGCGGCCGCCCGTCAAGACCGACACTCACAAGGCGAGATGGGACAAATGGCTGGGGTTGACAGCTGGTATGACCGGGGTCATCACGGCAGTTCTGCAACCATTTCCTTATCATCAGGAGCTTTTCATCCCACGTCGTCTCACGGCCTTGCCATCCAGCCAGCTCGTGCATTGGTCCTTAGAGGCGATAGACGTCAGCCAAATCCTGAGTGAGTTAACTGTTTTGGTGTTCAGGGAGAACCCCAGCAAGAATAATAGAGGATGCAGTGAATGGTTAGATTCTTTCACCTTCTGAGAGACAGACAGCGAGAGTGAACTTTGCCTTTATGGTCGTGGGCGCCACGAGGCTCCTTACGGCAACTTGATATTTCCCCCAAGAGATTTCCGAACTTAATGGGCCCCTGTGTTCCTCCAATTCCACTTGAAAACGCCGCTCGTCACGCGTTTCATCGGCGAGGGGACCGTCCGCTCGAGGCAGTAACGAATGGAAACAACGACATAACGCGCAGTTCTCACTTGAAGTGATCAGAGCTCCGTATGTTGAATGATGAGCTATATTAGTCGAGTCACCTGTCGCAGGCCCTTTGACAAGATCCACGCAGAAAGAGCACAAATCCACCTCATCAACCCCCATGGTAGTACGACCGGGTGTCGTCGATCGAGTTGGGGAGTCGGACTGAGCGCTTAGCAACGTTGCGGATGCCGTATCAGCGAGTGGCGGCCCGCCCGAGACAACCAGCTCGTGCGATGGGCGATTTTCGTCCATCGTTGTGTTCCGAGCTCTTTGGAGTGGCGTTCGTGGAAAACGAGATATTGATGCGGTGGGGTGGAAAGGACTGATTGGTTCAATGATGGCGAAAGAAAGGCTAAAGGAAGATGTTGTTTAATAGACGTAGACCGCATGATATCCGGGATCATCGTGTATTTATTAGGAATTGTAAATATGCCGAGAGACCGCGCTGTTACCCAATGCCATACGCTTTCTTCGCCGGCCATTGCATTGAAGCCCGATTCTCTGTGTTGCCTTGTTATCAGCCTCATGGACCTGTCCGAAACCCAGAGATTGGCCAGCCATCACAGATATAGATGACAAGGCAGGGTGAGGCAACCTTGCCCCTTGCTGCGTGGACAACTCAGTCGGTTGTGCCTTCTTTTCAGACCCGCGTGGCGCTTTCCCATTAGGTGATTCACGGACAGTAAAAGGGCTGTGGCCTGCAGGTCAGGCCTACGAGCAACCGGAATCGGAAAGTGCAGTACTGCCTGAGCAATATGCACAGCTGCTCAAACCGCAGCGCTGCTATAGGGAATGGGAGTTGGCACTCGGTAAGGCCCAAATGTCAAAGCAATCAGGCCGTGAAAACTTTTCCAGCCTGCCAGTTTTCAGGCGGATCGTGTGAGAGAGTTACAGCTCGACCCGACGTGATAGCATCAGCCAGCTGTACGCGAAACGCATCATACACATCATCGACCGAGGCGAAGCGAGGCAAACTGGCGGCAAAAGCTCAAAGCCGAACCGGCAGAGAATGGCTCCCTTCCCGCTCTTGAGAACTTGAATGGTTGGCTCCTCACACCGACACAGCCTGATGATGCTCAGCAGCCAATGCAACATTGTGCGGCCACATCATCGACGCCATTGCAGCCGCAACACCGCGTTCCGTCACCAGCAGAGCCGCAGTGGAAGATAAATGCTGCCGGAGCGCGACCTCGTTCGAACGCGATGGTTCTCCTTTCCCACCATCGAGCGTTTGTTCGAGAATATTTAGGAGAATTAGGACCCACCGCTCGCAGTCGCCCGCTCACACTAATTAGTGCATCACTTTGCTCCCATCAGTGGTGATATTGTACCATATCCTAATCTCGAGGTAGGGCGCCCCCTATTTGATGTCGGCTTCATTTTGTGTCAGTCCTGCTAATTAATCCGAACTAGACTTGTTAGGCGCTGCGCATCGTTATCTCACCATGGAAACCACTACCGACCCTTTGACGTGGCTCTCCGCGATGTCGTCTGTCGCGGCTGCCATTATTGCCATGGCTACACTGCTTACTGTGTACATCGCCGCCGTTCAGCTCGCGTCGCAAAACCGACTGTTCAAACAAGGCCTCTCCTGGCGAGCAATCGGACCATGGGGCCCAAGGGTAACTCGCTCCAGTCTTTTGGGACTTCGCAGGACAATCTCGGTTCCTTCCCTAAGTCTCAAATCCCTCGTCGGAAATGGCTGGAAACCTGAGCTTGTCTTCCCAGCCGGAATTCCCAAAACACCCAGGGCCCACGTCGAAGAAGGGGACAACGTGCAGGCAAGGGCCGGATGGGTGAACTTTATTCAAGCCCTGGATTTGTCTCCAGACATACCTTCTGACGGGTCGATGCGCCTCTACGAGATGCAGCACGCATCCGAGCTGCTCAATGGCGTCGTCCCGATGCCCTGGACGGGCAAAGACTTGGTTGGCATCTGCTCCATTCTCGGCTTTCAGTCGCACGAGAAGTCACCGAGTCCAAAAGACCCGATGCCCTTGCCCATGCAATGGGCTGGACCGTTGGGGTAGCTGCAATTTCGATCCAGCACCAATGGCTGCGTCGTCGAGTTTCGACGGCGCATGTTCATGGCTAACCAGATCTCCGATGACATCCATCGCCACTGGAAGGGCCGCGACCTGTCACAAGAAGATCACTTTTTGCGCTCCCGTCTCTGGAATGCCATTGGCGGATTTCTCCTTCCCGACGAAAACGTGCTCTATCTTGGCGGCATATACGAGACCAAAGGCCCTCGCGACCTTGAGCCCGAGAGCCAAGAAGCCACCGACGCTCAGCTTTTCGACGATCTCACGTCCGCCAATCTAACTAGCGAGGAAATCATGCTCAAGTTATTCGGCAAGAAGAAGGACCGGCCCCAGGCACTCCGGCGCGAGGCTGATCGCGATAATCCGACCCAATCGGACCGTGGAACCAGGAACCCGGACCCCGACCCGCTCGAAGCACTGCTGAGGCTTGAGCTGGACAAAGCATCCTGTGGCTGCTCGGGAATGAAGGAGCTTTTGCGCCCCTGCCCCGGCTTCCTCTCCGTCGTCATCAACGGCGAACTTGCCTATAGCCGTGGCCTATCGTCCGCCTTGGACAAATGCAAGGAGTACGATCGCTGGTACGCCTCGCTCGAGGACGGCATCGACCCCGTCCGATACCCCCACCACCTGGGCGACCTATACATGGACGACAAAATTCTAGCGCTGATGAAGGACGCATTGCTGCACCTCTGCCCGGACGGCTTCTATTTTTCCCCGACCCGCATCGTACTAGCAGATCTCAACGAAGCCTACGGCCACATCGAACAACTCTCCAACAAAGCGGCGATGGAAATCTTCCCCACCCACGCTCTCACCACTCCACCCCCTGAAACACCCCAGGACGCCTTTGATGATCTTCTATACTCGCTCGACCTCTGCAACGACCTCCAGTGCCGCCGCAAGACAGGCTATGCCATGCTCTCCGTCGAAGACATGCGCCTCCTCGCCAAGGCCTCCTACTCGCTAAAGCCCATCATCTCTCCAGCAGGAGGAGGAGGACGCGACCTCATATGGGCCATGATCTGCTGTCCCGATCTCCCCCGCGACATCTGCAGCTCCCTCGCCCCAACCAAGTCCGACATCACGGGCTTCCTAGCAGCCCGATTTGTGTGTCGCAGTGCTTCACTCCGCTGTGCATACCCGCCCGACTTATTGCGCGGCAGCGGCGGCGCAGGCCCTGAGAAGGATGTCGACTATTATGCCGTGCCGCTTGTCGCCGATGGTGAGTTTACGGGCACACAGATCCTGGCCGCGTTGGCGTACGTGTTTATCACGTACTATTGGATCAACAAGGCCTGGGCAACTAATGTGGCGCTGTATGATAGTACTATGCCGCAAAATGTTCTTATGTGTTGATGAAGCGAGGAAGGGGTGATTCAAATAGATTGGGGGATTTGGGTTATTACCCCTGTTTGAGGTGTTAATTAAGTACCGGTCAGTTGCACCCAGTTGCTTATGGCGAGGTGACAGCAGAACCTCAACTCTGATTATCATGGCACCACCAATCATAGATCTTATCACTCTACAAAAGGGTCTCTACTAGCAGCACCAATTTACGTTTGTCTTGCAGGTCAGATTCGATCATGAATTGTGCTCAGCTTGCTCGGCTTACAGTAGCCCTAACCCTTACCCTAACCCTAACACAACTCCAACCTCTATATGCGGGAGTTCATTTTAAGCAAGTTCCTAAGCTGTGTAAAGAAACTATTACGAACCACAGACCACCGACCAGAGATAGCCATGGAAGCTTCCGTGGAAGACGACAAAAAATGGTTCCAGGAGCGTATATAATATCAGTCAAATTTGCAACCTAACGACTCCTAACACCAACATACGAAACTTGTCTAGCACAACCCTGTCTCCATCTCTAACAACAGCTCCCACCCTATTCTTGACTCCATCCCTGTCCCTAAGCCTTCACCGTAACAAACGAACTCCTAGCAACCACATCCCCCGCCAGCGCCTCCAACGACACACTCTGCAGCACATTCAACATCGGCACATCCGCCCCAGCCTTCAACATCAACATATTCCTCAACTCCACCGCCACCAACGAATCCACCCCCAACGCCGACGGCGCCATCTTCAAATCGATGTCCTCCCGTTCCCGCATAAAAATATCCGCCAGTTTCACCGCAATCGCATCCACCGCCACCGCGCGCGCTTCATCCACCGTCCCAGCTTCTTTCAATAATGCTGATAAAGGCTTCACATCCCCTTCCGCACCGCCACTCTGTGTTTGTCCTTGTCCCTTGGCGCCGATAGGAGGCCGGTACCGCAACGGCCCGAACCGCGCATCCCGTCCCATAGGCGAAGTCAGACTTGTAACATCCCACTGCGGCCCGGGGCCAGAATTCAACCCCACCAGCATCTGTGGCTGATCGAAGGGGTGGAGGATGGCCATTCCCACGGCACGCATGACATCCTCGTCCGACAGGGCCAGGGACTGGCCTGATTTGCCGAGGCCGTCGGAGACAATTTGGGAGGAGGAGGCGCCTACGCCTTTGACCCAGCCGATGTCTAACGACACAGCCGGGAGACTGCGGGAAGTGCGGTAATGGGCCAGGGCGTCTTGGAAGGATCCACCCGCGGCGTAGTTACCTTGGCTGGCCCAGCCGAAGATGCCGGAGAGGGAGGAGAAGATGACAAAGAAGTCGAGTTTCTTGGAAGAGAAGTGGTGGTGCAGGTTCCAAGTAGCAGTGACCTTCGGCCCCATCGAAGCCCGCCAGTCATCAAGCGTCAGGTTCTCCAGGACGGAATCCCTCAGCACCGTGGCGCCTTGGATGACACCACGGATAGGCGGGAGCCCTTCCGCAGTTTCACAGTGTTGTAGCGCGCGAGCGAGGTCAGATGGGTCAGATACATCGCAGCTAACGGCCACGACACGGCAACCCAGCTCGCGCAGGCCAGTTACAAACGAGGAAGTCGGGTCAAGGTTCCCGGCGCTGCGGGAGAGCACGATGATATTCTTGGCTCCGTGTGCGGCGAGGTAGAAGGCTGTGGGACGGCCTAAGCCGCCGACGCCGCCTACGATGAGGTAGGATGCGTCGGCCTTTAGCTTTGGTGTGGGCACACGCGGGAGGGTCGGGACTTGTTCTTCGGGAGAGACGGACACCACGACCTTGCCGAGGTGTTTCTCTGTCTGCACAAGACGCATGGCTTTGGAGATCTGGCCTAGTGGGAAGACGGTTACGGGATGGATGGGGCGGATGACATTTTGGGTTGCGAGACGGGCGACTTCGTTGATGACGCGGGAGGCTTCGGAGGGCCGCTCCCGGGCGAGGGCGAGGATATCGACGGACGTGAAGGAGGCAACACGGGAAAATGTGGACATGTCGAGGAGGGAGTTGTCTTGGGCGTCTCGCTTGCCGACTTCGATGAACTGACCGAAGGGGGCGAGGACGTCGAAGGCGGCTTGGAGGGAGGGGCCGCTGAGCGAGTTGAGTACCACGCTGACGCCTCGGTTCCCGGTAGCGGATAAGATGTCTGACTTGAGGGAAGAGGCGTCATCGATGTTGAAGATGTGAGTGGGGAGTAGGTTATACTCCCGCGTCACAAACTCGCGCTCCTCCTGCGACACAACCGTGACGTACACCTCCGCCCCCAAATAATCCTTAGCCAGCATGATAGCCGCCTGGCCAACAGGGTCGGCAACGCCGTTGACCAATACGGACTGACCCTGCCAGAGCCGGGCGACATCGACAAGACCGACGTAGGCGGTGGCCGAGACCAGCAGCAGAGACGCGGCGTCTTCAAAGGTCATGCCCTCTGGGATGTGAGAGACACACTGCCATGTGATGCGGGCGGAACTGCCGAAGGGGCCGCGGAGGAGGGCCATGACCCGGTCGCCGAGGGCGAAACCTTGGGCTGCGGCTTCGGGGCCGAGAGCGGTAATGATGCCGGCGCATTCGACACCCACTATAGTTGTCAGCGTCTTCCCGCCTTGATTCAGGGGTATTTGGACAGACTTACCAATGTTGTCCTTCACCTGGCCCATGGCAACCATCACATCCCGGGCGTTGACTCCATACGCCCGCGGCTCAATCACAACCGCATCCCCCTCTGGGAACCATTCCTCGTGTTCCTCAGGGGCGTCATCAAACACCAGCGAGTCCAAGAACCCGGGCATGCCCACTTTCAGACTCAGCGGACGGCCGTCCTGGAACAGGGAAGCCAGCTCGATAATGTCCTCCGGTTCAGCAGGATCCCGCGCCGACAACATCTTGTTAAGCGGCGCGTCCTTATAAATCCTCGGAACCAACACCAACCCATCGCGCACAGAAAACTCATTCTCTTCCGCATCCGACGGCCCCTGACGATTCGTCACACCATCAGCAGCCATGACATGCGCAATAGCTTCCACATCAGCTTCCGACCAGACCGACTGCTGCTTAGAATCCAAATCCAGCGTCACCAGACTGCGTCCAACATACTCATTCCGAATCACCCTCAAGAAACCATTCGCCAGCGCCATATCTGGATCAGCACACTCCACTGCACCGCCCCGGGTAACCCACAACACCCCCTTGGAAGTGGTCAGCATGGTGCGGATGCCGTTCCACGATGCCTCGGAGAGGTTGTTGAGCAGGGGCCGGCCGGCCTCGCCGAGGAAGATGGTGAACTTGCCCGCGCATGAATTGGTGTCTAAGGACTCGAGGGTTTGCACAGCGGGGAGGGATTTGCTGAGGGTTTTCGTGGTGATGGTTTCTCGTAGGGTTTGGATCCAGGTATCCGGCGGCGGTGCTACTGTGCTAGTAACAATAACCACGCCGTTTTCTGCTAGCAGATCGGACGATGATGGGCCCGAGGCCAGGACAGAGGCCAAGATGCTGCTGAGCGAGTACTGTCCCTCTTGGCCGGGGGCATCATAATCCCTCAATTCCAGCTCAACACCCTTAAACCCAGCCTGTTTGAGTGTGCTCTCCCACCCAGATGTGTCCAGCGAGGCACTCTTCTGCCGCTCGGGCTCTTCACCCAGCCACCAACCGGGTAGGAGTCCATAAACAAACTGCACGTCTACCTGGTCTTGCGTCATCTCCATCATGACAAGGGAACCGCCGGGTTTGAGGAGTTTCCGGACATTTTCCAGGGTGTGCACTAACCCCTTGGTGGCGTGCAACACCCGCGACGCGACGACAATATCGTAGCTTTCCGGCTGGAACCCCTGTGCCGCGGGGTCTTGCTCGATGTCTAGCCTCCCAAACTCCATATCGACCTGAGAGGCAAACTCGTCTCTAGCCGCTTCGAAAAAGCCGGATGATACGTCTGTGAAATGCCAGCTGCCCCCGAACGGTTCACTCTCTGACCCCAGGGCCTTCAGGACATGGCGGGTAGCACCGCCTGCGCCGGCCCCAACCTCGAGCACACGCGCACGCGGGTACTTGTGTACGACCCCTTTGACCAACGCAGCCAACTGCTCGAAACCGGGTGCGAAGCGCACCGCGTTGGCTTCGTAGTTGAATAGCATCTTGTCTGCCATCATCACCTCCAGCGGGGCCTGCTCACCCCGCAGGATGGGACCCAACAAAGGGCCGAGCCGGCAGATCAGTTGGCCGTCGGGGGATTTGGACTCGGCAAAGGCGATTGTGCGTTCGCGGTCCAGAGGGGAGTCGGACGTCCATTTATCGCTGTTGGGACCCAGACTGCCTGATGCGGCCAGCTCGAGGGTGGATTTCATCCAGGTGAGGTACTTGACGTGATGCGGTTGAAGGTTCGTGATATCCTGCTCGGTCAGGGACTGTACCGCCTCCTGGCAGAAGTAGACACACAACCGCCGGAGGGCAGTCAAGATGTTTTTGTCTTTCGGTTTGAGGTCGCGTGGGGGGGCGAGCAATCCCTTGACTGCTGTTTGGGATTCAGGGGAGAGAGTGGTTGAGAGGAGGAGGTCCGGGGCCCAGTAAACTTTGGAGTACATATCCTTAGCCCATTGCGGTTGTTGTTCCGCATCAAAACTGCGCCCAAGAGATTGGCAAACCAGACCTTCCACCTCCAGCACAGGGGTCGAATCCGAGTCGGGATCAACAACAGTCACATCCGCCTGGAAACTCTTAGCATCCAGATGGTCCATTGTCGTGTGACAAGCGAACCCATGGCCCGGTGTATTCACCACAGCACCCGAAACCCAGAGTCCCCGAATCGACACGGGCACTCTAGCCCCTTCTTCGTGAACACCTCCGCCGGGTAAGGCCGCGTAGGACGCGATAACCACCGAGTCGAGGGTTGTTGGATGCAGCAGGTGTGTGCTCACGGGGGCATCGGTGTCACATGAGGCTACCTCGATGGTGGTGACGCATTTTCGGACCGCAGCCTTGGGGTTGCTGCCGTCTTGGATAATGCTGGCTGTGTTGCGGAAGAGAGGGCCGTGGTTCATGCCGTGTTTGCGCAGGGAGGACCACATATCCTCGGGGTCGATGCGGCGGGTGTAGCCGGAGTCTTCCAAGGGGTTTGGTACCGATTTCTTCTCTGAGGGAGATGAGTCGATTGTGATGAGACCCTTGGCGTGCTGTGTCCAGTGGCTGTCTTGGGTGACAGACAAAATCTCCCACTCTCTCCAGCCGCGCGCGCCGATGGTCTTGTCGCTGACTGTTCGGAGGACAGTCTGGATCTCGATCCCATCGGCGTTGTCTGGCACGACCAACGCGGCATGGATCTCGATATCCCGGAGTTTATACCCAGATACTGACTCGGCACCACCACTCAGCTGTTTCATAGCCTCAATAGCCAAACAAATGTACCCCGCGCCGGGATACAAGATATTCCCCTGAACAACATGATCCCTCAACCACGGACTCTCCCCCACACGCACCCTCTGCCTCCAAGTCGCCGCCTCAGGATTGGCCCCCGGCACTGGCGACCCAAGCAAATGGTGCGGCGGCTGATCCCGTTCGCGATAGGCCTGGTTGACGCGAGCCTCAGCCCAATGCCGGTTGGCGTGGTTCCAGGGGTACGACGGCAGGTCGGTCAGCACCCGCGACTTTTGTTTCTGTCCCTCTGAGATGGGCGTGAGAGCGGACAGATCCACCGGGTAGCCCTTGCGGATGAGCGTGAGCGCCATGGTAAGCATGCATTCGCGGGCGTCTAGGTGGCGAGTGAGACAACCTAGATAGGGGAGGTCTAGCCCTTCGAACGCGGGCAGGGCGGAGATTTCCTTGATCGGTCCGCCGAGGGCAGTGTGGGGGCCGACTTCGAGGATGATATCCACGTTGGCGTTGCCTTCAGCAGGGTCGCCGACGACCATATCAGTAAACGCCCTGACAAACTCCACAGGCTGCAACAAACTGCCGACCCAATGCTCCGGGTCCGCGAGCTGTTTCGCCTCAGTAACCCTCCCACCCGTAACCGGCGAAGAAAACATCACATCAAGCTTCTCTTTGGGTTGGTCTCCCTTCTGTGTGGCGAGAGCACCAAGCAAAGCCTTCCGATACGGCCCCGCAATCGGCTCCATATGATGCGAATGATACCCTGTATCAACCTTCAACCGTCTCGCAAACACCCCCTCCTCCCCAGCCATCTCCAGCACCTTCACCACAGCGGTCTCATCCCCTGCCACAGTCACACTCCCAGGGCTATTCACACACGCCACCACCGCTTTTCCGTCCGTTCCCTCGGCCAATCTTGCTAGGTATGCAGTCGCGGCAGTCTCCCCCACCCCGATGGCTGCCATAGCACCCTTGGGACCAGAGCGGGGGGTCAAGGCTGCTGAGGAAGAGCGGTAGTAGGCACACGCCATTGCTTCGCGGAGGGATAGGCCACCGGCTGCGTAGGCTGCGGCGATTTCACCCGAGGAATGGCTTGTTACGGCTGTGGGGGTGATTCCCCAGGTGCGCAACAACCTGACAAGCGCAATCTGCACGGCGACACAGATGGAGATACTCAGGGCTGTTTGGTTGACGCGCGTGCTCGCTGCGTCGCGGAGGAGTTCTTCGGTGAGAGACCAGTCCGCGCCGAAGGAGGTTAGGTATCCCTCTGCTTCGGTGAGTGTTGCTTTGAACACGGGGTATGACGAGATAAGTTCCCGGCCCATGGCGTACCATTGGGCACCTTGACCTGTGAACACCATGCCGATGCGGGGAGTGGAGGAAGGGAGGCGGGTGGGTTTGAATTGGGGGGCGGATTCCAGGGCTGTGATTACCCCTGACAGGTCACCTGCAGGCGAGGGAGGAACGACGTGGGCGGAGACCCAGCCGGTGGGGAAACGTGTGCGGTGCTGGAGGAGGGTGTGGCTTAGGTCGCTCAGGAGGCAGGGACTGGGGTTGGTGTGGTTTTGGAGGTAGGACGCAGTGTCGGCGAGGAGGCGTTTGCAGGCTTGTTCGTCGCGGCCGTGGAAGATGAGAACTGAGGGTTGGCTGTTCTCGGTCTTGGTCTCGGACTGATCGTTCGTGAGAAAATGACCGTTAGTCTCGGCATGGCCATTGATACCATTGGTACCATTGGTTTGAGCATGGCCGTTGGTAAGAAGATGACCATTCGTCAACGAGTGACCATTGGTCAGTGTCGAAAGAGAGGAGACACCCTCCAGAATAACATGGCTATTACTCCCGCCATAGCCAAAGTTATTCACCGAAGCCCGCCACGCCTCGCCGGGAGCAGCTGGCCACGGCTCCAACTCGGTAGCCACCTTCAGATTCCACTCGTCGAGTCGCAGCTTCGGGTTGGGCGTCTCAAAGTTGACCGTCGGCGGGAGCTGGCCTTTTTCGAGGGCCAATACCACCTTGATGACGGATGCCAGACCGGAAGCGGCCTCCGTGTGACCGATGTTGGTCTTGACTGAACCGACGCGTAGGGGGGCCTTGCGAGGTGGTCCTCCGGGCCCGAAGACGGCTGCGATAGCGCGTGCTTCGATCGGGTCGCCGGTGGGTGTACCTGTGCCGTGGAGTTCGCTGTTCTAGGTTAGTTTCTCTCTCTCTGTCTGATCCATGTGCGTTGAAATTCGAGTCCCAAGCATCTCAAAAAAAGAACAAAAAAAAACAGAAACTCACAAATACTGTGTATCACTCGGACTCAACCCAGCCCGTCGATAACACTCCCTCATCAACTCCACTTGCGCCTCCTCCGACGGTGTCGTAATAGTCTCCGTCTTCCCATCTTGATTCAGCGCCGTCTCCCGAATAACCGCCCTAACCGGATCCCCCGCGGCCAACGCGTCCCTCAACCTTTTCACCACAATCGTCCCCACGCCCTCACCACGACCATATCCATTCGCCCTGGCGTCCAACGCATACGACTTCCCATCAGGCGACAACATCCCCAACGACGTCAACGTCTTGAACTGATCCGGCGCCAACATCACATTCACTCCACTCACAACCGCCATATCCGCCTCGCCCGCCCGCAACCCCAGCACCGCCTGATGCAGCGCCACCAACGCACCGGAGCACCCTGTATCCAGCGTGAAACTCGCACCGCGCAAGTCAAAAAAATGCGAGATCCGGTTCGCCGACATGGCTACCAGCGTGCCGATGGGCTCGAATCGGGGGAGGTTATCCCCATCCCGCACAATCCCCTCATGGTAATCGTGCATGAAAACAGCCGAGTAAACCGACGTGTTCGACCCCGCCACGGCACTCATCGGCATCCCGGCATTTTCGAGGGCCTCATACGCCGATTCCAGCTGCAGACGGTACTGCGGATCCACAGCGGCCGCGGCCTCACCAGAAAACTGAAAGAAATTTGCGTCAAAGAGGGCCGGGTCTTCGGTCATGAAGTGAGCTCCCTTGACGCTGGTGGTGCCGAGCTTTTGGGAGTCGGGGTGATAAGCGCCTGCGGCGTGGAAGCGGGAGGCAGGGAAGGGTGTCCAGGCATTGCGGCCGTGCGTCATGAGGTCCCAGAGACCGGAAGGGGAGGAGGCTTCGCCGGCGAATTTGCAGCTCAGGCCGACGATGGCGATGGGTTCGGTCGCATAGTCTAGGCTGCTGGTGCTGCTGCCGGTGTGGCTGCCGGTGCCGCTGTCGGTGCTGCTGTTGTCGATGCTACCCATGGTGTCTGTTTGGAGAGTGCTGAACTAGATGTTGAACTAGATCTTGAACGAGTGAACGGACAGGAGGACGCTGCTACAGTGCTGGACGATGAGGTAGTCTGGTAGCTTGGAGAAGGTTCTGTAGACCCAAATGAAAGAGAGACTTTGTCACAGACTTTGTCACAAGCATGTCACAGGCATGCCGTGCCTCTTTGAGTTAACAATCTTTAGACTTCTCCTCGGCTGGATCGCAATGTATCATGTCACTTACTTCCTTTCTGAGTGTAAAGCCTAACTCGGGAGAACCAGTCTTACGACAAACCCTCCGTCCTTCTCGGCCCTGCAATGCAATGCACCCTCACGCCCGATAACGACGCCGGAACCATGGCGCATCCACTCGCCTCCGGGCCGGGTCCGCTCCGCTCCGGATTCCGCATGGCCTGCCGGGCCGGACATACTGCGCGATCCGCGACGCGTGCAGGGTTCTAGAAATTCCAAAAAAACTCAAAAAAGCAAAAACTCCTGTGAAATGCTCCGGATGGCACCCGGCGCTGCACTCCGGTTGCTCCTGCTCAAAACTCCTGAAATACTCCGTCGGGTAATTACATGTAACAGAACGCTAGACTGTTTTCAGACTGTCTTTGTTGTTTGTGGGGCGAGAGCTGAGCTTCAGTCGCGCATTCCGCCATACGTCAGCCACCGGGGTTAAGGGATATTCTCCACTTTTCACACTGTTACAGGGAGTAATTACACCGCTGTGGATTCTCTTGCGGTATTCGCTCTTTCCTCCTTTATTTCTCCGGCATTGCCTCGATTACAACATCGCATTCCTCACATGCCCAGAACCTTGCAAGAGTCACCTCACAGTTGACCATCCAAGAATAGGACGGATTCCCCGGGATATTACTGCATGGCGCACGCGGTAGCGCAACATTCTCCAGAATGGGCATGAGAATGGGGCATCCACGATTCCCCATAGAGTGCTGACCAGAGGGGTAGAGAGGACCACGCCCAGGACATATATGCCACTTGCTCTCCACGTTCCGGTGCTGGCGCAATGGCAATGTTACCTCCATATCCCTAGCCAAAGCCCTGAAAATAACAAATAATTCAACATACAAACTGCCCACGCTAGTCCAAAATGGGATCAATCGCAGAGCCCCGGCCTCTCTCCCATGTCTGCATCATCGGCGGCGGCCCAGTCGGCCTGATCTCCAGTCTCCTCTTCCGCCGTCACGGTCTCCAAGTAACCGTGTTGGAGAAGAACCCCAAACGCGAAGAGGTAGGCCCCCTTTCAACGCCTTCGACGCCTTCAACGCCTTCAACGCCTTCAACCCGTCAACAACCCCAAAACCTAAACACATGATCTCAGCATCACAGCATGTAATCATACTAACCGAGTCCAGGTCGGCGCCGGCATCCAACTCCACCCCAACGCCCTCCGCGTCCTCCAATCCGTCAACCTCTTCCCCCGCATCCTCAAAACAGCCATCACCCCCCCGCACCTCCTCCTCAAATCCTACAAATCCGGCGAAACCCTCTGGGACCAGGATTTCATCGCCGATACCAAGCGTTACGGCGCGCCACTCATCGCTTTGCAGCGGACTTCGCTGCAGGCGTGTCTCTATGAGGAGGCGTTGGCCCAGGGTGTGGTGATTCGCCATGGGGTTGAGGTGAAGCCGGGGGATGTGGATTTGGAGAATGGGGTTCTTCGGTTATCCGGGGAAGTGCTGCAGGCGGATCTGTATGTTGGTGCTGATGGCGGCCGGTCAGCGGTGCGCGAGGCGCTGATCGGTCGTGGCCCACCGCAGCCGATCCCGCATGGGCGGGTGGTGATGCGGATTCTGATCACCGAAAAGGAGATGTTGGCGCGGCCGAGCCTCCGGCATTACGCTGAAGATGGAAACATGGTTGTTTGGCTGGGGCCGGACTGCCAGGTGGTGACGTATCTGTTGGATGGGATTTTCAACGTGGCGTTTACGTGGCCGTGGTCGAAGGACAAGGCGGATGTGTTTGTGAAGCCACAGCCGGTGGATATTGATGCGTTCCGTAAGGGGTTGGTTGGGTGGCATCCGGATTTGTTGGAGATGCTGAGCCTGACGTCGGGGGTGTTGCAGTGGATGATGTTTGAGCCGACTATTGATGGAGAGGAGGTGCCGTGGGTGGATGAGGGCTCCAAGTTTGTGCTGGCTGGTGACTCGGCGCATCAGTCGCTGCCGTATCTGTAAGTTTGTTTCCTGCATCCGGGCTATTACACGGCGGCAGCGTAACGAGAGTAAGGACACTCACTAACCCTCCTAAACAGTGGCCAAGGTCTAGCAATGGGCTACGAATCCGCCGCCCTCCTCGCGGCCCTCGTTAGCAAAGCCACCGCCCCCACCCAAGTCCGCGATGCCCTCGCCATCTACGAGCGCAAACGCAAAGAGCGTACATCCCTCATGATCCGCGCGACGCTGCGCCAGGGCCGATTCACTCAAATGGCTGACGGCCCATTGCAAGAGGCCCGCGACCGTGAGCTGCGCGAGTCCGCGGGCTTTCCTACCGCGGGCTGTCCGAATATGATGAGTGATCCGTTTTTTCAGCGGTGGATGTGGGGGTTTGATGCGGAGAAGGAGGCGGATGAGGCGTGGGAGGAGTATAAGAGGGGCTGTGAGAGGGTGCCGGAGGGGTTTGTGCTGGTTCCTAGGTCGCGGGGGGTGTGATCTTTGTCTAATTTTGCTAAGATGTTGATTATTCTTTCTGGGTTACGTACGACCTGGTCTGTTTGAATACATTTTGAGTTGGCCAAATAGCGACCGAGCCATGTCTGTCTCTGTTTCTGTGACCACGCAGGCGCAACGCTCTGGATCAACACTCTGTCGGGGTCTTAATTATATTCTTCCGTATGGGAATCGAGAGGCAGGGTGTGTTCGACAAGGACTAGAAGAACACGACAAAGAGTCGTCCCAGGGCGTTTGGCCTGTTCCAAGTTTTAGACTCTTGCCCGCCAAAAATAGCAGCCAACTTGGGTCCCACCTCTCACAATTGTGATTAAGCCTTGAGAGAAGAGCCAGGTTGCATGACCACAGCTGATTCAATGATTCTTACTTTGTTTTGTCTAGAATCACTACGTGTAGGGGGAGCTGTTATTATGGACTTTATTGTTGGTCTACTGTTGATTTGAATAAAAGAAGGTCGATCAAGACACAGCTCTTATGCACCATCTTATGCTGTTCAGATTGCAACATCTTGAGGTGCCTAGATTACACTGTTCGACACCACCAGGACATGTGCCACCCGCAGAACATGCTTTCGGGAGCTAAATTTAGGTCCACTTCTTAATCAATCTTTACAGAGGGAGAGGCTCGGGATGCTCCCAATTGCTTCTGGATTTGTGCGCCGGAAAAGAGAACCAAATGCGAGAAATGGTACCTATGTTTCTAAACGGAGATTGCAAGGAATGCATGCAAGCTTGGGTTCATGCATGATTTTACAGTCAACCCTTAGGACCTAAAACCGTAACGAGAACAAATGTAGTTGATGGACTCAGAGTTCAATTGGTCTGGTGCGCCTGCGCCCAGTTGCTCTCTAGGAGTCCCTTCTCTATCCACTGTCCTGGAAAGGAAAAAGACAATCGCTAACTCCATATATTCCCTAACACGCTACCTTATGCAGGAAGTCCCTCAAAGGAAAATGGCACCGACGCCAGCCCCAGCTACCCCAGCAACAAGCAGTCCAACGTCAAGACTCATGAGTACGCTGGCACCGGAGGTGCCGGAGTGGCTGCTGGTGTTAGCACCGCCGCCGTGGGCACCGCCAGCACCGCTGCTATGGGCACCGCCGGCACCGCCAGCACCACCCCCGCGCCTCTTGTCCAGGTCTCGGTTGTGACCATCTCCGGGGATAGTGTTGTTCGGCTGGTGATGCCCGTTGTGACGCGCAACAACGTCGGCAATGTCACGGGTGTTGGCATTCGGCAGTTTGGCCGCGGTTGCTGCGATGGCAAGGAGGGAGAGGACGGCGGTGTGCTTCATTTTGATCGTTTTCTACTCTAGTGTTTCTGGTTGCTGGTGTGGTGGTGTGGTGGTGTGCTGTCCTCAGTACTGGGTAGGGATTGAATGTGGTTTGGAGTTGTGAGTGAGTTTATTCAACAGAGGCGTCAAGGCACGGCCGATTTATAGTTAAGGTAAGGTAGGTACTTTTCGTTTTTCAACCATCCCGAGCTTGATCATACGGACTATGAAGCGAGCATTAGTGCCTTGAAACAACCGGCCAATGAGCAGGCAACAGCGACGCTCGCGGCGGCTCGCATTGGTGATTGGGGTACAATCTGTGTTTTCTAAGTGGTTTCATTATTGATAATACCCTCTCGGATTCCCAAGCAGCCCTGCCCTAGGGGCTGGCCGTTTTCGGTAATGCTTAGTGCCGGCCCGGCCGCCCGGGTCAGGCCGGAGAACACCGCGTTAATTAACACCAGGCCGGTTTGGAGATCCCGGCCGCCCACCTATATAATAATCAGCGCTACAGGTCCCTTACCATTGCGAAAATTGTTTTTAAATACCTGTTACGTCACCATGCTGTGTATTCCCTATCGAAGGTGTGTGCGACCCTCGCCTCCGTTTTGGAGCTCGCTGAAACGCCGGCCGGAGAAGCTCAGGTCCGAGGTATGGGGCCGGATGTTCCGATCAGACCCACCCGTTCCTCGGCCCTGCACTGAAGCAACACTGGTCTTCACCACCCAAAAGACAAGCTTATGATCGCCGGATCAGTACCTACCTACTAACATGATTCAATGCTTAACGAATTCATTGGCGTTTGTTCGCTGCGTTGGCATCCGAAGCAAATAATTAGGTAATTAAGCAGCCCTGCAAACATATCCCGTGGAACCGCCTGACAAAGCATTTTTTGGAATTCTGTCAACAAACAGCTCTTCTCGAAATGGATAATCCCATCCGTTGCGTCTATTTTATTTCAGCCTTTACTTGAAACTACTTCTAGCAGAGACCAGATCCGCGATCTTTGCAATGGATACTCGCCCCATAATGTCAAAAACAGCCACGTTGGCGCCAAACTCCTTTGCAAACCAGTTGCGCAACTCCACGGCCATGAGCGAGTCTACGCCGTAAGCCGACAGCGGCTTGCTCGGCTCGACATCCTCGGGCGCGATGGACATAGCCCGAGCAAGCTTCTTCGCCAAGGCTCGCCGCACGACCTGCGCGCGCTCGCGTGAACCCACCGCCGCCTCGCGGAAGAGCGCGCTGTCATTGACCACAACAGAAGCAGCGCCAGAAGAAGAAGGTTGTTGGCCTGTTCTTGTTGTTTTCGCTGCTGCTGGGTCATACGAGAAGGCGGCGAAGAGGGGCCGCCCTAGCAAAGCTGGCACGGCACGGCCCCTGGCGACGAGGTCTGCGGGTGTCCGCAGCCCGAAAAGCACCTGCTCCGGCTGGCCGTGAGCAGGCGCGGGGAGCGGGCTGGTCGGGTCGAGGCACAAAGTCAACAGGCCCAGGAGCTCGCTGGCGTCGATGGGTTGCATGTCGTCGGCCCGCTGGCGCTGGCGCTGATACGCTTCCGTCTCGGCGATGATGCCGATGTTCTTCATCCAGCCGATGTCCAGGGAGAGCGCTCGCTGGCCGCGCGCGAGCCGGTGGCGCGCCAGGGCGTCCTGGAACGAGCAGCCCGCGGCGTAGTTGGCGCTGGCCATCTGCCCGACCACGCCGGCGAGGGAGGATAGGAGAAGGAAGAAGTCGAGGTTCTGCGGGAGGAGACGGTGGAGGTTGTACGAGGTCTGCACTTTGGTGCGCACGCCCAGGTCCCACTGCGCGTACGTCATGCTGTCCTGGAAGATGGCGTCCTGGAGCACCATGGCAGCGTTGATGCAGCCCTTGATGGGGGGCATGTCGCTGCGCGCACATTGTTCCAGCACGCCGGCCAGGCTCGATTCCGAGGCTACGTCGCACTGGGCCGCCAACACGTTGACATGGCGAGCTCTCAGTTCGGCCACCAGTTCCTGGGCCGCATCGGATGTCCCTCCCGACCTGGATGCCATGACGATGTGCTTGGCCCCGCGGTCGGCCATCCATCGGATGATCTCCCTGCTCAGACCGCCAGACCCTCCGGCGATGAAATACGATGCCTTTTCGTCGAATGTCCAGTGCCGCTCTTGTTTTTCAAGATACTTCTCGGAGGGAGGACCAGATTGATTAGTATGGAACGCCCTTCGTTCTGCTGACGTTCTGCCGAGGGGCAAAAAACTCACCGAAATCACGTCCTGGTCTCTCGCGCGGACGACAACAGGTCCACTTGCTGCTTCTGCAGCCCCGCTGCTGCCCTGGATGGGCCTGAGAGCTTCGTTGATGCGCGATACATCAACGACGTGCCCCGGCTGGAGCGGCTGAATGCTGCCCTCGCCCAGCAGCTGCACCATCGTCTTGGTCAGCCTGCCAACAACCTCCCCGTGTAAGTCTCCTCTTCCTAGCTGAACAGCCGAGAAGGATATGTTTTTAGCAAACACAGACATGGGGAGCGCGGTACCCGCCGCAATGTTGCCACGGTTGCCCACCTCGACGAAGCGGCCACCCGGGGCGAGGCACTCGCACGAAGCCAGCAGCGCGTCCTCGCCGAGAAGCGCGCAGTTGAAGACGACACTAACGCCTGCTCCCTGTGTCAGGCGCATGACGCCACGCGCAAACGCTGCCGCCGGACGGCGGGGGAAGATGTGCTCGGGTTGGATGCCCAGCTTCTTGGCCAGGAGCAGCTTCTTTTCATCGGGCGACGAGAAGGTGGCAAAGATGCGGTCGACGCCGTGCCTCTTTGCTATTTGGACCGCCATCTGGGCTACCCCCTCGCCCTCGGCTGCTGCGTGGTGGATTAGAATGCTCATGCCTGGCTGGAGGTGTGCGACGTTGACGAGGGCGTGGTAGGCAGTGAGCCCGGGTACCAGCGACGCAGTAGCGGCCTCGAAGGAGGCCTTGTCGCGTGGCGGCACCCTGGCCACGGCCGTGTGATGTGCGCGCAGGTACTTGGACATATGGAAGGATCCCAGTGGCAGAACCACGCAGACGTGATCACCCGGCTGGAGCAGGGACGACGGGCTACAGTTGCTACCCACCCGTGTGATGATTCCGGCGCAGCTGGTGGTGGTAGGGCCGGAGCCCGACACCTGCTCGTCACCTTGACCTAGACTCCACGCCTTGGCTTCGATCTCGACCTCGTCTGGTGCGATGTCACTGTTGGAGCTGTGTGACAGGTCCTGGACGAACGAGAGGTGACCGACTCCAGGGGCATCATTACCGGCATTGTCAGGGCTGCGTGCCGAAAGCTGCATGGCCGAGGTGTCTGCCCAGGCAACCTTGCGTGGTTGTGGCTGTAGGAGGGACTGCAGGGCCTGATTTCCGTCCACGTTCTCGACTGCCCGGCCTGTCATCAATACGCCGTTGCGCAGGACATACTCAACTTCTTTGGATGATGATGGCCTTCCCGAGAGTGAGGGTGCAAACGAGACTTGGAACGTCTTAGCAATGATGTCTGCATGAGCCGTAGAATCGCTGCCGCTGCCATCCTCAATCTCAATGGTCAGATTCACGAAGCGGATCCGCTCTTGCTCCTGTTCTGCTCGGACGGAGCGCAGGAAGCCCTGGGCGGCGCTGTAATGTGCCGCCAGAGGATCATCTCTCGAGGTCGGCGCTGTGACCCACAACAGCCTCGGGGAGTGTTTGACCAGCAGCTGCAGGGATGCGTAATGACGGTCGGAGAGACCGGCCAGGAGCGGTCTGCCGCAAACCTCGGCAATACAGATGACTGCGTCGTCCTCGGTCAGACCAACCAGGGCATCGGAAAGCTCGTCGGCAGCAATGGAGGAGATGGTCGGCTTCGGCTGTTGCTGTTGCTTCGAGTCAGGGCCAGGCCGGCCAACCAGGCTGCCTACTGCACTGGCTACCTGCAATTGCTGGTCTGATGCTCCTTCATCGACAACGATCACAATGCGGGGGCTGCGGTCTTGCTCAGGCTTAGGCTCAAGCTCAGGCGGTGGTGGTGGTGGTGCAGCAGCAGCCGCTGCTGCTGACAGATCAGTAGTAGTGGACACAGCTGTGGACACAAGGACGCTCATGATATGGCACTCTTCGCTCCTATAGTCTCGCAGCAGGACATCGTTTCCGGAAAACCCGTTGGCCCGGAGCAGTTTGTCCCACATCGGCTCGCTGACAGCTGCCGAGTGGGGGCGCCACTCCTCGCGAGCAACCCACCAGCCGGGCACAAGCCCCGCCATAAAGTTGGTAGCGATGTCGGCCGGGTTGACGACCTCGACCAAGACGAGGCGGCCGCCCGGCTTCAGCGTGGCGCGCACATTGCGGAGCGTGTCCTCGATATACGGCGTCGCGTGCAGCACGCTGGCGGCAATGACCATGTCGTACGAGCCCGCCTCGAAGCCCTGGCTTTCCACGGACCGGCCGAGATCGAGCGTCTTGAAAGTCATGCGGCCATGCTCCACCAGATCCGGCCAGCGACTGCGTGCTCGCTCAAAGAAGACGGGCGAGATGTCTGTGTACATGTACTGGGCGAAGCTGGGTGCGCCTGTCCGGACCTCGCGCGCCTGCAAAGCCTTCAGGACATGGCCCGTCATGCCGCCTGTGCCGGCCCCGACTTCGAGGATGCGCATGGCCGGGTTCTCATGGGATGCGAGGTCCAGGAAGTTGGTAAGCCGGCCATCGGCGCAGAGGTTGAGAAACAGGTCGGCGTAAAAGGCCTGGGCCAAGTCGGACTCGAACACGACCTGCAGCGGGTCCACGTCTCCCGCCAGGATGCTCCCGAGCTGCCGCGCGCAGGCCGTGTATAGCCTCCATGCGGGGAGCGCCGCGTCCACCTCGAGCAGGCGCGCCTCGAGGTCGGCGTCGGTGATGGTTTTGCCTTCCTGTCGGCGCGCCGGGGTCAGCGTGGTAGTGTGGTGCTCCATCCAGTCGACGTGTCGTGCCAAGTGGTTGGCTGGGATCTTGGAACGATCGATCCGCTGCAAGGTGCGCACCGCCACGAGGTCCAGCGCCGCGCACAGTTTGGCGTGGTTGGCCACCACGGTGGTCTCGTCGCGCGGCTGAACATTGGCGCTGCAGATACGGGCCAGCTGCTGCGGCTCGAGAAGGCTGAGCTGCGGCTTCCACTCGATTCCGTACAGGAGCTTCTTCTTATTGTTACTGTTCTTGATCTCTGCTGAACTTTCTGCTGCATTCTTGGACACGGCCGCCGTCACGGCCTTGGTCACGGCCTTTCCGATCGCGCAAAGGACCGTTCCGTCTGTTGCCAGGGCGTACAGCGTGCCTTGCTCGCCAGCATTGGTCTTGGTACTCCCGTTGCTAGTAGCCAACCACCTCACCGGAGTCACCGCCGAGGCGCCGCTGTTGTTGGGGCGTTTTTGTTGTTGCCATCCCGCGGCAGCAAACCACGCCTTCTCCAGACGCACAGGAACGTTGGCGGCGGCTTGCTGCCCGGCGCTGGCACGCAGCACATGGAAGGCAGTGTCGAGCAGGGCCGGGTGGACCAGGCTGCCGGTCTGGTACCGCTCTCGGGACACGTCCAGGTGCGCCACAGCCGTCTTGTCGCCGTCCCAGCGGATGTCGCGGAGCAGTTGGAACCAGTCTCCGTACTGAAGTCCCTGTTCGGCCGCGTCGTGGTAGAAGACTTGCGAGTCCACCGGCAGCTTGCACCCTGTCTCAGCTCGTGTCATGAGCTCGCGCACGCCTTCATCATCAGCCATCTGTTTGTCTCCGTCTGTATACTCGACGGTTACCCTGCCGTGGAAACATTCGGACCACTGCCCGATGCTGCTGCTGCTACTGTTGCTGCTACTGCTGCTGCCGCTGCTGCCGCTCCGGGCATACGAGAAGATGGCAACATCAAAGCTGTGCTGCTGCTGCTGCTCTTCTTTTCCTGCCGCCAAGGGTTGTAGGTGCACCTGCGTCTCGGTCCGCTCTTCCCATGTGTTGGGTACGAGAATTGGGTGGAGGAAGTCAGCGCGCTCGAACTGGTAGCCCAAGACGGTGCGGTCGTCGACATCTGCCAGTTGCTGCTGCACTGCCTCGATAGCCATCATGAGCATGCCAGCGGCTGGGTAGAGCACGGTGTCGCTGATCTATATAATTTTATCCAGCCAGCCAGTCAGTCAACCAGTCAGTTCTGCAGCCAACTGCGGAAACATACCTTGTGATGCCCTATCCATGGCGTGGACTCGACACTGAGAAAGTTCCTCCATCTCGGTGCCAAAGGGTTCCAGTCCGATACCCGCACTCCGAGACAGTCGCCGCCCTGGACGGCCCCACGCAGCCTAAAATCCCGGCTGAGGCGTGACTCGGCCCAGTAGCGATGGGAATGGTCAAACGGGTAGGAGGGACAGTCGAGCAGCAGAGGAGGCTCAGGAAGCTTCGATTCCTCTTCTTCCTCCGCGTGCTCTTCTTCTTTTCCGCCGCGGTTGACCGCCGAGACAGACACGCCGTGGCCCGAGCAGAATAGCTGCCCCATCAACTCGACGAGGGTCTCGGGAGCTGGTCGCGACCGGTGGAGCACACTTGCGTACCGGATCTGCTGCTGCTGCCGCTCTGCACTTATGCTATCCTGCACGGGACGACGCAGTGCCGGGTGTGGGCCGACCTCGATCAGATCCGTCACGTGTTCAAAAGAAGAAGAGCTGACGAGCAGACGGACTGCATTGGCGAAGCGGACGGGTGACACCATGTTGCGCACCCAATACTCGGGCTGGATCAGCTCGGCCGCCTTGGCCACCTTGCCCGTCACGGATGAGACCATGGGGATTGTTGTTGCTGCTGTTGCTGTTTCCGCCGAGGCCGCCAAGGCCGCCGCATCGCCTTCGAGGCCTTTCTTCTTCATCAGAAGCAGGTACTCGTCAGCAATGGCGAGCATCGATGGCGAGTGGTAGGCCACCCCAGTCCTCAGCTTCTGGGCAAATATGCTATCCCTGTCAGCCTGTGCCTTGACGGCATCAATCGCGGCTTCGGGGCCCGATAGGGTACAGTTAAGCGGGCTGTTGACGCAGGCCACGCACACCGACTTGATCGCGATCGCATCCGGCACGTCGAAAATCTTGGAGAGATAATCGGCCACTTGGTCTTCCGCGAGATTCACCGAGAGCATGGCGCCTGGAGTGGAGCTGGAGGCGTTGGTGTTGGTGTTGTCGTTGCTGATGCTGCTGTTTCTAAGCTTCCCGGCCAGCTGTCCCCGGAAGAAGGCGACCCTGCAGGCAGATTCCAGTGATAGAGCACCGACGGCGTAGCTAATAACCGTCAGATCCATTTCGTAACCACATGCAACAAAAGATATCCGGGACTGTTTATGGACCAAGTTCATGGCTCAGGGGCTCAGGTGCTCAGGGGCTCAGGGTCAGGGTTAGGGTTAGGGTTTCCACTCACGCGGCGGCAATCTCCCCTGAGGAGTGACCAACGACTGCCTTGGGAGTGACATCAAAGCTTTTCAGTAAGTCAACGAGTGCCACCTGCACCGCTGTCGTCAACGGCTGGCTGTACTCTGGTTTATCGATGTTTTCAGGGCTCCGTAACGCGTCTGCCGTTGTTTATGCACGGGTTAGGGTTGTTAGTTCTCAAACCAAACAAAAAGGTAGATCGCTCACCAGATACTGATGACCAGGGAGCACCCAAGCTGCGGTATACCCTGTCGACCTGCCGTAGCGTCGCATAAAAGACAGGATAACGGCACAGGTCGCTGCCCATGGTGGCATACTGCGCTCCTTGGCCGGTGAAGACGAAACCCAAGCCGACCTCGGCCGAGCTCCGAACTGGTTTGCTACTGGTCAGCTGCTGCTGCTGCTGCTGGTGGCCCTCGGTCTCTGCGCCGTCCATGGCAACGGAAAACGACCTCCACAGCATGCGGCTCCGTCGTTCGGACAACGTGTGGGCCAGTCTGGCGAGCTTGGAGTGTCCGAAGGCGACACGGCCGGTCACTCGGTCGTCTTCGTAGTAGGAGTCGTTGTAGGAGTACGACATGTAGGCCTGTGTCATGCGCTTCAGGGCCGCCTCGTCGGCGGCACTCCAGACGAGGAGCTTCGGTAGTTGTAGCACGGTCGATATCTCATCGTCGTCGTCATCGGCAGCGACGGTACGCGGGGTATGCGAGGTACGCGGACTGCTGCTAGTGCTGCTGCTGTTACCGCTGCTGCTGCTGCTGCTGCTCAGCTTCGCATCTACCGGTGTACTAGCACCATCACCACGACCACTGCCACCATCGAGATCGGAAATGGTACAATGATGATTCCCGTGTAGGCCCCTCTGCTGTAAGTAACTCATCGCATCGTCCAGGATGATATGCGAGTTGGAACCCCCGAAACCGAATGAGTTGACTGATACCCGGCGTAATCCTGAGCTTGGCCAGGGCGTGGTCTCGGTGGGAAACTTTTGTGTTTTCAAATAAATGCACGGTCAGCCAGCGTCTGATAAATCAAATAATAAAGCCCGGCGTATCAGGTTGTTTATGTAGGTGACAGCACATACCGCGAGGTGGTAAGAGTCAACATCGATATCGGGGTTGACTTTCTCGAGCAGGGCCTGCCCAGGGATAACGCCTTTCTCCAGAATCACTGCAGAAGAAGAAAAAATAGATCTGTCAGAGAAGGATTTTTGAGGCTAAAGCAGTCGGATGAGGGCGACTTACAAATAGCCTTGATGATGCTGGCCAGGGCACTGGCTCCTTCGAGATGCCCCATATTTGCTTTGATAGACCCGCTGCATAATTAGAAATGGCATTAGCTGAGGTGCCTAAGAAACAACAACTAGACATGGGAAAGGGGAACTACTAGGAAGGGGTTGTTTGTTCTGTCTGCAAAGCAAAAGAAGAAAAAGAAAAACTCACACAAAGAGGGGTTCTTCTAATGACCGACAGTTTCCAAATACCCTGCCAATGGCTCGAGTCTCAATGGGATCGCCTACTTTTGTCCCCGTTCCTAATCAAAATACGACACAACACGGCTCTTGATTAGTCACTCATGCGCAAGACGGGAAGCAGGGAAACAAGCGGACTTGAAGAGGAAAAGATTCATTGAGAAAACGGAAGGTGTCGTTGTGCATATATATATAATATATCTGCTTACCGTGGGCCTCAACATAGCGCGTCTGATCAAACGGCAGTCCCGCTCGCTGGTAGACATGGCGGATCAGCAGCTCCTGAGACTCGGCGCTGGGCTGGGTGAGCACGGGGGTGTGGCCGTCCTGGTTGGAGCCGATGGACCGGATCACGGCGCGGATCATGTCGCCGTCCCGCACCGCCGCCGTGACGGGCTTGAGCACGAGCGCGAGGAAACCTTCCCCGCGGGCGTACCCGTTGGCGCGCTCGTCGAAGCTGTAACACCGCCCGTCGGGGGACAGGAAGCCGCCGCTTGACAGAACCTGGAATACACCCGGGTCGAGGAGGAGATTGGCACCTGTGACTAGGGCCTGTTTTGGGGTTGTTAACATATATATTTTCTTATATTGGTCCAGGTTTTCCTTTTTTTTGAATTTGAGATGGAGTTGGGATTTGGATTTACCACCTACTAGCCATCACGGGCACGGAAAGAAGAAAGAAAACAGGGGCACTTACACACGAAGCATCGCCCGCCTGCAAGCTCTTGCAAGCCATGTCCACCGCGGACAGCGCGCTGGAGCAGGCGGTATTGACGTGGATACTCGGGCCGCGCAGATCAAAGTACCAGCTGACCCGGTTGGGAACGACACAGGCGACGGTGCTCCCTGTCACTGCCGTGCGCTCCGTGTTGTCTGGGTCCATGGCCGCCATTCGGGCGTAGTCCTCGAGCATCGAGGCCGAGAACACGGCGGTCTGCGACCCCTTGAGCGTCTCGGACGGCATGCCGGCTGGGGAAGAGGAGAAGATCGATGTCAGTCAAAATCTAAATCATCTCAAATTATCTTTCCCAGAAGGTCTCTCTCTCTCTTTCTCTTTCTCTCTCTCTCATTCACTCACCGTTCTCAAACGCATGATATGACGTTTCCAGCGTCCATCGTTGCATCGGGTCCATGGCAGCGGCCTCCTTGGCCGTGACAGAGAAGAAGGGGGCATCAAAGGCACCCGGGTCCTCACTGAGGAAATACCCTCCTTGGCGTTGAAAATCAGACTATATATAAAGAAGGTCAGTGTCAGTCATCATGGCCTCCTCAAGCTTCATAGAGTGGGGACTGAAGTGGGGAAGGGGGGGGGGTTACTTTGTGGTTATTGTCGTTCGAAAAGGAAGCAGCGTTGAGTCGAGACTCGGGCCAGTCGCTCCTCATATTGCGGCGCTTCTCCAGGACTTCCCAGAAGGAAGAGTCGTCGTGTATGTTCTGCGGGAGCTTGAAGGCGTACCCCACAATGGCGATGTCATCGAGCAAGGCTGCCGGCCTGGTGCGGCCGTATGTCTTAACCATTCTGAAGATGTGATTGTGTGTGGTGTAAGTGTATGTATCTATTCGATGAGATGGGATGGCAGGGCAAAGATTTGGACACGATCTGGTCTGGTGAAGCGATGTGATCTTTTCTCTCTCGAACAGTCCCGCCGAGTCACCCAAGTGATCCACCGTCTCTACTTATACTTCCCTCAGCGAGCTGTAGGAGGTGGGCAACTGGCCTCTGTCCCTCTGTCCGCCCCCAACTCTGGACTCGTGCGTGCTTATTGGCTCTTAGCTCTCTGTGGGTTCTCTGTCACTCTCTCAGCTACCTACTCCAGTCACCGTGCGTTGTCATGGTCCCATCGATTTTCTTCCGATAAGCTCTTTCCTGTGCCGCGGTCCCGGAGCGCTTCTTCGATGTGATAGGGCAAGGAGAGCAGGCTTCACCTGGTACCTGCATGTCACTGCATCAGAAAGCAGGCTTTCTGGCGATCCCGTGACTTTTCCGATGTCCTTTCCCTCTCCACAGTCTCAGACTCTTACACACTACTTGCGCGCTTGGCAATACGCCAGTAACGCGAATCCAACCCTAGATCTTTGGTTTGTGCGGGTCTCGTGCCCTACACGATGTACACGCCGAGACTTGCACTCTGAGTCGCAGACCTCGATGCTTCCGGCGGTGTCCCTACCAGGTTCCTACCAGGGGCTCGGCCCAAGATTTGGATTCACACTAACCAGGACTTGGTAGCTCCGGAATGTTTGTCATCGGCTGGCCGAGAGGTTTGCCAACATCCCAGGGGTCCGAAGACAAACCGACCACCATAAAACCCTGTAATGCACAAAGTGACCGTGACGGCGTGAATGCGGTTCTGGCCCGTGCACGAGCCCAATCAGAGCCCTCGCAAATTATACCTTCCCAACCTGTCAAAAACACCGTTAACTACACTACACTAAAGAAAAAAAGGGACAACAAACTACCATTCCGTCCCCTCCCAAATTCTGTACCACCCCACCGCCACCGCCACCACCAGCAGCAGCAGCAGCAGCATCTTAGCAAGTCGGCAAATTTTATCCAGTGCAGGATCGAAGACCGGGGATATCGGATCGCGCTGATGCGTGCACGAGCCAGGGATTCGGTTCCTCACTTGCTGCCAAGCCAGGCTGGAACGTGATTAGGTACCGAGTTTACTGTCATAATCCACTCGAAACCCGCTCGATTGCGGAGCCGAGAACGTCCCAGGGTTCCAAATTCCTTCTTCAAACTTGTTCAGAGGACCGCTTCGCACCTAGAGTTAGCGTAAGGATCAGCAAGCCAGCGGTGAGTCCGAGACCTTTCGCCGGGTTATGTAATCCTCGGAGAGGGCGCAGAAAAAAAGCCAAGCCGGCTTGCCTGCCGAGACCTAATTATATACGAATATATCCCAAACGGCCCCAAACGGCCCCCACATGGAAGAAATCTCTCACTTTGGCCCCTGACTGATGCAGCACTGGGCCTGTCGGCCGGGATCCTTGTCTTTTTCTTGACCGCCGGTACACGGACCTCTTCTCTTGTGATGGGGAAGAACTTGTGTTCTGCTCGCGACATGTAGCATGCGAAGTCTTTCTGGGATTTCTTTCCTTCTTCGGTAGCCCTTTTCTTATGGACAGGAAAACTAACAAAACTCGGTCAAAAGGATGTCAAAACACACAAACAAAACAGTTTGTTCAGCGGTAAAGCGTGATTTGATGATTCCAATCAGTATGAGTATGAATAATACATTCCGCTCCCAAGTTCCCCGCAGGTCCTGGTCCCAATCGTCCTTCTTTTTTAGTCTGTTGCTTCGCCGTGACTCCGGATAAGAAAAACGGACCAAAGCAAGCTTAAAATCGCATCATCCTCCGCCATTGCCGGGTCGTTGCCGGGTCATTGCCGAGCCAAGAAAAAATTAAAAAAAAAATTCATAAAAACACACACACAAAATACACCGACGTGGATCACCAGGGGGTGTGGTTTCAGTTTTTCCCTGGCCCTTGCCTACCCCCCCCCCCCCCCCCCCCCCCCCCTCCTCTCCCCCACATCCTGCGAACCAAGATCTTCCTCCCTTTCTTTCGGGCCCAGATCCCAGCTAGTCGATGAGAAGGATGACTCGGGAACGGCAAACATGACGTGGAAGCGGGTTTCGTCCATGAATTACTTCATGTCACCCACGGGGCCCGCTGTTTCTTAGTGTACAAGTGCGAGCCGTCGTTGCTGTCCGCTTCGCTCGTCGACCGGAAGCCCTCGGAAACGGTGAACTGGGTGGTACGGGTGATGACGGCGCCGCTCGTGATCTTGTTGTTGTGGTGGTTATCGCGCAGGTGCTCGGTCGAGTCGGACGACTTGAGGTCGTCCATGCCCACGCTCTCCTCATCCAGCTTGTAGTACGAGTCGCCACCCCCCGTCATGGTGCTGTTGGCATCAGTGGCCGCGGGCCGGCTGCGGTTCCGCCCGCTCGCGCCGCTGGAGTCGCCGTTTGGCATGCCCGAGCCGGCGGTGGGCCCGGTGGGCATGCCAAGCGCCCTCCTAACTTTTCGCAAAACCCCTGTCTGCTGCAGGATCTTGGGTATGCAGGGCACGCACACGATGAAGAAACCGCAGGCCATCTCGGCCGTCGCCCAGAATACCAGGGGGCCGAGGGCGAACATGGCATCTTTGGCTTCACCGTACGCGATGGTCGTGGCCAGCCGGAAGGCAGCTGAGACACAGGCACTAGAATCCCAAGGGTGGGGTGTGGTTAGCTGAAAGCTTTTAAAAAAAAAAACTGGGGGAAAATGAAGGGGAAAGAAGCGGGGAAAACAGAAACTGAAAGAGTCTCTTGGACAAGAAGAATAACTTACAGAAGACCAAGCCCGAAAATAACCGACACACCCAGCCTCTTCTGCCATGACATCTTGAGCGTCCAGATCACACGCTGCGGTAGCAGGAAGATGCAAATGTCTGAGGCAAGCTGGATACTGGCCGAGGCCACCTGGAGGTTGTACAGCTTGAAGCACTGGGCGTCGGTTATGGTGAAGTCCCAGATGGCCTCGTGCGGGATGCACTGGAGGTTCAGGGCGACGGCGGTGGCGATGCCAGCGGTGATCTGCACGAAGCCGATAATCACGCACCCCCACCAGAAGGCGTTCTTGGTGAGGGAGCCGTGCGGGACGAACATGCGGCACCAGTCTACCAGGATGGACACCTTGAGCAGCGGGAGCACGAACGAGTAGCAGACGCCGAAAACAAAGATGTGCTGTTGTTGAAGGCGGTCAGTTCTCCGGTCACTCTTCCTGCTCTCCTCTTTTCTGTTTCTCTTCTCCCTTCCCTCCCAGGCTGCCACTTACATAACTAGTAGGAATGAGATCGCGCAGCCGGATGTCCCATTGATGTACGAAATAGCCCGGCGTCTTGACCATGGTAAACGTGGAGTTTATTGCGCCGCAAAAGCAGCCCTAAAGGGCGAAAGAAAAAAAACATGTCAGACACGATCGACACGACGGTGAATTGAGGCGTGAACCGGGTAGGAATGGACCAACATATGCAAGAACCACCATAACTGTCAAAGCACTCCGAGTTAGCAAAAAAGCCACAGTTCGGCATTGAGGCAGGAAGACGATTCAAAGAAAAAAAAGACATACCATCTTCCACAGCAATCGTCCTCAGCAGATAGAACCGCCCATAAGCTCGCAGCAAAAGGCAGATGGTGGCGATGGCGGTGCAGGCGCTGAGCACCCCCAATGCCAGTGCATTCTCATTGGGAGGGTTGTCAAAGTTGGAGACGATGCCCGTAGGCGGTGCGAGAGCCGGTCCGTCGAGATCCATAGCGGCGAGCGTCAATCAGGACGCGGCGTTCTTGGTCGCCCAGGTAGTTTAGTTCGTTTCGTGTAGTCCGCTAGTCGTTGGGAGACGGAGTTGCCGGTTAAAACTGGGCGAGAGCGAGACTAAAAGACGGCCAACCCAGAGGATCACTCGTCCGGCGAGGTCCAAGGAAAGTCGAAGTGTGAAATAAAAGAAGAAACGACTGGTGGTGTTCAGCCTTCGTCTTATCTCATCCCATGCGTTCTTCAGCTTGGGAGGCCTTTTTTGTTTAAAAAGAGGAAAAACAAAGCCTTTCGATTCGATCATAGGTAGCCTGGCTCCAAAACATCCCTTTCTCCCCCCCCCCCCTAGATCGTCATAGTACATTCCCAGTTATTGCTTCTCGACGTTGCATCACCGCGAATGAGAGGAGACTGTACCTGGCTTACGACCAGGGGCCTTCACTTCCTGCGTACACATACTGCGACAACATGAATTTCTCCGGTTACCTTTCTTCAGTTGCTGACCAGCCTCCCCCCACGAGTGCCGGCTGCTCGTCTTGTGGCTGGTTTACGGTTTTCGGCAGCGAGCCGTTGGGAAGAAACTGTCGCTTCGTCCCTTCCGTTCCCCTGATGCATGCAACCGTCCCGGGACACAGTACACTGCTGTGTAGACATGAGGGATGGCGGAATGCTTGGCAATGTGATGGACCGGAGAAAAATCCGTCCAAACTTTCTTACACATCCAACCACCAATCACGGCATTCCCTTCGTTCTCGAGGGCCACGAGAGGGACTGATGGTTTCTCGCTGATCCTTCGTGAATCGTGCCGATCTCTCCCGTTCCTGGCTCTTGGTCTCGGTTTCGGCAATGAAAAAAGGCAACACAGTGACGGGATTCTTTGCGAGGCACTGGGCGTTTCCACACTGCACCCGCTCGCATTCATCGGAGCATGGGTGAGGGTTTCTCCCCCCCGTGGGTGATGTGATTTGGAACTTTGGCACCGTATGTGGGCCCCGGTGAGGCCCGCGATTGGGAGAAACCGGACCCAAAATACCAGGGATATTGTAGCGAGAGGTTCTCGACGGTTCGGGTGAGCTTCCCGGAACTCTAGCGTTGTCTCGGCTGGCGGATCTGCCCGGGTTCGGCATCCTAGCGACGGACGTCTGTGCCAATGAGCGCTTTGCGGGTGGCCCCCAGGTATCATTCGAGGATTTAACGTCCGTCCCACAAAGCCAAATCTAATTGGCCTGGAATGGGGGAACGCGTGGGGGCAGTGGGGCGTTTTAGTGTGGTCTCAAGCGAGGCTTTCTCTCCGGTTTATCCCCAGCAGGGGAGTCCCCGGCAAGGGGGAGACGAAGAATAACCACCTCGCACCTTCCCTTCCTTTTCAACAAGACAAAGCACAATCCCTCGAACAACAAGTGCCAGGCCTCGCCCCCAACTCCCCATCTGGGGGCCGAGGCAAGGGCTCATATTTTTCACGTAGTATTTTGGTGCAGAGAATGGGCCAATTTGACATTTTCCATAATACGAGCTCGAGACCTCGCCAAATCCGATCCGTGATTCGAATCGAACGATCGCTCTCCAAAACGGTCGCCCTTGAGTTCTCTACCTCTTAACAGAGAACAAGCAAGAGCTCGTTGACGAGGAGCCAGACAGGCTGACCGTTAAACCTTATATACAAAATATTGTAGGAAGACCATATTGTAGAAGATCCAAGACTCCGCTATCCAGTGGTACACTTTCTTTTTCTCTTTTGTTGTTGTTCTGACAGTTTGAGGCTGCAAAATGTCCTGCCAGCCGGGAAACTTTGGCCTGGAGACGAGCCGCGATATGATGGGCTAAAACCTTGTACCGTCGCTTCGTTGTGGGGCTCGACGCGTCTGCATACCCCTCGTTGACGAAGAGAGAAGGGTTTTCTGCAGCTCTTGACTCCATCGTATCGTCTCATCAATCTCCGCCAAGCTTGCCGATGCTTCCTGGCCTCTCCGCCCGCCGGTCTCGTTCGGTTGCAGGAAATGTTCCGATGACTCTGGCTGCCTGAGGTAGGCTCGCAGGTGTCGGGAATCACCATTTGAGGCATACTTGCGACATTTCATCTCCGACCACAGTTTACACACAACAGAGACTGGGCAGATCATTACCAAATCCAAGTTGGTTCCCTGTAATTATGTGACTAAGTCCATGTAACGCTTGCTGGAGCGAAACCTCCTCCTGCAGCGCGCGTTTCCCCCCCTTTTCAACCCCCCCGGACTCTCTTCATGCAGCATTGTAGGACATGTGGAACATGGCACGCAGACAACCCTAGACAACCCCGCTCTCGAGGTCGGAACGCTGCACGGTTGGGCTGTTGGAACCAACCCTGGGGAAGCGAGGTTAGCGTCATGAGGAGGAAGCGTCTCGGGCAGGAAGGGAACATGGTCAACAATCAACGAGCAACAAGACACGAGTAACGAGTAACGAGAAAACCAAAAACGAGAAACGAGATATCAAGAAGCGAGAAGCGAGAAACGAAAAACAAAGGAGTAAGGTTGTCCTGATTCTACACACACACACGCCTCCGCCATGCCCCGCCAGGAAGTCCATCAGCTCCGGCCTTTTGGCTGGGAGAACGACCCGGAGGAGGAGCGGTTCAAGGTCACGACGCTCGATTACTTGACGGCCTGCACCTACAACAACTACGCCCTCTTCTTCCGGCTCGGCGACGATGCGGACAAGGAGAAGGCGGCAGCCACCCTGAAGGAGGGCCTCGAGCGGACGCTCAGCCAGGCCCGCCACTACGTCGGGACGATCGAGAAGGACCCGGAGGGCGGCCACTCGTTCGTCAAAAAGAAGAACAGTACGGTGCGCTTCGTGGTGCAGTGGCTGGATACCCCCGAAGACGGCGCCAAGTACCCGTCCATCGACGACATCGAGCGGACCAACTACAGCGCCGTGACGCTCGGTAACCTCGAGACTTGGAGCGTGCCGCCCATGACGTACGGCGAGAAGGCCGAGGCGCACCCCGATAATCAGCCCGTCGTGTCAGCTTTCAAGGCCAACTTTGTGCGCGGCGGCCTCGTCTTTAACATGCACCACCACCACTACGCCAACGACGTCATGGGCTGGTCCGGCTTCACCCACCAGCTGGCCGAGAACTGCCGGGCCGCGTTCGCTTCCAACACGGCGACGGCGACGGCGGTGGCCTTCCCGGCCTGGGACCCGGCCTGCCTCGACCTCTCGCGCCTCACCAAGAGCGAGGTGCCCGAGGCGTCCAAGGTGGACGGTCCGCCGCCGCAGGAGCGCCATCCCGACCATAAGGTTGGCCAGTTCCTGCTCTTCCACCTGCCTAAGAGCAAGGCGGCCGAGCTGAAGAAGCTAGCGACGCCAACAGACGGCTCGTGGGTATCGACGTACGACGCCTTCTCGGCCTATATCTGGCGTACAGTGACGCGCCTACGCGTCCCCGTCTTCAAGCCGGAGCTGTCGTCGAACCTCTTCTGGGCCGAGGCTGTCGACATGCGCCGGCGCATGCATAGCCCCAAGGTGCACCCACGCATCCAGCACAACGTCATGTTCGCGGCCCTGTCACCGACCTCGCCAGTTCCGCAGCTCACCATCGACGAGATCCTGAACGCGCCGCTATCCAAGATCGCCTCGTACGTCCGGCAGATGACCGACAGCGTGACACAGGAGAATCTAGACAAGACACTCGACATGGTGGCGCTGGTGCGTGACAAGACGAGCCTCAACATCCGCAGCGACTCGAAGCCGCCTATGTCCATCCTGCAGACCGACCACCGCGACGCCAATATCGTCTCCGCCAACTTTGGCTTTGCCACGCCCCTGACCTACCGCCACCTGCTCGACCGCGTGACCGAGGGCGTCATCATCATCTACCCGACCCGGAACGCCGACCCGGCCTCGGACGAGGGCCCGGAGTTCTCCATCGCCTACGAGAAGCATCTCGCTCAGGACCTCATCAACGACGCCGAGTTCAACAGGTACTTTGAGTACCGGGGCGTCGATGCCGAGGACGCGGGAAGCGCCGCGGCCTCGCTCCCCAACTAATAAAGGACGCCTTTCAGTAGGAAGGAAAGACAAATTGCTTAGCAGTGATGTGCCAGCGGGGGGTTGGGTGGCAGGTTGAGAGCCTATCGCATCTGCATGAGTAGACGACAAGAGCTTTTAGAGTAGCCAAGTTTAGTCAGATCATCAGACAACATAGAGTAACGATAATCAAGGAGATCATTTGACACCATTGTTGACCTTGACATTTCCTTCCCCCCCCTTTAGCGTGAACCCCAAGCCGCCCACGAAATTATCATCAACGGAGAATCTCTCGTAAAATGCAAGCTCGCTGAGCACACCGAGAGAAACAAGCCGATGACCTTAGTGGGAGTGGAGAAACCCCGGTGAAACTCGGGCCTTGACCTTGCTCCGCGGTGTGATGTTGGTTGTCCTCGTGCATAACCAACACCCCTGTTGGTCCCAACACGCAGCACTTAGTGCCTAGCTTGCGAGCGGTTCGTGCGTTCGGTACCCATTCATCTCTCTCCACTCTGTTGGGGCTAATCCTGTGGACGGCCACGAAGGGGAAGCAGAGTGACAGGTTGTGTCGCGTGCCAGGGAATGGAGGCCCGCTCTGGTTACCCCTTTTGAAACCGCAGACTTGTTTCGTCTAGAAATAACATTATATCAATAGAGACCTGGTCCCCGAGCCGTTACAAGGTCCAATACCACATCCACAGATTCATACACACAAATACAAAACATACAACCGGATAACTACCATCACTAAGTGGATCAAGAAAAACCACGACAAGGTTGCGAAACTCGATCGATATTTAACTAACCTCGGGCCGGACAACGCCGACATAGAAGAAAAACAAAAAAAGTGGAAAAAATGACTCAGCCGCCTCCCGAAGTTGTAGAGCGCATCCGACACAAGAAGGCGCAGTACACACGCCTGGCCGACACCAAGCAGTGGGACAAATTCGACACCATCTTTGTCGACAACGCAACGTTCCACTTCGTCGACATCGACGGCAAGGCCATTTTTCCCCCGGACGCCGCGGCCGGGGCCGACAGCCCGCACACCTGGGTCTCACGCGACGCGTGGGCCGCCTTCTTCGACAAGGGGCTCGCCGATTTCCAGGTCATCCACCAGGTGGGGCCCGGCGAGTTCGACATGGTCCAGGAGGACGAGGTCCGCGCCGTGTTCTCGGTGCTGTACCACTCCGGTCCCAAGGGGTACGGGGCCGGGGACAAGCACGAGACAGGCGGCGGACATTACCGCGAGAAGTGGGTGCGCAAGGAGGGGGATTGGTTCTGTACGGATTTGTGGATGCAGAGGCTTTATCATAGAGTTACGTAGAAGAAGAAGAAGAAGAAGAAGAAGAAGAAGAAACCCCCAATCATCACCTCCCCATGTCGATGTCAAGTCTGTTCCGATTCCGAGATCAGATCCAGAATAATTAATTCGAAAATGTGTTTCACTGGGAAGGGATCATGAGATAGGAGGCAATGACTGCTGAGTTGTGGTGTCTTGAGAGGCAGAAATCATGTAGATGTCATTGACTAATTTTTGTTTTCCTTTTTTCCCCTTTCTGTTTTTTTTTTTTCTTCGCTTTTCCTTTCTCGGTCGGGCTGAAGATCTCAAATATGATGATAACATGTATACCTGGTTTGACCCGGAAATAAGCTCGCTGGTCTTGATCGAAGATCGTCCCAAGGTTTCGGTGGGGTGGGGTTACACCCTTCTCCATTTTCAACGCCATTATCCATGCTCGGACCTGATACAAAAGGCAAATATTAATGGATACAGCACTAACGACCGTTTCTACTTTGACAAGACACGGTTGGCTATGTCACAATAATCACGGTTGAAGTTGTGTTGGCACTTGCTGTCGTCTTTCCGTTACCGAAACCTGGCTGCTAGTCCGTTGTACAGCCCCAAAAACCACCACTAAATTGTCCTGTCCTGCCTAACCGACCATTCTTAAGCATCGTTTGAACACCACACCATCACATACGACCATAGACAGTAGAAAATACGGGATCCCGTCCGCTCTCCCCTAGTCAAACTGCTGATCGCTGGATTAGTACTCAGGTCGGTGACGACTGGGGAATCCCCGGTGTTGTATGTTTTTGATGTTTCTTGTTTTCTTTTTTCTTTTTTCTCTGGGCCCCTTAATCCCAGCGGTTAGATAGCCACTTGTGTCTTCCCAAGCTGTAACCAAACGGCCCAAGAATGAGCCACTCATATTGGAGAATGATGGCGAATGTATCGGATACCGACGCAATCATCTGGGCTAGTAGGTGAGGTAGTTTTTGTCGGCTTGTCAGACTCAGGAGTCAAGGCGGCATGGGCTTGGGCGCATTCCCCGATCCGCTGGCCCCAAAAGTTCGAATTGAGCTTAGAATAATTATGTCTCTGTTTCTATCCATCACTTACTATCTCTTGCATCTAGATGCTGACGGCATATGACCACTTCACGCAGGGGTTCTGTCAAGCAACATGGCGAACTTGGTAGCATTGATGACAAGATATAACGCAAAATGGGACTAATTAAGACTGGGAATGCTGCAACTTGCTGAGTAGAAGAAAACACCAGCGGTTCAGAGGGCCGGACGGCGTCTTGTTGAAACAAATACGACATATTATTAACAGGCTGGGTCTGTTACATCTACCAACAAGGTGCATGTACCTCAATTACGAACTTCAACTGAAACACATTCAACCACTAACCGAAACAAAGGGGGGAGGGGATGATGAGGTAGCTATTAATATATGTGCTTTCTTCGTCGAAGCCACGCAATTGGCTTGTTGGTATGAAATCCACTAGTTACAAGAGATTGATAACGGCTTCTTGGAGCCTGAAACGCCGGCTTCGCTAACCACTTGCGACGGAACAATGTCGCCACGACCGACCGCCAGGTGACAACTGAGAGTCGGCGTCACTTTGCCATTTGAGAGCTGCTCAACAAAGTTGGGCCTAAACGAACGACGGCGGGGGCTCCGTTCATCCACCACCCTAATTATCTCACATCAAACCCCACCACACACGAAACCGAGATTTCTAGTTTTGGTTATTCAAATTTTCAAGATTCCGCTGGTAGGTAATTAGGCCTTGTAGTGAGCGAGATGGAGCATCTCACCGTTGGTATCCAATCCTGGGCCCGAGGGAGTGGTTTTCTTCGAGTAGGGACTATTTCTGAGCTTTGGCGCCGGGGTGACTATAATTAATTAGGCTCCATGTCTTGCCGGCGAGTGGTGAGACCATTACTGCTCCACGGGCGCATCGCAACATTGTAGACAAGATCTCGCTGCCTTTCCCTGGACCTGGACCCGGACGTGTCGAATGCCATGATGGTTATCCCGCCTTTGCTAGCGCCGGATAGGCCGGTCCAGAAGCCGTCCCGCTTGCTCCGGGGACTACCAGACCACTCCAGGCGGTGCTTCCAGTCATGGAGGCTGTCTCCCCGTCCTGCGCCCCCGACTACGCTGCAAAAGACTGTCGGGGGCTGCTGGCCAAATCGCGAGATGATGCCAAGGTATACGGTGTATTGCAGTGCGCCATATTTCAAAGATATCTTCGCTGCCATCTCGTACTTGAGCTCCAGAGAGAAGCAACCGTTCCTGTAATCCACATGCATCGGGTCGGTCGATCGCGGTCCGCGAATGGAGCAGCTCTTTTGCGAAACGCCAACCTGGAGAAAAATCCAAGCGTGGTACTCGTTCTCGAGAAACTGCTGTGGGCCTCGCGGGACGGGCCACTTTGTCTGGGGCAATATGGTCATTACCTTGAGCGGCGCCGATGCTGCCAGTGTCGGTTCGACTTCGACGAGGTCATCTTTGAAGAGGCGTTGGAAAGTCGACTTGCCCTCGTACCTGCTCAACATGATTCCCATCGCGGCGCCCTTGACGCGGTCGGAACAGCCGAGAACCGCGACGACATGGCTCTCTATCCCCAACCCCGTGCCATCCCTCAACGACGCCTCCAAAACCTTGGAGATCCGGTCGCTGTGATCGTTGTGCCAGTAAATTCTCGACTCGGACAAATTCTCGATCACCGGGAGCTCGATTTTCAGGCCAGTGTTGGTCATCACGTATGATCCCTGACCCGAGGGATCGAGAGCCGGCGGATTGGTCGTCTCACTCGCGAACAAGGGGCCGCCTCGCCTAGCGGCCCGAGCCAAATGGGGTGCAGGAGGGCTGGTGGCAGCGTAATACCCGGTGAACTGTCCGCACCGCTTAAAACTTGCCGGGGAGCTTGCGAGAACTCCCCAAGGAAGGGCTTCTTCCCACGCCGGGTGCATCCAGGCGAAGATTGTCTGGTCGGCCGTGGTCTTGAGTAATTCTTCCTGAAGACGCCGAAAGGCATCTCTCCCTTCGCCGTACAAGAGCGGCATGTGGATCCCGAACAGGCCCAGCAGGCAATAGGCTATATCCTCAACCCGCGTGGTGATACGCTTGGCCGCCCACGACATCTTTTGCGCGACGCTGGACCGCGCCGGGTTGAAAAGGATGATATCCAGCTCGCTGATGCCAGTGATGCTTGATATTTCCTTGCAGAGGCTCCACTTGGTCCCAATCTTTTGCCATTGACTGTTGTAAAAGTTGAGTACAGCGGTGCTACAAGCTCTTGGAGAGTCCATCCGCGGAAATACCACTGACTGGCAAGACCGTCGAGCCGATATGTGTCGGAACTCGATCGGACGTCGGCGAGGTATGCCAAGCAGACGGTCGCACACTCGTACCAAGTGAACATTGAATTGATGCTCTCAGACAGCTCGGCGCTACTGGTCTTGTCGATGCAACACGTATCGACTCATGCGTACTGCAGGCCCTTGTCCTAGGCAAGCTTGCAGCATTGCAGAATCTTTTAGTAACCAGTCTTGGCGCGCAGGTGAGAAGTCGACTGGTCGCCAGCACTGTGGTTCACCTCCTGGAGCCGGTGGAAGTCCTGAAACGAGATCTCTTGGTTGGCCGCCCACATATGGGATAGCGCGGCGTATTGCTCCGGGTGGCTGCCAAAGTACTCTAGTACTAGACTCTTGGTGTTGATTCCTAACCCGACCATGACGATAAGGGAAATAGATACATTCCTGGATAGTTCACCAATCGTCCAGATCGCCCGGGAGTGAGTCCACCGTGAGGAGGCAGACGACGGAGGCCTCTTGGCGGTTGAGAACACAGGTAGGCACAAGTAGTTCAGCCAAGGGGCATTTGGCATGTTCGAGGTCCGAGACTCCGTTTCCCACCAAAAACGGCACCCAACCTGAGTCTCACTGTCTTGGAACCGTAGACCTTAGAAGAGGGGCCTTGCTGTATAATGACCGCCACCGATTCAACAATTCGTCTCTCTCAACTTTCCGTATGGTAAAATCACCCACAACTAGTCGCTCTGAGGACTCAACACGGTCGCTTAAACAACAACGAAGCGAAGATAAGGAAAGGGGATCTTTGAAGACCGACGCGAAGAAAGCCCCGGGTGTAGTTATTCAAAACCAAGCTATTATTTAAGCCACGTCGTCAAAATAAGAGGCAAGGGGCTAAACCATCTCTTGATCTTACGCTGTGACGGGGGTGAACAACGAGAACGGAACGGAAGAGAAGAGGGACAACATACGTGATGAGAATCCCAAAAGCCATAATCGCCCGGCCCTTGGCGTGGACATCATTCACAATCACCTGCTCCTGGGACGAGAGTTTGTGGGGAACGTAGCGATAGTAGCCATTGTCATCGTCTGTGATGCGAAACAAAGAAAGGTAAATACCAAACCCCGAGCGCAATAAGGAAAGAAGAAAGAAAGGGAGAAGAGGCGGAGGTAAGGGGGGGTGGATGGGGGAAGGATGGATGGATAAGTAAAGGAAATGAAAGAGGCAAGAGAATAGAAAGAAACAAACTTAGAAACAACAACGAAACTCTCAACCCATAATAAACCCCCAACCATCCTCAGACCCTAATCCCTAGCCACATTAATGTTGCTTCTTCTCCCGGTGACGCTTAACATTATCCGTCCTCCCAGAATACCCGCACACATTGCAAGTATCTTCCTCCTTCGGAATTTTCAGCGCCCTCGCGGCATCCGGGTGGCGTGCCCACATGTGTCGATACAGGTCTTTCATTTCAGCCTTGCTAACGTCGCAGTACTCGCACTGTCGAGGTGGGTAGTGGTTATGCTGGTGTTTGCTGTATAGGCAGAAATATGTTAGCATGGGCCTTACTTTGGTGGTGGAAGAGAAGGGGATAAACGACGGGGAGGATATCAAACGAAAAGGAGGAGGAATAGAGATACTTACACCAAGTCACACAGCCTGTCAAAACCCCTGGTACATCCCCTCCAATCGCAAGGAAAAGGTTTGTTACTCGGGTTAGGAACCGGCGGTTCATCTAGCTCCTCACCCTGGCCGCCGGATGCCAAGGCGTACTGGTTGCTGTGTTGCTGTTGTTGTTGCTGTTGCTGATGATCGTGGTACTGTTGCACATAGGAATACTGATGATCGTGGGTTGCGTCGCCGACCTGGGCCGCAAGGACTGCGTCAGCCGAAGATGCTCCGTACGGGAGTTGATAACCTGCTGCGGTTGTTGTATTATTGGGATCTAGCGGGACGCTGTGGTCTGGCCAGTGCTGGGCGGCAGCAGTGGTGTCATAGGTGTCGTGGCCCATCGGAGCGGTAGACGCGCTGGCGGACATGGAAAGATGAGAAAATTGGGCGTCGAAGGCCGGGTCGGTTTCGATGTTGTGGTTATCGGCGTGGTGGTGTTGGTCGTTGGCCATATCTCCTTGGTGATGTAACTAAGAACGATCGGCGAGGCTGGGGGCCTCGGAGACTGACATGGAGGGGTAGTTGGGGTTGACTTCCTGGTAGGGGTCGGGGGACCAGGGGCCGGTAGACGAGGTGTAATGTCCTGAGGATGGGGTACTGACAGTGTGGGTGTGATACGAACTGGCAAACTCCTCTTCCTCCACCACCGGCACATGAGAGGGGGAGTTTTGGACCATTAATAGTTGGGGGTCGATAATTCCTTGGCTTGGATCCCACCCAACAACAGCTGCGGGAGTGGCGGCTTCAGGGGGGCGGGACCCACGCCTCGAGCTGCGATGGGAGGGGGCACGCGGGGGCATCTTGACGTTGATAGCACGTATGGTTGGGCCTTCGATGTTGAGTGGTCGGAGCTTGTTCCTTGGTGAAACGGTGAGGCTCAAGTAGGAGGGTCAAGCGCTCGTCAAGTTGCTACTGCTAAGTCCTTTGCATGAAGATTGTGTTAGTGCGTGCTCCAATGCAGACTGGCTGGGTGTACCCACACTGCGTGATGCTGAAGAAATTGTAGCTGGAGAATAAACTGATGTTTTGGCCTGGCCAGCGACTTGATGCTTCTAAGGCGGCCGATAACCACGATTCAAATACCCTCACATTCCGAACCATCAATGAGGCTACAGTACCCAATATTGAGGCTTCTCCTGAGGCTTCCCATCCGCCTCTTCCTCTCTGTAAGACTCCAAAGTTTGAGGACGGCGAAGGCATCGAGGCTCCCTTGATCACAGGTCCACTGTGATTCAAATCTGCACTGAGGCCGAGCGCCACTGAGGCCTACGGCATAACACAGCGAGAGGCCAGACAGGGTGCCGGGGTGGATCCAACCAATTAAAATGTACTACAAAGAGCCACTTAGGTTCGAACCTTCGACGTCAGATTCCATCGTGGGTCTTGTGGAAGAGGCCAACCTCATAGCACAGTTGGATGACAAGCCCGGATGTCAACATGGGATGCCGAACTCTGTAATTGGGCGAACCTATCTCAAGAACCAAGAGAGGCAATCTGAGGCCATCCAAAAATGAATGTACTCAGGCAACCAGAATGGGTCTCGTGGGTAGTACAGGACTGGCCCACCGAGCGGAATTCATGAAGCTCAACATGCATCATAACCAGAACCTCCGAGTCATTCATGTAAACGGAGGCTGACTGGCTGAGTCAACATCTGCCAAGTTTATCAAGGGCCGTAAATTTCCCTGGGACGGGTGTTTGCACGACAAGCGCGTGAGGCAGATGCCCTTGCATCAACCAACACATCACTCACGCAGTGTACGCCTCCATGTCTGCCTCCCAGCCTCCCAGGCATCAACTCGTCATCCGGTCCCGAGCTGCACCATGGGTCACGCTTGCAAAATGACACCGAGATTGTAACGGCAGACAGTAATAATTTACTCCGAGTCACCCAAGCGTTTGAACGTACCCATTCCGGAACAGCAAGGGGCTTACAACTGAGGGTAAATTCTGACGGGAGAGAAAAGGGGTTAACCCTAACCCTGCAACATTAAACACCACTCATGAACACGGTTACAAAGGAAGTCTCGGTCTCGGCTGGTGAAGAGCGGTATTAAGGTCTAGTGAAATTTGTAAATCCAGTAATAATTGCTCTAAGCAAGCTAAAAATTGTCCTCAATCCACATGAAAAGTATTGACGTCAATATGGCCGCCGCAGGTGCCATGCTCATGCTCGTGTGTATGTATGTACAACGCTCCCCCCAATATACATTCCACCCCTCTTCGTTAATATCGTTTACTTCTCTGGGTCCGCCGGCTTCGCAGGCTCAACTGCCTGCGGGTAATAAAACACCTCATCCGGATCAACCGCCTTCTTGATATCCCTCAACTTTGGCAAGCTCTGCCGATAATACACCTGCTGCGCCTGTTCACGATCCATCGTCGGGTCCGCATAATTCACATACATCCCCCACTGGCTCTCCTCCAGCCCGCTCGTGAACGCATCCACCCACCCGTCCAAAAACGTAAACCCATCCTCCGGGTAATCCCCAAAACTCCGGTCGTACAGCTCGTACAGGAACAGACTGTTCTCCGGGTCGCGGTAGGCGTACGATGTGTCCTCCGCGGCGACCTTGGTGACAGCGGACGTCGGCCCGCCGTAGAAGTCGATAATGATGTACCAGGAGCGGGTGACGTTCCTGGCTTCGTTGACCCAGTAGTCGGCTACCTTTTGCAGGACCTCGGCGGGCAGCGCGGAGGTGACCAGGCTCTTGGAGTAGAAGGTCTCGGATTGCTTGTAGGGCCGGGTGAGGTCGACTTCTTGGCTGTAGCCGTAGTGTGAGATGCCGCCCATCCAGTCGTATTCGACCGGCTTGGTCAGCGTGCCGTTGACGAGCTTGACGAGGGGCTGGATGGTTTCGTTGCAGGCGGTCTTGTTGCCGTGGTAGAGACCCTGGATTTGGGTTTGGTAGCCGTTGCCGAGGACGCGCATGTTGAGGAGCGGGTCCATATCTCCCGCGAGAAGGTAGTCTTGGATGGCGCTCCAGCCCGCGGTGATGTTGGTGGCGTTTTTCCAGGGGAGGTTGATTTCGAAGGAGGTTACGTTGTCCGGGACCGCGAAGGTGTTGAATTGGAATTCGGACACGATGCCGAAGCTGGAGCCGGCGCCGCGGATGGCCCAGAAGAGGTCTGGATTCTCGGTGGCGGAGGTCTTGACTGCTGTGCCGTTGGCGAGAACGACGGTGGCCCCGGCGATCCAGTCGACTGCGAGACCGTGGGTGTGCGAGCTAAAGCCGAACCCGCCGTGGATAGAGTGGCCACCCACGCCAACGCTATACATTTCGTGTTAATCGTGACGAAGACAGCCCAAAAGCGGTGGGCACACTCACCCCGGACACGTCCCATGGCTAAACCCCCGCTTCCCCTGGTCATTCAACAACGTCGCCACATGCCCCAACCGCGCACCGGGCTGCACAGTCGCGATATTCGTCTCCGCATCAAGCGTCACATTATCCATCCGGTCGAGCTGCACGACCAGATGCCCGTCCTCACCACCAAGACCAAACGAGGCATAGCTGTGCCCGCCCGACTTGGGGCTGACTTTGATGCCGAGCTTGGCGGCGCACGAGACGGCGGCTTGGATGTGCTCGACAGAGGTGGGCGCGGCGATGGCGGCGGGGGTGTAGGGCAGGCGGTCGTTGAAGGGGCTGGCGTCGAGCTCCCAGTCGTCGGAGTCGAGCTCGTCGACGGGGACGCCGGCGTCTGCGAGGCAGTCGTCTATGTCGGCGCGCTTGTGAGGCCTGCTGGTACTGGTGCTGTGGCTGCTGGTCGCGGCCACGACCGCGGCTGCGGTCGAGAGGGCGAGGAGGAACCGCATTGTCACTCGTGGATGGGCGTGATGTGGCGATCGCCTGTTGGTGGTTTGTTGACTTGAGAGCAACGGCAGCAGTGACACAAACCCGGGAAGCTGGGAGAGCCAAGAGGTTGAGACAATCAATGTCTTATTACTACACGTGGATCACAAACGAAGACCCCCCCGTCCCGCTGCGTCGTTCCCGTCCGACATAACCGTTGCTCGCATCCCGTTCGTGCGGCAATGGGATCCGGCAATTTTCCCGCGATCATCGCAGTTTATCGCGGGTTCCGGAACAAAAATGCAACCCCAAAAGGGTCCGGACGATACTCAGCCGAAGGCGCTCTCAACCGGCGATGCCGATGTTCCTGCATCTGAAAGCCACGCGTTGAAACAAATTCCGAGCCAATCGGTTACCTTCCGAGTGGGCCAAAAGGGAACACACCCCAGAAGGATCTGCGCTGGTTTTGTTCGTCGAAGGGACCCAAGAGCTTCCAAGAGGACTTAGTTTTCGACGCTGACAGCCCGTAAAGCACTGAAAGGTTGAACGGAACCGGACTGCCGGCGGATGAAGTGAATTGTCGACAGAGACGACGTGAGATACGGAAAAGTCCCACGGACGAAAGGGTCAACAACAGCATTACATACATAGTAATACTTGGCGAGGTGCGCAGTCCTGCAATAAGCAAAACTTCCGAAAAGAGGAATTTAAAGAGTTCATCGATTCATCGTCTGAGGTCAAACTCCCTTTGTTGACCCCGCCTAATTACTTCTGTCCCGCTTGGTCTTGACCCTGAGTCGTTTGCTTGGCCGCTTCCTGTTTCTTTGCGGCCGCATCTTTTGCCATTTGCTTTCTGCGTTGTGTTAGTAACCCCTGGTCAGAGCATGGTGTCAGAAAAGCCACCGATGACGCGGGAAACACACTCTTTCTGCTTTATCCATTGGTCCTCTAATGCCTTTTCGCGATCGGACAGAGGGTTCGGGTTCATGGTTGCGGGCCCGGGGAGAGGGAAGAATACGAATAATTACGAAACTGAAGATCGAGTTGCGTCGTGGGACCTGGAGATTAACCAGAATAAATGAACGGGTTGTGAGAGAATTGTTGCATGTTGCACTCGGAGCTTCTAGAATTCCTGTCGTGTTTTAACTATTTAATATTCTGTACGACGGTACTGACGAAAAGAGCCTGAAATCTTGCAGGTGACGTCATATTTTGTACCGCAATTGACGGTTCGGTACCCGTCAGGTGTTGGTCGGAGAGAAAAGATGATGATTCGTTGCTATCAACCCTTCATGCTATTTTCACCATCATAACCTCAGTTGTCGGTTATCGCCCGGCAAAACGGGCCTCTTGGATTCAGTGTTTCGCTGGCCAGTTTACACTGCATCATGGGCTCTAGCGGGTCCCGT